ATTCACCTCTTCCTCCCAGGATCCAACGTATTCCTTCGACTGAGGCCATTTTTCTCTCCACCTCGGAGCATCGCATCGCCCTTTTTACCAAGGACCACCTCCAGAGCCTGGATCAAAGCCGTAGAATCATATTTCATCCCAAAAGGCATCTCAATACCATCCACACCTGTAGTAACGATCTTTCGCCCATACAGACGAAGCGTCTCAATCCCCATCTCCGCGAGACGATACCGATCAACATGGGGCGTCCCAGGTCCCTCAAGATGAAGGATATGCGTCACATAAGACGTATATGGAAGATCCATTGCAGACCGGCCGTCCCCATCCAAAGTAGGGATCGTCAGATGCATTCGACCACGACTCTCTTCGCCAGCGCGTGTGATGGCCTCGACGAAATCGACTGCCGTGAATGGCTCAGAAGGTGGGCCTGTTTCGCGATCCAGGGATCCATTGAGGATGAGGATCTTTTGTCGAGCGGGGCTCATCACGATTGCTTGTCCGACGCCGCGGAGGATCAGGGATGGGATGAGCGATGTGTAGAGGGAGCCGATGCTGTAGATGATGGCTTGGGAGTCGCGGAGGGCTTCGAGGACGCGGGGATTGGCGGGTGGGCGGATCTCTTGGCCATAGGGGTTTATGTACCAGATACGGGTGATGCGGGAGGGGAGATCCTCGTTTTCTGTTTTTGAGAATTGGATGTTTTTGTTGCGGAGGGTGGGGAGGGAGCCTGGGGGGTGGTCATCTTCGTAGAACACTGGGTCTGGGGTGTCTGGGTCTTCAGATTCGGAGGCTCCGTCGGCTAGAAGGAGGCTGGGGCGTCTGGAGCCTGGGCGTGGTTGGAGGGCGGTTACTTCGCTGGGGTGGGAGATGCTGTTTTGGCCGACGATCACGGTGCCGTTGGCTAGGGAGGCGGAGATGTGGTGGGAAAAGTTGGAGTTGATGGCTGGGATTACCCGGACGGTGTCTGACGGTACGCCGCAGATGCTGCCCAGGAGGTAGATGGCGCTTTCGAAACTGCCGCTGAATAGTCGGGCGCCGGTGAGGAATAGGTTGCCTACGCTGGCGGATGTGAAGTCGAAGGTGGATGATGGCGGACGTGCACGCTTCAGTATCTCCAAGTTTAGGAGGTTGAAGAAGGAACGGATGAGTTCTCTCTTGGCAGGCGTGATGGCTTGCCAGATCGCAGACGTGCCATCTACGATGGAGAGCCATTCTGCGTGCGCCGCGGCAGTGTCTGCCGGCAGTCGATGATTGAACAATGTCTTTATAGCACCTAGTTCAGAATTTGGAGGTGAGTCCGGGATCAGACGAACTAGTCTACCTGTATACCTCTATTAGAAGCAATCTAAATAACAGAAGCGGGTGGATACTTACTTCTCACATCGCCAATTCCAGGGCCCCCAAAGATCCGGATCAACTCAGATGAGGAGCCTCCATTGTCACTGATAGGGATGATATAGCTCAGCGGACAGCTCTTGCTGTCCCGAACGGAGCTAAATACATCTACCAGGTTATTGGCAGCACTTCCTCCCGAAAAGACTACAATCCCCCTGTTCGGGGTGGAGGTAGTCGACATACTTGGGGGTTCTGGTACTGACAATCCTATATAGTGAAATGCAAGGACTAGAGCAGTGCGGATACAGAAGCCAGTCTCGCGTACAGGTATATCACTTATATACCCGATTTCTGAAAGTAGCAATGGCTAGTCTCATGGTTTTTATAAAGAAGCGGCGAATTGTATAAATCTAATTTCGCAACCTGGTACCATTAATCTAGACTCCGTACGGTCATTTAGCTCCACGATCGATGGACCATGGAAGCTGCTAGGAAAGCATACCTGAGTATGTACCGATCGAATGATATGATTGGATGCTGTGTACATCAATGTTAGGGCAAGGAAAATGTGGACGTTGAAGGGAAGGGAAAAGTGAGAGATTCCACCAAGACTTGCAATGAAACATCCGAAAACGGTAAGTGATTATGGAGCCAAGTTGACCATTGGACGCGGTACCGTGAAACTCAGAAATATCAGTGGCATATGGAGTCATACCAAAGAACAGCCTTCAACACGGCTGGTCCCATAACTCAGTTGGTTAGAGTGCTGAGCTAATAACTCAGAAGTCGAGAGTTCGAGCCTCCCTGGGACCACTCTTTTTGTAAATCTTTTTTCCCACTTATCCTAGAAGGTTTTCCTCTTTTCCATTTCCCTAAGGGTTTGTCTTAACCAACTCAAATTCGGCTAAGCAGAGCATGACAGTAAAGTATTGATAATAATAAGTGATATGCAACTAGACTTCGTCGTGGTGGTTGAGATAACTTTTGTTCCGTTGATCAAATATATATATATTAGTGGCGGACCTGACCACCCACCGCCACATACAATCGCTACCTAATTTGACTAATATGCTAAGAAACAACATATCTACCTTAAGGTAAAACAAGACATAAATGCATTGATTAACCATGAGAAGCAACAAATCTCACACTTAAACCTCCATCTGTATGTCGTTGCATTAAGCATAGGCAGCCCAACCTATGGTAATAAAGTTAGCATTTGTTTACCAAGGTAGCACCATATGGAACATACCGCAATAGAGGACCGCAAGGTTCTTCTCGTCCGTCGCTTGCTGAATCAGCTCATTTACAGTTGCCGTAACACTCAGTGTTTTGCCCAATTTCTTTGCCACGACTGTCAACGCACGATCGGCTTCACTTGGTTCATTGGTTGACCGTTGATCGGCAGCACCGGGCAATACGGGCGGTCCGCTGCCAGCTTCTGGGGCGTCTTGCATTTTCCTCATCCTCAAAGGAGATACAGTCCAGCTGTACAGTGGATCATAACGAAGCACGTCAAGGATGGTCATGATACTATAAGACTCCTCCCGTAAAGCCTCGAGCGTGAATTCGCAACAACGGCGGAAGACACCCTCCGTTTTAGTAACTCCCATCCCATCGACAAGATCTCGTGTCAAACGGAATGGGACGACCTCTGGAACCGGTAGCACTCGGCCTTGCTCGAATGCAACGCCTAAGTCGATATGCACCACTTCACCAGTCCGCTCGTCAAGCAAGATGTTATGGCCATGGCGATCGCCAAGTCCAAGAACATGACCCAGTATTGAAATCGCAGCGGTGCTCCGTGTATACGCGAGCCTCTTGCCAAACCAGTCGTCTGGGTTGTTGAATTTCTCCATGAAAAAATACTTCATGACAGGATGAAAATGTTCGGTAACTTGTCGGTATGTCCTCACGCGTTGTTCAAGTGACCGCGTCTGAACATCGCTAATATGTTTACGGCACACGTTTGGTTTCATGTCCTTCGGATAGAACTTTTGATGGGCAGGCAACAGATAATCGTGCAGTGGGATAGTGTGAGGCACGAATTCGATTATTCCCGCATTTGATGTAAGAGGGAGAACTTTGTATGTGCGAATACCTAGGTTTCGCTGCCGAGTAGCCTGATGGTCCTTAAGCAGGTTGCTAACCTGTTCAAATACCTGCTCCATGATAGCGTCTTGCCGCAAGTCATCATTTCCTCCTTTGAACTAAAGAAAATTTAGTTCAATGGTTGATCTATACGTCAAATGTACTGAGCTTGGCTGCTTACCAGTTGCTTGTATCGTAAACCATTGCTTGCAAAGGCGGAGACGATCTTTGGCGCACTGACACCAGATGCAATTGTGAATTCAGGATGATACCTAACAAGCTTAGGCACATCACTGTAATCGCAATCAACCCGGATACCGATGTGCATTGTGGGCGGTGGTAATTTCTGTGTCGCAGCATCCTGCTCCAGACGTTGACCAGTCTGTAACTTTTTCAGTGGAACCCTTGCGCCGCTCTTCAGCTTTTCATCCGGCCTATCAATAGCAAACCGTACATAGTTTATATTCGTATTGTGAACGGCAACCCATGTTGGCCCTATGCGCTTGTCGTTCTTCAGACCTTCCACCAACTTTCCAGCCGCTCGATTGCGCGACAGAGCAGATTGATCCTTACCTCCCTTGGACTTGCTGCTCGCAAATATCTGATACATACCGTGAAATGGGTGTTCAACACAAATGCGAGTAATTAAAGAGAAGAGCATTTTCTGAAAATCATCAGACACATCTAGCAGGCGCGAGGTTAACTGATTCATCAAGGGGGCAAATTTCCGACTTGGGACTTGGCTGAGATGTTTAGAAACAGCCACATTTGCGATGTCACTGTCAGACTTATCAAGCCACAGCGCACAGAAACGGAGGACGTCATTGTTGTAAGTTTCACTTTCCCTCAGAGAAAGAAGATAGTTTTCGAGACATTGCTGCAGAAAGGCTTCCCGACTTCGTCGCAGACGTTGATATTCGCGATCATCAAGATCGAACCATTGCTTCGTTCTTGTTCGATGGAATTTAAGAGCCTCTCTCTCTCTTCCTTCTGCGGTCTTCATCATCTCCTCCAATGCTCGCACCTCCTTTTCCTTACGGTTACGTATTTGCTCAACTCGCGTGAAATCTTCCAGCCCGTCGGGGTTCTGTAGCTGCTGATCACAAAACGTGGCGAACCCATGGTAGACTCTACCGGCCTCTTCACCCCCAGTGCGACCTTTTAGCTCCTTGACTGCGGCTATTAAGTAGTCTTGGATGATAACTTCTGGTTTCTCGAGACGCGCTTCCGCAACATGGTGGCCCTTTTGAACAAGGATGTCAGCCCAAAATAGAGCAAATGACCAAGCGCCGAGATTATATAAGGAGAAGAACTTACTAAAGTCACCAGAAGCTCTGCACGACTGATTGGTACAACCTGCTTATGCAGATCATTTTGGTCTTTGAGCTGATTGAGCATCCGAATGGATACAGCCATTTCGCCTTGATCCCATAAAACATTAGCCAGATCGAACTTTGCTGCCCCCTCAATATTGATTCCTAGCGAGGAGCATTGGTGTGCGAGCTTAGAGAGGCAAACCGCCGATTTTAGTGAAGCTTGTTGGATGCCTTGGTCTCTGGTGACCTGGAGTGATTGGCGAATGGCTTTAACCTCCAGAAGCTGTGCATCATGATTGCTTATATTGGTCAAGGATCTTAAATGCACCTTTCGTTTGATTGATGAGAAGAGAGCTTCGTGAGAGTTTAATATTTCACCGATTTCATGGACACTGACTGCGTTAGAGGTAGCTCAGATAGGCAGTGATTGTATCTGTGAGTGTATTTGTTCCATACCTAGTGGTCTTCATCCAAGAGTCCCTGGCAGCAATGCTCTGCCACTCGCAGTTGATTTCTTCTGTGGATTTGGCATTCAAGACGTCACTAATTTCAGTGATGATCCCAAGAACCCTCATCGCAGTGCGCAGAGACTTGGCCGATCGACCTGTGCTTGTAAGGGAGTCTAAGCTTGTCAAAAGACATTCGTTGATACACTTAGTGGCCTCAGTCAAGGTTCCAGATGTGTTAAGGCTCTGGAAAGCTCTGAAGACAGTGGCGGAAGGTGAGGGATTCAAGGGCGACACGGGAATATCCCATTGCCGTAGATTCATTGCAGCTTGTAGCATACTGTCAAATGAGCCCGATGTATCCTGGAGGCCTCCACCGGATGCAGAAAAGATAGAATTGGCGATTCCCTGCAAATTTGTCGAGTTAAGTGCCTTAAGAACGCCGTAGGCGTTTGCGTCCTCTGACATCTGGATCTCACTATCATACTGCGCACTTTGAAAGAGGAGACTCTTAAACCCCGAGCTTTCATGCTGGAGTCTTTCCATAACCGAGTCCAAAGAGGGGCTCTGTTGGATTCCGTAAAAAAAGTCAGGATCATCTATTTCCTTGAATATTTCCTGTAACATGTCAGAGGGAGCATCGAATTTGGTAAGCGAGGAACGGCGCGAGCTAGAAACTATGCGAGATGCATGTATCTCAAGGAAGAGGAGTGCTGTCTTTGGTAAACAGCACCTGCTGGCAGCCAATGATGCCTCTACGAAGTTTACCTCGAGCCATTCATCACGCTCTACTATTGTCGCCTCATTTAGCTTCGGCTGATTTCGAAGATAGAGAATGCAGTTGATGACAAGTCGTGCATGTTGGATAGTACTGTCATGGACATCAGATAGAGCTTGTTTGAATATCTCGGAGATTGTCTGGCGGACATTCGCTTCTCCCTGAAGTTCTGCAAGTAAGACATCATGAAGCATGTATGGCAGGATTTGAATGGCCAAATCAGGGATAGCATAGAGAATGTGGCCTAGTGACCCGATGACAGGGTCTTCAGATGCAGCTTTTGACAAGAGCAGCGCTATACTGCGAGCCCACTGAGATAAGGGTTTGCTTGACTTCCAGCTGACTTTAGCATCGTGCTCTTCTGTGTCTAAAGCAAAAAACGGCATAGGCGGACACTGGTAGGGGCTCCACGTGAAGGCTTTCATCAAGGACAAAGGCACGATACCAGCGCATTGCTCGAAATCCGGATACTTGGCAAGATTACTTATGATGAGCTGTAATGTTCGCTCAACGAGTCCCACTTCTATACGACTGCTGTTTTGCACCATGCTGCATAGTATTTGAAGTATGCTGGCTTTAGAATGGCAGTGAACCCCTAAGCGCAACTGTGATTGTTGAGATTTGAAGAGGGTCAGCTCTTGCTCCCTGAGAAGAACGTCACTGATTTTGCCTGTGGAAGCAAAAGCGCGCCCGATGGCTTTCGCAGCCCATAACCGGTATCTAGACCCGGTGTCGAGATTCTGCAAAGTTTGGTAGATGGCTACTATGTTAGAAGCCGTGTCTTTGTCGGTTTCGTTAAACTTGTCACGGTATTCAAGAGGCTCCTTCGAGTCAGCGCAGAGCAGTGCTATGACGTGGTCGGAGACAGGCTTGCTCAGAAGACTGTTCTCAGAACTCCGGTCATCAAGGATTTCTAAAATCATATCACGCTCGTTTTTGTTATCTGAGCGCGGTTCAGCTGAGCTAGCAACCTGTGAAGACTTTACCAACCGACAAAAAGGCTCCCTTATTTCTGGATCCAAGGACGACTCGTAAGAATGCAAGTAATTCTCAAACCACTCAAGGAATCGTTGCGTATTTGACATTACCACTTTCGATTGACTCTGCTGAGCTGTATCCGCTGGTGGAGACGTCAGAAACCTCTTTAAGGACAGCAATGTGGAGACTGTAATCCCAGCCATGAGACTAGGGGTCTCTGTCAAATAAGGCTGTCCAGCCTCCAACAAATACCAGAAGATTCCTAATGCATCTTCTGAGCAATAGATATCTACCAGAAACGGCTGCATAGATTGTATAGCCATCTCAAACGGATAGTCCCTCAGCATGACAGACCCGGCCACGGAAAGCAGTATCCTAATCTTTCGGATCACAGAACAAGCATGGAAAGAACCGAGTGCTGGATGGATTGATTCTAAGAGAGTTCGGCAAACATAAGAAGCCAGAGCAGGCGTCCAAATTGTCCCAAGCTCGTACCCGCTGCGTTTACAGAGAAACTCTAGCTCATCAATGAGATATCGAGCCCTGAATGAGGGTTGTTGGTTTGCTGGAAGAACGATTTTTGAAGCGCTCTTGCCGACAATGCATCTTAAAACCTTAAGAGAATCCTGAAACTCCACACGTTTTGAGAGTGCTCTCTCTATTTGTTCATATTGATCGAGCGACCCGAAAAAAGTTGCTATCATCTGTGGAAATTGCCGATCGACCAATTCCATAAAGTAGTTAGTCCCTAGTATCTTTTTGAGCCGGGTCTCAGCGCCCTTAGGCTGGCTACCCTGCTCAGGGGGGGTACTAATGTCTCGGGCGATACTGTAGGCTTCCGCCTTGTAGAAAGATGCTGCCAAAAGCTTAATGAAAGGCTTTCCTATATGTTTCGAGAGCTCCATCTCCTCGTCTTCTCTTGCACGCATCATAACTTGACCAACAATTTCGTCTTGTACATCACCCAACATGTCTTCGATATCTGCATAGCCGAAGATGCTGAAAGGCATAGTTATGGTTGATTCTTGCTCTGTCCAGGTGTAGAGGATTTGAGAAGAGAATAACCGGAAGAGCTCTTTCGCATCTTTGAGTCCAAGCGTTCTGGCTACACCACGTATACACTTCTCAGCATACCGCAGCGAATGTGGTACGTGTGCCGGAGTTTCAAACAAATGGTAAATGCTCTTTCGCAGTAAGGTATGCCACCGCGAAGCTAATTGGCCTAAAATGAACAAACGAAGGGCAATGCCCTCTACCCAATCTGATTCTTTAGGAAGATGTCTCAGCACGTCGTTAAATATGAAATCATGGTCGTTTAGTGGATACTGGCCAAACAATTGGGGAATTAGATTCCCAACATTAAACTTAACTGGTATGCTGCCTTTCTTCAAAATCTCCAGAAGGTTGGTTCGGGGGGATGTGCTTGATTCACTGCTTGAGTATGAGGCGTCGTTGTTGATAACATCCACGAGGAGTTCACTGAACGCAACTAGAACTGAAGGTGACGCCAGGTCCTTTGCCAACAATACATCTCTGAGCCATGCATAAATGTCAGAGGCAGAGTCACTGAAAGCATCGACTTCTGAATTGACCCATGACTTGACAAAAATGCGCATCATATGAACACAAAGAAGGTGGGAAGCCTCACAGCGCTCTAACTCATATGTCTGTAGGCACTTTTCAGCCAAGTCCTCAAGGATGTGGAGTAACGAATTGCGGTCTATTCCAGAAATCGCACAGTAGACATGAGGCAGGAAGTCCGCGGCGGCTAAGATGTCAACTTCGTCTAAATCATGTAAGTACTCAACCAGAGCCCTACTGGAAGACTGCTGGGGGCTGCATAAGAATGCGTGTACTCTCTGGAAGACAGAGAGCTGAATGGTGATACACCGTTGAAAGGAGGGAAAATCATGGAACAAGGGTAGCGCCTCTCTATTAGACTTAATGATGCAGGTGGCATCCGCCAGTCGATCTTTTGAAGTAAATAAAGTATCCTCCAAGTCCATAGCCTCTTCATTCTGAGGTGCTAGCCTCTCTCTCTGGCTTCTTCGATGGCTCTCTAAAAGGCCCGCTAATGGAGGGATAAGTATATAAAGAGCTTTTGAGACGATGGATTCGGGATTGAAAGGGAGTTTTTCAGGATCAAGGAATGGCGACAAAAGCGTTAGGCAGCCTTGAACAAATTCAAATTCGCGAGAGGCTAGGAAGGAGCATATGGTTTCCCACAGGCGATCGCTGTTTTGTCGTAGGCTTTGGAGTCGTGGTGCAGATTGCTGAGGCAGGCATTCCGTGTACAGAGCAACGAGAATACAGAAAGACGCAACTATTTGCACGATGTCCACTGTTATATGATGGGATTTATCTTCGTATAATGACTGAAAAGTTTGCAAGAAAATTTCGGATTTTGCTTGTAACAGATCCAAAACCATATTATCGTTGGGGTCATGTCGTGAAAATGTTGCCAAGTGGATGGTATCTTGCGTATCATGCACATCGAAACCCAGCACGCCTTCAATCTGGAAGAGATAATCCAACAGTAGCCTGTTCTTGCGGAGAAAGTGCCAGCCTTTGGCAATGAGGCTAACCGGCCCTCTGAACTGGGCCTTAGGTGGGACATAATGTCTATTGGTGCAGGCTAGAAGCAGGTTCATAAGGTCCAGGGGGCGGGCGAATGCAGCAAGTTGAGCCAATTGTATTCGATCAGTTACTGTTCCTAAAGTATTATTAGCATTTGATATCACTGTTACGTAGTCACAAGCATTTAACACACCGATTGTCCAGACATCTCGCAGCCAGGCGCAAATTTGCTTTGACGCATTTGGAAGGGAGCCTGGATTTATTTGAGCAGTCATTCGAATTGTTGTGGCCCATAAACTCAACGACGAATCAGACATGGTAGACGGGCCGTTTAAATTGACAGATGTTAGCATTGAGCTCGTTGCTTCTGCTACTACCGGGTATTCTAAGAGGTTGTATTCAAGAATGCTATTCATGAGAATACAGGAAGCCCTAGAAGTGGCTTGAGAAGTTGAAGCACGACATGTGAGATCCCAGGCTTGTTGCCAAAATACTCTCAATGATGACGAGTCTGCATGGGGGCTGCCAGCAAGACTATGCAAAATATTGGTTAGCTGAATTTGAATGAAAATGCGGAGGCAGCCCTCACCTTGCAATAGCTATCATTGTCCAGGAGGCTAATATGCTATTGTCGTCAAGAATATTCGGTATCAACCGCTGAAGCAACGATGACTTCGAGTCGTCACTAGCATGGTGTCTCGGAAGAAGCGGGATTAACTGGAGAGCACAGATCCTTTTGGCACCTGAGGATGCAGCACAATCGCGGTGAATCTCATCTACCATCGATGTGAGACGTTGTCGCTTGTTCAACGTCTCTCTTGCTATACGAGGCGGCGACAGTGGAGCGGCTGTCTCTTCTGATAACTCCACAAGGTTAGCTATAGCCCAGATTACGGTCCAATTATGCTCCGATCTGCCACAGTCAAGGCGTGGCCATATCAAGAATCTGTCTGTTGCTGCCGAAGCTTTTTGGTGGTAAACCAATTCATCAATTTGTAAGATATCCTTTTCTGGTCGTTTGATGTATTCTGTATACAAAGCATCCAAGAGGTCTTCAATCGAGCGATTCAGCAGTCCTGATGGCTCCCGTCGAGCTGTTGCGCGCAAGAGAACAACGCAAACTATGATGGTGACAAGCAATTCGTCTTTCAACCCTACGAGTTTGGTAGCCCACAGGTGACAAATTACGGGTATTAAATCCAGTAGTATGCTTTGAACCAGCTCAGACTGGTCAAACAACACTCTCGTGGCCACCGAATTAATGCTATTGAATGCAGTCTGATGTCCACTTCCAGCAATGGGCGACAACTTGACAAAATTCACTAGCCCGTGAAGGATCCTTGCAGCGGGTTCTTGAATCGGAGCATTGACACTTGCAGTTAGCAGTTGAATACAGATTATGGCTTCACTGATTGCACTTTGATCGCCTTTAGTCTTCTCCCTGAAAGTAAGTGATGGCGTCGACCTGGACGGTGTGGGGGTACCTCTGGGGGCCAAGAAGTCGTCCAGGGTGGAACGAGGATCGCTCCCTGTATGTGAACGGCTATCTTCATGTTCTTGGGTCTTCAGGATATTGAGACAAAATTCCATTACTTTCTCCCATTCGCTAGCCCCCAAATGCTCAACATGTGGTGGATAGTTAAGCAGTGCGGTCAAGCATTTTGTGTAATCAACACCGAGAAGCTCAAACAAACTACTTCCAGGGTCCTGTAGAGTTTCGGTTATGTGATCAACAACTGCACGAACAGACTTGGCTCGTAAATTATGCAGGAGGACATCAACTGTTGCTCGTAGAATAGATGCACATGTTGATAAGCGAGAAGCAGATGGGCCTTTGGAATTTGCCCGATTATAAAGGGCTTTCTCAGACGAAATGAAGCGAAAAAGTGACTCAAATATCTTATGACAGGCTTTGTCATTCAGTGAGTTCCTAGATGAAGTGCACCGGTCAACAACTGGGACCATGTTTTAATCTAAAGTGTGGCATCAATCATCCACATACAGCTTTGAATTTCTTTTATTTTGCTGGAGTATATGTTTCAAATCTTGCAGAGGTTAGAAGAATAACTGGTTTAAGATACTTCAAGTATGACCCACCAGCTAGACCATCCGAGCGCTCTCTCTGCTTCTCGGATGACAGAAGCATGAGAGTCCTATCAAGAGTGATTTCTGCCATTGCAATGATGCGGCGTACTTATGCACATTCAAACCTCAACAAAGTCAAAGGTTTAATGTAAATGTCCATCTGTGGATTTTTCTAAGATTTTAGAGAGCTCCATTATCCAATAAAGATCATTGTTAAGCCCTTAAAATCTGTAGTAATCGGGGGCATTCTGGGGAAGCTCCAGTGCGACTGTTGAGACTCAAAAGAGAAGCTTGGGTCTTGGCGCAAACCAGAAGCTCCGCCGCTTTTACTTTTTCGGGGTCGGAATTTTGATCGCGACCTCCGACCTCTTTTGGACCGCAACAAACAGTTTATACTTCCATACCTCCCTTCTTCCATAGCGTTTTCCCCCCAAGCTAGGGAAAATCTCTGAATATGGGGGACAGAGATACTCTAGCAGGCCTCCGAGGCCTCTATCAAGATCTCTCTTCCCTCACTGATTCCTCATTCGTCAACATCGACCGTCTCCGTGTTGAGTTGGAGGCTCACATCGATGATTTCAGGAAGCTCCTTGACAGGGCCCCTAAAAACAATGCAAGTCGACAGGCTGTTCTTTCAGGTAAGCATTGGTCTTGCACGAACAGTGACGGATAAATCTGGGGTGGGAACCGTGTTGACGTTGCTCCGAAACCACCTAGGGAAGATCACCGTCAATGACCTTGAGTATTCCATCAACCAAGAATTCCAACAAAGCGCCTTACAGTTGGCCGATGCGCTGGGTATCGATGAATTGGAAGCGGCAGTTATGTTCCTTGGCGCACAAGAACATGCTCAGTTGTTAGACAGAACCCCTCTCATCGCTGCGATCATGCGCTTCCACGAACATCGGCACTTCTTACTCGAATCCCTGCGGCTGATTCTCCAAGAATCTTTTGAGGTAGAGCGGGAAACGACCCAGGTGCTAATGCAAGACATGATAGCCTTCGTTGTTGAGATAAAAAACGGTCCTCTACGAAACGCGTCACTATTTGCAAGGAAATGCATGAAGTCTATGGAGGATATCGAAAAGTGGCTTGCACTCGTCGCGGAACAAATTCAGAAAGCATCTATCGTTGGACAGACTGAAGACGCTGATATCATGGAGGCAATAGAGTACCAGCGCAGCAGCTTGCAACAGCAGCACGAGTCATTGGGTGCTATTCTATGCTACCTCTTTAAAGGCCCTTACACCAGCCCCGAGGATCTTCGACTGCTTCTTGGCAACCTTCGGAAGATGGACCGGCTCGATGGGCTACTTGTGCATTATATCCCTTCGGTAATTGCTGCTTTCGTTCAACATGGTTCACCAGAAAGTTCCAATTCATATAAAGAGGCTCGAAGCTTGCACACGGCTGTTACATCGACTAAAGATGGCCAGTCCTGGGCCCTCCCGACTTTCCATTCTGCGGTTATCGCTCTCTGGCTTGCAGTATACAGTGGGTGGGATTTCGATGGGCCATCGTCCCCCCTTCCCGGGGTCGATCTCGAGAAGGATGCAGAGGAGCGCACAAAGATGTTCATGACGGCGCTGGATGACGGAGGACTGGATTTTATGTTGGCTATATGCTCAGGAGTGAACAATGAAGAATGGACTGACCCAGCTCGAAGTGAATTGGTGACGTTGTTATTGAAGGAGAGTTCCTTGGCTATGCCCGAGTCTGACTGTTGCGCTGCATACACGAAAAGCTTACTGATGGAGAACCTTGAAGTTTTTGCCGAATCGTGCGTCGCTAATATGCCGGATGCGGTTCGGATGTTGAAATCTGAGGAAGACTCGCAGAGATTGGATCAGATCACTGCGCTTAGAGATGGCTTAACGTCTAGTCTTCATCGTGGCCTAGTGGAGGCTCGGACGCACCTTGAATCTTTCCTCATGGTGATGGCTTTTGCATTTGAGCAGCGACCAGACGCTGCACAGGAGTTTTGGGCCGATCCTGATGGAAATTTGTACGGCTTCCTTCAATGGGCCTCGAAAAGACAAACTGTCCCTAGAGTTAGCGCATTCTGTGAATTACTATGCTCTATTTCGGGAAGCGAAGATAATGCTACTGCAGCTCATAGATTCCTCTCTGAGGAGGACAAGTTTATGTCTGCTAAGTTCAAGCGGTCAACCTCTATGAACTGGTCCCAGATGTTCGCTGAGTTAGAACTCTATGCAACAAAAGTGACCGAGAAGCCTCCTGCTGCGACGTCACAGACGATATTGCGCTCCCGCAAGTCTGAACCAGCAGACATGAGTGAGCCAGAAAGCCCTGTCATGTTGACCTGCTATCTCCGTTTAATGGGACACTTATGTAGGCAAAGTGCCGCAATACGAGACTGGATGCTTCACCATCCATCTTTCAACATCGTCAGCACATTGTTGACGTTGTGTAGTGGACCGATTCCCACACATTTGAGAGCCACGGTTTTCACTACACTCGCAGCCCTGATGACTGAAAGATCACCTATCAATGGCAATGAGATGTGGCTTTCCATCGATCAGTGGATCTCAGGTGGATCCATGAGTGCTTCTGGAATGGGAAAAATTCCGGTAGTTTCAAATCCGCTTGTTTGGCACGAGCAGCAGGCGTTTCAAAAATTCGGCGAGAGCTTCGACCAAGCCAACGCTTTTGTGACCTTGATCAATTCCCTCGTATCACCGACATCTGACTCAGTCGATTACCACCTCTCGCTGCCGTTCCCCGAATCCCTTGGCTCGTCCTACCGCATGCCAGGTATTGAGCCTTACATAGACTTCATACTAGGTCATGCCTTGTCACGGAAAGTGCCAGACCTCAACGAACGCCAGACCCGAATGCTGACGTACAACTGCCTGGACTTCGTTGTGACATGCTTAAAATCCTTTAATGAGAGCCTTGTCTCTGTTCTCAGCCAACCCACTGTGCCATCCGATGCTAAAACGTCATCATTAGTTACTTATGTTCGCCTGCACCCATTCTCACGGGTGGCTGAATGGTTGTTTAACGAGGATGTGATAAAGGCAATCTTTGCAACAGCTCACCAGGATATAGCTGAGGTATCTAAGGCAGCGTCTGACTCTACATTGGTTCTTTCTCTAGCCAGGAGCCTCGAAGTTATGGATTTGATAATGGACCTTCAGTCGACTTATTTCAACATTGTTCGGCCACTAGTCAAGTCGCAATCAGCAGGTGGAAGCCGAACCAGTGTAGCGAACTCGTCACTCTCAGCTTTTGAGGATAGCGTCCTCAACAATCTGTCGATCGTACCGGCCTTGTGTCTTTATTGCAGCACGGCACACCAGCAGCTCACTATAACATCGATGGTGTTGTTAGAGAAACTTTCTAGCTCCAGGAAGCTCAACAAGGTTTCGACACCTGGCTTATCCAAGTGGCGGTCCTCGAATAAGATTGTTGAGGTGCTAAGTACTGAAGTGGAGGTGGACAGTGTGGCGCGTCCCCTTGTATCTCAAATGCAGCCTGAACCGAGAGAGCTTGATTATGGGTCAGAATCCTCAGGCTACATAATTAGAGAAAGTCTGTTAGCGCTGCTGAATAGCTGCCTCAGGATGATTACAGATCGGCCAACAATAGCTCATATCCTTCTCGGTTTTAGCAGTGTGGGAAATATGCTTGACATCTCTTCCGACGGGCTTTTTGCCAACGGGATGTCCTTGCTACATGCTATAATTACCTTCCTGCAAAGCTATCCAGATGAGATTGATGGAAACATCTTGTCATGGATGGTGCATATCAAGCGTATGGCTTTGGAAGTCTTGAAGCATTTATGGTCATCTAAAATATCTTCCTTCTTCACCCTTACTGAGATGCGCGCGAGCCGTTTTCTGCAGAGGCTGCTTGCAAGCCAACCCATCATTGGGCCAAACACCCTCTGGGATGGATTCCCAATTGTGACGGAAGATTTCTGGATCTCGGATTCTGCTACCGCGCTTGCGGAATTCTTACTTTATAGAAGTTACCTGTATGCTTATGCTACTACAGAGGTTCGTTCGGCTGCTAAGCTCCGTTCACCAACTCTGCAAGCAGATATTTTGTCGACGTTATTCGGGAACTCGACCTCAGAGACGGGGGATGCTGTATTGAATCCTACGATATTTGACCTTTTCGATTTTGCAGATCTGGACATTGGATGTCAACTTCAGCCCCCAATACTAGACTTACTTGACGGTATTATGTTAGATGCGTGTGCGAAAGAAGCCGATAATTCAATCGTCCTGTATGATGAAGCTGAACTGGAGGAGCTCATACAACTCAGAAAAGAGGAGTTGCTTTTAAGCGGACAGCTGCGACCTCAAGATGAGGAACAATTTTTAGCAGAGGCTGAAGGCCTAAAGATGTTCATCCACGCAACAAACCAGTTAAGAAAGATCAACAACAACCGATATCTGGCTCTTCGATCCTGGACGGAACTCATTACAACAATGCTTACTTGCTCGGAGATTGAAGGCGGACGGAAATCCACCTCTATACTACATACCATCCAATTGACTCTCCCCAAGCTTGAGGCTGCCGTCGAGGAGGACCTCCCAGAGGCAACTGAATTAGCGCGCCTTGCCGAAGTTCTCGTTAGTAAACTAGAATCCAGCGCAACGAAAGTAAACTCGGCCCGGAGAAGTGGAGATGTCATTGACGAGAAACTTCATCAACTGTTCCAGATTTGTGTTCGAGGTATAACCCTAGCAACGGGGAATGTTAATCTCCGAGAGACTTTCTACAACATCTGCTCATCCTACGTCGCTCGTATCATCCAGCCCGAAACAGGATATGAGGGCATCAAGCAGCACAGCCACCGGATTATCAAGATAGCCGGTCCCTCATTGATTGAAGCGATCTGCGACGATGCGTATGCGGGCCAGGAGACATGTCGCGTGTCAGCCCTACTGTTCCTCAATCTCCTGGCAGCTCTGGATAAACAGGGAGATTCTATATTAGCTGAGTCCATATCCCAGTCGAACTATCTCAGTCTCTTCCTCGATGCCATCAGGACGTTGCCTGTTGAACTACGAAATGCCCAAGCGAATGGTAAGTTGTTCTAGGGTCTATTAATCAGATCTAACTAACCAGGTATAATTTAGATACGCCTTTACTCTTATCATATTATGAATCTCTGTTGTCTTTGCTTCAACAACTTTGCCAAACGAAGGCTGGCGCGACCCATGTTCTGAAGACTGGCCTTTTCGAAGCTGTACGTGGTTCGCAGCTATTCGCTGCCGACCCAGACCTTGGCATTGGTTAGTAGGAATCTGTCCACTGATACGGTCAACTTTATCTGACTTATTTAGATATCGATAACCCTGATGCCCTACGGAAGTATTACGATCTTTTGGACTCAGTCTTACGAGTTATCGTTTCTGCTGCGTTTTCTCGAGGGCTTCATAACGAGCAGATGATGGAGCAAACCCGTGGGTTCCTTGCTGAGAATAGACAAAGCATGGTCGGCATATTCAAAAGATTTGCCAAGATTGGCGGAAAGGGTGCTGCAGATCACCATCGTACCCTCGGCAACCTCACCAAATCATACATGGCGCTAGTCGCTGCGACAGATTTCTTGGAGGTATATACCGTAATATTTAATTTATTCGCTCAAAGAATTAGCTAACATTCAACAGTTTGAGGATAACGAGGTGAGAGAGCTCAGCCGACCCACATTATTCTCGTGAATAAGACCAAGCGTCCTAGAGCATTAGTGGGGTACAGAATTTATTGATGTTATGAAACGGTGCATATGAAAATGATTGGTATATCGAGGACGCCTACTGTATTTAATCTACAACATTGGCATCTTTCCAAGGGAGAGAATCAAAATAAAATAATCTCGGTCCGAAATAGATCTCCTTGACCACTGCCAGCTATGAATGTAAGACGTGTAACGATGCTGTTTCCTGGAGGGATAAATATTCCCCATAGGTCCAGCATATTTATGCAACGGACGTATTATCTTATCTCCGGCTCCAACGTCAACGGAACCTTACCGCGGAGTATCTCTGCTTTTAACCCTCTTACCCACTGCCCGCCATCTATCTCCCCTCCCATCTTCAACAGTGACCGTATCGCTCGCTTCAAGTCCGACATATCTCCAGGTGGATCTGCCATGAATTGTGTAGTCCAGAGATTTTCTGGACCTTTCCAACGCTGAGCGCTCCTCTTCAACATCGTCATCTCGGACAAGATCGGGTAGATGCAGCACAATCCGAGAGGCGCCACCGAGCAGAGGAGCGGTAAGCGCAAATCGATCGGCAAGAGGAAGCTTTCTAATCAAGAGGAAGCGTTACATCAACCTCAGCACCAACAGGCGACGATATCAGAGCTCCTTTCGCGGAACCACACCACCCTCGGGAAAGAACATCCCCAGCTATCCTCCCCGACAAGCAAGCGTCCCCGGTTATCGCCATCCCCGTCAGGTCTGACTTCTGCACAAGGTCCGCGGGGAGCTGCCTCATCTAACACAATGTACAATTTCTCGAATCAGGAAACGAAAGGTAGTGGGTCGTTCGGTCATGTTACGCCTGGCAGCAACTGCATTAATGTGGCAGCGAGACCCCGCTCTTTCAACGCACCAGTGCGCCAAAGCAATTTCACCCCTCACACCGGAGCCAAGAAGCTTGTTGTCAAGAACCTTCGGACGGGTCCGCGGTTGAACCAGGATTCATACTTCGAGAAGATATGGGGTCAACTTGACGCAGCGCTAACCGCAATTTTCGACGGCGGAAAACCGGAGGTCTCGCTAGAAGAGCTGTACAAAGGGGCTGAGAATGTTTGTCGTCAAGGGCGAGCTTCTGCGTTGGCTAGACAATTACAAGAGCGATGCCGAGGGCATGTATCCGGCAAACTGCATGATACGTTGGTAAGTAAGGCAGGGGGAGGCAATAACATCGACACCCTACGAGCCGTTGTTGAATCGTGGACGACATGGCAATCAAAACTGGTATGTTCCAGGTGAATTTGCGCTCATCTACCCGCTGAGTATTGACCAGTATGTAGGTTACTGTCCGCTGGATCTTCTACTACCTCGACCAATCGTTCCTCCTCCATTCCAAAGAATATCCGGTGATACGTGAGATGGGCTTAATTCAGTTCCGCCAGCACATATTCAATGATTCAGTTCTACAACTAAAGATTTTACAGGGCGCCTGCGACTTGATCGAAGCGGACCGTGACGAGGCGCGCAGTATGTCGGCTGACTCATCGTTGCTTCGGAATGCTATTGAATTTTTCCATGGCCTTGATGTCTATACTACTGGCTTTGAACCGCTCCTTGTCTCTGAATCGGAGAAATTCTTCGCGTCGTGGGCTCAGCATGAAGCCTCGGGATATCTCGCCACTTTCGCAGAAAACAGCCATCGCTTAATCGAAAAAGAAGTAGACAGGTGTACATTGCTCTCTTTAAATCGAAGCACGAAGCAGAAGTTGTCTGAGATTTTGGATCAAAAATTAGTGGCAGAGCAGGAAGGTGTTCTTCTCGAGCAGAAAGATATTTTAGGCTTGCTGCGTGTGGGCAACAAGAATGCATTGGAAAAGCTTTATACCCTCCTTCAGCGAAGGGATCTCGGCGCGAAATTGAAAGCCGCGTTCAACAGTTACATTGTTGAAGAAGGGACTGGGATTGTCTTCGACGATGAAAAAGAAACGGAAATGGTGGCTCGGCTGCTGGATTTCAAGCAACAACTCGACGAAACATGGATCAACTCGTTTCATCGAAATGAAGTCCTGGGGCATGCGCTGCGCGAGGCCTTCGAGTCGTTCATGAACAAGGGGAGAAAGTCGGACGCATCCGGAGGCACAGATAACCCCAAGACTGGAGAGATGATTGCGAAGTATGTCGATAGGTTACTCAAGGGCGGGTGGAAAGTTCCTCCCGGACGGAAACCCGAGGATGTGCCTCTTGCCGATGAGGATGCCGAGATCAATCGACAGCTGGATCAGGTGTTGGATCTATTCCGATTTGTGCATGGAAAGGCTGTCTTTGAGGCATTCTACAAGAATGACCTTGCCCGCCGGCTATTGATGGGCAGGAGTGCTAGTGATGATGCCGAGAAAAGCATGCTGGCAAGGCTTAAGATAGGTGGGTTATCTTTCTGATCGATAGACAACACCAAGAACACGGAAGCTAACTTTAGCAATTGATTAGAATGCGGTTCTAGCTTCACGCACAACCTGGAATCTATGTTCAAAGACATGGATGTGGCACGGGATGAAATGTCGGCATACAATTCTATTCAGCGTGAACGCCGACACCGGTTACCGGTGGATCTGAATGTCAGTGTTCTCTCTGCAGCAGCCTGGCCCTCGTATCCCGATGTTCAAGTTCGAATTCCGCCCGAAATTGGGACGGCAGTCAGCGAGTTCGAAAAGTTCTACTATAGCAAATACAACGGGCGAAAGCTCAATTGGAAGCACCAACTTGCGCACTGCCAGCTGCGCGCAAGGTTTCCCAAAGGGGATAAAGAACTGGTGGTCAGTTCATTCCAGGCTATTGTTCTGCTGCTGTTCAACGATATTTCCACAAATGGAACTCTCAGCTATCAACAAATACAGGAGGCGACGAAGTTATGTCAGTATCCTTGTTCCCTTAAGTCTTGTTATACTTATTCCGTCTGGGCTTACTGCTAACTAACTCGATGTAGCCGATCAAGAGCTGAAGCGGACCCTTCAGTCGCTCGCATGCGCCAAATACAGGGTACTCATCAAAAAACCAAGGGGCCGTGAAGTTAACACAACCGATGAGTTTTCGTATAACGAGGGATTTTCCGACGTGAAGATGCGAATCAAGATCAATCAGATCCAATTGAAGGAGACCAAGGAAGAGAATAAGACGACGCATGAACGGGTAGCTGCGGACCGACATTATGAGACACAGGCAGCTATTGTACGGATTATGAAGAGCCGAAAGACTATCACACACCCCGAATTGGTGGCGGAGGTGATCACGGCGACGCGAAGCCGCGGAGTGCTCGAACCCGCGGAGATTAAGAAGAACATTGAGAAGTAAGTCGGTCTAAGCTATTTCATCGAAGGGTTCGGGAACTAATTAGTACTCTGCAGGCTGATCGAAAAGGATTACATGGAGCGGGAAGAGGGCAACCGTTATCAGTATGTGGCATAATGAATGGGTGATTTAGAGACGACTATATTTCTTGGTGTGCAAGGCACTATTATTATGTTCTAATTCATTGAACATCATCCAACACGAAACAAACACATTTCTGATTCATATCCGAAAAAACCAGAACTGGCGCTGTTGGGGAGGGTCGCTTTGCTCCGTGGCCCATTCCGGCGTAGACCATGCAGTAGAGTTATAGATCTGTGTTTTTATGTGACGGGTGCCGCCACTTTTATAAGACTACACGTAAATCCTCTGCAAGCGCTTTAAGTCACTACTGATTATTCACTAGATATATACCAGTGGCTCCGGCCGATGATAAAAAATATTGGACTATATACAAATATAAAAGATATAGAATATTTAGCTATATCTACTTACTTCCGGCTTCCCCGGGCTTACAAAGGGGAGATTGTTGCATCAATAAGCCGCTAGTGCCTAGTCTAAGACATGAGCAGGTGGGTAAGCATTTCTTAGTTACTAACAAGGCTTGAGGTAGTCAGATAAGAGTGTAGGAGTGGTTGTTCAGTGCTGGCTTGGGGTTGGACTGCCATTAGGTATTCGACCCAACAGTCATAAATTTTTTCATGTATTTCGTTCGATACATGGTTGATGCGCGTCAAGGGAGTAAATGCCCCCACGCACGGGCAAATGGATCTGTTTTCTTTTTGGATAAAGTAGGAGCAGTTCTCCTGGGTGAGTCAGGTAGTCGCCAATGCGAATGCAGATGTTGACTGTAGCGTCCCCCGGCTTACAAGCATTTTGATCGCTAGTACAAGCACGATCAAGGATGCATGAACAAGCGATGTAAGCATCATGACCAGGGTGCCAGACCCATTGAGGCGGAGGGCATGAGCTAATTTCAGAAAGACCAATAAATACTCGGGTCCTCCTTGGAATCCGAGTAGGAACGTTTGGCGAGCTTCAACGAAAGCGTTTGAAGCATTATCACAATCATAATCTTCTTTTTCCTCCTCCACCTCTTAAGGTTCCCATTCTGAAATGATGTTTCGTTCTCTAATTTACTCGGCCCTCTTCGTAACTATACTTGGGTACCGTCTATGTGATTACACAGACGAACGCTGCACAGGAGCTCAAGTGAGACTTCACCAGCTTGCAGGACCTAGCGCCTGTAACAAGTTGCACGAAGGCATTACGTCGTCGCTTCTTGTTAAGATTGACAATGTCCATGATGGCCAATACTCGGTCAATGTTTATGAGAACGACAACTGCACCGGCGCCATTGTCGGAACTATTCAGAACTTGAATGGTTGTCTTAACAACCTGCATGCCTTCAACAACAAATCCGTCCAGGTTGTCTCTATGTCTACGAATACCGATACACCCATGAGCAAAGGATTTGAGACGGGACTATCTATACGACCTTAAGGCAGCGGATGAAGAGCATATGAACGTCCCGATCGCGCATGGACTCTTCCCACTGTGGGCAAATCTAACCACACGGAAAACGGTGCCTACATGGACGAAGCCTATGGCATGCTTTATACCCAATGATCTGGAAGGTGTTAATAGAGTCCAGAGTCATTGGCTCAATCTAATTGAGGAGAAAACCTCGCTATTAGAGTAGATTTTTCTAGCCAATCGAACAGATCATCAACGTTACCTACTTTTGCCCTAGCATCCAGAGTGTTTCCGATACTAAATCCCTGCTAATCCCGTTTCCCTGTTGACAGATCTAACCCTTCATTCTCCTCTGCCCTTCATTATAATGTTGATAGAATTTCTCATCATGCCATGCCGGCTGTTGATTGAACCATTCGGAACACCAAAGCAAAATGCGCAGAAATTGACCGGTGAAATCGATTCCCCAGGGATATCCACCAACTCATTGGGCACTGACCTTAAGAAATCAAAGTGCAGACACTTAAATTCAAGATTCCGTTGGTAGATTTACCTCTTCTCCGCCTTTGTGCTCCCTCGTAAGCAAGTAGAACCACCTGTAGGCCAGTGACATTCCATCTTTCCCTAAGATCATTCACATTATCAACACAGAGGATTTCTTCCCCTCTACTTTAACAACTTATCAAGGAAATGTAAAGTTTTTAGTTTGATTCTTATCTATTCTCACTATTCTTTCCTCATACTTCTATTTCCTCTGTATCTTGCGCTTGTCAAAATGAGTCTCCGTCTGCAACAATTAGGCCCTCCAGTTATACTTTCGATGGATGTTTGCAGTAAAGATGACAGTGAATACAGAGTACTGATTTAGGGTCGTGTTCGGTACTTGACCATTGCCCGTGGTACATATGACAGATCAACTCTGTCTATGCCTCTGGACTCATTGCCAGAGTTGTCTAGAAGCGACGCTTGGAACTGTGCATACATCAGTCGGGGTTCCTCGACTGGTGAGCTCAAAACAGAAGTAGGGAATGAGACAGTGCCTGGAGTTCATGATATTTGGCATCCTGGAACATTGACTGTTTAAAGCTGGAAAGAGTGAGACAAATTACTGCAACTATATTTGAAGTGACCTGCTCGAGCCAGGGCCATCTACTTCATCAAAACCAACGCCCATGGTCCTTGCCAAACTTGCACGATTCTAGTGGGAAATATCTCGCTTGTCGCAAGAGACTCGCATATATAAGAGCCTTGAAAACACCAGCCTTGCCTCACGATTCCTCGGGCATGCTCATGAACACGGTCGTGTGATTGGGATTTTACTAGAGAAACTTGAAGGCCGCGAAGCGAATATTGAGGATCTGTCTGCTGGTATGCCCATTCTCAAGTACCTCCATAATATCGGTATACGCCGTGGCGACGTCAACAGATGTAACTTCATTATTCAAAACGAAACGGGGAGGTTGGCTGATTTTGAGAGAAGCCAAGCATTTTATGGTGATGCAGCGTCTTTGGAAGCTGAGATAGAGAGTCTAATTGATCAATTAAATGAGTGTGCAGGACGCGGTGGAGGATTTCAGTTCAAGGAAGCATAAACACGAAGTGAGAGGCCAAATGATTCAAGATATATGATAAAATATGTTACAATTATGGAGAGAGTGTCTCGTATTTCAATTAACTACTTTTTGGACGTCCAGAAGGAAGAGAATATGAATCTCAACCGTAAAATACCAGTCAGGGACACATCTGAAAGCTGTAACCAAATATCATAATACCATTATTTTACAGCCACACGATATATTAAGGGAATAGAATACTATATACCCAAGGTCTAACTAAGACTTGCTCGAGACCTAAGCGCAAGTATATACCGATAGCCTTAACAATAGACATGTCTCTCTAAGACTTTCTATAGATAATCTAATTGATTTGATGGGCCAAAAGGTTAGAAGATCTGTACCGCAGAAATACAGTTTAATCGTTGCGATCACGGGATGGAATCCGCAGCAGCTCCGCCCCACGCTGAGCAGATCCAAGAAATCTTTATAGTAGTATGTCTTACCCTGGATGACAGTATCTAGTAGTAATCGAAAACAATCATTATCAATATCATCACAATTACCTGCGGACCTACAGGAGATTAATCAGTAGTGAGTAATAGCGCCACCTACCTGTTTCGTGGCAATATGATCGACACCACAAGAAAGTAAGATGAATCAAATGATGAGATGATTGCGTACCGTTAGCAAGCAAGAAGAGACATGAATTGAGTGACTGCACTTCAACAACAGACTCCAACTTCTCGCCCGAGAAACCCGATGGCACTCGGCAGAGAAAGACAGCCACCGAAAATAAGCATAAATCAAGGGGAAGCCCGGAAATGGAAGCACGTTATGTATCATTGGTTCCGTTCGAATATAATGTAATGAAACGGAACTAAAAATGGTTCTGGGCTGGGTTCACGTGCATGCCTTTTTTTTTTCTTTTGTTTTTTCTGTTTTTGTCCACACCCCCACAGCCCTCAGGGACAGACGGACGATCAGGAGGGATCCTCAAGGGAACACTTCATACAAGGACTGAATAGTATGTGACTACGTACGCACCTATCATTGGGAGTTCCTAAAGGGGCAATGATTAGTGCCCTTTAACCAGAATGGTGGATTTCCGTTAGATCTGACAGCGGGGAAGCTAGCCCCCTCTTAGCCTTTTTTTTTAAGGTCTCATGATCGATTTTATGTTGGGGATGTTCTAGCGCCCTTTTTCTATGGGCCACTCACTCTCCAACCTTCGTTCTAGAAATTACCAGTTACCCTCGTTACGGGGGAGTCTTGGCCCAGTACCCTCTGTGGAGAGCATATAATTGCATGTTGTTTCTCAATTGATAATCATCATTGATCTTCGGTATCCATTGTATTTAAAAAAGTACTTAAAAGGTATGGTATAGCATACTATCTGCCAATGGCATCGATATAGTATATCATATGCATGCAGAGCTTAGGAATAATTTCAATAGTACCTGATGCATCCTCTGTAGACCTTCGGTCATCCCATAATGTAAACTAGGTAGCTGGACGTATGCCGATATATATGGAGTCGCAATCTGTTGGGATACCATCATACTCCTCGGGAGCGGGAGGGAGTAAGGGGTGATAAGAGAACGGAAGAAATCACTCACGGGAGCAGAAAGAAATTTTTCTTTCTACTGTATCAGAATGACAACTGTCTAACTAAGTATGTAAGAATGGGCTGATGAGTCGAAGAAATAGTAATCATTCACAATTTTTTAGGCATCTCTACAGAGGAAATATGCTGCATTTTAGTGGATAGTAAGTAATAGTAATAGTAATAGTAATAGTAATGGTAGTAGATGAACCCGGAAGGTGATGCACACTCGTGACATGCCTCTTCTGTGTTACAACTGGTAGTGATTTTTCGAACACTAAGAAATTACCTGGGAGGAAGCTGTAGCCGCATCCATCAATCAAAAAGAAAAGTCGTTTCCCCTTCCAACCCCAATCCAGACGAAGGTTCCCTAGGCCGGAATTCCACAGATGGTAAGCCGAAGCGTTCAGAGTCTCCCATAGTTACCCAGGTTCCAGACCCATTGGGTTCGCGGCCGGTGTGGAGTGATTACCTATGGATGACCTGCGGCAGTGGTAAAATTGGTAATATTACCACTTTCCAAGTACCTAATTTTCCTAAGATGGCCTAGACCTCTCAGGTACTTACTTGATTAGGTACTCCTCGGTACAACTGCCTCCCCCCGATGCACTGTATCGTGAAGTACTATTGCATTGCCTATCTGGGGGGTTATGGGTCATTACAATCATGTCCATGTGAACAAAAAAAAATTTAAAAAAAGAACAAACATGCTCGACAACTCCGTCAACGGAGTGGTCGGGTTGCGACATGTCGAGTTCTAGGTACATCCATTCTCAAGTATAAGTATACTGCGTTTCCCTTCACTCTTCTCGTCCCTCATAGTATTATCTTTCTATTCCTCTTTCCCCTACTTCCTTGTCCTCAGGGTAGATACCACTCTCATCTTACTCAATTCGCCTTGACTTCCTGGGTGACTCTCAGACTCACGATTACCTCAATCTCGATCCAATCAGGTTTTCTCCACCTGTCATAATACTGTGAGTACGACTGGCAAATGACATTTCCCGTGTCTCCTTGTGATCTCCAGTTTTCTCGACGCATGAGAGCCTCTGGACTGACAGATCCCAGACCCGAGTGAAATCAGCTTCTCCACTTTCCCCACCTCTGACAGAGTATACAACCATTATAGCCTGCGCCGGTTCTAAACTTGACTTCTCGGCGCAAACCTTGCGAATTATCTCGGACTTTTGATCAGGAGGATATTCTCCCAGGTATCCGAACAATCTCACTATCCTGTTAGCGAGAAGGGAATACATATAAGCAGCGAATACCCGCCGAGACAAGTGTTCTTTTGTTTGGTGTGTCGCAATCCCACGACTGATCCGTTAACACTAATACTTCCGGCCTTGTCCCCACCTTCAAGGCGCGCATCCAATCCGGTGTCGACATTATACTCCGGTTTCAATTTGTTGCTGCAAATCATTGCGCAATTATACCCATCATACATCATGTCTGCACAGAGTACGTCGCAAATCTGTCTTCTAAGATTGTTTTACAATTTCCCTTTGTTTTTTTTTGTACTTCTTCGGGTTCATTACCCTTTCCCTCGCGATCAGACCCACGGCCGTCATGAGAGGAACCCCGATGTGCTCCACAGACAAGACTAAAACCCCAGAAAATATGCACTGGCAGATACACTAACGCGACATAGCCAAACACTTTTTCTCTGACCCGAACCATTTGGTTCTCACCGCCCTCCATTCTCTCACTCTAACAAACCCTTCTCTTGCTTTTGACTCTGAGAACAAGATCATTTTCCGCCGCCCTGATTCGCTCAAGAAAAAGAAGGTCGCTATCGTTTCCGGCGGAGGTTCAGGCCATGAGCCGGCCTTCGCAGGCTTTGTTGGCCAGGGTTTCCTCGATGCTTCAGTTGCTGGCACTATCTTCGCCTCTCCTTCTGCCGTACAAATTCGCAAGGCTGCCCTCGACTGTGTTGACAATGAGCAGGGTGTGCTCATCATCCCTATGAACTACACTGGCGACGTTCTCAACTTCGGTATGGCTGCTGAGAAGGCACGTGCCGCAGGAATCAAGACTGAATTCTTTGCTATCAATGATGACGCTGGCGTCGGTAAGCAGAAGGGTGGAAAGGTCGGCCGTCGCGGTATCGGTGGCGGCATTCTCGTTCTGAAGATTGTCAGTGCCTTGTCCGAGGCAGGGTATGTTCCACCTTCTGTATGTTGACAAAATTAACCGCCATACTGACCCGGAATCAGTGGATCTCTCGAAGAAATCTACCGTATTGCGCAACAGGCGAACTCACTGCTCGCAACTGTGGGTTCTTCTCTTGAGCACGTTCACATCCCCGGCAGACCCGCTCCAGAAGATACAATCCCCGAGGGCGAAGTTGAAGTGGGAATGGGTATTCACAACGAACCCGGATCACACCGAATGAAATCATTTACTTTGCCTGAACTGGTCAAAACCATGCTTTTCCAGATCTTGGACCACAACGATCCTGACCGTGCTTTTATCACACACCAGCCGGAAGATAACTTCGTGCTCCTGATTAACAACCTGGGCGGTGTGAGTAGCCTGGAGCTTTCCGGTATCACCGATGAAGTATATCGCCAGCTCGAGGGGGACTACAGCATCAAACCCATACGAGTCATTCAAGGAACTTTCCTAACCAGTCTGAACGGGTTGGGCTTCAGCATCTCACTGTTCAAGCTTGCTGATAACGGGTTGGGGCCTGGCAAGTCCTTCCTTGAGCTTCTAGATGCCCCTGCCGAGGCAGTTGGGTGGTCCGCTCCGATTCCAACATCTACATGGAATCGTCGGACCGATGCCCCGGTACAGCTCAACAAGACCAAGCTCGCTGAGGAACAACCTAGCAACGTGAAATGTAAGTTTAATATATTTCTCTCTGATTCGTCCCTGTGAATCCCGGCTAACAAAAATAACAGTGGATGTCTCCACTCTCAAGAAGGTCCTCGGGGCTGGTCTCCGGCGCATCATCGAGGTCGAACCGACAGTCACTCGTTATGATACGATTGTCGGAGACGGGGACTGCGGTGTTGGCCTAAAGCGTGGTGCAGAGGCTGTTCTCGCTCTCCTGGAAGATCCCTCATCCAACCTCAATGACGACGTAGTCCACGCTGTGAATCGCATTGTGACTATCGTGGAGAACACTATGGATGGTACTTCTGGTGCTATCTACGCCATCTTCTTGAACGCTCTTGCGCATGGTCTCCGGGAACAGGATAAGGGCACAACAACCCCTGCTACAGCTGAAGTCTGGGCTGAGGCATTAAAATACTCTCTTGGAGCGCTCGGAAAATACACTCCTGCCAAACCGGGTGACCGTACTATGATCGACGCTCTTGTTCCCTTCTGTGCAACTCTGCGCGATACCAAGGATGTTCATGCTGCTGCTAAGGCTGCTGAAGAAGGCACTGAAGCGACGAAGAGCATGAAGGCAAGCTTAGGACGCTCCGTCTACGTCGGTGGTGAAGAAGAGTGGGTGGGCAAAGTCCCTGATCCTGGTGCTTACGGGCTCAGCGAGTTCTTCACTGGCCTTGTCCAAGCCATCCCAAAGCAAGCATGATTCCTCAACTTTCACAGTACATATTGCCTCTGATGACTCCCTTTAATTCATGAAATTATGACAACTGCAGGCGTTCTGTTTTAGGCTGCATTCATTGCTGATTTTTACCTATGATATTAAAGTTATAATCCTTCTATAGTGTATAAAATAAATCAATGGAGGTTATTATTATTATTGTACTTTTTTTTTAACCAGATTTGAGTATTTCATGGATCATAATTTAATTCAGCTTTACTTTGGTACGTCCCTTTACCTGCCTTTTTGGGTCACGGTTTGGTTGTAGCTAAATGGAAGTATTGGCTACAGTATTTATATATACATCCAAGTAGCTATTCTCCACGCTCCTTCCGCAGATCGAGAATACTGGACCTGCCTAATTAATTTCGAAAGTAGCCCGAATTTCCTTCCCTTTTCTAATTTTTCTAACGGACTAGGTAACGCCAGATTTGCCCCCTCATGATACAGTAAAGAAAAAGAAAGAGAAAATGGACATAGACAAAGCTCATGAGAAGAAATGAGCCCTTTTTCTACTCGTCAAGAGAGCTAGGATGTACGTGCGATTGGATTGCGACTATGGATCGCAAACTCCGGAAATCGTAGGCAGGGTATCGATATCAAGAAATAGACCGTCTTTGTCGACTCCAATAACTGGTTAGAGAAAGCCAAACATGTCGCGCATGTCACGTGGTTGGGGATGAACATCCATTCAACTGAGCAGAACAAGGATGACCGAGTCACCACGAAGGAACCTAGAGTGACGTATTAGATAACGGCCCCTCCAAAGCTTCCAAAGCTAGGATAGTTTCATAGCACTCACATCTTGCTGATGAAGCGATCTTTGTTAACACCTTTGCCCTTACCACCCTTGGGCTTTTCGGTCCACATCTCCTTGACGTTCTCCAACACCATGTTGCAGTGGCGGTCGAACGCCTTCACACGAGCAAGCAGGCGGCGATTGCTACGGCAAGCGATCAGGACCTGAGTGTGCGTGCGCGTGGCGGTTTGAAGCAGAGAGAGGGGGCCAGCGGTGAGCTCATGTTCCTCAACGAGCGAGACCTCATATTCACTAGACATAAATATGTTAGATGCCGAAGATATATGCTATTGGGACCTGTATGGATATAAGAGGTAGGCAGAGATGGATGGGATAAACATACGTCAGCTCACTCTTAGGCTTGTTAAGCAGGTCCCTGTCGGATTGAACGGACTGGTTAGCATCAAGTTTACCAACTTGGGGTAAAGGTCACGCCATCATCGAAGGGAGTAAATGACTCATCAACGACATATGATCTCAAGGAAAAGAGGGGTAAGTACTGGATCTTCGGGTCGGTCGACATGGTGGCCGTATAAAAGGTGCTGGTGGTCTGCTCGGGCTGTCTTCTTTGACTATCAGCTTTGTCGTTCTTGGGGTCTTTCCGGAATCTTGGCGCTAACGCCTGCGCCCGATCACGTGCCGCGCGTGTTTGCCGTGTTTGCGACAGAGCTTTCCCCCCCGTCGCGATTGGCTGCGTCACGTCGCGTCCGACACGGTCCATGTCGGCGATCTTGAGCTTCTCGAGAGTGAAATGCAAGGCGTCGTTTCTTTTTCTTCTCCAACCTCCCACCAACTCCCCACCCCTACTTCTCGACTCGCATATACTTTCCAAGACTGTATCGAACCTTCCTGGAATCTCCTCACACCTCTCTTTACTGGAATCTCACCGCATGTTCCTTCACCCCTTTCTTCTGTCCCGCGTCGGCATTCCAGAGATCATTCCACCCCCGCTATCCTGATCGCCTACATACCGGTGCATTCTCCCGGTCGACGCAATACCCGATTTGATAGGCCTGACTAGTCGATAAGCGAGTGACATAGATTGGCTGGTACCTTGCTTCGGTTCTCTACGCACCTCTAAAAACCTGGCGAAGTTTTTGATCTTGCTACCAAACCGATCCACCCGACGGTCGGCTTTCTTAACAACCTTCACATTTCTTTGACATATTCTCACTTGATCATTCGATCTCCAGCTTGCTTATGGTTATTCCTCTCAAGCTGGTGGCATGGAATCTCAGGACGGTATTTCCGTCCGGCCTATGAGGCGTGAGATTTCCCATCCCTACTCCTTAATTCTACCTCGCATACTAATCATTGGGTTCCAATTGAATAGTGAAGGTACTTTACACATTTGACGATGCCAGCAAGACAAATTGCCTGGCCCGGTGGCCTCATATTCTCGAGATTCAGACCGCCGCCCTGGATGAGATGACACAAATTGGGGTCATCGAGTTGAAGACATGCATTCAAGCCATTGTCTCTGCTAGGTTAGTTGATTTCCCTTCAACCTTTGATGTGATGCTTATTTCTCTTTGCCGTATCATAGTCCAGAATTGGTCGCTCAGTTGGGAAAGGATTACACTGTTTATGCCTACGACTACTCCGAGTACGAAACGCCTTTGGTTGGGCAAGGAATGTTATCCTGGGTTCTCGCCTCAGCTTCTCCCACGCCAAATGCCCCTGCCCATCAATCCGAAACCATGGTCACTGGTCGTGTGTGCAAAAATGTGCTAGGACTATTTTCGAAGGGGGCTCAGGAGACACTGGAGGTGAAGTTGCGGTTGGTGCCCGTTCCTACGGTGATGCAGAGCGAATACCTTGAGAGCATGCGGAAGTATCGGGAGTTGAGCAACATTATTCCTCACGAGTTCGATGCGCAAGCGTGGAGCAATTTCTTGCGCCAAAACCCAGGCCTGATGACCCCTTCCCATACCCAACAGCCGGAACGGACGGCATCGCCCATGGATCACACCGGAATTGAGAGGTTTCATCGGTTACTCAGTGAAGGATCAACACCGAGAGAGCTCCCGTCCGCTCCCGCAAATGGCTCATATCGATCTGTATCACCTGCGCAGTCGGCGTTGGCACCAGGAAGCAGAGTATCGACCCCGGGTGGCCAACTCTCACATTTCCAACAGGAACCGCTGTCCCAACAGACGCAACAACAATCACAGCCTCAACCGCGTTTAGATCGTGCTCAAAGCGATATTATCCGTCCTTCCTCTAGTGCTTCAATGCGTGGTTCAGACTACGCTGCTCAAGGTCGATATGCCAGTCGCAGAGGATCCATTCAGTCAGGTTACGGTAGTTGCGATGAGTCCGTAGAGCCGCAACCTCGGAAACGAGCCAAGCTGTACAGAGCAGAATGGCCTGGGAAGTCTGACTTCAACATCGAGAGACAGCCAAGCTCTTTGCGGGTCGCAGCGAGCACGGCTGCTTCTGTTCGTATTCATCGCCCTACGCCAATCAACCCTGCCATTGCTGCAGCTCAGAACTCTCATGAAGAACCCGTTCGGCCACCCACGCCTATCTCTACTACCACTGACTTTCCTCGCCGGGCACACCCACTTCCGAGCCTTCTTCGTGAATCGTCCGTCCAGAGCAATAACTATGAGTCCCCGTATAACGCGAGCGATGACCAGACTCCCGTCGAATTGAACACACAATCCCCGGAGGAGTCTCGCTACCAGGGTCTCTTTGAGCCTTCATTCAGCATGCCATCCTCGCCTCCCGTATTGGACTGCCACTTCCCGGGCCGCTCTAGCCCAGTTCTCCCGCCCATGGTCACCGAACCAGATTCTGGATTTATGAGCGGTGGCGTGGAGGAACTCCTAGATGAAGACATTGGAACGCCATTGGAAGATTACACAAGACCCGTGACAAACGATGCTACCAGTGAGAAGCCAGGAGATTGTCTCGCGGTCCATGCCAGTTCCCCCGTTGGCTCTCGCGTGAACCCGGAGGTCCGAAATGAGAACACCCCTATCAGCGATGAGTCACAGGGACAATCGACAAAGGACTCAGCACCTGTATATCCCCGCGCACCAACCAGCAACGCGGGCTCCAGACCGTCTTCGCGTGCAAGCTTTAGACAGGCTCCCAAGCCTCTGGCTCCCGCTCCCATGTCTCAGAGTGAGATAGAGCAGTTGATAAGCGCAATCCCAGCCAGTGATCCCGTCATGCCATCACAGCCTCAAGGCCAAAATTCTAATTGGGCAGCTGGCCCGATGAGTGACTTTTCCGCCGCGGAAACCCCTGCTCCACAACGGGTAGCAGAAGACGGCAAAGTCCGTAGCGGTGCCGGTGCAAGACGATTAAGACAGGTCCAGGCGCGCCTTGATAAAGCTATTCGTGATGGGCAGGTTCCCCCTTACTGTGAGAATTGTGGTGCGATTGAAACACCTACTTGGCGCAGGGCGTGGTCCAAGGAAATGAATGGCAACGAACAAGAAGCCGAGGAAATGAAGAAGGATTCGGGCATGTTGTTTTGGCAGTCCCTGGAGCGGGATGGTCAAGACAAGGTGATCAAATTCAAAATCTATAAGAAAAGTCTTGCTGACATTGACAACGACTTTGCTCAAGTCCTTCTTTGCAACCGTAAGTGCTACTAATTTCTATATTGACGCGCCTTTTCGTTACTAACGTTAGAAAAAAGCATGCGGTCTTTGGCTTCACAAGTTCAAATGTATGCGACCAGAGAACAAATGGAACAAGTCTTCCAATGGCAAAAGGAAGCGTCCCCCCAGGAACCGCAGGGGAGGCGGTCCCCTTTCAACCAATGGGACTTCAACAAGGAGCCAGAGCAGAGCCGGGTTGACCAAAGCGGATGGTTCCTCACCTGTCGCATCTGATGCCTCGTCACCGGCAGCAGAAGATGGTACTACGCCTCCTGAGGGCAACAGCAATGAAAACGAGAACGAGGATGAAGCCCAAGAACCCCCATCTAAGCGTCGTCGTGCAACCAGCTTAGAGCCCCGAAAGTCATCCGACACTACGGGAAGTCGTTGGCAAGAGGATGATGCGATAGCGGCCCTCAGGCGGGCAATCCAGTCTAGTCCTGCTAGAAATCTTGAAAGTCGCAATTCTGCCACGGCGGGTGAGAATAATCTTACCCCCAAGTCCGTAAGGAGAGTCTTGTTCCCTAACTCGCAGGCTGAGGGCGGGCCTTTGAAAGCTTTAGGCGAGTCGATTTTGAACAGCCCCCGGCGTAGCCCTCGCGTGACTCATGAATCTGCCAAGCGATCTCAGGACAAAGAGAATGGCGCTTCTGCCCTTGATGGTCTCTTCGAAAACCCGACCTTTGAGATTGACTTGCCGACCAGCCCTACACCAAGGCGGCGGAATCCTCGTACGGGCATGATGGGTGAAAAGTCGCTTCCGTTGCCGTGTAACTCCCCTTCGTCGTCTAAAGAACCGAAGGACATCAACACAACCCCCACAAAGCTTACCGCGAAACGTCTTCAACATATTCAAAATGGCCCAGGGTTAACTCCACGCCCGGGTAAAACGCCTAAGCAATCGCGTCTTCACTCTCCGGGCCTGCCTTCTCTTCCGAATGATGCCTTCAATGCGGACGCATTTGGTGGCATGGACAAGGCGATCGTGGACATTTTTTCTGATGCGGCTGATGCGACGAACGCTGATTTGTTCAGCTTTGACCCATCCAAATGTTCATCAAGTAGCAACTGGCCGGACTGGCTTTCGTCAGACTATGTCTCGCCCAATGGATCTGAGGAAGAGCAGAATAACGCGGATGATGATTCCGGCAATCTCATCGATGCGCTCCTGTCCAATTCGGACAAATCTCAATTCGATATCTTCAATCTTGATTCGAATATTCTCGACTCTGGGTTCTTCAGCTCCGATGCCCTCGATACCGATGTAATGGCCGTGAGCGTCAAGAACAAGTCGATAGAGGGATCGAGCCACAAAGAACAAGCATACCACAACACACCTAGTGCTTCATGAGTTTCATTTAATCTTTGCGGTTTTACCCATTTCTTGTGATGAGTATCCGAGACTTTCTTTTTTTTCCCCTTTTTTTTCTTGATGTTTTTTCAAGCGACGGCGTTGGTGGATTGGAACCTGTACTGAGGGTACACCGTTGGTCTTGGGATGGTCCTATCTTTTCTTCTCATTTTACATGTTCATGTTATGATTCGCCTATATTAGGCAATACTCTGCATGGAGTCTTAGCATTCTTACGACCTCAAAACTAGAACGAGTCTTCTCGTCTTGCATTACAACAAGAAACAATAGCATATACAAAAGAAACTGAAAGAACAAGCCAACTTTTCCGTTGTCCAGAGTAGATGTAAACCCTATGTACTAGCCTAATGTATGTTATATAACCATGTTATATCGTAATCACCTGAACTGCACCATAATGGGTAGGACTAGTAGTTAGTAGTACGAAAATATTCACAATGGCAGGCAAGCATGTTGAGAGTCCTTTTAATGTCACTACGTATTTGGCCGCAACCCGGTCATCACCAGTTTTCTTGAGTGCTGCTCCTATGCGTACGAAATGTGTCCCGAACAGATGCATCCTGGTATCAAAGAATAAAAGAAGGAAAAAGGTCCAAAGAAAATCAATTACTCGGCCGCCTCATAAAACATCGACTTGTACTGATGCGTCGCATTGACAACGCTTTCATAGATCTTATAATCTGTCCAAATTCACCATCAGCCAACAGTCCACATTTCCATTCTACCTCTCCACTCTCCCAGTAGCATTCTCCTTGCAGTAAAAAGAAGATGATGATAACATACCACAATCGGCCGGATTGCCCCAATCAAAACTTCCCAATACCCTCACACCAAGTCCCTACACATACCGATGTATTAGTGACTTCATCTCACCCTATTTTATACGCTCAAGAGGCCAAATTGGAGTACAATCGGGGGAAACTCACCTGCCCTTCAACATCAGTCACCTTGCCAACAACCTCCACCAACTTCCCCATCTGCAAATGCGAATCCGGCTTCAGGATCAGCGCCACATCCCCATTGTTTCCACACGTGATTGTCGCCGTATCGCCGCGGAGAGCTGTTACTGTGCCCAGCAAGCGGACAGTGCTTGTGACGTGGGGATTTGAGTTGGAGGGGTGGAACGCGTGGAGGTGGGCGGGGAGGACGCGGGGTGTTTGAAGGGACATTTTAGGTCGAGTATCGTGCTCTCTCTTTAGCTGGCTAGTGCAGGATTGAGTTGTTGCAGGTGGTAAGCAGGATTGGTGTTATCCTGGGCGGAAAAGGTGGGTTGAAGGTCTGGGATGGGCTTGTTATTTATCTGATGGTATTATCTGTTCACAAGGATATCGATATCGGCGCGTGACGCGTGGTCATGTGATTCATGGAGTTCATTCTCGTTCATTAACTAAATTAGGCTAGCCGTTTCTTGGTAAACGACGTGACCAATAGCCGCTCACTTACCCTTGCTACTATCATAGTGCTTAGTAGTACTACTAACTATACCTAATATTCTAACGACTATGTACTTATTATAGACGCACCTAGTTGACGATTTGTTCTTCACATAAACCAGTGGGTTGTTTACCCCACCTCGAAGCGTACAGCTTCCAGATAAAAAGAGTCCTAGCCTTTGTCATAGGCCTCGGTGTCTGTTGGTAGTGGCTTAGCTGATGCATTGTTGTACCAGCATTAACCTCACCAGGAAGAATTGGGGGGGCTTCCAATGTCTGTGGGGATTCCTTTCGGGGCTCCTCGGCTCATTGTGTCACTCAAGGCTAAGCTTTGGGTAAAATCAGGGGAACGAAGTGGAAATGAACCCCTCACCCATTATTCTTCGTCCCACCTGCCCCCCCGGCTTGGTGTCCAATATGGTAAACGAATTCTTATCTCGGTAGTTGAGGCAAAGGCACGAGATGAACCGGAAAGCACTTAGGTGTCTGTGCCCATCAATAACGAAGACCTGTCGCAGGGATGTAAGAACCTCAGCTTTCATTATTTAAACAATGCAGCTAGCTAATCATGCGGCTTGGTGGCTGAGTGAATATCCACCAGAAACTTCCGAGCCGTTTCAATGTATCGCTTATTCAGGACCCAAGGACTTTCGGTTTGCCATCCTTGCTCTTGCGGCTGCTAAGCTTCAGGAAGTGGTATGTGAAGTTGAACATGCTCGGTCCAGAAAAACACTTGCTAATAGCAACTGCATAATAGATGGTACTGCCATCCCCTCTTGTGACAGGTGAGGCTCAGCTCCGGATCCTTGAAAAGAAGAACTGCACTATTTATCTGCGGCCGCCGTCTATGGCAAGCCAAGTCGATGCACTCCTACGAGAAGTTCCACACGTTCAGGTTATCGAGGTTCCTGAAACCGACGAGTTCATGCAGAGGCCGAAGCTGTTCCGTACGTCTACAGCAAGACTTGGGACGAAGGGAGGGATGATCCCTGGCTTGTATTTCACACGTCCGAAACGACTAGTACATTACTGTAGTTTTCTTAATTCATTCAACGCTTTGTTGACTGGTTGTCTAGGTCATCCAAAGCCCATTACCTACACTCAAAGCATGGTGGCGGGCACCGATCTCGCCATGTCGCTTCCGGGCATTGAAGACTCTTATATTACCTCCATGCCGGCAAAAATGGTATTCATTCACCGGTGTCCCCACCGCATGTAAGTCCTGTTCATTCACTTATCTCACCCTATCTTCTGATAATATAATTAATCAATTTCTAGGTAAGGGGGAATGATGCTGGCACTCGTGTTTTCCACCTTTGTCGACACGATCCCGGTCCTGGGTCAGCAGAAGTAGTCTTCCAAATTCTCCATTTCGGTCAACTAGAAGGAGCCCTCCTACCACCGGGAACAATCGACGAGCTTTGCCAAACACCAGCTGGTTTTGCGGCACTCCAACAGCTGAACCATGTCCACTAGGTAGACGCCCCCCTTACAGCTATATCAGGGGAGCTATTAGAGTCCCACGTCCGGTAAGTCGCCACTATTGACAGCACAGAGTCTGCCGTCTACTCCACCAAGCCCTACAACATCCCTGACGCATGGGAATAAGTTGCCATCTACGAATCCGCAGGCGCAGTATTCGAACACCGAGTCCACAACCTCTACGAGCTGGCCTTTACCCATCACCCCAAACCCAAACCCAATGCAGCTCTTCAACGCGTATACGGACCGTGGTCGCTTCGAAACCAGCGATCTCTGGGAAGAATACCCAGTCCACAAAGGCCTCTGGAAGATCATCGGCCGCACAGTGACTACATCTACCCCTCCCATAGTGAGGGGCTGCACGCTTCACTGTTAGAGCCGGAAATACAAGCACATCCGCATGTTAAGTCCGCCTTGATCGGTGGCCATGGTCATCCGGCCCCTGTTCTTATCGTTGAGCTTCTTCCATCTGAAGGGGAGGAAAATCGACAGGAGCTCATCTCTAGTTTGCTGCCTATATTGATAAAGTCAATAATCGGCTTCATGATTGTGTAAAGCTTTCTGCAGATAAGGTTATCATTGCGCCAAAGAATAAGCCTTTCGTGAAGACATTCAAAGGAAGTTTTGGTAGGGTGCAGACTTTGAAGCTGTATGGGGATGAGATTGCGGCTTTCTTTTAGGTTGAGTGGGGTTAGTAGATAGATAAATAAGCTTATTTTGTTGGTTGTATGTTTTTTAGGTTCCATATAGAGGCTCTCTGCCACACACTTTCTCTCAAGGTCACATCAACAATAGATAATTACCATGAGCTTTGATATTCGTGATCTTTTCAAATGGAACTGGCTATATTTGTTTAGTTCCTTTCTATAGTGCATACCAACTAGGAACAATAGTCCTGCTTCCTGGCTCTTCTATTAGCGTCTATCTTATAATAGAGATTTCAGTCAATCGCTGACATAGAACCACATGCGAATAAATGAAAGATTAGGAGATAGACAGAAGAGCAATTCCTCCATCAATTCCCAGGTTCAACATATCCTCTTCCCCGTTAACATTAATATCATTATAAAGCCAAAAAACACTATAGGACAGCCACATGAGGCATCATGTCGGCATAGTGTAATATTATCAGATATTTGGTAGGCCACTGTCCATTAAGTGGTCATAGAGCCTCCCCACCAGCTTTCTTCATACTACCTATTTACACCCCTAGCCAATCAAGTTAGCATTAGGCCATTCATGGGGCTATAACGTCAAGAGGTCTACTGCGTGATAGCATACCATGTTGCTGTCAGTAGGTCGATCTGGCTGAATTCCTGCATTGTTCAGGGTCAAAGTTGCCTGGCTGCGGTCTCTCTAAACTACCTCAGATCAGTTGTCTTTAATTCCCTACTTTCGTTGCACCTGGACATTCGTCTGCATTCAGAGCATCGATTCAAATGATCATAATCACACTGTAGATCAATCTAGCCCTCCGTATCAGTATTATTATCCATCAGCGGGTACTAAGTTATCAAGTCCTACCATCTCTTCAAAGCATATAGCAAAAGGACGTACCCCAGTCAAATACACAAAAATAAGATAAGCACCTCATCTACGCAAATAATACCCCTTAACCCACTACCAACAATCACCCGATCCACTCCTTACCGTAAAACTCCATCCAAACGCCAACCACGCCCACACAACAACACGTCCTCACGTGACAACCCATTTAATCACCACCGAAGCTTAAACAAAGTACGTCAATCAGATACTTCCGCGGCGCCCATCATTAATTATCATACCCCCATTTAATTCTATTCCAACCTCACCGCGCAAGATTACCATGATCGCAATAATATAACCGACACTCGCTCATCCCATGTCAATTCAAGTTTTACGAGTACTCATAATATTATACCAGAACTCCGTGATAACACAATGCCGCCTCCCCTCCCCTCCCAACACCGCGGTATGACCGCGAACCCCCTCAAACCCAGCCGCTACCGACCTGGAAAACCCATTGCAGAGGAGCCCTCGTCCTCCGAGGAAGAGGAAGATGATGAGGAAGAACGGAGGCAGATCCAAGAGCAAGAACAGCGGCGCAGATTAGAACAACGGAGACAACACCGGGCGCAGCCGAAGGCGAGTTCGTTTCCTGCGGGGGGAATTAAGAAGGGGGTAAAGAATGCGCAGATAGAGGAGGAGGAAGAAGATGAGGAGGGGTTTGTTACTGAGGATGAAGAGGGAGAGGATGAGGGGAAGGGAGAGGAGAGCAGACCTGTTCCCCGTGTTGCTGGCGACAAGGGGGGTGCTGCGCCAGTGGTGGTTCAGGCGCTAGGGGAGGAGGTGAGTGAGGAGGAAGAGGAAGAGGAGACTTCCGAAGATGAGGAGAGTAGTTCTGAGGATGAGGCGCCAAGGAGGGTTCTTTTACGGCCTACGTTTATTAAGAAGGATAAGCGCGGTGGGCAGGCGCAGAATGGGGTGGGGGCTGCGCCTAGTACGGCTGTTGCGGATTCGGCGGCGGATTCGGATGTTCGCAGGGCGCAGCGGCAGGAGAAGGCGGATATGTTGGTTCGCGACCAGTTGGAGAAGGATGCGATCGCGCGAAGCGCGGCGAATAAACAGTGGGATGATGATGAATTGGAGGCGGCTGAGGAAGGTGGTATTGATGATAACGATGGGGTAGATCCTGAGGCTGAATACGCCGCGTGGAAGCTCCGTGAACTTAAGCGTATCAAGCGAGAGCGTGAGGCCATTGAAGCTGCGGAGAAGGAGCGCGAAGAGGTCGAGCGCCGCCGGAACTTGACAGCAGAGGAGCGTGATCGCGAAGATCGCGAGTATATTGCCAAACAGCAAGAGGAGAAGGAAGCTACTCGGGGGCAGGGCGGGTTTATGCAACGCTACTTTCACAAGGGTGCCTTCTTCCGTGACGACCTGGAGAAAGAAGGACTGGACCGACGGAACGTCATGGGTGCCAGGTTTGAGGACGACGTCTCACGTGAAGTTCTACCTGAATACATGCAAATTCGAGATATGACAAAACTTGGAAAGAAGGGACGGACACGATACAAGGACCTGAGAACGGAAGACACAGGACGCTTCGGTGATGGCTTTGACAATCGACGCCGTCGTGATGCCCCCATCGGAATTAGAGATGAACGATTTCTGCCAGATCGCCCAGACGACCGTCCTAAGGGGCCTACGGGAGCCAATGCCGGTCCAGTACGCGAGAGACGGAGATCAAGATCTAGATCATACTCACCCAGGCGGGACCGACGTGAGCAAAGAGAACGGCGTGAAAGCCCAGGTCGGGACCGTTCAAGAGATCGGCATCGTCCTGACACAAGCAGTCGCAGGAAACGAAGCCCATCTCCATACGAGGATCGCGAAAAGCGCAGAAGGATGAGAAGTGATTCGTAAGGAACAACAGAAAAGTGCAAATAGAATCATTTTATTCCTATTGGCGTTGTGGGTATCTTGAAAGTATGGGCGGGTTATGGTTATGACGCTTTGCATTGAGAAACCAATATCTTTACCTTCCTCCTGTATTTAATGAGTCCTCATCTCGGGGGGTGACATGAATTATACCGGATAACCCCCTTGTCGTAGTTTGGTCAAATGATCAATTGGGCATCTGCTTTGACACATGTATAGCAGGATGACACCATCTTGTTCAGAACTCCATTTTCCTGTATGAACATAAACGCCGTCGCCGCAGTTCGACGCACCGGGTATGTCCCTTTCCAAACGTCGATTAGTAGACCCTAACACCAAGTAAAGTCGGTTGTGTCAATGACCCTCGCCATCCTCTATCATAACCGACGCCCGGTTTGATGCACAGTAGCCGGCCAGAAGTAGCAATTAGTCATACGGATCACTGTCCTGATTCAAATCGTGTATTGCGGCGAGTTTATTTGATGCCCGCTCTCTCCAACACCTTCTCCCGTTCCATGACGCTCTCCCCAAAACGCACTAGGAAGATCGTCCGACCAGGCCACATCTCTGTCGGTTGGTTATGAGCTGTCACCTTAGCCTCAAAGCCACACCCGTCGCAGACGCCCTCAATGATCCCGGCCACAAACGCTGCACAGTTGAGCATGCTCATTTCCTTAGGTACACTGATGTATGTGTTTACGAGCGGGTCATTATCCGTAATCATATATTCATTGGGGGTGTCGGGGGACACCGAGTGCTCGAGAGCATCCGCCGGGCGGTTGAAAAGGAGTCGCCAGAGGGGGCCGTGGATGAGATGGAGGAGGGGGAGTATGCGAAGGGGTCTATTGGGAGGAGCAGCGGAGGTCGACGAGCTGGACAGAGACGAGGAAGTCGAGCTAGATATTGTCCGGTAGTAGAGTAGATTGAGAAGACGGAGCCCCAGGGGATAGCCTTGTTCGTTCAATCTGCAACTCCGTTCAGCACGGGACCGGCTTCAACAGTCAATTCAGTACCACGACGGTACCTACCGTTTCTCTAGATCCTGAATGCCCGTTACTCTCCTCTGAGCATATGTTACCATCTCCGCGAAAAGAAAGGCGAAACTCGCCCGGCTGAGTTCCGCATTGCGGCTGCGATTCAGATGCCTGTCGTAGATGGTCTTCCGGTTCGATGGGACGCGCAAGCCGGTATTGGCAATTTGCTGAATCGGCTGCGATGATTGCTGCTTGTCGCTGGCGCCGGAAAGGTTTGGCCCACCGTTGCTGATAGACAGCATAGCGGAGTGCCGTGGGGGGTGTGACATGTTTGGAGGTTTGGTATGTTGAGGGATTGGTTAATTGACAAAGGTTAGGTTAGGTTAGATTAGGTTAAGGGTATTGCTGCATGATGGTGAATCTGGTTCGGTGGACGGAGTAGGTAACTGGTTCCAATTCAACGGCGGTCCGGCGGCAATCAAAGGAAACAGCACACTGTACCGGCTGGATCATAATACCAAGTGGTGTCGTTGTTCCTCTATATGGGGCAGTGGTTTGGAGTCCTTACGGCAAGACACACAGACATGTAGTGCAGTTACGATCCGAACATTAGGATTTTACCTCGAAATGTAATCATTTTAGTCTGTGAGCGCTCGTTCATTCGATACCATGTGCAAAAGCGTGACCAATAATATCCAGATGTACCATTTAGCGGCGGTTTTTCTCTAATTGCCTGTGGTTGGGGAAGAGCTACACCTTGGGTGATATTCATCATATCAATAAAGATATATAAATTTCACCAGTACTCCGTGCCATGACATTGACCTAAATCACAACGCCCCCTCCAACTATAGGCCTTAAGAACACCTAAAAAAGCATACGTATAAAACCTCAACAATACAATTCATTGACATAGAGCAGACATCAACCGAAAATATTGAGGACAGAGGTAAAATGGGCCATTCGCAAAGAATTGCAGGGGTCTACAGACGACAACCTTGACTAGGATTATCTAGGCCAACGACGAAACCACCCGGCGATGCCTGAATGTTAGTGCCTAACGACGGGGTTCACAAGGTACGAATGTTGCGACATAAGATACAGTGGCTACGGATTGCCAGAGACTACGAGTCCCTACGAGTCTCAGGACATTGAACACAAAAGGGTGATTCTTGAACAAAAAAAATATATCTTCATTTGTAGTTTAGATAGATACTAAACGCACAACCTTGAACACTTGGAACAGCCCGAGTTGATGCGGATGACTGTCGTCCAAGTCTATGTAGAATAGTTGTATCCAGCGACTCAAGAGCTACCTGTACTATACAATCATCGTTAGCACATATTGTAACAAAAACAATGATGCTCAAGTCATATCAGATCAATGACCAACAATGTCAGACATCCAAGGAAGTATTGCGCACAGAGCACGTCTGGTATGGGTTCATAGCGACGGCTAGCGTGGAAACTGCGAATAAGGGAATAATTTTCATCATAAAAGCCCGAAGGCCGTTGGTCGACTAGGGATTTGAAGGGAAAAAGTAATAAGACTCACCTAATTAGTGTAAAAAGTTGCCAGGGGTGTCGAAATGGAACAATATCTGGAAGATGCTATAGATCGAGAGCCATTATCGTTGGGCTAAAAGTCGCATTAGACTTCATCCAACAGCCGCTGTGGTGGTTGTAAGTGAGGAAGAAGAAAATTTCGGAACGGAAGCGCTTTTTATAGTCGGCCTCAGGCTGCCCGGGAAACCTGGTGACCCATACGAAGCTTCTAGAGAACAGCAAAATTCTATACACAACCTCCACAGCAATTGGATTCGGACATCCAGCCGAATTTCTATTATGAAACGGAATTGTTAAATTATAATTATAGGAAAATAATGTTTTTTATGTGCCTCTAGGGTGAAGGTGGCACATGGATCATGATATGCATGGGTTTGTAAAACATAATACGCTTCACCAGGAAGTTGCAGGAACGGAGGTACATAAGAATTTTAGGCAATGGATGATATGCGTTTTCCCCTTCAAACAGACGCCACAAACAGACACACTCACCTAAATACTCGTAGTTCTCTATACATCATGCGAAGATCACGAGTGGATAGCCTTTGGTCATTCCTTAAGAGCTTTCTGCCTTTGCCTCGAATTCCAATTTAATGTCTTCGAAATACTATGCACCCAATCGTTATTGCGCCCACCGTGTGGTAACACGTTTGCGAATGGGTACCGTGAGGCAGAAACAGTCACATAGTCGCCTGGATGCAACTCAACCCTGGTATTAATGTCATTCCAGCTGCTCGCTCGCTGTGGTAATTCACTAAATGCACTCACCTTTCTCGTCCGTCAAAGCTTGCCCACGAGCTAGTGCGGGCATCGTAGGGCACACCCATTCGTAGAACGATAGTGTCTGGTAGTATGATCGGTCGGAAAGACAGAGTATGTGCGCAGATTGCGGTGACGAGGATAACTGGATTGTCGGGATGGCATAGAGATCCTCCAGCTGCTAGATTGTAAGCAGTCGAGCCCGTAGGCGTGGCGATACAGACACCGTCTGCAAGAAGGGTGGTGAAATGTTCATCATCCCCAAACAATTCGATGGAGGACATAGCTGTACAATCGTTAGCATCCGACCGAAGTATGTCGCATGGCTTATGTGAGCATACTAGGATTAGGCCCTCGATCAAGGACAACGTCATTCAGAATTTGAACAACCTTTTCTGGCTTGTGAGTTAATGTGCCTTCAACCTCTTCCCCGATTAACTCTTCTACCAGGTCCCGTTTCTTTGTATGTGTTAACGATTCATCTTCTCGCCCATTGCTCCTCATAATCGTGCATTCAAATCGTAATCTCAGGCTAACGGCGACGCCGTCCTTGAAAGCTAACCCCAGCGTTCTCTGATAATCATTAAAGTCGAATTTAGTAAGGAAGCCTAACGATCCCAGTGAAAAGGACAGGACCGGCGGGACTACGTGCTGGAAAAGCCAACTCGTATAGAGGACCGTCCCGTCACCCCCCAGTGTGATGACGAAATCAAAGAGATAAGCATTCTCATACACAAACTTGACATCCCAGAACCTGAGTCGTCCTGCTGCAGAAGGTTCATCCTGCACCAACTGAGAAGCCCCGAAATCCGGATTCGCCTCCAGTCGCTTCTCCACGTAGATGTTGTAATCCGTACCGCGATCCTTGGACAATAGCCACTGTGAGACCTTCCTTGTAAAGGCAATCACACCGTCATCTCCCGCCTTGGTTACCACAAAGACATTTTTGACAGAAAGCTTGAGTTTGATGCTATCTAGTTTCTTTGATAGCTTGCGTACATTCCATGCCATATCGGACAGCTGCTTTTTCGTCAGCTGTCGTGACTCCACGACAGTCTGCGATTGCTTCGGCCTCCAATCATCCACATCGGTGACGGTGACGCCATCCGTATCCACGGCGGTATCATCAAAACCCAAGGCATTGTCTTCTAGCTCATTACGCGCGATCTCGGCATCCTTCGCTGAGTTAGGAGGGCAGACCCATTCTCCTGCGATCAGGGAATGTACAAAACAGGCGGTTTTATCATCTGCGCGGTCAAGGCGAGGTTTCCCTGGCTCATTCGCCATGACTAGCGACGACTTGCGGCGATGACTGCAATCGGGGGTAAGGACAACCTAAAGAAAGAAGCAGAGCAAGGTTAGAGATGTAACAGATACTCAAGTGTCACTCATGATACCTCCAACTTGTGGGTGTCTGCATCCCCACCTGCCCCTCCAGTGCCCTTCAATCAAGTCAGCTGTGGTTTCGATATAATCTTCAACAATACCCTTACGGCATCATCCCGGGACTGGGTTTTGTCCATGATTCAATGCTCAAACTTAATTTTTTCTTTTCATCTGTTCATACGTTGGGGGACTCTCGCCGAGGTTTCATTGGGGTGTAGCTTTTTTGAGTCGAGGTGCACGCCGCATTTGGTAAGTCGCGGCTATGACGTCGCTTCCGCATACACTAATCTGAACAGTTCATGTTGTGATGTCGCATTCAGTATGACTTACTAGGCCCGCAATTCCGGCCTCCTTCATTTCTAATATGCTATGTAGCTCAAGCAATCGCTCCGCCGAAGATAATACCCTGAAACATCACCTTGACCAATGACTAGTTAAGCCATTCATAAAACCACCGCTCGCAAGCAGACCCGCTAATTTCTTCTTACCTCTTCTCCCGCTGCTTGATGTGACCTCCTGGTAATCTCAGGTACGGCAACCAGTTTCACTGATTTTGATATCAGCTCAGCGGCACTTGAGCTTTGGCCTGATCTTCCGAGGCTTGATGACGATCTCAAAGCCATGTCCAAGCTCAAGTAATACGTCAAGTCTGGCGTCATCAACAAGTTTCGCACGTCTCACAGGCAAGGGCTTGGTTATGGCCAACTACTCGACCACCGGAGTGATAGAGTCTCAAAGTTCTTGAAAGCATAGATGACAACAACGTACTATAAAACAACAGTTGGAGGATATTATTATAAAACTATATCAGCTTGGGAACTCGTATCCGCGCATACTTAAGTCACAACAATTAAATCAAGTTGTTAAGCTATAAGTAGTGGGTAGAATGTCTATCGAAATATCGTATGTCCTGACCAAAAAGCATTTCCATAGCCATCTATCAAGCTATACATTTGTAACATGTACAACCGTCTAGAGCAGCAGCATGAGAGACTGCCTGAAAAAGGAAACAGGAAACACTAACCTGAGAGAGGCTTAGTGTACACCCACAGGAGCACCATTTGCCCACGATAAGGACTCTTTGCCCTATGCTACGACTCAGAAAACCCTTTCAAAATCTTCACCAGCAGGTTTGGGCAAGTGCCCACCAGCTCAAGCGTGTCCTTCCGACCATGGGCTTCTGGTAGTCCAAGAGAGATAGATGTGCCCTCACTCGCGGGGCCATACGCCCGGCATACACCGCCCATTCCACCGTCCAGCGAAGCCAAACAGATCTGTCTCGCCATTACGCCCCGGTTTTACGAGAAGTTGTCGACGCTTAGATTCTCGAGCCTAATATGTCCGCCGTACGTGTGCATGAATACGGGCGATGGTTTATTCGACTGCAATAGGATGCGGATGAAGCCTCTGTGTCAGCGGGCCCTACCCACCGAGCTTGGGTGATAAGTCAGATATATGGACTCGGTGACCATCCAAGTAGCCGATGGTGGAGCTTCAGCCATGGCGAAACCGGTTCTGTATACATCAGATGTGCAGGTGAACGCCATGGGACTTGATGCGACGCGGCCAACGGTTTCGAAGAGGTCTTACAGGTGACTCGCTACTGCTTTAGCGGCGTACAAATGGCACATGAAGGTAGCCTAATGGCGGCTTGCAGATCACCTGGCCTGAGCTGACATTGTGGGATGCGATGGATGAAAAGGGGGTTTGCTAACTATCGCTCGGCTGGATATTCGTTCTTCGAGCCACGCCTCTACTTCATCATCTGGTGTTGCATGTAAGGCAGCTAGATTCGGGGAAGGTATCGGAGATATCCTAGTCTACAGCTAATCTGGAATATAACCTAGCGGTGGTGGCTTGTATTCCACCCAACCGCACAGTAGAAAGGCGTGGCCCTACCAGGAAGGAGGTCTAGTAGTACCTATGCATATGCCGCATGAACAATGGGTTTCCGTAAGCCGCGACCTGGTAGTCGAAAGCGCAAAGCACGAATCGAACGTCGCCGAACAACAATCTAGACAAGATAATCCAAGATGCTAGAACCGATAGCGAAGCAATCGGAGACTACGCTCCTATCGAAGTCTACACCAACTCTCCATCTCACTCGATCCTTACTCCGAGCGGGGCTGTGTATGTCCTGTACCTCCGAACATCCCTGACAAAATCCACAACAACAAAACCTCGATCTTATCAAAGACATAGAAAGGACGGGAATCGAGTAACATAAACAAACCACCTTACATCCAACAAAATCCAGCCTGAATAAACCCAACAAGGCGCACCCAAGATCTAACAAATCGGATCCTCCACAAGCCGCCATACATATGCATCTTACATACCAGTGATTGCCTCGTCCACGCCCATGCAATCTCCATCACACCCGCCCAATTACCTATCAACAGCCCACCCTCCCCGCGCTCACCCAGATCCCTACGGTTTGGCTCCGACAGGCACAGAGCCCAAGCCCTACCCTGCAACGGAGGGATCAGATACCTGCACCTACATGTGACAAAGGGGGCAACACCTCATTCTCATAAGACAAGGACTCAGGGGAGAACGCTGACTTGTCTTGCTCGCTATCGTATTATGATTAAAACAGACGAAAGCCTAGACAATAGAGGTGGTCCGTTCCTCAGGGTTTTTAATTCTGGTGCCTAGACTAAATGTGGCTATGGCGATGGGCATGGGGATAGATAGCTATGACCACCAGGCTTGTGACAGCCAAACGAGTACGCGGCCAACCTAGAGTGAGTGAAAGAGCCCTGGGTTATAGTTATACATGCATCCATACATCGCTACACCATCAGTGATAGATAGATGGATAGCTAGCTAGCTAGCTTAGTCCCATACATAGTCCGCCACCCAATGGTCGATAATGAATGAATGAATGACCGCCCGCATCGCATCAAAGCAACCCCGAAGAGGAGAACGATAAGGTCGGGTCATCAGACAAGTACAATTCGGACGGAACCTGCAGCGAGAGCCCCCGAACTATATTAGAATGACAAAAAGAAATAACAAAAAAGGGTTCAAGAGATGGACCGAGTCCGATAGAAATGGGAATAAATAGATAGTTTTATACTATATTATACTATACTATCCTAATCACGCCAATCCGTTCCATCCATCCATCGACAGAAAGCACACTACATAGGAATAAGCCCAGAGATCTTCTATTCGAAGTACGAATATTTAAGTTCAATAACCTCCGGAATTGAGTCCCATACTATCTATACTTTCCCCTCTCAGCCCGTAATAGTAGTAGCTAAGGAAAGGCACTGTAGAGCAATCATCAGCAACGTGCCAGTCTGCCAGCCACCGAATAATTGGGCTCCACAGCCCTAATAAACAAGTAATTCGCGGATCCCGTGTTATAGGAATCAGTCATATTATTTATTATTAAACAGCCTTTTTTTTGCCTTTTCTTTTTCTTTCTTTTCGCCCCTCGTTTAAGGACAGAGTATGGGTTAGTTGGTTGGTTAGGTAGTATATGGAACTACCGGAGGATTTTCCAAGGCTTCTTTTTTTCATGTCTCTCCAAATTATAAATAATTATGATTATTAGAGTTTTTTTTTTTTTAAATACTTTCCCTTTATATGCGAAGAGTAAGCTGGTCACTTCTCATGCAAACCTGAGATTTAGAACCCCTGTTATCAAACTGCATTGCATCAGATCGGCTTTCTATCATTTCTGACATGTTCAGTCCAGTGATAGCCTTCCTTACCCGAAGGGAAAAAAAAGTTTCACGAAAAGAAATTAAGTCATAGACATATAATCAAAAAGTCCTCCCAATGAGAATTATTAAAAAGATTTTCCCAACCCAAGAAATCTAGTACCGAGAATCCCAAAGAGCGGGCCCCAATGGAAGTAGCGGCTATCGCCAGATTTAGACTCAGCCATGTGGCTTTCCACTTTCCAGACCTCCCCAGGAAAGTCTAAGACAGAAAACAGTAGTCCAGACGAAGTGCAGAAACGGATGGTTCGGTAGGAATGAAGCGGAGGGCGTAAAGTGAGTATCCGTACTAGACTACTAGTCTCTACTCGGCCGACTCTACTAGAGTCGTATGTGGTGAAAATGTGGGAAGGAAAATTTTTTTTTAAAAAAAGGCCGCTAATATATATTTCAACAAATTGTTTATTTTATTGCGGATCTTCTTGATTCCATCTATAGACTGGCTATCGCTTGCTCTTTACCTCTTGAGGGGAAAGGTTTGCAGACTAAGGTACAGCCGGGAAAGGGTTGGCGAAGTTAATGCTCCTAGAATCTTGGTCCTTTGGTGGGTTTATTTTTGGGGGGCGCCTCGGGGTTCCACTTTAACGGTCAGACAATCTGGGATTATTGGTGATGGTTGGTGGTGGAAATTTGTGGTTGATGTTTGCCTTGTCGAGGGATTTTTATGTATGACATTACTAACTCCAGTGATGTGTATGAGACATAGTGAGAGTGTTAGACGGGAAAAGGGAGGTCTTTCAAAAAGAAAAAAAAAAGAAAGAAAAAGTAAAAAGATCAAAGTCCCCACTGCACGACAAACTTTTGCGACTGCAAATACATACTTACATTCTGCCCCGTGCTCCACTTTGATCTACCGTGACACTGCAGCTCAGGATCTTAGGTACCGATAAATAAATAGGTATATGTGGCCCTTTTGACGATGTTGCCTGTTTCGGTAAAACATCAGTGGGGACCCCCCGACTATCATTCATCAGGGATGGGTCACTATGCATTTCGTGTCCAAGTATCACATCTCTTGGGATTGATTCTCAGTCGATCTTACCCAGTTGGTGGGGGATCCAAAGGGCATGTGGTACGGCATTTGGCGAGTGCCATCAAAGGCTTGACAGGTTATGTACGGGAGTATGGGAGGCGAAGTGGAACGCACTTCGTATCCCTTGAGGGCATACCTACAACTCAGTAGTTCTTAGTAGTTGCGACGTATAGACCATCCGCGGAGACTTTAACTCCCAAAGAGGGGTGAGGGTGAATCTGTGCGAGTCAGCTATATTAACTATTATCCATTAGATGAAGCACCGGACGCAATCACAGAGCCAGAGAGGGAAAAATTACACAGGTGATGTGCACGGCGCTATCGCTCAGGCTACCAAGTGAGAGAAAGGATGTACTCCATTCCCTAAGGTAATCCGCTTACCGGAAGGTCATGTGGTTGCATCTCAATCGTTGTTCGTCGGTATGTGCGGATATCCTGCATAAAGTTGGTTTTCAATGGATGCATACCTGAGTCACACTGTGGCCTGACTTGAAGTTTATCTTAGTAAGTCCTTGTATAGTAACTACTATGTATGGCACCGGTATTTTTAGTGTCTTCGGTTACCTAATCCATAGATGACTCCCTTGGAGGGGATTGAGTCTCACACACAAAAAAAAAAAAAAAAAAAGGAAGGATTATTCTTTTCTCAAGGTACGGCCGTAAAATGTTGCATTACATAAGATAAAATATGACCTAATCAGGACATAGGAAGGGTTCCAGACCGTCTCTCCCGGAGGCAGTCCGGCGTTGACAAGATAATTTGATGCTGAATTCTGACTGGTTCGCTGTTAAGGTAGCACAACCTAAGCACTGGCCACATTCTGTGATAGCCCATGGTACCTACTTTTCCATTCCATGTACGGAGTACCCTAGATCTAACCCCATGCAAGAGCCCAGAATGCTGCAGTGTGGTAGGGTAGCAGCCGCCGAGTATGTTAGTAGTGATGGTACCATGCATATTGAGCATTTTAATAGAATTAGAATCCAGCCAAATCTTTTACATATTTCGTCCGCCCCCTACGGATTACAGTACTGATCTCTTTCGCCACCCTGATTGGCCCAAACACACTGGTTCCATGCATGCATGTAGGGCGCATGTATGTAGGCCATTTGACTCATGGCCACCTGCAGATGCGTACAGAAGAGGCAGTTTTCGTTACTCAGCCTGGTGCCTTGTTTTCATTTTAGTTTTGTCCTCTTATTCTTTCTTTTCTGATCGAGTGCAGGACAGAGAGTGGGTGGGAACTTACAATCCAGTCGCCCAGACTACCAAGGAGTTCGGGGCTCTCCCCTTCGAATCTAGGTATCAGTCCTCGCGGGCCTCTCACGCACCGCATCTTCCTGCGACCCACTCCCTGTAACGTTAGTCCACCATAGGCACTCCATAAGGTGGCCGACGGCGTAACCGCCATCGCCTGTGCTTCCAACTTGGTTGTTCATTATGGGCCAGGCGTTGTGGCGCCGACCAGGGCACGCGGCAGTGCATTGTAAGATAGGCCACTATGAGAGAGAGCTAGACTAGAGTGTGGTGTAATTAGTCGTTAACTTTTCATGAGGTCCGCCAGGGCCTCCAAGAATATCACAAGGGCTAAAGCGGGAGGAGTATGCCGTATCACATCCCACTTGTTGCCGATGAGCTGGGTTCCCTGTTCAGCTGCAGCCTGTTCTTCATTCTTACAGTCAACCTGTAACAGCCAAGGTGGCTGTGTGGGCAGCTTTTTTTTTTTTTCTTCCCCTTTTTTCGCTAGGATGACTACAGGATGAGGCTTAAACGCCCAGAATTTGTCCTTTGGGGGAGAATCGCGGACTAGAATCGAACACCAACATGTGAGTTCCGACAGGTGTGACCACCAATAACATGGCGTCGTGGATATCAGATTCAGATTGTCCCCTACCACGGGGGACCTCAAAAGTAGGGGCTGATGACATGCCACTAAGGCAAGCCAAATTAATTAGCGCCAATGTTTTCCATTGTTCGGGTGGAGACTTGGGATAGAGGCGCTCGGGCCTAACCCATCTAAGGGTTTCCATGGGAGAGAACAACAAATAATAGAGAGAACAGGTAGACAAGCACGGACGCCTTGCGAATAAGAAAAAGAAAAGGATATCAAAATAAAAAAAGGAAAAAAAAAGTATTGGTTATTAAAGTTGATCTATAATCAACATCTACAATTAAGACGCTCCCTGAAGGGGGAAATACGACGGTGAAAAATGGAAGCTGGTCACTCCGCCCGAAGATCCCTACATGGGCTGAAAACTTTCTCCGAAACCCCAGTGTCCAACTAGTCTCTTGTCTCGGACGGCGACCGCCATTTCCCATCCCTCCAAAAGTTTCTGGATTGAGCATGGTACATTAGTTTAGGCGGATGGAGATATCCAATTCTCAACGATGATTGCAGATACTACTTAATTTATGCTTTATACTCCGCAGGATTATTAGTTGTATTATTAATTATCCGAGTTTGTTTTCATTAGGTGTGATTATTGATTATTACTGTTCTTGTTTTGCATGCCTTCTTTGTTCCAAACGAACCGAAGTTCCGTTCTGTAAATTATACAGCATATATATATATATATATATATATATATATCATATACATATAAAATCTAAAGATAAATATAAACTCAACGTCGTATTAGCCTTTGGGAGTGATATGGTTGAACGTGTCCCCTTCCGTCATTTGGTACGACTTCAACTCGCAAGGGTGACAGAGTGGCGAGGGGTTAAGATTTCTCCCTACTGGAGGGGCTTGTCCCCCAACCAGTGATGCCATCCCATTTTGGAAGAGCCCTTAGCTTGATGGTCTTAATTATCAGCGGGGGTTTTACGATTCTCAAGTATAGCAATAAATATATTGTTTGAATAATTATTATTTGATATCATTTTGAGTATTTATTTATTTTTTAAAAGACTACTATTCACGATACGTAGACGGCCAAAATGTATGGGAATATCACATTCACCAAGAAGGCATCTCGTATGCAAACGGAATGGGATGTTCTTTGTTGGAAAGAGATCGGCAGATGGGCGGGTGTTGTCTCAGCAAGAAAAGGGCGAAAAACAGAAAGGGTTCCATGAGACTGGAAACAGGAAGAAAAGTAATAATGACGGAGTCAGACCCGTGTAGGTTGGGCTTGGGTCTTTTAATGGCTTAAAAAGGATCCGTCCGCGAGCAACGCATTTCCCTAACCCACTTCTCACTCGCTTTTTCAGAAGCTCCAAGAACTAGCTTAGCTCTTGCCTGGTAGAAATCCCTGTTCATCAATCCCGTTGATACGGAGATAGGGAACACAAGCAAGTAGTACGAAAAATAAAAAAAAAAAGAAATTAAATAAAAAAAACAATAAAGAGAAAAATAGAAAAAAATATTCGGAGAGGAGACCCACTTTGACTTTTTTTGCCTGGTTTTGGGCCCATCATAGGAGATTTGACCCCTGACCTTCTGGAATTTTTGTTCTTCTCTTTTCCTCTGTTTTTCTAGCCCCTGCGGTCCAGTGGGTCTGCACATGTGTCCCGGTGGTCGTCCTCCTGTAATCTCCGGCTTCTGATTTGCAGGGCGGGTAGGTGATGATCTCAATTGTCCGATTAGTTGTTTCTAATGATGTCGATTCAACTGCATTCGTGTCCCGGAGGAATGGAGGTCCTGTCGTACAAGAAGTTACAAATTTGGGGGAAGAGGATTCTTCTAAAGTAATCTAGCAGGAAATCAAATGATCATAATCTCATATTAACTAACAAAGAGGTGGAGAGTGGGTAAAAAGACAAACTGGATACCCCGTGTACATGTAAAGTATCAGCCGAACGCATTGTCCTCCCCGATGAGCTGGGTTCGGGGAAGAAGAAATAGTTGCCTATCTTAGTCGGATGGCCGGGGAGTTGCTTCTTCGGGTAATGAATGGACAGGTACCAGAGCAGATCCTTTGGTGCTGGAGGAAGCTACCCTAATCCAGTACCATTGATTATCTCCTGTCCCGTCGATGATTTTCGATATTCTCCTAACTATGACGTCCTAGTCTATTTTTCCGGGAGGTTGAGGCGTAGTTCGCCAAGTACCTAAGAATGGAGTTAGTTGGCCTAGGCATGTACCCTGTAGGATGTACAGTACAACACCGAACTCTCATTTAATATCCCATCGCGCCTGGCGTCAGCTTACCTTTGAGCACTAGTGATTTAGTAAGGTACTAAAAGAGGGTCTCTGGTTCTGGAAATGGTCTCCAGTGACGGACGAGGAGTCCTCCGTTCCCAGTCTTGCTTGTTGTGCTCAGCAGGGTTGGCCTGATGGGGACTCCGGACGGAGTACATACCCGCAGACATACATGACTACAGCTGCACCGCCCAATCCATTGTCTCTCGGTCCGGTCTGTGGTGCAGTTAGACTTGTCATAATACATTATTGGCGCCAATTACCCCGTACACAAGCCACCGGCCATTGGCCTGGGTGAAGTCTGATACAGATCCTGTACCTTAGGTTTCCCCACTCCGGGCGGTCTCGAGTTTGAGTAGATTTTGCGTTACCTTGGTCTTGAATACCTACCTGATGTTGTCATCTTCCTCCATTCCCTTAGCCGAGCTTCCCGTCGCTTTCTCTGGCCCCTCTTCTCCTCTTTCTACACCGACGATAGTAGTAGGGTATGGAGTGGCGATACACCCAACTTGAGAGTTGTAGATGGCTATGAAACAGTGGCTCCACCACGCACATTAGTAGTTAGCGAGGGCTAGAATGAGGCATTATTAACCTTCACCATCATGGCAACGGTCGGTCAGATCGTAACCGGTAATATCGAGACAAACGATCAATGATATATGGATCACTATTTAGTTGATTATTATCGATCCAGGATTGCTTTCTGTCTTTGTTTGCCTTTTTCGCTTTTCTTTTTCTTTTTCTTCGTTTTCTCCCTAATCAAAGGATAGATACTAAGGTATCATCTCTTATTGTCTATTTGAATTCATTTCCGAGCCGAGTCATGGTCGCCTTTTGTGACCGAGGGTTTTGAAAACGATATTAATTCTTTCTTTTAGAGCGGTTGGTTAGGAAAACAAGGGCAACTATACTACTAGGAATAAAGGATGGCGGGATAAGCGCCCGGCAAGACCGAAGGATCGATCTATGACAAGGGGACACCGTCCGTTGTGATCTCTCTCGCCTTGTCAAATCACGTCAAGAGAGATAATGGATGTATGGAATCGCAATATCGAGTAAGACAACTTCCCACTAGTAGTAGTTACCTTACTGTACCAAAAGCCAAGCGACTTCCCCCGTTTCTGAAACCTTAAAAAGAGGGCAAAAGGGAAGGGTAGGTAAAGGCTGAGAGGATGCGAAAGGAAGGACAGGGCTCTGGAACATGTCCACATTATTGTAACCCTTGCGTAACGGCGTTGTAACTTGTGACGCGTTGGAAACGGTGAACTTGTGGGGACAACCAAAGGGAAAAACTCAAAGGGGTGAAAAAACGAGAAATGGAACGATTCCAGTACTAGCTGGCCGCAGGGGTTTTTGACGATCGGGTCGGATCGTGGGTCAGAACTTACCCTCATCTTCTGCCTTACTAACTAGTCCCTGTACAGTACTGTACATACATACTGTTTCTGTCGTGATACATACACGGCATTCTGTCTCCCCTTCTTTCCCACCTGAGCATGGGTAGGTGATGTCCGGGAGGTGTGTCCACTTGGTATGCTCATCATTGGTAGTCTAGTTATAGATTTAATTAATAGTGAAGGACGATGATCTTGTCAGTTGGACAGTGGCGCCTAGATAGACTAGTTCCATTTACCCCCCATAAGCATCAAAGTAGAACTAGTCAAGGGTAGGATTTGAAAGAAGGTTTGCCAATGTAACTGATGACGGGGGAGGGGATAGGAGAGACCAAGAAATTCGTTAAAGTGCAGTATCTCTTCTAATATTTTCTTTTTTTTTTTTTAGCCCTACCCTGGTCATTAAGAAGTCCAAGTACGGAGTAAGTAGGAGTCGGTCGCATAGTACCTAGGTAGTATTGCACACGTACCCGGATACCATACGTAATCCCCGTTTAGCCCCAGACTTAGTCAGGTATGGGGCTCTCAACTTCACCACACGGGCCCTAACTGAAGTTTGGGTTAGATTCGGCATGTCCCAGACCACCTTAGCTGTCCTTTTTCTGGTTCCTTCGTTTTCCCTGCCGAGTTCCAGTTCCTCCTCCCCCTTGGCCCACCAATCACTTTGCATTGTAGACGATTTCCTTTGGCACTGCAGTTGGAGTCACTTCAGAACTAAAACCAAAACCAAACTAAAACCCATTCTCTTCTTTCATCGCCAATAATGGGTCTGATCATCCACCGTCAACATTATTCAATACTGTTCCCCCCCACCACTACCACTATTCTCCCACCTCTCAATACCCAATACCATGGATCCCGAGAGCTCCAAAGATGTCTGGGTCAAAGACGGATTGTTGTTCCAGTTGTTCCCCCCTCTTAAATTCAAGAAATGACCCATGGGAGGGAAATGAAGAAAGTAAATTAATTAATTAATTAAATCATTGTATTTATTTTTGAATTTTTATCTTCGTAGAAACCACCGACTCAGAGTGGGGCAAACAACCGTGTGGCATGGGCGCATTTGAATCATCAGTCTTTCCTTGCCTTCCATCCTTCCTTCAATACCCACCACTAAACTCCTTTCGTTAGTGTCAACGTTGTCGGGTGTCAAGCCAAATTCCCAACATGCGTCCGCTAATCCGTACACTATGATCCTTTTCAGTAATGGGATCGTGGAACTGGGGCGGATGGTAGATCAAGCAATGCGTTCCACTTGTATTACCTATTTCCTATTCCTTTTTATTTTATTAATTTTTTTTTTTTCCTTTTTCCTTTTCTTGCTTGCTCTCTTTTTCTTTTTCTTTTTTTTTTTTTTAATGACCGAGGGATAATTAAGTGCCTAAACTATTTGGGTAAGTAGTTACTTTAAATACTACCCACAGTTAGTAGTAGATACCAGGGCACGCACTCCTTAGCCCATACATGCACACATACATACATCCTCCATGGATCCGATGGACTTACTTCCCGTACCTTACCTTGAAGCCTTGTGACCCTCATAACCCCTGTGTCATCTTTGAATGGAAAAGTCCCGATCTTTATTACACCTCCTTTGATCCTTTGCTTATTGCATTCCTGCAGTAACCCATGGGTCTTATCCGCACTTGATACTTCGTACATATAAGCCTACCTACCCTTTTCATCACGGGTCTCCCTCTCACCCTTTCACTTCTACAAATATGTGTGTCCTCGTCTGCCGTCTCAACCCTCAAACTCCAAACTGATAATTCCTTCCCGCGACTAGCCATCCTATCATTTGCACTCACTTCGATCTTTCGTCTGCTTTCTACCCTTTCAATGGCCAATTATATACAACCTCCAATCTCTCAGGCAGTCTCGCACTGGATTCAGGCAGACCAGCCAGCTGTGCCTTCTACAAGCTTCCGTGACATGATGTATGCTTTCCCTAGACCGAGGCATACGGGCCGAGTGGTGAAGCCTAGGAGTGCAGGCAACAGTCCTTCCTCTGGCAGGTGGAGGGCCCCCTCTCACGGTTCTCCAATCTATCAATCGGTCCAAACCCAGGCTTATCAGACTCCTATTAACCCTGCTATCCTGGCTTCTGTTATGCGAAGGAGGCGAGCAAGCCGTCCAATCAGTTGGCATCCAGCAACACTGGAATCCGCTACGTATACATCCCCGCCATACTTTCAGACAACTGCCGAAGAAAGTCTTCCAGTCATGGCTTCGTCTATCCAGACCCTGGGCACAGCCCCAACAGCTTTCGCCGACGGCAGTATGATTCCATCATACGCCTCGCCGGACTTCTCAACACCAAATGGAGCCTTCTCTTTCTCCACGATGCCAGATTCGGCACCGATGCAACAGTCGTCTTTCCTAGACATGAGCGGCGCTCAGTTTGATCCGGTCACGTGGGATACCGGTGCATCGAACTTGACTACTATGGCTCAACCGATCTCCGATAACTGGACCTTCGACATGATGTCTATGAACAATAGCATCCCCTCGGCAGATGTTGAGGCATCAGGTTATGCAAGCGCTCCATCGTCAGGCTATTTGACCGGACCCTCAACCCCCGACTTTCTTCCCATTCAACATCCGGACAGCAACTCTAAGTCGCTGCACGAATCGACCTCAGATGAGCAACCCGGGGATGAACTGGTTGGAATGGGTCTATACAGTCACCCTGACCCCTTCTTAGAAAGCTCATTCCACGATATCTCCGGCAAAGGTCTAAAGCTAGAGGAGACCTTCACTCCATCAGACGATGAAGCAGACGACAACAAAGACGCTGAGAGTGAAGATGACGACCAAGAGTCCACGGAGCAGGTCATCGCCTCCAGCTCTTCTCCAATCCAGAAGCAGTCAACCAACCCAACTACAAACATGATGCAAAAATCTTTCTTCTTTGACGATGACGACCTCGAACAACAGACCATGTCTGGACCCCAGCAGCTCTTCAACCTAGGAAGCCAGCCTTGCATGAATTACGGATACGGATGGATTTAACTATCTCGACGACTCTGAGCGCTCTTTTATTTTCTTATTTATTGTACAAATCTTTCTGTTGGTTATTGCATAGCATAGCGTGGCGTTTTGACTTTGGACGGCGTTCCATGTACGAAAGGGATACCCAAAGGGTGCGTGATTGATTACACATTATTAAGATACATAGGAAGCATTAAACTTTGGAAATTAAGCATCGCAACAAACGAGCAACAACCATTGACGCAATTCTCTTCGCTCCATATTCCCCAAGTAGACCATTAAACTAGCTACAACGAATCCCGCCTCCAATCCACGGAAACCCAAACGAACGGCGAAAAGGAAAAACCCAATCTCCGACCACAAAAAGTCCCAAAGTCAAGGAGCACCCAATGCATACATCAAAGCCCACCAAAAATAGTAAAAGAAATAAATCCCACTGGGCCCATTAATCAATATGGCAAAAGTAATCTTCACACCATGGAAAGACCAGTCGGCATTACTGGCCGTCCGGTCTCAATTCTACCCTCCGCTCGCGTCAGAAGGGCCGGACATGCGGTCCAAAGCCTGCGCCACGGTATGCAAGATATTTATCTCTCGGTCCTTTTGACGCCATCAATACTGAGTCGTTTAGGTCGCAGCGTGGAAGTTGAGGGGGAATTTGCCTCATACCGTTGAGGCTACGGCTTTGTTAACGGATGCGATTTTGCATGACGATGCGAGGAAAAATTCTATATTTTCTATCCGGGCGACGTATTCGGCTGCGTTTTGTCGGTGTGTATATTTTTTTCCAGTGTCCCCCGTTTCTTTCTTTTTCTTCTTTTCCTCTGCTAAGGGAGGATAAGATAAAGCAAGGGGAAGATGTGATGATTGGGTTCTGATCGAAGTACAGGTTTGTAACGGGGCTCGTGGACTCCAAACTGCACGGTCAACGGAAGACCATGTTTCAGCGAGCGATTGATTTGGGATTGCCGGCTTCGTTTGTAGAGTTACGGCATGAAGCGACGCATCGTGAGTTGCCGTCCTTGACTGTGCTCCGGAACGCGGCGCAGCGGTCTCTCGAGTGGCTGTGGGATTACTACTGGGCCAAGGTTGATATGAATGCCTTTTTCGCACCTGGAGTGGGCGCCAGTGGGATGGGCGGTGTTGAGGATGAAGTCGAGCCTGCTAAAGCTGCTGCTAGGGCTTGTCTGGCGCTGGTGACGGGTGAAGCGGGCGTGTCTGAACCGCCGCGGAAGAAGAGGAGGGTTCAGGTTCTGTCTGGTGTTGCGACGCAGTTGGTTTCGGTGTGCAAAAGCTCTAGTAGGGGACCTGCTGCGGTTTCGGGAGTTTTGCTGGAGGATGGGGTTTTGGTACCTGCTGGGCGGATGTATGTTTTCTTCTTCTTCTTTTTTCTTACCCATGTTGGATGAGTAGGGGTGTGGATGTGGTGTGCTAATCACATTTCATTAGGCTCGGAACCTCTTTGGATGATGAGTTTGCTAAATGGGACTATCTCTTGCGTGTTATCACTGAGGGATGCCCTGTTTTCTTGACGGCTCTTACGGAGGTTATGGCTGATGGGTTGGCGTTTGCACGATCAGCTACGAAGGAGAGTGCACAGAGTGAAGGGATCTATATGTGGCTGGACCATATTCTATCCTCGTCACAGTGGGAGTCTAAGAGACGATTGCTCTCGCTTGCCTATGTTCTCTCTGTCTGCGAGCAGAACTCGAATCACTGGACCGATATGCTCAAGGTGACGATACGGAATGAGGATAATGACTGGTCCAGTATCCCAGCGGACCAAGTGGGCTTGCCTGGGAAGGATAAGGTTGCACCCCAGAGTCTACAAACGGGGATGAGTGATTTAGACAGCTTGAAGAACATGGGATGGGAAGTTGTCGATACATGGGAAAGTCGGCCGTTAGGCATAGTATAACCAAGATGACACATCTATATAATTTTTACATTTTGCTTCGCGACCCGAATGACAGGAATTCATTCTATCCTTCTAATTGGTAAGTGTAAATCTATAAAGCTAACCCAACTGTCCTATTATAATCTATGATAAGTCGCACCGCGCTGTACCCGCAGCGCGATACAGATATATAAACCACCAAATCAGGAATAGCGTACCCGCCTGAGGTGGCCGTAGAGGAGCCTATGAAGTAATCCGTAATCATCATCATACAGCAGCTGGTACTAAGAGTATTCCCCGCATTCATCTTGATTTCAAATCCACCTCCTGTCATCCATGAATTTCGTAAGGACAGTCCGACCTTTTATTGGACTTCCATATCGATTCCAGTATCGTTCTGTTGCAGCGCAAGTGCAAAACATCCGAGCCATGCATATCCAATCGATTCCGATGTGTGAGTGATAAATCCATGTTGATATTGATTTTTGCGTTTATGCTCTTTCGCTTACTATCGCAGGGACGGGGAAAGGCAATAACTATGCCTACTTGGTGACGGATGAGCCTACCAAGCAGTCTGTGATTATTGATCCGGCTAACCCGCCCGAGTGAGTTATTGGCCTGGATAACCCTTGCTTGTCAATATGCTGATGAATGGAGGGTGGCGCCGGTGCTGGAGCGCCAGATTAAAAATGGAAAGATCGATTTGACTGCAATTGTCAATACTCATCAGTAAGTACAATGGCCTTTGAAAGGTGAGCATATGCTGACCTCCAAAGCCACTGGGATCACGCCGGAGGAAATGATGAAATGGTAAGCCGTGCTGTCCTTTCTCTCTGTGAATTGTGAAGAAAAGACTGACCGTCTAGCTCAAAATCTTCGGCAAACTCGCCGTTATCGGGGGCAAGGATTGCCAGTCAGTGACGAAGACTCCTGCACATGGCGAAACTTTTAAGATCGGAGAGCGCATCTCTGTGAAAGTTCTGCATACGCCTTGCCACACTCAAGATAGTATCTGCTATTTTATGCAGGATGGCGAGGACCGGGTTGTCTTCACAGGTGACACTTTGTTCATTGGAGGTATGCTCTTGCCGAGATTTTGACCCTTCAACCTATATTGGAAATGGCCTAATGCTTATACATTGTAGGATGCGGTCGCTTCTTCGAAGGTACCGCCCCAGAAATGCACAAGGCGTTGAATGAGACGCTTGCCACTTTGCCGGATGATACGAAGGTCTTCGTAAGTTGTTTCTGCCTCTTTACAGCCAGATATTAATTTGACAATTCCAGCCTGGCCACGAGTACACTAAAGCCAATGTCAAATTCTGTCTTGCCGTGTCGCAGTCAGAGCCTATCAAGAAGCTGCAGGCCTTCGCTGAGCAAAACCAGCAGACCCAGGGCAAGTTCACGATTGGAGATGAAAAGGTATGCTCTAAACCTGGCTGCACGCTATGTAGTAATGACTGACAAATTATTTTCTAGCTGCACAACGTATTTATGCGCGTCAACGTAAGAAAATACCTCGACCCAACCCTGCGAACCCAGAAGCTAATCTCATTCATAGGACCCCGAGATCCAGAAAAAGACCGGAAAGACAGACCCCGTAGAGGTGATGGCCGCTCTGCGGGAGATGAAGAATGCTATGTGAATTAAGTGGTATTGTAGTGTACAATTAACGGCACGGGTGAGCGTTGGGGGTTGACAAAATGAACAATATCAAGCAGTAAAGCAAGAAGTTTCAATGGATAGTGAATCACTTGCTCTCTAACCTGTATGCCCTAATATCTATCATCGTGACGTCAGGCTCCAATCCCTATACAACATCTTTGTATAAACCACGACCACTGCATACAACTAACTATACACAATATCTAAACAACCACTCATTCGTGCTACATTATCACTAAAACTATAACTATACAATCCACTACAATCACAGCCACCCCCAAAATGTCAACAACCACCAACCTCCCCGGTTCCCCCAAAACAACCAAAAGCCAAATCCTTGAAACCGGCGCCTCCGCCATCCAAGACTTCACCCCCGTAAAACAAATCTGCGCCCACCTGAACGCCTTCCACGTCTACGTCGACGACCCAACCCGCTGCATCGAAACAAACCACTACTGCTCCCACATAACAGAAGGTTCTTATCCCACCCCACCCCCTATCTACAATATACATACATACCCTATTCATCCTACCATCAAATATTCACATGCATATATAAAAGCTAAAACTGTCTAGACCTCCGCCAATGCCTCCTCTACGCCTCCACAGCCCCCGACGCCCCCCTCCTCGGGGTCGAATATATGATAACGCCCCGCCTCTTCGCGACGCTGCCCCCAGAGGAAAAGAAACTCTGGCATACGCATGAATACGAAGTCAAGAGTGGGATGCTGATTATGCCGGCGCCGGCTGGCGTGCCGAGTACCGTGTGGGAGGCGGCTGAGACGACAGAGATGAGGGATATACTGCCACTGTATGGCAAGACGTATCATTTTTGGCAGGTGGATCGGGGGGATAAGGTGCCGTTGGGGGAGCCGGTTCTTATGGGGAGTTTTACGAAGGAGGAGGATGTTAGCAGGGTTAATGGGGGGATATCGGGATTGGGAGAGTTGTGTAAGGGACGGGATGAGAGGTTTGGGGTTGATGTTCAACGGAAGGCGGAGGTTAGAGGGGGGATTGAGGGGAGGGTGAAGGGGGAGGGTGATGATGGTGAGTTTTACATCTTCTTTTAATAGGGTAATAAATGAATGACTGACTTGGGGTGGGTAGAGGTTGACGCTGCGTGGAAGTAGGTGGTGTTTATCTACGGGTTGTGGCTACTAGCGAGAATGAAATGCAAAAATGGAAAAAAGAAAAATAGATTGAATCTATGAATATTTGTCTCCCGGCATTACCACCCAGCTTCCCATTCCCATAGTTAAATGGGGTCCAAGCCGGGCTATCGTTTAGGGAATCAACCACTAGGTGGCCGAATCTGTTCATCTTGCTTCTCTGTCCACACTCACTCGTTCTGGTGTTGAATTTCGGCAACGGTGAGCTCTAGCAATTTTAGAAGCGATTTGAAGATGTAGAGTTGGATATAATATGATATGGTACTGAGGTGCAATTGGCACAAGAGCCAACGACCTCCTATGGGATGACGTTTGTCAAAGGGAATAATAAATGCAATCATAAACACTTATATCCCAGACTGTTGCTGTTGTCCCAATCATGAGCAATGAAATTGACCCGAGTAAGCGGGCATTGTCGTGGAACTCTCAAAACTCTGACAGAGTGAAGGAAAGGAAGAGGAAAGAAGTTCCCGCACAATGCCTATTTATATTGCCATCCACGTGACCAACCCGCAGCCGCAGATGGAGAGCAACAGAGCCATAGTGATGAACTGCCCATTATTTCTCAAATTCGGACAGAAATGTCCCGCTAGCCAATGTCGCATATACTTCGAGAAGTCCTGAGAAGGACCACACCCGGCGGAGTTTTCCGCCTTACCCTCGACGGCGTGGGCCTCTTCTGCGCCTGTACGCTTGTCTGGGAGCATCTGATCACCGTGCAGCTCAGCGAAGGGCCTTCGATGTACCCCACGTTCAGTCCGCGAGGCGATTACCTGTTAATATCGAGGGTGCACAAGTACGGTAGAGGGATTGAGGTTGGCGATGTCGTGCGATTTTACCATCCTACATTCTTGGGGGTGAATGGGGCGAAGAGGGTCGTGGGAATGCCGGGGGATTTTGTCTGCCGGGATTTACCATTTAGTACGGAGGTTGGGAAGTCACAGGAGATGATCCAGGTTGGCTTTCCTTTCCTGTTTATTCCTTTATCTGGGACTGTGTCGTGGTGCGTTGCTGACGGTTAATCGATATTAGGTGCCGGAGGGTCATGTCTATGTTGCAGGCGATAATCTACCCTGGTCGAGGGATTCCAGGAATTATGGACCCATACCGATGGGTTTAATCAATGGGAAGATAGTCGCTCGTGTTTGGCCGCCTTCGAAAATGCAATGGGTTCGAAATACGATGCAGCCGGCTCAGCGGTCCGACGAATAAGTGTATCACGAATAAGTGTATCACGAATAAGTGTATCACGAATAAGTGTATCCTCTACAAGCATGGTTTACAGCGGAGTCTGGAGTTGTTGGATGTTTGTGCATATTCATACAGTTCGATTGTACAATACAGATATAAGGCCAAGGATAGAATAACCGGAAACGAAGATATAACAAGAAAGCGTTTACCGGAAAGTAGATGGGTTCCTCCTCTTGTAAGGAAGAGCCTCGCTCCTTTTGCGGCGGAGTTCCATGTCCACCTCGGAGAACCCGCTCTCCCTCATGACTTCCGCCATCGTCGAGTCCCACTCGGTACGGAAGAGATGGGCTCCAATGGGCTTCAGGTGATACCTAGCCTGCAAGGTTCGAAGGAGCATTTTGTCGCGGTTCGTCTCTTTGGCTTTAACTGCAGCGAAGTCGAGCGGCTTGGAATCCTTCTGCTCCATGACGAAAACCGACAGACGGTGGTAAGGGCTACCCTTCTGGGCAACAGGGGGCAACCATGGCAGGACGACCTGCGACTCGGAGGAAAGCTTGGCCAGGTCGACCTTGGTGGAGACGGCCGAAACGGGCACATTGACGGCCATATAATGCATTCTGTAGTCAAATCCATCCTTTTCGACATTGGGAATATCGGAATCTACCACAGCGATTGTCACGAGTTTTTCACCGCCCTCGAAGAGCTGTACGTCAAGCTTTGGTGCTGTTGTGCTGACCCGGGAGTTGACGAACTCTCCGGGCTGAACTTGCGACCGACCGAAATAAAGCTTGGTGTCGACCACGGGGTCGCAGTGAGGAAGGACATCAGGGATAACCTTCATCTGTGTGATTCTCTGGACAAGGATTTTGCGGCGATACTCCCTCCATTTCTTGTCGGCCAGATAACGGTAGACGGGCTTGCTCATATCGCCTGCAAATCAACTTTAGTTAGATTCAGACGTAGTACTGAGATGTCTATGGTCTCGATAAGGGAATCCTCACCCTCCCCGTCTTCAAACTTCTTCTTCACCAATGGGTCATTAATGTCTGCAAGGACCTTCATGTGTTCCAGATGGAGTTCCATGGCTACCAGTCGCGACTTCTTCACTTGCTCGCCTCCCGCTTCTTCCGTAGGGATGGCCTGAAGCTTGGTGATCTTCTCCCTCATAGACACGATGTTCTTCAATTTCTCCTCGCGGTCCGCAAGGAGGACCTTCCGTGCCTCCTGGAAACATTGATAGGGCAGTTGCTCGAAGGGGATATTTGGCGAGCTTTGCAGTGCCGCGCGACGTCTGCGAGATCCAATCGGCGAAATACCCTGTCGTAGTAATCTTCGTTCCAACCGGGGACTCGATACGAGCGCGGGGTCGGGTGCTTTGTGGAAAGGTTGGCTTTTGGTTTCCGTCTGGGCTTCCTCGCAAGCAACAGCGGTGGTTTGGAAGGCCCGTGTTGACTGCACCTGAAGAGTCGGAAGGCCTCTAGTGTAAGTCTTCTGAAGGCATTGGAGCAAAGGCTTTGCAGCCCGCTCGCAATGGGCCATTTTGGCGGGAGATAATTGGGTGAAAAAGGGTGTAAGAGGAAGAAGGCGAGGGTAGTTCTCTACGGTCGTCGGAGAGAGAGAGAGGTGGTTGTTCCTTGCCGGACGGAACTTTTTTCGTTGTCGGAGCCAAGCCTCAGCGGGTTAGCGCCGCCCGTCTGAACTTTTGCTTCATGGCCCATTAACAACCCCAGTTCACCCCCCAATCACGACAATATAAGCCTCAGAGCTCTCTGTTGATACTGCACAATGCCCGGAGGTGACGCAATTCGTGCCTTAAGATGGCTCTCCCGGAGTACTGGGGGCTTGCTCTCGGGCTCTGAGACTACCACAGTAGGTCCTGACTTTCTCGTTACTTCCCCCGGTTCCAACTTGTTGTCACATCGACTCTAACAAGCCCGATTATTTCCTATAGCAGCGATGCCTTACAAAGTCTTTTTCACGGTCAATGGCTACAGAATCCCAGGTCACCGCCGAACACTTTACCCAGGAAGCCCCCAAAGCCGTCTGGAACACGGAACCCGCCCGGGCAACCACCTACTCCTTCCCTTCCATGGAACCATTGCGATTTGTTGAATACCCTCGGAATCATCTTTTGATGCCGCTGCGGAAGGATATCTTACATCGGGCTGTCGTGTATGAAGGTGACATGACCAGACAGGGTACCGCGAGCACCAAGTGGAGGGCCGATGTGCACGGAAGTAACAGGAAGTTGCATGCGCAGAAGGGTACCGGCAAAGCGCGGGCGGGCGACAAGAAGTCTCCAATCCGTAAAGGTGGTGGTGTTGCACATGGCCCTCATCCTCGGGATTTCTCCACGAGCCTCCCTCAGAAGATCTACGACCAGGCATGGCGGATAGCTCTCAGCTATCGGTACCGACGTGGCCAGTTGATTATTATCGATAACGAGATCTCTCTCCCGGAAAATGCTAGCACGCATTTAATCAGCGACATTATCAAGTTCCACCGTTGGGGCAGTGAGTTTGGCCGGTCGACGTTGATCACCGATCAGCCCAATGATGCTCTTTTTGACATGGTGCGCCAAGTGGGCAATCAAGCGAAGATTCTGGACCGCAAGGATGTAGATGTCAAGGATCTTTTGGAGACGGGCCGATTGATCATTGAGAAGCAGGCGCTGGACCGTATCCTGGCTCATCACTCGAGGGACTTGGTCACTAAGGCTGCCAAGGCTTTGTATTGATCTGTTGGTGGGCGAATGGACGTTACAATTTTTGGGGGTTTGAAGAAATGTTATTATCTGTACAAATAGAACCTAGCAATGTATGATTGTCGCTTGTAATTTGGCGTGAAGAAGCGGACAAACTTTGAATCTCGTATCGTTTTGATGTCAATGTGATAGGAAGATTCAACTGGGAGGAGACACTCCGCCAATCTTTAAGTAAAAGTGATAGAGAGGCCTTTTGATTTATTTAATTTTGGTATACTGATTTACAAAAAGATTCCGATCTCGAAATATTCTCTTAATTCTGTCCTATGTAAGGTAGTTGGTTGGAGTATCAGGTGTTTACAGTCAGTACCTCTCGGCTGTTCAGTCGGCGAGGAAAATCGTCCGCCGCGAAAATCTCCGAGGTCAAGCGAAGCGGAGATCGTTTTTAACCGTGAGCTTCCCTCGTACTACTAATACCCCCTTCCCTTCGTCCTTTATTCGTTTCTTCTTCCCGTTTGACAGGCTAAGGTCTGCCTAATGTCGCTCCGACACAATATCTCCCGGTTATCAACACCGTCGAGCTGGATCTCGCGGGTTTCACCAGCAACTATGCCTCTCCGCGCCAAAGTGACCAACCCAGCTTTCAAGGCTGCAACAGTATGGTCCCGAGTGCTCACCTAGTGCTTTATAGATCAACGCTAACGATTGCAATTAATAGTTGTCAACTTCCACAAACCTTCCGAAAGAGTTGCCCGGAGATGAGCCCGACGATGTTTTGTCTCACACTTTGTACGGAGTCCGTTTGGTTGAGCTCAATCGGCCAAAGAAGCTCAATTCCCTGAATGGTTCAATGGCTCGCAAGATTCTTCCTCGCTTGAAGGTCAGCTAGACTGGTGGTATATGGGATGGGATGATGGTTGCTAAGCATTGAACAGGAATGGGAAAAGTCCCAGTTGGCCAATGTGGTCATGGTTTCCGGCGCAGGCTCAAAAGCTCTCTGCGCTGGCGGAGACGTCGCAGCCCTCGCTCTGCAGAACGAGCAGGGCCCCGAAGGACAGCAGAAATCGACCGATTTCTTTGGTCTGGAATATCAGCTCGACCACACTATTGCAACCTACCCCAAACCATTCATCTCCGTCATGGACGGCATCACCATGGGGGGTGGCGTCGGACTCAGCGTCCACGCGCCCTTCCGTATCGCGACCGAACGTACTGTTTTTGCCATGCCCGAGACGACCATCGGATTCTTCCCGGATGTGGGTGGCTCTTTCTTCCTGCCTCGTCTCGATGGCGAAATCGGAACCTACCTCGCTCTCACTTCGGAGCGTTTGACTGGCGTTCAGGCGCTCTACGCCGGTATCGCCACGCACTACTTCCACTCCAGCGTACTGAGCAACCTCACCAACCGTTTGGCCGAACTGGTCTTCCGGGATTCTGCCACACTCCCCGAGCGTCTCGACCTGGTCAACAAGACCATGGCTGAATTCTCCACCGGTCTACCATCGCTGGCGGAGGAGCCGATGCTCCTTGCCGGCGGATTGCGCAGCGCCATTGACCGCTGCTTCAAGTATAACACCGTGGAAGAAATCTTCCAGGCGCTGGAGCAGGAAACCGAACAGAAGGAATGGGCTCAGAAGACTCTGGAGACCTTGTCAATCCGCTCCCCCACCTCGCTCAGGGTCACCCTGCGCCAGATGCGTCTAGGCAAGGAATGGACCATTTCCGAGACTTTCAGGCGTGAGCATCACATCGCCAGCAAGTTCATGCAGCACCCGGATTTCGTCGAGGGTGTCAAGGCCCGTCTCATGTCCAAGCCCCCCCGCCAGGCCTCATGGCAACCCGCTACCCTCCAGGAAGTCACCCATGAGCATGTCGATGCTTTCTTTGGTGCTTCCGACAACCAGCTTCCACTACTTAGTGAAAGTGATTACCGCGAATATCCCTACCATTACGGTCTCCCCACTGAGGAAGATATCGGAAAGTTTGTGCGCGACAACTTTGAGACCCAGCAGCAGACGGTGGACGCCATTGCTCAGAAATGGGGCAACAAGGAGGGCGTCAAGGAGAAGGTTGCGGAAGTGTTGGCCAGACGGACTGTTCAGACTCCCGAGGGTCTGCGCTGGGAATAGAGAAAGAGTTAAAGAAAAGAAGTTTTCCAATTTCGATGTATTTTTGATTGTCAGGTTTTTACAATGGGTATAATATTATTGACGTGTATTTCATTCTACTACAGGAGCTAGATAGTATAAACAAGATCTGTGTTTGAACTCCAAGTTAACAAAGCCGATCAATTTCCGTGGAAACATAGCACAGAATATATGCTCAGGTGCTCAAGCATCCCTCAAATTTCATTTTGTGGGGACCTTGGAAGGGCGTTTTGAGTGATGGCTCCAGCAGAAAGTATGTAAAGGTAGATAGGATAGAATAGAGTATCGAGCCGCTTATTTATGCTTACCGTGTAGCTATCTACCTAATATCTTCTGCGACCCAACCTCCTCATCTTTTATTGGAAAAAGACCGAAGATGCTGATCTGAAGTGGAGTGGAAGAAATAGACTCATAATCTAATCAGATAACGAATCACAAACTAGACAAATTAACCCGCCGGTCCGGACCTTCACTGGCTCAGCCCACCGCTTCTTTGGTATATTTGAATCCCTGGATTGTGCCCTTAGTCGATGACTCCTGGATACAACTTTTAAAAAAGAAAAGGAAAGCTAATCCCAAGAAAAAGAAAGGACAGACCATCTACTATAATGTCTCTCCGGGACTCCAGGGACGAGGCAGAGCCATTCCTGCCACAACCATCTTCATCAGAGGAGCCCCTTGAGGCCCCAACTCGTGCTTCAAAACCTGTACTAGTTAGACTATATATTTCGCACAGTTTGTCTGCATGGAACTCGCGCATGTTTGAGTTTGGAGCGGTCTTGTTCCTGGCCTCAATCTACCAAGGCACTTTGCTATACGCTTCCGTATATGCAATGGTACGCTCTCTGTCTGCAGTACTGCTGTCGTCCTGGTTGGGCTCAGCGATGGATCGTTCGAACCGAGTGAAGGCGATCCGGCAATCCATTAGTATGCTATAAATCTCCCATCGGTTTGATTTGATTCTGTGAATTCGTATTTACAATCGTCTAGTATGGCAACGTCTTCCCGTGGCCTTGTCTTGTGCATGCTTTACTGCGTTGTTAGATCCACTGGGTCCGCCTTATATCTCTCGACTCTTGTTTGCCGCAGTCACCCTACTTGCATGTTTCGAGAAATTGGCATCTACAGCTAATACTGTAGCCGTGGAAAGAGATTGGGTGAGACCCCCGGGGCCATTTCAATTGAGCCAGGATGTCTAATGCTAGACAGGCCATCATCATATCGGATGCTTTAGAAATCCCGAGGCAAGGTAGGATTATATGCTGCGACCGTACTCAGGAAGCAGACTAATATATACATAGACTTGAATGCATCCATGAGACGGATAGATCTTGTCTGCAAGCTTCTGGCTCCAGTGGTTATCTCTTTGATTGATAGCTTCTCTACCGCAGTTGCGATTTGGACGACTTTGTGTGTAAACATCTCGTGCGTTCTGCTAGAATATTTTGCAATTGCACAGGTATGTACTATATGCCATTTCTTAATTGGGTTAGAGAATGACCACACATGATATGAATAGGTATATCAATCAGTTCCAGAGCTCGAGCGAGCTCAAGGAGGTGATGAAAATGACTTTGAGAATGAAAGTGGGGAAGGAACTCCCGATCATCCAAGCTCTCAATGCAGCCTAACGTACAATGTGATGCATTATGTTAAGAGTGCTGTTGCGCCATGGCGGGAATATGTCGCTAGCCCTGTTTTACTGGCGTCGTTTGCCCTAAGCATACTATACCTTACTGTTCTTTCATTTGGTACAACGATGGTCACTTACTTACTCCATACTGGCTTCAACCCTTTGCAAGTCAGTGGCATGAGGATCGGTGCCGTGGTTGCAGAGCTGTCCGGAACATGGGCAGCCCCATTTATCATGAATCGAATAGGACCAATTCGATCCGGACTGTGGTTTTTGAACTGGCAGTTCGGCAGCTTAGCCGCTGCGGTTGCTGCCTTTGCATTTCTCGACAACAATTCTCAGCTTGTTGCAGTGAGTCTTATTGTGGGTGTGGCCTTGAGTCGCATTGGACTTTGGGGGTTCGATCTGTCTGTTCAATTTCTCGTTCAGGAGGTAAGCAATGTCATTGAGTGTTTTAGCTTAGCCATTAACAATGTCAGGGTGTTGGAGAACGTGCGCGTTCCCGCTTTTCATCCACGGAAATGGCCCTGCAGAGTGTCTTCGAGCTGATCTCATTTGCAACAACCATCGTCTTCCCTCTTCCAGGGCAGTTCAAGTATCCTGTGTATATCAGCTATGGGGCAATCACAGTAGCTGCAATATGTTTCGCAGCGTACGTTCGGAAGGAAAGAGGACATTTGCTGCATACATCCAGATGTCTTGGAGGTGATAAACTGCGATGGTTTGGTTGGGAGATGCCCTCTAACAATATATGATATGATGATAGATTCTGTATGCCTTTAACTGCTTGTGTGAATAGGCCTGAAAACGATAAAACACGAAACTACTTGATTAGAAATCCAATTTAAGAATTGTTATGTAGAAAAATTTCGTTCGTATTCTTTTATACATACAGAGATCTGTAAGTGTTGTAGTATCAAGAACTATATATGGCCTGCCAATCACGCACCCTTCCTGAATGCGGGGAAACGCCGTCCATCTTTAGTTTCTTCAATTAAATTCAACCTCAACTCCAGTTCATGGCCAACGTTACACCATGATTGCGAAGTACTACAGTCAACTATGGAGGCAGGTCTCTTAGATAGCAACGCATAAACACCAGCTTACAAAGACCAGGTTCCGAAAGCACGGGGAACAGGACGATCAGGTCCTCGTCGGCGCACGGGTTGCCTGACATGCCGCGCACGCAAAGTCCGCTGTGATGAGGCCAAACCCACCTGTGCCAACTGCACTCGGCTGCGCTTGCAGTGTATCTACAAAAATATTGTCCCGGGCATTGCACCCCGACGGGCTCCCCAGAGGATTCCTCAACCAGCCTTCACTGCCGATCCAATCGGCGCTCATATCCAGGATCGTCCAGATGTGAATTACTTCGATACAGTTTTACAGCCCCGCGAGCTGCGCCCTCAGCGGGCATCGCAAATTTCGCAGCAGCAGGTGACAGAGCACGCGCTACCCTCTGCATCTAACCCAGTCGCTGATTTTCCGGGCTTTGATATGCTCGGCTTCATTGGAGAAATCACATCAGATTTTGAGCAAAAACATCTTGATCTGACGAATGGGGGGTCACAATTTCCCCCTGCCAGCGAGGAATCGTCTCCAACGTTGCCTAGATTCGTTGGGACTGTCAACCATACCGAGCGACATCCGACTTGGACAGTTGAAGCATCCGTTGACACTCTCCCCATTCCGAGTGACGATCTATCAGATGAAGTGGAACAGGTCGATGGAATTCTATGGCCTGAAACACGGGAAAGCTACGAGGAACAGTTACTGGCTCGCTTTGCAGATATAGACCCGCCACCTACACCATTCGGGTCTATTAACCTAGAATGGGACCATGTGCGGAGCATTATTGTTTCAAATTCGCGAGATACCTCTTGCTTGTTGAATGCTTTATATTGTTACTCTGATATCCATAAGGCAATGATAGAAGGTAAGCGATGGAAAATAGCTTTGATGTATCACCAACAAGCAAGCTCGGAGATTCTATCATGTCTCCTTGAGGACGTGGATGATATGCTATTGAAGCGGGTATTGACGGCTGTTTTCTTGCTTATGGTGTCAGAGGTATGCATGTATTCTCCTTCTGGTCAACGTACCGAGCTGAACATGTACAGTTAGTATCCATACCTGACTTAGGGCGCTGCGGTACATCTTTCCTCCATTCGGCGTACCTGTTGTTACAGCGTTTCCATCGTCGAACAAATTCGTGGATTGGTTTTGGACGTTTGATAGTTTCATGGATCTCTCTACTGGATGTCAGAGCACTGATTGCCGGCCGTGATGGGGACCCGCTTGTCGATATAGGAACGCCAGATAAAGCTACTTCTGCTGAGATCGATCAAAGGCTAGAGGAGGACGAACTCCTCTCAAAACCTGGATATCTAATCCACGACTCCATTGTGGGCTCCGCATATTCCTTTCTATTCCAAGCCCAACAAGTCATCCGCCGTATTGTCTGCCTCGACATGCACCACCGCAGCCGTGGGACAGTTAGCGATGAGTTCGAAGTCCTCCAAATTGCGCACCAAATTGGTGCCGACTTAGAAGCCCTCTGGAACAGACGACCAAAGGTGCTAGACGTGTACGACAAGCCAGAAGTGTTATATGATACCCTTCAGCCTGCCGTGGCAGACGAGGTCTGCCGCACATTTCGCCAATATGTCGCCAATTTCCTGGCCATCTTCATCTACCTCCACCGCGTGGCCTTTGTGATCTACCCGAGGACAGACCGGGTGCATCGCGCAGTAGATGAGATCATCCAGCTGGCCACGGTGGATTCGGTCAGTGAGGACCATCACCTTCCAATCAGCTTTACCTGGCCGCTATTCGTGGCCGGCTTAGAGGGCTCGCTTGAACAGCGAGAGTGGATTATACAGGAGATGCAGCACATGGCCGCCTTGTCTAGTGAACACAAACCCGTAGCACAGCGACATCCAAACGCGAAAAAGATCCACTTGTTGCTCGAGGAGATGACAAGGCGTCAGGATGCGTCGCGAACGTGGGCGGATGCGCGCCTTGTACGACGAGAGCTCTTTGTGGACCCATTCGTACTCATATAACCAACACCTCGATGTTCATCTATAAAGAGATATACAGAAACAAAATCTCAACAGTTAAAACTGTTTCACAACCCTTTGGAACCTAGGCGGGTTTCTCATAAATTTCTCCGGCTCGTCCCTTGCCCCCTTCTTCCAATAATCATACTCCATCCATGCATTCTCCGGCATCTGCGCCTCCGTTGCCTCCAAGAAATCCCCCAAATCCGGATTCAGCGGAACCACTCCCGTCTCAACCACGTATTGATCCCACAGCTTCAGCAACTGCTTCAACCGATCAGGGTGTTTTTCTGTCAAATCATTGATCTCCCCAGGATCCTCGACAAGGTTATACAACTGCCACCGTTCGGGGCCCTTCGGCTTGGGAATATATACGATCTTCCAATCACCAAAGCGCAGCGCCGCCCTTCCACACGTCTCCCACCCCTGAATGAACTCCTGTTCATGGATCCGGGGCTCGGCGCCACTAGCCCATGGATAAAAGCTCTGACCACGCATAGAAACAATCTCGCGACCCCTATACGATGGCGCAGGGTGTGTCGCACCAGCCATCTGCAAGATTGACGGTGCGAGATCCATAACAGTCGCAAACTGATCAGTAATACCACCATTACGCACATGCTCGGCGGTAGCAACAGACGACGGGAACCGAGCTAAAAAGGGCACACGCACGCCTCCCTCCGTCGTATACGCCTTATACAGTCGACTCGGCGCAGTAGCAGCCTGTGCCCATCGAGGTCCATACCAGATAAAAGAGTCAGCATTGCCAAGATTCTCAAGCGAGTTATTATAATATTTCTGGAGATGGGGCATGGCGCCACTTTGGACCATAGGGTAGGCTTCGTAGGCAGCGCCCTCGGCTCCGTTGTCGGACATGAAACAGACGAACGTATTGTCTAGCTCGTCGATGGAAGACAGGTAGTCGATTAACTTGCCCACATTGGCGTCGATGCACTCCACCATTCCTGCGTAGACTTCCATGGCTGTGCAGGAGAGCTTTTTCTCCTCTGGTGTGAACGCGGACCAGGGTTTGACTTCGTCTGCGACGACGGGGTGCGCGACTACGTCTTCGCGGATCATGCCTAGTTCCTTGAGGCGTTGAAGTCGCTTCTGCCGTAGTGTATCGGGACCTTCGTCATAGACACCGCGATAGTGCTCGATGTACTCACGCGGAGCTTGCAGAGGCCAATGTGGCGCGGTGAAAGGCAGATAGGCGAAAAAGGGACGGTCATCGGAGCGATTGTGCCATTCGTGGATATACTGAAGCATCTTGTCGCCGTATCCGTCGGAGGAGTACCATCCCTCAGGCAGTTTCTTAACATACTGGTCGTCTTCCATGTGGAGGGCGATGTAGCTTGCTTCCAGGAATGTGGGGGTCTCGTCCGTGCCTTGTAGCTGGGGCTCGTAAGCATAGTGGTTCGAGCAAGCGGGAAGATGGGCTAGTGAGCGATCGAAGCCGCGGTGAAAAGGTGAGCGCTCTGGTGTTAGGCCTAGATGCCATTTTCCTGACATGAGGGTGTGATAGCCTGCATCGCGGAGGACTTCGGGGAGGGCCACGACGCGCTCGTTCAGGTATCCCTCGTACCCTGGCATACCGCGCTGCGGGGCAGTGCTCATCGCGGAGCCTTTGGGTCCGTTCTGTCCGGAGATGTTGGTCCATTCGATCAGGTTGCCTAAACCGGCGATGTGGTGGTCTGTGCCGGTCATAATCATGGCGCGGGTGGGACTAAACTTGATCAGCTTGGGAGGATTATAAGAGGAGAATAGGGTGTACTCACGAACATGCAGCCGCAGCATGGAAGTCAGTAAACCGAACACCCTGTTTCGCAATGCGATCGAGATTCGGCGTGCGGATCTCGCCGCCAAAGCAGCCTATATCAGAAAAGCCTAAGTCATCGGCGACGACGACAAGGAAGTTAGGGCGTTTGGAAACCATCTTTAATTTCAATTCTTCGTAGAGCACAATACAAAGAGGGGTAGAGACGCCTCATGACGGGCAGTGAGATGTAGTAATGTGGATGTATTTATCATTACTATGTGGAACTATGTATAGTATGCCTTAGGTCGTATCCGATCGTCTGTCGGCTGTCGGCTTTGCGAAACAGTCTGAATCTCAAGGATATGAATGTACCTGGGATAGAAGCATGCTGAATGGTTTACTTGATGAATATCATTTCCTGGTTGATGCTCAATGGCGCCATTAGGGCTTTCTGTTGCGTATCGGCTGTCGGCTGCTTGACCGATTTGGGGCATCATCAGCTGACGTCAGCTGCAACCCTAATTGGGTAGTATAGAAGTGAAATTTTTGTTGTGAATCAGGACCAGTTACCCAAACTAAGTAGATAATGCCGCGTTTATAAAGGGCAGTGATTGGGGCAAGGCTCAATGCGAGCAGTTTATATGTTAGATTCACCATGGGATAGTTGAGAGTCTATTATCCCGATCGTTGTTGTGAGATCACGTGATGAAACAGGCGTTGCGGTTGGTTCAATGCCTGAGGCAGAGATCTTGCTTGGGTCTATGGGGGCCGGATAGCAGGCAGTATATAAATAGTCTCTATACGCGCTGGAATACTCTCTACTTACTCGGCAAACATATATCAGTAACTTGAATTATTTCTATATTAAAAGTTATTTAGTGGGATTCACGTGACCTGACCTCAACACCATGGAATCTCTATATGATAGATCTAGACCTTAGGACCACCAACCCCACACATGAGCACCTACACCAGCTCTATCAGCAAGTAACTTTAAAACAATTCTCGATCGCTCTCCACTCAGTGTCGGCAACCTGGTCTGAGGGGCTCGACCACTTCACCATCGGCAAAGGCGCCGACGGGAAGCTTGTAAACGCAATGATGCGAGTGATGCGCTCCGCTTGCCTGTGTGAATGCGACATGAACATCAGACTCGTACCCATTCGTACCGTGTGTCATGGCCATCATTTTGGATTATTTCGTGTAGTTGTCACTGTGGATCAGACATCAAGTAGATGTCACCGACCTTGTTCTACTTCGCCTCAAGATTGTTGATCAAGGTGGCAGCCCAATAGCTTAGATCTCTCATTTCCAATAGTGCATTTGTTCTCGTTCCTCCGCGGAGGATGAGATGCGTGCGACGAACCAAGATGTTCGGAAATTTTGTCTTGCAAAAAAACCGTGGAGACATCTATTTGCTAATATCTATATACTACTATATAGACATAGTCCAGATTTGTAGGCCAAATTAACTAATTATATATACTTGCACTGACTAACAGCTTAGCGGCCTGGTAATTCAGTCTAATCCATACCTTCGCCTGACCTGATTTTTAATTGATATCCCATGCCCCTACACTAGGAGGAAGTTCGTAATTCCCTGTGGGCTTTGAATACTGTTGAACCACCTTCCTCCGCATTGCCTTACCTCTCACTGTCACTGGAAACTTCTCACCCTCTGCTAGCGCTCGCAGAGCAGTCGGTAGCTTTTACCAGTGCAATGTGTTTGAGAGAGCATCGAGAATAGTGCGAGTGTTTCCGTCTGCGAAGCCGGGCTAGGGAGAAGGGTACCGGTATCTTTATCTAGAATAAGAACAATGCAAAGTGAATTACAGGAATGGAATTTGTTATATCTGCAGGGCTCCTGGACTGATATAGGAGGTGGTTCGTACATACACCGCTAGTATACGACTACTGCATGCGTACTTGACAGCAATGTACATAAGGGATTATACCAAATATGCCAGGAGATGATTGTAGCTTTGACACTGATACTCATGAGTGAAGCTGTCCCTTAGTGACTCCTGCCTAGGTAGTTTTGGAACTCCCTCTGGCCCTTTAGCGCCGCCTCCAATTAGTATAACTGGGTACTATATCCGCCCCACCTCCCAGCAAGTGCAGCGATACGACGGTGGTTGATAAATCCTTGTTTTGCAACTTTGGGCATCCTTTACTTTGGTACTATCGCGAATGTTCGCTCTCTAATAGTAAGGGAGGACTGACCATCTCGTGGGAATATGAAGTTACATGATAAGCTAGGGGACCTCCAAAGAACCGCTGCTTTCTAGAGAAATGGTCACCGGTAGACAGGAAGAAGGAAAGCAAGGTATAGCTTTTATTTGAAGAACTAGTCTCCATTATATTGCTTTTCCATACAAGAAACAATATACTTAGCAAAATCAATAAATTGACTAGATCCAGCAAATATAGCAGAATCAGCAGGCATATTAGTAGAACAAGGAGTGAAGATATACTCAAGCAAGACTACCCACTAAAAATATATGAGAGAGCAAAGCTACGCTTCGCAGTCATGACACAGGGCTAACAATCTTATCTTGCCCGTTCCTCTTCACTCTCCTCCTCGCTCCCATCATCTGATTCTGATTCTCCGTGAAAGCCGACATCTGTCCATTCTCTTCCTGCACTCGGTAGTCGTACCCACTACAGTACGGGAAAAGACCAGGTTTTCCCATATATGGGATTAAACTCTTCCAGCTCTACAGTACCGTAGTGATATATCAACTGGGAGATCCCATTGATATCTAGATAAAAATATCCTCGATAAAATGGCTCATCCTCTATTCCTTCTTCCGGGAACCATCGATTCAATTACAACAACGTATCCCACCTTCGCACGCAGTGTGGTATACGGATCCGATGCAGGCCCTGGGCTTTCTAAAATAGAACGCAGGGCCTTGTCATCAATCGTCAGGCAATACTCAGCCCGGGGCGAGTTAGGGAGACGGTGTCATTCCACCCAGTCCTTGAAGAGGCGCCGAACCAGCTCCACCGAAGCCTCTTCTAACAGCTTTCCATCCTCAGTGATAACGTTCCGGTAGCCTTGCCAAACCAAACGGGTAGGCTCCGGAAACGTGTTGGACATCTTTGAATAGATAGTACAGTAAATATAGCGGTTTATTTTCTCTAAAGTCTTAGCCCAGTCTTCTTCCGGGACGTGGTACACTGCCCTGTAGATAAAATATCCCCAGGGCCATTTACGGTAGCGATATTCGGCGAAGAACGTTGCCAAAAGGATTCTTACCCCACCACGGTTGGCTTTCGAATCACCGAGCATGCTCTGTACTTGTTTCGTCTGGCGGGAAGCCCGGGAACTCCACGGTCCAGGCCACGTCTTGTGGGGGAATAAACTGTTGATAAAATCGGGTGATGGAGGCCGATCGTGGGCTGACATCTTCGCAGCCGGCAGTTTCTGTTGAAACGATTGGTAAAACTTGAAAAGTCTTGAGAAAAGTTAGTGTTAGGTGTGAATTGAGCTTGGTGGGGTCTTGGTGAAAAGCACAACCAGGATCGTGCCCGAGAGGCTCCTTAGGTATATAGACACAATTGTATATTATGACAGCATGATACCACCTCGTGCTACTGGGAGTCTATTGTATTTCCTTCTTCCTCGCCCCGTTCCTCCCTAGTCCCTAGTTTACGAAGAGATAGTCGCTCTATAGGCTCTACGAATACTGAAGTAGTTCGACCTAAAGTTATATGTAAGAGGTTTGGATGATATGCTCTATATAGAACAACGCCATCTTACATGCTGTGCATGGTTGTACTCTTATTCTTATAATGTAGGTACTCGGTATATCGCCGTGCTCTCAGACCCCTATCAAATCGACTAGGCTATAGTACCGTCACTCCCGCCGATATCATGGTCAAATCCCGACATCGGCGCAACACGGTAAGCGCTTCCAGGGACCAATTGTACATCGCAGTCACCCTTCGCTAAGGTTGGATTGGCCGCCAAAAATAAAGCCCATTTGATAGACTGTTTTATACAAATCTTCGTGCAGGTTTCCCGCGGTTCCTGGTTGGCCACAGCGTACCATCTCTCACATCTCATAGTTGTCCCCTCCGCCGCTGTGGTATTTGCAGGTGGTGGAATCTCAAAATCACTCCCACCCGGCTGAGGCAAAAATGTTACTCCCGGTGGAGGCGTTGTACCTGTCGCGGTACCCGCTTGAGGCACACCACAGAGCACATGCCCATAGGCTTCGTGACTGGCGGCATGAAGATTTGAGCAGTCAGGTTTGAGCTATGGGTTGTATTTGCGGACCGTGTATCCCGCCGCGTACGGCATTCCTAGCAATTCTTCGACTGAGGTGCACGTACCGCCTTTTTTGAGGGTGTAGATTGGTTCGCAAGTAAAAGGGCATGCAGAGCTCTGTGCCGGTAGGGATTTTGAAGCAGTCCCTGAGGTTGGGATTACCCATAGATAGAGGGGCAGAGGAAATACTGTGCTTCAAAGAAATTGTATCTCAGGTATCACCGGATACTGTTGTATTCGTTATGTCGGACCGAGGAAAAGCCAAAACAAGGCTTCTGCCCTACTGGCAACTGCAGGAATAATAGTCTGCCTGGGATGCTTCGGGTCAACACAGCCAACTGGACACGCCGTAGGATCTCTGGATCAAGATTTGGAAGCCTCAGAATCCCGACAAGTCTCTATTGGATCTATGATCCATTGGTCGGCCTACGCCGCGGAACTTATAGGGTATTCTATGGCATCAGCCTGGCTCTCAAAGTAGCATACGGCAAACGGAGATCGCCTGCAACGAACCCCAAACAAGGAACAGTCCTTTCCGATAACATGTCGGCGCTGCAAGCGATCAAGAAATTGGCAGTGAATATATTATGGCTCAGGAGATCCTATTATTGCTGGATTTCTGAACTAAAATCAAGTCTTACAGATATATAATATTAGAAGATTTATAGAACCTCTAATTACTTATTTTTTTTGCTTCTTTATTCTATTGTATAATTTTCAAGATTCTAGACCATGCTATATCCCGGGTCTACTCTTTGGTACTTTCTTCTTATACATCTTTTCTTCTCCTCGGCCTGCTACCTTATCTTATGTATATAGTATGTCCTCTTCCAAAATTTCTTATGTACATTGTACTTGACAGATTCGTTCTTATAACACTGACCAGATGAAAGGAATATCTGGAGCATTGCTAATCCAGCTGTGGACATCCACCGCTCCAGCTCCATCAAGGTATCTTGTACATTCTCTATCCGCCCCTGCCCTCCAGAAGTATTTGAAAGGGGTCTCAGCCCCGCCGGCATACTATGATTACTATCCATTGAGTCGAGCCACTGCAGTATCTGTCCGTCTTCTTTCTCTTTCAGCAAATCAGATAAGTCAGAGAGCTCTGCCATCATTATATCAGGCTGAACATGAATATATTTGCCCTCTCTGACGGGTTGACGTTTCCCACAATGGATGGCATAGGCGAGTACTGAGGAAGATGAAGGCCGAAGGCACTAGGATATCTTTGCCTACCCGCCGCATGTATATTCTGGGTCATTCCAACCGGCCCTATACAAACTAAGTACCAAGCGTCGTCTTTTAAGACCTGAAACACTAAATCAGAAAATATGTTCACAATATAGTGAAGATCAATGACACAATTACTGTTTCAGGCCGTGTTCAAGTAGTTGCCGTAGCTTGGGCCTCAAGGCCCCATGAACCGCTCCGTCCGATAAGGACCATGATATGGTGATGTCCATTCCCTCTGGTTGCACAAATGTCTTTATCCGACTTAAGGGTCCGTCCTGCCCATATCTTATCTCTGAACTGTGGTAGAGAGCAAAAGAGCAGAGTCAGCGCGTTGCCACAAAGTGCCGCCATCATTGCTCCCCAATTGCCGTGTGTTACCCACGGGCACAACTGCAATCTCAACCTGGACGATCATGACGAGCCATCCATACCACCACATATTGTCAATAGCTGGCTTTAAGTACTCCTCTAGCTCAGAGATATCAATCCAGATCGAATCGGGTCCGGTAATGGACCCATCCAGGCCAACTTTGATCAAACTACGTACTGGAGTTTAGTTAGCCCTGCTTACTGTTGCCTTACTGTTGCTTACGGTTGACTCTCCTCATGCAGACGTCTCAACTCCGCATTTCAATTTGTCTGCCCTTCTTAATGAGGCTGCCCCAGTCAAGAAGCAGTTCCTCTATACCTGTCCAATCAGTATTAGTATTCTCAGATTGCTGGTGGATAGAAGGCTGTGATCTATATTGAAATACTGATGCTCCGAGAGTAATTTCTTCTAACTGAACTCATCGGCTGTGAAATACCTTCGAAGTTTAACCTTTTCAACCTTTTCATGCAGAATCTCTTCCCCCAAAATCGCTTGGTTTTATCACCACATTGCGCTCTGCAGCCTTGGATGATGAGGTGGTAGGAACTAAAGCTGCTATACTATTGTTCGCGGTGTGACGTTGCTCATTATGCCTAGATGCCATATCCTCAGCTAGCCACCCTTGCCAATCTAATCTGTCTGCCATTCAAGCATACATATATTTATCTTGATACTTGGATAACCATCTGTTACACCCGAGTATCTGACCAAAAAGAGCTCTGTCACCAGTTTAGCTATCTTACATAGGGTTTTACTTATCCTAGAGACCAGAATCCACTAGTGTCTAACAACAAAAGTAACATAGTGACTACACAAATCCAAGACTTGGAAGACGACTCGACGCTTGTGCTACAGCATGATCGATTCCGCTTAAAGTCTGGGCAATGCGCTGCAGGCCTGCGGGCAGAGTTCTAAGAATACATTAAGCACAAAGGAATTGCTCGAGATAGAAAGATCAGACTTACTAAAAATATATATCTAGTAAAAAATCGCGCTCGCCGTGATGGTTTTTTTTGACACTACCCCTACCTTCTCTTCTCCACATCACCTTAACCCGTGTCAAGAAAAATGGAGAAGCTTGTTGTCTTCCCCCTCTATTTGCTATAAACATGTAGGAGCAATCTGTTTCGTATATTCCTCCCGGATACAACTGGCGAAATACAGGGTAATATCATTCCATTCACCGAACTTTAGAAGTACCACTCATCGTCCGGCTGGTCCTACTACATATATTTTGATGAAGGGTTAAAAAGTTACTCGCCCTAACATAATCAGCCGCTCTGGATTAAATGGTGTGTATGTTGCCTATCTAATCCGAACACATCATTGCACATGAAAGCTTCACCAATCTGCTGTTCTGATTCTCTAGGGTTTCTTAAGTGCCTGATATGATGATATATCATGACGTTGGGGTTCTGTCCATGTCACTCCCTATTTACGTAACTTTTATCTGAACACTTTGAAGGCGTAAAACAAGAGGCAAAAGTTAGAACATAACTAGGTACATGACAGCATGCAATTAGCTTGGAGAAGCACTACTCATACCACACGATACTGCTCAACTTCATCTACTGTCCAGGTCGTGGCATCTTCCCAACCCGGAGTGAAGCTGCTTTTAGTATAGATTACTCCTAGATTGGTCCGAGAGCACTCCGGATCACTCCGGCGCACTGGCCCAGTGCTCAGGGAGTGCTCTGCATACACTCTTCTGTCTTGCTATGTGCTCCAGGATTAATCACTATATAAAAAGATGCCCTGAGCTCGCCCCGTTCCGGAAATGGAAAAGTCGCAAAGTTTCCGCAGAAAATCAGCTCGATAGTCGGTTTACGTATCCATGTACTTCTTCCTTCATCCGACTAAAGAGATGTTAGGTATCATTCAGCTTTTAGGAATTGACTAATACGAGCTCCTACGCTCAAATCCCTCAACGGGATCCGGATGTCTCCAGATCTCACTACAGCGCAGCTGAAGGCTGATCACAACGCGACATGGACTATTCCGTAATTTACTGGCTCATGGCCATCGTTTGCCGTGGTGGCATGCTTTTTGGATATAACTCGGGGGTCATCGGTTAGACTTGATAGAGTGGCTATTCCAGATACGGTCTAATATGCCGCAGGGGGTGCTCTCACCTTCGGTTCCTTTCTCCGCGACTTTCAGTGCGCGCTGGAACGGGCTATCTGTGGTCTCGGCATCGGGGACTCCGCCACTGTCATCCCTATCTATCTCTCTGAAATGAACGCTAAGAACATGCGCGCTCGGGCAGGTAGTTGCTACCAGTTCACTTTCCCCGTGGGCATCCTCGTCTCCTACTGGGTAGACTACGGGATGCAATTCCGTACCCCAACTGCAGCTCAATGGCAGATCTCACTCGCCCTGCAACACTTCCCAGGCGCCCTAATGGGCCTCGGCATGCTAACTCTAGACGGAAGCTTACGCTGGCCCCTATGTCAAGGCAACTAACTATATGCCTGGGCCAGTCCTACCTGGATCCGCGCAGCAGACGGACCCGACGTCGCACTCGAATTCGCCCAGATAAAGGAAAGGCATCGAAGCCGAGCGCCACGCCACCGCCGGATTCCAGCTCAACGAGCTACTCAAACGGCCGAACGCCCGACGCCTCCTATTAGGCATCGGGTTGATTCCTCGCACGGCAATCCACCGGCGCAACGGCCATGGCCTACTTCGGACCCCAGTTCTTCTCCCTCCTAGTCGGCAACAACAACTCCCTCACCCTTCTCCTTACCCGCATCTTCGGCGCCCCGAAAGTAACAAGTTACCTCGCGTTCATAATCTGGATCGCCGAACGATTCCTCCGCAGACCCCTGTTCATCTTCGGCGTCCTAAGCATGTCCCTCTGCATGCTCTCTACCAGCTCCGTCCGTCAAATCAGTCCCTCACCAAGACGATACCAACAGCAACAACCAATCCCCCAAATTCGCACTCACAGCTATCCTAACTATCTCGCTGATCTACCTAGACATAGTCGCGTACAACCTCTCCTGGTGTGGATGGAGAGGAGGCAGAATCCTGTCTGAGCGCTAAGGTATCAGAGGGGATTTATCATCACCATTGTCGGCAATATTATCCAGAACTAGAACTAGAACTAGAACTAGAACTAGAGGTAGAAGTAAAAGTAGAGATCAGGGATTGATTAACCAATATATACATGTACGTAGACAACAGCGGCAGCAACGACAATACAACAGACCAAATAATATCATGCTTCAAAAACCACTCTACATCCGGAGTATAGTAGACACGGTACCTATAAGTTAAGCAAAACAAAGCACATCATCACAGATCCACGGTCTAAACCAAAAGGAGAAAAGTCAGTGACCCACGTCAAACACCGACCCTCAAATCCCGCTCAATGAAGCCATACATTTATGTGGATGATATCGGAATCTAATGGTAAGAAAACGATTGGCAAACGATTGGCAAACGATCAGATTTCTGACCTTGATGATCCTAAAAAGAACTATCAAGCAGGGCCTATCTCGGGGATCATTGGCCCTTTTATATATATAGCCTCATTCCGCTTGAATCCACAAAGCCCCCTCTATTCACTAGGCATATGTCACCTGTCTGCAATACTAGGCAATTCCGTGGGCATGTTCAACGATTTAGTAACTGACAAGAAACAAGGATCGATAACGGGCCCCAACCATTACATCCACTCTTCCTTCCTTCAGGCTTCCTTCGGGTGGGTCCCGGGTCTTGTCTTACACAATACAACGACTTTCACTTACTATTGTACTTAGACTTAATGGGTTGGTTATGAACGGAGAATATATCCGGGTGGGGACGAACTCCATTTTTCTTCCATTTTTTTTCTTATTTAGGGATGTGCGAGATTAAGTTAGGGTATATTGTCATCTAACTATTCTATTTGACGTATGTTGTAGTTTACTGTATACCCCAATTGATTTTACTTGAACCATTGAGTCAAGAATATCTCTGGCTTTCATCGAAAGATAAGTATAGAATACAGTAAGGTAGCATTCACAAGGCAAAGAAAGTAGTGTAAGCTCCTACATTAAGTCAGTCGACAAGAGCTTTTCGCATCGGAGGCGCAGGAAGTACTGTAGAAGATCATGTGACTGTACTTAGTGCGATCGTAGTAAGTAGCCTGAGGCCACTAAATACTACCTGGTAACTACTGAGTAGTAGTACCATAGCAGTAAGTACTAAGGAAGGTAGGAACTAAGTAAATAAGTGGTGTGAGAAGCTCGCTTCAATAGGCCGGGAGCTACGCCACCAATGGTTAGATAGAATGAACCGATCTTTGAACGATGGGCAAAACAGAGGCTCCTTTGGATCTATCCTCCGCGAATTTTGCCACCGTTAGGTCAGGACAGGTGGATATAGCGTCCCACTCTTAGGATTCTGGCTACAGAGTACCCGGATATGGATACCTTTGATCAATCTCTTTCTTCTGTGGGAAGGAAACCTTGATTCTGAGATTGAATTAAGTAATTAATTATGTATCGTTTCCGTGCTAGGATTTTTGCTAGTCATACACAAGAAAACAATAGAAGCTGAGACAAACGGTGATACTATTGCTATGTACATATGCTGTTCATGATCGCTTAGGCTAGTTATTGATAAGACTTTCTAAAACTGTTCAAGTTACCACTGTAAATTGGTTTATTATTCATAAATAGATAAATAAATCAATTGAATTGATTTACTGATTAATTGGAGTAGTTGATGAATTGTTCCGGTCTGAACCGAATCCAAGAATTAAGGAATTATGGGGTTGCTGCATTGTTTGGCAGGAAGGATGAAAGTTGCGTGGTTGAGCTTGAGCTTCCAGGGAAGAATGATTAGCGGCAGATCACGAGTCAAGGGATGTTCTTCGTCTCCCGAGCTCTCCGTCTGTCAAAGAATACAGGCCGCTCATTGGTCGCACCACTACTCCCGGACCAGGTTGATGGGAGGAGAGGGGAACCAATAAAAATCCGTCAGTGGTCTATCGTTGACATCATGGGGAGCAAAAGATACAAGTTTTCAATCGTTTGATAGATGATCATTTAATAATAATTAAAAGAACAGAGAGAGGAGAGAGATATCACTGGAAAGAGCGAGAATCCTTGAATGGAAGGTTCCTAGATGGCGATCTCCAAAAAAAAAAAGGAAAAAAAGAAAAGGGAAAACGCATTAATTCAAACCTAATCAAAACAAATAAGAGTTCAAAAGTACTGTTTCTCCCATTTCATGAAATCATCGAGTGTTTGCTCCTCCCGTGGATTGATGAAATCGCAAACTTAATAACTTAACAGAGAAGACGAGGAGTGGTTACAACTTCAGCCTCAATTGACGAGGTGGTGGGTTGAGAAGATATCATAAACCTCCCTATAGTCTCATCTATAGTGGCAGTAGGTCATGGATAGTATATAGCAACAGTATCGCTTTATCTATCCGTGTCTTCAGCTTCTATTATGTCTTGTATTGTATACAATTTATTTCCAGAAGGAATATTAAATAAATAATATATGTCCAGCTATCCACTAATAATCTTAACCAAAGTAGCACAGTAGTACTATTTCTAAAGTTGATTTCTTGAATTTATTTTCCTAATTTCATAATTAACTCCCCGCCCCCCGCCCTATCATTCTGTTCTGTGTCGCATATAGACAGCTCTAGTCCTCCCTTTCCCTCTTCCCTCGTCCCTCTTGACTCTTCTTGCCTTTCTCTCCCTTCCAACTTACATGATTCCTCTTTCCCTCCCATCTCGACTGGTTTCTACAGCAATCAGCGCCATTTCTCTTGATCAATGAGCCCGGTTGATACGATCCCTCTTCACAACGTCATCCGTGTTCCACAGTTTGCGGTTGCACTTCCACCCTGGTCCACTTGGTCTTGCAGCTCTTCCGAAGTCTGTCTCATCCTTGGAAAGGTCTGGACATACATGGTTCCAACTTATATTGCTCCCCGAGAATCTTCTACCCCCATCCCTCTTGTCCGCGAAGCACCCTTTTCGCCAAATCCGCCCCCGGCGGCCCGTCAAACCGTGATAAACCGTGGTAATACTGTCCCCCAGGCACAAGCACTTCCAGTTTCTAAATCCCTATCATACGACTCTGCCAACTTTCACCACCCCTCCCGGGATCTTTAATCTTATCGCTCTCCCCTCCCCCCCGCTCCTCCTCTCTCGTTCTTTTTTCCTTCTCCTCTCTCTTATGGTTATCCGCTCAGCCCTACCATCAGTCTCAACTTAAGTCTTACGGTCAACTCAAGTCTTTCACTATCGATTCAAGTCTTTACTGTCAACCTAAGGATGTCGGCGGGGGGAAGCCTCTACAGCCGCGCCTCGCTAGGGATGGCAGACCCCAGCGGTGCCGGCCCTCTCGGGGGCCCTTTCGCACCACTCCCAGAACAAAATTCTCTCTGGGCCTTCTCGGGCTCCATGGCCTCCTGGCAAGGGGTACCTAACAACAACCTGGACATGGAGCAGTTCCAGAACTCCCATGTTCGCAACGGGCAACCAACCCCGCCACAGTACGTTGATGCCATGGAGGAAATGTATCCTCTGGCGCAGTATTCACTCGCCGACTCTCCGCCCGAGCTTGCCCATCAGAAGCAACGCGGAAGCCTCAGTGACCAATCTCAATCTCAACCGAACACGTACAGCCTCGGCCCCCGGCGTCGGAGAGCTCCAGACACGGGGAGGAATCAGCCAGAGCAGAATGAGAAGCGCAAGAAATTCCTGGAACGGAACCGGGTGGCGGCCAGCAAGTGCCGACTGAAGAAAAAGGAGCAAACGAAGCTCTTGCAGGCCCAATACCAGGAACTAAATAACAAGAGAAACGAGCTAAAGCGACAGACCGAGCGCTTACGCTCGGAAAAACTCTCCCTCAAGAACCTAATCTTGGCGCATGCCAATTGTGGCGACCAGGCCATCAATCTTCGCATCCAACAGATGGTGGAGGATATCACATCTCAAGACACCCCCCGTCTCGGCTCCATCCAAAGCCCCCAGCCGAACTCACCATCCACTCCCCAGGGGCTCTCTTTTGGCTTCGATGGCCCGATGCAACTGAGCCCGTCGTCGGCCATGGAGTCGCCGGAAGATCAGCAGCGACGAGAATCCGAACAATTCATGACCGAGTCATCCTACGGACTCTGCGCGGATGACAGTTTCGACGATTTGATTCAATTTAATTAGCGGGCACGAGTCCTATTTCTCCTTTCTTTCCTTCTTTCCTTTTTTTTATTTATTTTTATTTTCGATAATGGTCTCCGATACTAGCGACGTCGGAGAGTACTTCTTGCACACGAAATGAGCTGTCTGAAATGTTACGAATCTGATCGGGTTAGCGGTTTTGTCTACGATGAGCGCTGGAGTTTTTGGGAGTTTTCAATGGGTATACAGGCGATGCCTTGCGGAAGGCCCTGGGTGGATGACTAGCAATTGTTGTTTTTTATTCTTGGCTTTTTATGTATTAATAGATGTTGAGAGGGTCGCGTTCGGCCGGCCTTCTATTGCTTTACGACATCTGGTTTGCTCGCCGGCTACATTTGTTGCTCTGATCTGAGCATTTGATGTATTACTAAAGAACGAAGCTTTGAAAACCACCCCAAAAAAAAAAAAAAAAAGCGGAAAATTTGCTCGAAACTGTTGCTTCTTCCTCTGTCGCATAGCAGTACATACAGTACATCTCCGCGGAAGCTGAAGCTTAAGATGTTACAATGTATTGTAACTCATCTCTCCAACCATCCCATTTCATTCCATTCCCACTCTCTCGGCGGAAATCTTCAGAAGCTTCGAACGGAGTTCTACATCCGGAAGTCAAAAGAAAAGAATTCAATAAACAATAATAGTAACTACAACAACAGAGGTCTTAAAAAGTAATTCCCACCCCATGACAGACTAAACAGCCCTCCTCCAATCCAGGGATTAATCCTCTATACTGCTCAGTATCCAATCCATCCCCATTTTGGCAAAAGCGGTTGAAAGTTACAGCTCCAGATGCACAGCGAACGGATATGGTAACAGTGCCAGGGAAGTAACCCCAGCTGTGATATGACATCAAAAGTGGGCCCCCGGAGAAAGCAAGAACAAGTACCCTCGCGAAGTCTGTACCTTACAGACGCCCAGACACAGACCTCAAGTCATGACTCAAACGGTCTGGGAGAGGAAGGAGAGAAAGTTTGGTTTTGGTTTTAGTTTTCAGCTCGGTGCTTTTCCTCCCCGATCAGAAGCTAGCTATCAGTCTTAAACTTTCCTGAAGAGGGGAAACAAAAAAAACCATGGGTCTGCCGGGCCAGAATGTAAGCGTCACATCTGTTTTTGATGAAACACCCTTTGTTCTTGGGAGGAAAAAAAAAAAAGGCGAAGGAAACCAAACCGGGTGATCTGGTTGGTGGGTTTCTCTCCCTGAAGGGCTGATTGACTGATTGATTGATTGATTGATCGTTTGATGGATACTGGATACGGATATGGATACTGTTACTCTACTCCAACCCCCGCCGTCGATAGTAGCGGGTAGAACATCCGATTCCTAAGGGGAAATCAATGTATGTATGTAAATGATTTATAAAATTACTGGGTTTATTTTTTTTTCCCTTTTACTTAGGTAATTATTAAACAAGAAGTAGTTCTATAAAGGAAAGGTTAAGTTATACGTATTTAAAAATCGACTATTTTTCCAAGATACCACGTTTTTGATGGGGGGTAAAAAAACCAAAACAAAAAAAAAAGTGCCAAGAACCGAAGCCATTTTTGCACACGCTAAATCAACAATTGGGTTCTGGACTCGTGGGGAGAACATGCGTTGCGTGGCCCATGCTGTAATCTAGACCGTGATCCGGCTTGGAACGTTACCAATAGGTACAGTAACAATCCTATAGATCTATATTGGGGTCAGACGGGAGAACCACCTGCCCGATATGTTGTTATTCTGGGTCGAATCAATTAATCAAACCAACTCTCTCACCAGTCGATCGAGAGTAGAGTACTGGGTACTAGTCGAATCGAGTCGAGTAGGGGTAGCCATATAGCCATAACCATCTATCTCATGCGGAGTATTGAGTAAGCTCCGTCGATCCGTCAACGGTGAATCGTCGGCCCTCTGCTCCGGGCCGCACTAGGCGGCCCCCCCTTCGGTCTTGCATTCTTGTTTTGTTTTTGGCCGGCTGGTACTCCCGAAAGTATTGTACAGTACGTATGTGCGTGCACAGAGCATAATACATTAAATGATTCCATGATCCACCAAGATATGACCAGTTCGGGGCAAGTGTTGAAACCTCTCATTTTCAAATCATGGTCAAAGACTGCCAACTCAGATGCTACTATACTATTATTGTACAGTAAACTAGACTACAGAGTGGATGGGATGACGAAATAATCCTCGGGCTTTGTGCAGACGGACCCCAACTCCACTTCTTTGATTTGTATCTAAGTACAGCACTAATTACCCTGATCCACAAATAGATCCTGCTTTTGGGGACTAACAAACAAGAAACAACCAAAAGATGATTGGATTTCCGGTGGTATTAAGAACTGGTCTTTTTTTTTTTTTTTTTTTTTTTGAAACATACACTAAATCAACACAGTAAGTGTTAAATCTTCCGATTGGCCATTCTTCCAGCCGTGATAGTGCTACCTACTAGTACAGTACTTCCAATACTACCAACACAGGGCTCTTCCTCATGAGTCACATCAATACCAAGGAAGGTAAAACCAAAGTTTAAACCGTCTTTACCATAATACAAGATAAGACGGGAAAAAAAAAAGAGAAAGAAGGAAGGAAGGAAAGGGGAGGCTGCTGCGCCTCTACGAGTCTAGAAGACGATCTCTTGAGCAAAAACTATCCAACTATTTTCTCGCGTGACCTGTCACCCTCCTCCCAACTGAATATCTTGGAGAAGGCCCCCTGCTTCAGGACCGATCCTTGATTTTGCCAGACCCGTAACTGTCGATTGATCATGTACCAACCGCCGATCAACATCGTCATCACCCGCTGACTTTCGATCTCTCGCTCGATGGCACGGAAAGTGTCCTGCCCCCCCTCGCCCCCATCTGGGGTCAGCAATGGCCCAAGGATATGACCGAGGCGCTCCACACTCAATTGCCCCGGGGTAATACTACTCACACCGTCGCCGGGTTCCTCGAGCTCATTCGCGCGTTCCGTCTCATACGCCAGCATGGCACAGAGCCCGAAAAAGGCACAGATGAGGTTCAACTGCATAGGGGTCGTTAGCGCTAGGACCGCAAGACCGATTGCTTGGATTTTGGTATGACCGTGAGGGGGGAGACCGCCGACGCAACTACTATCGGGCTCACGCCCCCCTTCGGCGATACGCCCGTAACAAATGCTGACGAGGATACGGTACAACTCCCCCGACCCTAATATCCCACCGGGGAGTCCAGCCAAGAGCGCCTTGAAAACCCAGCCGACACTGAGAACCTGCAAAGACGGCTTGCGCGAAGCCTTGTGATCAAGAACACCTATCAAGTCGACGGGCATTTCACCACGCCGCACCGTTATCTCAATCCTGTCGTTCACCTTCTCCGCAGAAAGCACTTGATCCGCGAAGTATTCGTACGTTCGGGCGGCCATCGTCAAGTCACCCGCATTACAAAACACGTCGGGCGTGGACAATGCTGGGCCATGGCTTCAGTCAGTATGTCCCAGAACTACGGCCCTGTAGCACGTGAGGAGATGCGTACCGAAGCATTTCAGATAGGATATAGTTGCGACGAAGCATGTTGGTAGCCTGAGAGTAGCCGGCGCATATTCCACGGGAAATTGTAACAAACTGTGTCCTCCGAGACGAGCTAGACTTTCTAAAGACCTGCCTCTCAGGGAGGAAAAACTGCGGGGTCGAGAAGAAAGATTGGTAAATGTTTTCATCCGACGCAGCGCTCGACCCTGGCTCATCGGGGGCTGAGCTTTCATATGAAGACTAGATTTCATTACTCGTATTCTGCCAAATACTCTATCACGGCGTCGTAGTGGCTCATTTTCTTTAGTGAGAAAGCGCCCGTCCACTGTTTCTCCGTGAGTATATGCTTACCAAGCGACGCTGGGAGCGCCAAGGGGAAACTTACCTGACACAGCCGAGCCCAATTCTTCTCCAGCCTCGCCGCAATTGCTCAGTACAAGAGGATCCAGGCGTATTTGAGGGGCAAGCTCATTGAACGCGACAGCGGCGGTGTGCCTATCGATATGAAGCGACCAAGTGCTGTCTCTTGACACTGTTCGAGACGAGCTGACAAGTGATATGGCTCCATAGTCCAAGGGATTCTCGTTCTTTGCAACCATTCCTGCGATGTGAGCGAATTCGTGATTGACGTCACTATACTGGGAGCTAGCCCGTCTTGCTGAACCAGTAGTGGTCATTGATGGCTCTAAGAAGGGGTTGTAGCTAGACAATCGATCGGAGGGTTCGACGGGTTCATTGAACGGGTTCTGACGCGAATGCTCCCTATGGATTAGAGCAATAGGTGTCGAGGCACGTTTCGATGGATTGTGGCAGACGGTTACGCTTGTGAGATCGGATGTATGAGAATGCATGGTTCTGTCGCTCGCTTTTCTTTCCTCATAGGGCTCCTTGGGGTTGTTGTTGTAGCATCGGAATACCTCCCGCACATCTGCGCTTCGATGGTCTGCAGTTGTATTGCGTACGGTACACATATTACCCCGATCATTGGCATCCCCAACAGCACAAGTATTGGGTTGTTCGGGTGTACAGAGTTTGGATTTCCGTCGCCGAGACTTTCGCGGACGCAGGAGAGTTACAAAACCAGCCAAGCGCCTGGAGCCTCTTACCGAACGCTGAACATCGGTAGAAGACTTCATGGATGCTCCCTTGGTGATATCGGTGCCCGTGTGAAGCAAGAGACCTTTCGCTGGTGACCCTTCTTCAATGTGCGCCGGTGACCTGACCTGGCCTAGGAGATCAGAGTGGCCTTCTCTGACTGGCTCATTGCATGTAGAGTTCGTTTTTGTCAGAACTAGTTCGCGGTGGTGATCTATTTCTCTGGACAAAATCGTATCTGGGTGGTCACTAACGCAGTCCGATAATGCCTCGCCTACAAGAGTCCAAGTCCGTGATCCACTGCTTCCACATACGGGCGATTTGGAGAAGATGCTGCCGAAGAGCCTCATCACTGTTCCGGCATACCAGAAGTGAGGCGCGACATGCAATGCGACACAACAGCAAGTCTTTTTCGTTTGGAAGGTAGGAGCAAGATTGCGACATAAAGCCTAGTCTCAGACACTAAAGCTTTCAAGTCCAGAGACCTGTGGCAAGGGAGACCATGACGGCAACTTCCTCTGACTAATATATGGATCGCTCCTTCTCTGGAGTTTGCTGATTGCGCACGAAGGCCCTGTTCGACATCCGCCGATGGAAGGTATACCTAGTTTCCAAAGAAATCATCAGGACTCTTATCATGGATAGTTAGTCGTCCTACCGTATGAAACCATACAGCTACAGCTGCATCATACAATGTCATCAGAAATATAGAAATACAGTACATACTCCGAAGAAAACAATGGAATATATGATGAGGAACAGAGAAAGGCCATTTTCATGGCCATACATAAGAGAGAAATCTATTATTGTCAATCCAAACGCCAATGCTGAATTTCGGGGGCAGAACGTAAATCCGACAAGCGGAGGGCCAACCCAATAAAAATCTAGACCATCATACAATACCTTGACTTTCTCGCGCACAGTAAAACGAGAGGAGTACATACCCCAGATGTAGACGAGAGGGGCGACTCGTGGAGCACAACCATCTTGCCGTCGAATCCTTAACGGTAGACCATGTCACTGACCCCCCAAAGCAGAATCTAACGCCATTCCCATGCAGATTTTAAGTGTACGTCAGGAACTCTGAGCGCAAGTCCCTGCTTTACATCAAGAAGATTCATCGTTTTCGCCCTCTAGAAGGATGTATTGTAGAATATCACTCAAAGTGAGTACACCTTTTAGTCGGAAGTTCTCATCCACCACAACCAGGCGGTGTACACGAGATTTGCGAATTGTGTCGAAGATGGTATCCAGGCCATCATTCAGGGAGCACGTATATATACCAGGGAAATCCTGTGGGTTAGGAGGGGTTCTTATGTTAGCCGAGAGGAATAGGAGGGAAGCCTCAATCGCCCAACATACCGGGGAACGCTTTTTCAATGCCTCTCCGACAGTTAGACTTAAGTCATCGTACACTCCGCCTTTAATCAAAGTGATAACATCAACAGCCTCGAAGACATTATAAACAACACCTGGCAGAAGCGGATCTCCTTTTAGCAATTTGAAATTTGAGCTGGAGCAGGTCAATCCGTACCTTCGGAGTTTACAATGGGCACACTTGATATGCTCCGCTCCACGAGAATGTGGATTACGTCAATAACAGGAGTGTCCATTGATGCAGTCGCTAAATTTTGATAGCTACCCAGTAATATCTCTCCTAGGGGTTTGCGCAGTTTCTGCGTGTCATTGACATTGACGGCAACAAACTTCAAGATGCGGTACTGTGTAACCACACTTAGGACGTGGGATCGGTCGGTTTGACTATCATTAGTGACCAAGGGAATACGTCGAGCTCGAGATTCAAGCATGCGCCGGCAGGCTTCATATAGAGGCCGTTCCGGGTCGATGGAAATGGTTTCAGGCGGAGCGACCCCTAATGCTTTTTCCACCTCTGGATATGAGAACCATCGTCAGCATCGGTCCACGGACATATTCAAAATGCGAGAAGTAACGAGTGGCGCACCTCGGAGGCTGTCCAGTCGGAATTGATCTATCTGGTCCAGAGCCGCGGGGTTCTGAAAATAGTATTGGATGACATTGATGTAATCAGAGGTCGTGAGAAGACCTGCAAAGGTTGACGTCTTCGAGTCCCATAATGGAGCCGACACGATGCCTGTAAAGCGAACAGCCAATGCCCGAACTCGTCAGTATATTTCCCTTCTGAAAATCACGTTTTCACTCTTTCGTGAAAGACATGTGAACAGGGGACACGGCGCACCGGCCCTGCCCTCAGGCCAAGGGATTTACATGCCATTTTGGATCAAGATATTTAAGCTCTCCTTCACCGACAAAGAGGTGTCGAAGATGATAAGCCGGAAGCTGAGCGGAAGGACATCGTAACTGTTGCGGACTTTGAGGAAATTGCGAATGGCACGCTACAGATAGATATGATCGAAAGAGACAGTTATTAGCCAAGGTTCACACCGGGGTTCACAGATCACCTCTAAGATGAATATAGGGGCATGAATGGTGGAGAGTTGGAGCTCGTGGTTGGAGGTAGTAGCAGGATTGTCTGAGGGAACCACGGGCCCAGTCTGGACCAATTTCGGCCAGGGGGGAAGGGAAGCATAACCGGAGATAGAAGCGCCCGGAAGAACAGGCAGGTAAAACGAGAAAAACAAAAACACAAAGAAAAAATGGAAACTCACTAGTCCTTGTCGCTCTTCCCGATCGATCGCCCTTTCGGGCTGGGCTGGGGGCATTGGATGTGAAAGACCTCGCGGGCGGAAGTAGGAGGAGGGCTGCATGAAACCTTCCTCGTGACCACGAAGAGGGTGACGACTAGGGACGGAGGTGAGATCGTTGATGGTGCTGATGGAGGTGGTAATTGGGGTCGTAGTAATGGAGGAAGCGGGAGGAGGAGCAATGTCGTCGGTCGTGGCGGGTCTGGGCGGCAGTCGGATTCTGCCCGTGGGGTTTTTGTCCGCCATGATACTTTATAGTTCAACGGTGAGACAACGACAACTTCTGCTGCATTGAGAACGAGGGGCACGTTGGAGGGGTTGGCTGTGGGGTATAATGCGGTGACTCAATGGAGGACAAAGTCGACTTAGTATTTCAGAGGCCTCCTCGATTTCTTTGTGTCTTCCTTTTTTTTATTTTTCTTTCCGTAACCTTTCCCCTCTCTTAGTCTCCAACGCATGAAAATGTATAAAGGGTGGAACCGGTGGGGAAGGGGAGCGTAGAACACCAGCGGGAGTCGAGGCTGATATACCTGACAATTTACAAAAGACAAGGAAGTAAAAGTAAGAATTTCTTATATACTCTGGAATACTACCTAACCTTTTATTTCTGTCATATATTTGTTGCAAATCTACTACGAATTTAATGAGGGTTGTAGCTTCTCCGCCTTCCTAAATTGGCAATTTGCAGATATCGGACCGCAGTGACCTATGATAGATGAAATGTCTATTGAATATGGCATCATAGTACAGAATCCAATCTCCAGATATTCGGTGAACTAATATGATAGTATATACACAGTTCCTTCTGACCACGATGCTAGCGGCTGACTTGCCATTAGTCCTCAGCACTCTGGAATTACTTGTGGAGTAGCTACCTATCGGCCACGTGATGATAGAAAGCCCTCTAAAACACTTGCAGCTTGAAATCATAGATCGTTCACTTTCATGAAAATATCACTAAGACCAGAGCTGAGTATTTTGATGAGTATCCCTAAGCTAGTACAAATATAGACTAATGATATGTGATACCTGAGTTGTACGCCTCACATCGGTACAAAATACAATCTTAAGTAGGAAGCTTCAATAAATTTCTATACCAGACTTATAATACTAGTGATATAACGATGGGTGACTCCGAAATAAGTAGAAGCATTAGCAGTCACTGAATCCCTGAATGATGGCATAGTCCGCAGTGTCAAGGTACGTTATGTTGCTGTTCAATGGCATGTACAGTATTACCACCTCGTAACCCCGAAGTTTTATATGGAAACCAGCGACAGAGCGAATGCATATCGCACTTCACAAAGTCTAGATAGGCTTCAACGGGAGATCTAAGGAATCCTCAAGAGGCGCACTGTCATGTCAAACTTACCCCTCTTGTTTTCTGTCCGTAGCAGTATACTTCCTAGCTTCTTCTTCGTATTCTATGCTCTATTATCACATTCTCACTCAAGCACTATAGCTATTCAGTTAGAGTTATGGGAGGTTTTCCAAAGTGAGGAAAAGTGCAATGCACCGCAACCATGCAGAACCCTAAAAGAAGCAAGATATTGTCAATGATAGAGGCAGAGCATTGAAAAGATCCGAAGAGATTAGGAGATAAAAGTTAATTTGCTCGATGAGTTCCCGTATTTCTCAGATGAAAATACTGACTTACTCCGATGTGCACTTATGTTCCAAGCCGAGCAAAGGAAAAGCTGCGAGAGGCATCTGCTGTATAAGGTAGTCTTAATCTATAGAGCACCAGGGAGGCCAACGCTGAATTTTACACTCGGTGATTAGTTTCCGGTTTCTTATGGCCCCATGCCAGAAGGACTTTCGAGCTAAATTTCCTGGGAGTTTCTATAATTATAAACAATATGAAGTATTAAGTCTGATATCGTACGCTGACCAACCTGAGGCCTAAACACATGTAATACCCCGCTATCCCACACGTGACATAGATATAGGGTCCAATGTTTGTGAATTCAGCATGATATATTAGTATGAAGGTATTGGGCGCCTTCAGAAATTAGGTCTATATACAAGATCTGCTTTTGCTTCTTGAGATAAGGAATAGCCGTCCAAATGCATCTCTTGGGGTGATCGATCGGAAGACGACGGTAGCTCAGTTGCGCTCAACTTTAAGAACCAATGTATAAAACAAAGTGATACAGCATAAAAGAGCCGAAGTTTTTCTGTTAGGTCTTGGGCTTGAATGCACATGTTAAAGCAAGCATGATGTAATAACATAAGGTGTCTAGATGTATGTGTAAGATGAACTCGGCAACATGCCCGAAGAAATCAAGTGGAAGGAGAGAAAAAGGCAACAATATGAGCATTAAAGAAGCTCAGTCAAGACCACACTATAGCAGCTGATCTCGACAAGTCTCGCGATCGTCGCAGTTAATAAGGTTTATGAGGTTACTCCGCCGTAGTTCCATTGGAGGCCTCTCTCTGCGACAGACTTGGGGTGATTCCCGTCTTCAGGTAGTTTTCGTACTCCCCAATGCGCTTTCCGCCCTGGATCCACCGTTCGCGGTACGCAGCTCTCCTTTGTTCAACAAGCTTGTTCAGAGCTGGCCAGTAGGTTTCATGATCGTATCTGAACTCGACATCTCCGCCCATGGATTTCATCAACTGGGCCGCAGGAACATGCTCACGCAGATCCTCGTTGAACTTGAGCTTCTGTCGGGTCAAGGGATCAATGAATGGGGTGATCAACTTGAAGAATCCCATTATTAAAAAGGGCACTAGTTGGCACCATCGGGTTAGTCTAGAAGGAATAGAAAGGGAAGAGAGACAAGCGTCACTTACTATTGATGACCAATGCACGACCCATTCTCTCTGGGTAGTGGTTTTGCAGAAAGTTAAGAGTCTGTTTGGCCTGGCCGACGCTTGCATTCTGACCGGATTTTGTGTCGCTGTAGTTGACAATGAGCGCCAAAGTCTCCTGATCTGGCCCCATCAGATCAATGATCCGCTCCAACATGAAAACCAAGTGCTGAATCTGGCGGTCGCTTTTTTCAGTGTTCTGGTTGGACGGCAGGAGATAGAGACAAGGGCGTGCGTGGATGTCGTATCCAAGTATAACCTGCTTTCCAGTCTCATTCTCAACCGAGATGAACTCCGGTGTCAGCTTCTCCACCCCATATTCGCGACGCCACGTCAGAGTACGTTCGAGCCGAGTGACTGCTTCAGGGACGTTCCATTTGGTCGCCCGCAAGTATCGCAGAAGACATTCCCGTGTCAAAAACATGCGCTCGTTATCCGTGAGGGGCTCCTTGGGGGCATTCTTCGCAGACGTCGTCGGAACTGTTGTCCAGGCGGAAACGGCCTCTAAGACCGAATTGTATTTCTCCTGTTGATCAGACGTAAGCTCAGCAGGTGGAGGAGGCTTGGCTGACTCAAGAGGGCGGGGGAAGGGCTTCTGAATGAGACCGTCTGCAGCTGATGATGGGAGCTCTGCCTCGATATCGGTGCCATTGGCTGCAGGCGCGGCAGAAGTCTGAGTTTGCTCGAAAGCATTATTGGAATTCTCAGCGGTTGCGTTTGTCTGTGAGTCAACTGCTTGACCGTTGTGGGCTGATGCAGCCGGGACAGTGCATTCTGAAGGTGCACTCATGATGAAGGAATGAACAGTTATGCGATTCAACTAGATTCAAGTCTACGGCGTGTATGCTAGGCTGTAACTCAGGGGGCAATGCCTCGCACAATATATAAATGAGACACAGTGTCAGCTCCCCTGGAAGTTCCGTTCTTTTCCACGTAAGTTTCAGCGCTGAGTAGTGTTGATCGACAGGGCCCCACAGGATGATCGTTCGGCATAGTAATAATAATAACAATAGACAGATGTTGCCACTTGATCGGGAAGGCGGTCGTCCTCCTAATTAATTTCCCCGTCCCGTGCCTTTGCACGCGGCACGCGTTTCTCCGCGCGTTTCTCCAAATCCTACCCAGTTCGACTTGGCTCTTACCAATTGAACCACGACGCAATTGAAACGGGCTTATTATCGCCATGGAGGACGTTGTTGGAGAGCTGAATGAGCTCTTCGCATCTTCCACTCCCGATGGACTCCCGAAGGACGTCCTTGCCGAGCTTCAATCCATTCTACGAGTCCACTCTATAACCCCGCAAGAGCTGTTTTACAAATGGGAGTCATTTTGCTTGAAAATGGGGTCGGAGGAGACCAAGCTGAACCTGGAAACGGTGAGGCTTTTCAAACGTGATGTTCAGGAGATTTTGGAGCGAGAAATTCGCAGCAAGTCTGGCCGACAAACCGAGAAAAGAAACATGCCGACCGCTACCCCGCGCGCTGCTGCAACAACCGACGTTTTTGGCATGTAAGTCACAGATTCATGCTCTGTGGATGGTGTAGTGGTGTGATGAGGTGGTTGACGGGATTGTTTTAGGCTGGATGGGTTGACTCCAAAGGCGCACCACGGTCGAACGCCAAACTCAGCGAAACGGAAGGCGGACTTTGCTTCACCCTCTACGTCTAAAGTTGGAAAGGTTGGCGAGTCTCCCATGGGAACTAGGGCTTTACGGACTATGAATGGAGGTGTTGCAAGTGATGGAGTGCAGTATGTCACAAGGAGTCTATTTCGAATTACTGGGAAATTATGAATTGACTATAGACATAGGTCTGTCTCCTTCTCTGAGCGCCAGAATCCAGGCCAGACACTTGAGACTATCAATGAGCACTTATCAGGACCAGAGACTCCTATGGCTCCCTTTTCAGAGGCTCGGATACGGCCCACTGCAAACACGGATCTGAAGAAGTTCGGGTACAAGCCCATGGCAATGCGACTGTCTGAAGCATCCGAGATTCTCGATGACCGCATTGACGAGTTTATGACATTGTTCCAGAAGGAATACGAGACAGAGGACCTCCCATTTGGCAGTGCGGCCACCCAGAGTACTAGCGAGATCGTTGCTGTTGGGCGTATCGCGTCGGATAGCATGGAAGGAAAACTTAACCCAGCATCTCTTGTACTGGAGACATCGAGACGGACAGGAGCTGGATTGCGCGTACCTCTGAAAGTAGACAATCTACCGGCAGTGAGCTTCTTTCCGGGACAAATTGTCGCCCTACGAGGCATCAATGCATCGGGGGACTACTTCTCGGTCAAGGAAGTTCTTTCCGCCCCTCTCTTACCGCCGGCAGCATCATCTGTACCTATCATGGAAGGCATTAATGAACGAATGGAGGAGACCGGCTCTTCTCCTTTGAATGTAATGATCTCCTCGGGCCCGTACACAGCCGACGACAATCTAGATTTCGAGCCGCTCAACGAGATATGCCAGAAAGCGGCTGAGAACTACGCGGATAGTCTCATACTTATGGGTCCATTTTTAGATATCGAACATCCACTGCTAGCATCGGGAGACTTTGACCTACCCGAATCGAACGGATACGACCCAGACACAGCCACCTTGGCCACCGTATTCCGGCATTGCATTACGGCCCCTCTGCAGAGATTAGTCGCAGCAGTGCCTAGCATTACGATTGTGATGGTTCCTTCCGTCCGTGACGCAGTGAGCAAGCACGTCTCCTGGCCGCAAGAGCAGCTACCGAAGAAGGAGCTCGGCTTGCCCAAGCAAGTGCGCATGGTGTCTAACCCAGTGACTTTATCCTTGAATGAGGCCGTCATTGGCATGTGCTCGCACGACGTACTATACGAGCTGCGGAGAGAGGAGGCTTTGCACGGCAAACCCAAAGAAGGCAACATCTTGACCCGGTTGTCGAAGCATCTCATCGAGCAAAGACATTTCTCCCCCGTCTTCCCGCCGTCGTCGCGATACGCTCTCCCCAAGTCAGGGACCGAGGACGGCCTCCCCACGGGCGCCACGCTCGACGTCAGCTACATGAAGCTAGGCGAGTGGTGGAACGTCCGACCAGACGTCCTGATCGTCCCCAGTATGCTCCCACCATTCGTCAAAGTAAGCACCACCCACTCCAGCCCTGCTCCCAACCCAAACTAACAAGATGAACAGGTAGTGGATAGCGTCCTGGTAATCAACCCCGGCACCCTCTCCAAACGCCGAGCAGCAGGAACATACGCACAAATGGCAATCCACCCCCGGGTAATCGCCCCAGAAGAACGCGACCAAAAACACATCAGCCACAAAATCTACGAACGTGCACGGGTGGACGTGATCCGCATCTAATCAGATTTACCTTTCTTAACTAGATATACCACACGTCGGGCTTAATAATGATAACGAACAAAGTACATCCACACACACCATCCAAATCACATAAACCATACACCCCATTAACCCCATAATCTAAAAGAGAAGGACCCAACCCAAACACCCCCAACCCCAAACTAAATCAAAGAATCAAGAGCAGAAAAAATCATCACCTCAAACAAACAACCCTCTTCCCTCCCATCAACCGCCCCCCACCCTTAACCCTAGCCCCCTTATACCTCCCCAACCCCGAACTAGCAACTAACCCCTCCAGCCCCAAATCCCTCCAAACAGCCTCCCTCCGCCTCTCCATAGCCCTACTAATTCCGAACGCGGCGTGCTGGTCCGGCACCACATCATCCTCGTCCTCGGGATTCGGAGGCTGGTACTGCGGCGCGACGTAGATGTCTTCGATGGGCAGGAACGAGGGGACGAGGGTCGGGGACGAGGAGCCGTAGGTTACGGTATGATTGTTGTAGAGGTGGGTTGTGGATGTTGTGGAGGGTGTGGAGGATGTGTGAGGGCGGGTGAAGTCTTCGAAGTAGTCGGCTAGGCGGGGGTGATGCATGTGGATGTGTGTTGGGGTTGAGTCTTTGCTCTGTCGGTTTTTGGGTATTTGTTAGTGGGTGAACTGTGAGGGACTGATGAGGGGGCGTACCATTTTGACGTTGTGGATTTGGGCTAGTGATTGGTTTTTAGAGGATTGAGTTGAGGATGGGGTGAGAACGTTTGTGTTTGATATTTGTGTTTGGGTTAGTGAGTGTATGTGTATGTACTTTGGAGTTGATGTATGATGGATTTTGTAAACATATACGATAAGTGATGGCAGTATTTGACCGCTTTGGATCTATCTCCATGTGACCTTTTACTCTCTTATCGATGTCACTGGCACTTTTGGAGTATGATCGATTGTTTGGTAGTCATTTTACTTTTTAATTTTACATGATATGCTATGACTATAGAATCATACCTTCTGGTTAAGCCGCAAATCTATTAAAAACCATGCATATCCCGATACCCTGAGCTACATTTTCATTTCACGAGCCAAAAGAACAACCGTCATTCACAGGTTCGTACTCATCCGATGCACGATCGGAACCGCGCTTGGCGGCAAGCTGCCCATCTCTGTAACTACCATGTCGACGTACTCGGCCGGGGTCACATCGTACATGATATTTAATAGCTGCAGATTAGGCGTGTCCTTCCAGTCTGTAAGAGGAGAGGAGCCATTGGTGGCGGGTGTGGAGTCTGTAGGGGGAGCGTTAGCGGTAGCCTTATTGCCGCCTTTCTTATTATCGGTCTGGGCAGCAGCAGCTTCGACGGCGTCCGGCAAACCTGTTATCTGTTGCACGGAGTGGTTGGGGACCAGCTCGTCGGCATCAGCGATTTCGTTGACGACGATGCTGTCAAGAGCGACACGGTCTGTGAACTTGACGGTCTCACAGCAGACAATGACAGGTACCTCCACACCGCCAGCGCGTTCCTTGGCCGACATGGCGACCAGCGCTGTGCCGACACGGGAGTAGAGTCGTCCATTACTGGTCATGGCGTGTGCGCCGAGGAAAACCTTCGTGGCATCCTTGATGGCATGGCTGATTCCGTTGACAAGAGAATACTGCACTTCCAGACCTGCATTGGCCAATGTGCGGGCCATGTTCTTGCCTTCGAACAACGGACGGGAGTCGATGATGGACACGCGGAACTTCTTGCCCTGTTTGTGTGCGGCAAGAAGCGTCTGTTTAACGATCGAACTGCCGGCGAAAGTTACGATCACATCACCATCTCGAACCTTCTGTGCGGCGCTGGCTGCAATAACCTGGTCGGCCACGGTAATCTTCTCGCGGATAAAACTATCAATAAAATCACACAGCGTTTCTTTCGCGCTAGCTTCAGGGACGGAAGGATCGATGGAGGCGATCTCCAGCTTAAGCGCACGGATGGCGTTGCCTTGACTGATCGAAAGGGGCCGACATGTAGAGAGATAGGTAATCTGGTGGGAAAGGTGGGTAGTCAAATGACGCGAAAGAGAAGTACCCAAGGGGGTAGTATAAGCCTCGATCACCTATAAAAGAATCAGCATCAAAGACGACAACCCGCCCCTCCCAAAAAACAAACATACCCGCTTAAAAGCAAGCAACGTAGCCACACACCGAGCACTGCTACCGCAAACAACATAATTGCTCATCTGCAAACCCAATGCCAATACGGCGGGGTGGACTTCCTTCCCAGCGCCAGCAACAGTAGTCCTCCTCGGTTGTCCATACAAATGCCCGAAGACCGCAACGCTCTTATCCTCCTGCTTCTTCTTCTGCTCGGTAGCGTTGGCCTGTGTAGCGGATCCGCGTCGGTGTTTCTGTCCCTTCTGTAGCTGACCCGGAGCCTCCTTTCCTCCCGCGCCGCCTCCAGCTGAGCCCTTCTTAGGCGGTACAGCGTTTGGACCTGGTCCAGCACCGGCGCCGGCGCCGGCGCCGCCTTCCCTCTCAGCTCTCTCCTTAGCTCGACGGGCGGCCTTTTCGGCCTTTGCTTTTTTCTTCAGTTCCGCCGGGCTGAGTTTTTCTTCGCCTGTAGCTCCGCCCGCGGCAGGAGGGGCATCTTTAGACTTGGGTTGTTTAGCTGGCTTGGCGGGTTTTGATGGGCCAGTGGACGACGGCGCTGGTTGAGAGGGGGGTTGGGAGGACATGTCGGTGGATTGTTGCGTCGTGGGCGCAGGACTAAGTGAAGGGGAGGGGGAGGAGGTCTGCATAGGGTCGAAGGGGTTCGCCATAGTGGGAAAAGCGGACTAAATGACGATAGCGACGGAGCGGAGGGGCATTGGAGACTTTTTTTTTCGATAGAGGATTGTGGGGATGAATCAAAGAGAGCCTGACTCACCCAAATTCGGCATGATGCCATAAGCGGCCACTAGCACTAATGCAGCCCTAGTCCGGTTTCTTAGTACCTTCTTTTTAACTATTTACTAGATAAGTGGTTCGCACATCTTTCTCCTTTTAAAGCATGTCATTCTACGCTATAATGTCATATTTATTCCAAATCATCAGGTCGTGCATCCCTTGCTCTATTCAATCTCCAAATTATTCAACATCAGTCAATCATTCAATCATGCGTCGCATCCCGATATCCTGACATACCATAGGCTCATCATTCATCGCAGAAAAAGAAGAATACCGATCAAAAAGCAAATATTTCCACCAACACGAAACAAACAAACCCATACCAGATATCAAGTAAGAAGAAACAGGCGAAAAGCAATCTGCCACCAGAACCCGAACCCAAACACCATATTCCGCAGCGCCCAACAATCAAAAAGCCGCCCTGCAGGCCTAGCCGGCCACACTCATCGGTTATTCGTCCAGACATCCCCCAGCGCTCGCCGTCGTTTCCGGCTTCCCTGTTTCTGAGATGCCCGGAATCGCTCGTGATCGGAGGCCAGCTTCCTCTTGAACAGGTTGATATCCATAAGTAGATCCTCCATATCAGCCTGCATGTCGTGAGCTTCAAGTTCACGACCCTTAATACGAATTGTATCCTCGTCCTCCCAGATCAAGTCAGGCTCTGGCTCCACATCTGAGGTTGGCGATCCAGGCTGATTTTCCTTGTCGTATTCATCCACGGGGGAAAGACTGCCTCGGCTTCTGCGTTTCTCGACTGTCACGGGTGGGATCGGGTTCTTCAAACTATCGAGTGCCAATTTCAAGTGATTGCGCAGGGCTTCATTCTCCGTCTGCAGCTGCTTAATCTTGCATTCACTAACCATCTTTGTCTCCTCCATTAATCGCTGCAGCTTCTCCACTTTCTGCTGATATTCCTCTAGCTTCTCGTTTTGAATCTCACTCTCCCGACGGTTTGCTGTCGCCTGACTGACACTGAGCTGCAGCGTACGGATGGTCTCCGCCATTTCTGCGATCTGTTTGTCGCGCTCAGCCGCAGACAAGTGATCCTGGTTGACGCGAGCGCGAGTGCGGATGCGTTTCGCTTGGTCTGCGTAGCGGAGCGTGGAAAGGGTCTCCTCGTAGTCCGAGGGAGAGATGCACGCAATCATGGCGGTCTTGGAGTTGCCGCCCAGGCTGTCTTTGAGCAGCCAGGTGAGGATCGAGTCGCGATACGGGACAACGTCCTTGCCTTTCCGTTTGCCGGATCGGCCTGGCTTGGGATCTGCCAAGGCCGCAATCACTCGGCCCAAGGTCGTCAGGGACTTGTTGATATTAGACCCTTCGCGTAATCGCTGCCCGGTCGCTTCAGTCGACTTAGCTCGTTCCGATCCTGCCAGGTCAACCAGGCGAATCCGTGCCGTGCGCTCCGTCGTCTCGTCGGTGGATAGGTCGTGATGGATTTGTTTCAAGGTGATCGTGAAGACCGCATGAGACCGGGACGAGGTATCGTTCATTTTGGTGCTAGCCACTGTGCGAGAAGCATCACCTTTGCGCATGAATTTCATGAGTTCGGCGAAATTCTTAACCGTCGCCTCCGTGAGGTCCTTCACGTAAGGCCCCTCGGAGGGCGACTCGCGGATCCGAAGGTAATGAGGTGGGTCAGTCCGGGGCACCAGCAGGTCGCGCACATGCTCGTTGTAAACCTCGAAGTAGGAGACGCGGACGTTGAAGCTGATGTCGGGCGATTGAACACCCTCTATGCGTTGAAACAAGTCTTCGCAGGTCCGTGGGATTAAGCCCGGTTGCTCCGGGGTACCCATCATGGTGTAACTCTTGCCGGAACCCGTCTGGCCGTAGGCGAAAATACAGGTGTGATATCCTTCGAAGTTATGATCCAGAAATTCCTCTCCTAAGCAATTGTAAACATCCTCCTGGTGGGCATAATGATCGTCGTTTGTATCGTGTGACCAGAAAGAATTATCGAAGATGAACGACTTATCCTCCAAGACCTTCCCGCGAGCTTGCGACTTCGGTTTCCCTTCGTCTTCTGGATCCAGCCTGGGCGCCTTTAATTTGGTCATCTGCGTACGGGGATCCATAGCAATCAAGCACTCCGCATGGCGCTCGATTTCTGTAGTATTCAATTTAGTACCCAATATCCCAGTAATACCTACTGGCTCAGACTTCTCCCTACATACCTCTGGGCAGGAACTTCCTCACCCGGACCACGACCCGAACATTTCCACCAGGCGACGGGCTTGACGCACCATCGAGATGGCCGCCGTGCATGGCCACGCCTTCTCTTGCGCGCAGGGATGGGCTCGAAGCATTCGACCGCAGAGCGGCCGCGGAAGCAGTGCTCGATTGGATGGACGGGCTGGTGATGCTCGTTAAGGCGGAGATATTGGAAAACGAGGCGGATGACTGCGAGCCAGGCCCATAGCCATGACCAATGTGCTGGTAGACGCGCGGATCCAAGGACATATCCTGACTGTGACCCCTCAATAACTGTACAAATTGAGTGCTGAGCTCACGTTGGCGGTGGACTAATTGGTGGTACATACAGACAATTGCACCACTGCTGGGAGGGGGAGGTGAGCCGAGATGGTGTTCAATTAAGGACAGTCAATTGATGGAGACAGGAGCTGATGCTGGTGCACCCGGCGCAGGGAGCAAGTGTACCTTCCCTTCTTTTTGTGGAGAAGTGCCCCGGAGACTCCTGCGGTTTAAGGTTGAATATAAAGGAGTCAATATCCACCAAATACTGACAGGTACATCGACCCTCCTTTCAACCAGGGGGTAAACAGCGGAGAGTCAGTTCACTGGAGAGGGGTCCCTGCGATGGAAAATGAAAGAGAGAAACATGCAGTGATGAGCGCGCAAGGGGTGGACTGGACAAAGAAGCCCTGGTATCACGAAGGGAACCAGAAGAGAAAGAGAGAGAGTTTCAATAACAAACGAGAAGCGTTTCCAATTGAACTTGACGATGGACTCTGGCTTCACATGGCAGGGTTGGCCACTGACCCTCGTTTGGGTTTTGCCGTTTCGGGCATGGTCTCGGCCTCAGGCAGGGGAGGCCAGAGTGGGTTGCCATAGCAATCTCCACCGGCCGGAGATAGCAAAATGTGCCAGGGGACTCGACTCAATGCATATCATTTTCAATGTCTAATCTACAGTTACACATGTTTCGCAATTCGACACTGATGTGTTGCCGGTCGGATAACGATCGCCCGAACACGGCAAAAAAAAAACTACTATATTGCGTTTCATGCATACATACGTACATTTCATAATAATGACATTCTGATCTCTCTCTTCATCCGCCAGTAAGGACGTAAGGGTGCCGTCACTGTCAACGGCATGCTAAATAAACCGACGACAAAACTCTAGTCAAAGTCTTCGTTTGCGGCTTCATATGCATCCGCTTCGTCTTGACCAAGTTGTCCTTTCGCCAACTTAGCACCGTCGGTAAATGAGTCGACGTTGGTCACAGGGTTTCCGTCCTTGTCCACAGTGGTCTCCAGCATCTCCTCAGTATTCCATTTCGAGAAGTCTGGTTTATTCGAACCCGTGGCGGAGCTCATTGCCTGTTGTACGGATTCTTGGCCCTGACGGACGGCTTCTCCAACTTTCGATGTGATCGGCATGGCGATGACCTGCTCAGTCATTACCTGATACTCTTCTCGAGAATGGGAGGAACCCACGTACCACTCAAGAGATATGCAATTGGGAAATTGATAGTTCAGATAGGTTTCACATTCAATTGATGTAATTCATTGTGAATAAGGCGACACTATTCAGGCTGCCGGGGGGGGGATCTATTAATACAGTGCTTGGTGGCGTTGATGATACGGTGATGACGACAGGATACATCACCACTCCCTAAACACGCTTTGTTGGCGTCAGGTCATCAACCTATTATACGAGCCACTTATGGCTTCATAGCTCGCAAAAGGAAGGTTGCTCGTTTTGGTGGTAACCAGTGAAAACGCCCGAGCGTTAGTCTGGCCCGTTTCGTGTGGGAGGGTTCTCCGCATCAGCTTTCGCCCGAGGATCTCGAATTGATCGCAGTCGCCATATATGGTATCGCGTGGTCGGGATGGAAGCTTGTTACTGTCCATTGAGATATCGAACTCATTGGCCGATGACTGTGCCGTGTCGTGGAACCATGATGCAAGACCAGCTGGAAAGATCCGTTTGTTGTGGTGACACAAGAAGAGTGGCCACCAATGATGGATTATGATCGAACTGGACTCTTGGTTTGTTTGTTTTCGGCCGCATACACCAAGGAGTAAGGAGTATCTACATAAGTAGCTGTAGTAGGAGGGGAGAAGTGGAACAATCTATTGAAAAGTTGGTGTCACCTTCTGCCTACGCTGTCAGTCGTGCCGGTTATCCGCTATTGGGTAGCCCACTGTTATTATGACAGGGATCCGATACCGTATTGAAATGGATGAATACTTCAACTCCGTCAGGAGTTCTCCTGACTCCCTGACCCTGACGGAGGATCTAAGATTGAACCTGTCATGTATGCAGGAGTCCAATTATCACTCTGTTTTAATCAGGCTGAGGGAATCATTTGACACATCTTCAGCAAATTATTGCTTCATCGGTCAGCCCTATCCGTGCGGGGCGTGGGCCGAGGTCCACTTGTTAGAAGCAGAATGGGGGATATTCTGGATGTTCCTTAAGGAAGAAGAAACAGAATCCAATCATTCTCCCTCGGGCCAATGTCGCAATCGCGAACCATGCCCAGAAAAAAATTAGGCACCAGCCATTTTGAGTAACCGAGAGACCTCAATTTATCTAGAAACGAGACGGGCGCTTTTCTCCGGACGAGAAAGATCGTCCTTAAAAGCCCAGAAACTATGGCGACATCGGACTCGCTCCGACCCCAATGACTCCAACTGCAAATTTTGCGCCCGCGCTGTCATACCCGACCTCCCTTCTTCCTTCACAAATACTCTGCAAACCGCTCAGGACTGGAAGTCGAAAAGGAAAAAGCCCCGAGCCACGATCTCGTCTCTCCCGAATTCTTATCTGAGATCGATTAGACCGGAATCAATGAGCGGAAATCCGTCGTCGGGCAACCCTCCCGACCTTGAAGCCTTTCAACCGCCAGCGAAGACCTCCTTCTCAGCATGGTGGAAACAATCCGTAAATGTCAAATACACCGATCTCATCTGTCTTCTACTCTGTTTCACCACCGGACTCTGTGATAGCAGCGCCTACAATGCCTGGTCCTGTTTCTTGGCAATGCAGACCGGTAAGTTCCAATAAGAGCGCGCCGATGCGTCAACTCCCATTTTCACGCAATACGCAACAAATAAATGCTAACAATGGACAGGAAACACAATTTTCCTCGGCCTAGGCGCTTCAGGTCAACCAACGAGCAAACCGTGGGGCTGGCTCAAATCCCTCTGTTCAATCGCATTTTTCTTCATCGGCGCGTTCATGCTCGCCAACATTACCCGCCGCGCCGGGGCCCGCCGACGCGGGACCCTCTTCCTCTCATTCGTCTTCCAGTCTGTTCTCATCATCATCGCCGTCGCCCTCATCGAAGGCGACCTCATTCCGCACACCTTAGAAGACGCCTCCTTGACAGGCGGTCGTCTTTTCCTGGAACTCATCCCCATCGCGCTCTTGGCATTCCAGTCCGCCGGCTCCATCACCTCCAGTCGGGCGCTGGGGTACAATGAGATCCCGACAGTGGTCCTCACCAGCGTGTATTTCGATGTCGCGTCCGACCCCAAACTGGCAGCTGTGCCGACGACCAATGCGAAGCGGAATCGGCGTATCGGGAGTGTTGTGATGTTGCTGGTTGGAGCTATTGTGGGTGGGTGGTTGAGTCGGAGTAGCGGGGGCATGCAGTCGGCGTTGTGGATGGCCGCCGGGTTCAAGATGGTCATTGCCTTTGCGTGGCTAGCTTGGAAGGGCGAGGCGGCTGCATCTAAGTAATGGGGTTTGTGCATAGAAGAGGGTGATGTCCACGAGTGTTGTGTATCGTTGGGATAGCGGAGAAAGATAGAGACCTTAGGTAATGTGTGATAGAGGATATTATTAGACTAATTTAGACCATAGACCTATTCACTCTTTTTTTCTGGACCAGATACTACTTATATTATATCTACTTTATATCCCAAATGTCAACGTTTTCTGATCGAGATCTACATAATTCACTGCCGAAATTGACCGTCAGTGGTAAATAAACATGCATTGCATAACGCTATACTCCCCTACACCCCCACTTGCATATGGCCATTGATCCTTGAAACGTACAGAAACACTATTGATAGCAAATAGTAGCCCTAGCGCTATTCTTTCCGATTCAAATGACTCGGATCCACGATATCGATCCTACATAAGAAAATAAAAACAGGACAACTGCAAACAGCATTGCGTGCTTCATTTATATATATATTTCCCAAGATAATGCTCCGTACCTAAACGTTACTACGCATATGAATGTCGCTTGACCGTTTGTCAACAACGGCCTGTTTCGTAAAGCGTCAGATGTAAGGCTTGGGGTCCTTGTAGTTTCCTTTTTCTAGACATTGGTCGAAGAAGAAAATCGCCTCATGGGAAGAGGATATGATCGTGGATGTTTGTGTGTTGTGGGAGATCCTTGGACTCTATTGGCCTGTTATATTTGTTGAATGGAGCTCTGGGAGTCTCCAGCATAACTAGATTAGACCCAAGATTTTGGCAAGTAAAGTATCAATTCAGGATAAATATAATAAAAAGTAACAAACCCACGCATTCTGACAATACCCAAAAGAAAGCAAAAGACCACGATGCACCTCCCCAAATACCATCAAAAGAAAGTCCCACGTCTATTTCCAAATCTATAGTAAGGTACCAGTCGGACAAGCCTGCAACGAATCCGAATAGCGGTCAACCAGCGCCCAAAGAGACCGATCCTTGTCTAAAAGCCTCCGATACTTCCGAAAACACCCATTTTGATCAGAGGTCGGAGACTGAGCTCTGCAAAAGAAGCTATTCTTAGCCGCGTACCGACCGTTATAAGTGAAATCGCCGACTGCAACGATCTGCAACGGGGATATCCCACCCTGCCCAAATGCCCATTGCAGAAACTCATGCAGAGAGTCTGTTACTGGCGGAAGGCTGTGGCCGTCTACGGGTCTGAGGGCCCAGTTCTGGGGTCTGCTAGGGGAATTAAGGTCGGGGTATTTGCTCGGATTGGCTATATTTTTCAAACGAGGAATGGGATGATTTTGTTCATTGTAGGTTGACTTTCGGATGTGGAGGACATACAATGAGGAGTTCTCGGTGAACCTTTGGCAAAGGATGTCCTATATAAAAGAGTAATGAGCGCGGGCGGTCCAATAACGTAGGGTTTGATGGAGTTAGAGGCTAACCAGATATATAAGATCGCAACTTATTGCGAGGAAGTGTAGGTCGAGTTTACCGAGGTCACTCAACGATGGGTTCTCGGATAAGTAAGCCCTATTATCCATATGGAGTAGGCCATTCTGGGAATTAAGCACCGAATGTCTCTTTCGGTAGTGAACGAAGGATCTTAATGTTTGTCGATGTTGCAGTGCGGCGGTCCACATCTTGTCAATGCTTGACTTGCAATCGATAGACACATATAGCTCTACTAAGCCTCTGAGTACACCTAGAAAGTCCCGTATATACTTGCCGGGCTCAGGCTTGCTGTAAAAACTTTCGGTATGCGCCGTAATTTCGAACGTCTTTAGTTGGATGTCGCGATGCGAGTGTGTGATTTCTTTTAGCAAATCTTCCCAGCCGTGGCAATTCCGCAGGCGCAATGAACGCAGAGTACCGAATTTGATTGAGGACACCAGTTTCTCAGCCTCTGGTTGCAAGGGAATGTGTGACAGAGACAAGTGTCGGAGATTTGTAAATATCGGCTGCTTGACAGTGCCATCCAGCCCGAGTAACCATGGTAAGGCGAGTGCATCGACTGCACGACTTGGTTTAGTAACATGGATGATGACATGACTGACGAGATCGAGATTGAGCTCCATCAATTGATGGGACCGAGAGATAATCGTGCTGCGCAGCTCGTTGAAACGGGGGGCAGAACCCAGTCCAATCCAAGTAATTTTCTTCAATTTTTCAAAGGCAGACAATCGTAGCGGGGGATGTGAATTACATTTCGGACAATGATAGTCGGTAATTAGACGGATAGACTCAAGGTTCTGGTGATGAAGTTGTAGCACGCCACTGGGTCCGAGAATCTCTGGTGGTATACAAGTGCCTAGATCCCAACTTCATGGATGTTAAATGAAGTGTATCTAAGTTAATTCGACCTGGGAGGAATTCTCGCCTGAAACTCCGCAGATTTCCGTCCTTACACGATCGTATCAGTGACAGCACATTCGTGGCGAGTTTCTGGATGACGATTGAACCTTCTTGTGGACCGTCGTGGATGCAACGACGAATCCCTGGACTTAGGAATGGCGATACAAAGCTGATGGATCTTGTGTGCTTGAGGACACCCCTATCATTATGTGCTGTTAATACTGGCCCTATATTCACACTGTCAAGTTTTTCCTCGCTTAACGCCAAAACTTCAACGTCTTTGTACAAGAACGACTGTAATAGATCCCATAAAAACTTAGAGACATAGGACAGCTGTTCCAGGGCGAAGGGGTCCCGCAGCTATTTTTCGCAAGTCAGCATAGTTCACAAATGAATGGTCTACCCTTTTGACCCTAACCTGCTCTATCACCGCTAAAAGGACGTCAACAGGGAGTTCTAGAAGCATCTTGTGTAAGATAAATCTCGTCATCTCATACCTCTTCACTAGTTTGTTTCAGCTGTTACGGTGCAAAGTCAAATATTTATGAAGAGAAGCTCCCATGGTCTTTTGGAGTTCCTTAATTAGAGGGTTTCATCCATCATGCCTTTGTTTCATTGACCTTGTTTAAGCAGAGAAGCCAACTGTGCTACCCAGAGCCACTACGTCCTTCAGCACGCTAGTGAGCTTGAAAGAAGCTTGTCATCGATTACATTTCATTGCACAAAGGACATTTTGACGGATAATTGGCTTCAGCGGCTGTCCGCGTGTAAGGGGCTACCATGACCATTGGTGTGTTCATTGATGATTGTTACATAAATAGATGATTCCATGGATATTTGTTCCTTTCGGATGCTTTCAGTGTTCGCCGACTGTGGTCTACCATTGCTTCATAGGTTGACACAAAAAGTCCGCAGCCCTAGAAGGAGAAATCACGGCGCACGTCAACGACATACCGTAGCATTTGCGACCCGTTCTCTTGATAAAGAGAGGGTAGAATGTGGGCCTTCTTCAGGAGTCAATATCGTCGTGTAAGATCGTAGCTTTGTGCTCCCCCTTGACTACATACATCAACTTAGTGACTAGGCTGCTATAAGCCACAGCCCAATGAAAACAAAGACCTACCTAGATTTTATAGCAAAATATCTATAAATAAATCTCTCGTACAGCGGGCGAAAGATGTGGCCACAGTTGTCGGTCCGCAGGATGAAGGGCTTGCAGGTCATGCCTCTGGGCCTAATACCTCTGTCATTCTATTTTGAAGCAGGAATGGGGCTGTTGAGTCCTCGCTATTGTCAGCGTGCTTAGCTCACAGATTCCAGGATCCTGCTGGCTAAAGTGAATTTACCGATTTTCTTGAGACGTTTCTCAGTCTAGTGCAATCACCGAATCATAGCCAAAAGAATCTCGATGAAATCCCAAAATTTCTGTACGATAATTGCTATTGATGAACTCTCCAAGTCCTGAAGACATTCATCGTATTGTCATTTTGTCGCTGAATTCAAGCTAAGGATCTGTAGGTCCAGTTACATAGCCGGTTTCGTAGCCTTGCTGAAAGCCAACCATCACTGTAACTATTTAGTCTATAAGCGTGATAATGCTGTCAAAAACGTTATTCGGTTTTGCACTATACATTTGTAGAGATTAACTCGATTAAATTAGGTAAGGTATGCAGAGTTCGCTGTATAGCTATGTCTGGATTTCGAGGACCAAGGTCTTTTTAAGGTTATTGAAGCAGTCCCATCCGGCTAGTCGCAACTTATTTGTATAGATAGAGCCTAAGGTCGCTTACATGGCAGATGTTTGTATAAAGAATCTATCCAATAAGGACGACATGTGTTTGGGTTGGCTTGAGAAGTATATATCTTGTAATTATCGTTCTGCCAGTATACTCAATTAAATATGCAAATAAAGACTTCGTTGAAACTCGTTTACTTAGGCATTATACGTAGTTGAAAACTCACGTCGAAAAAGCTAAAAAGGTCAATAGGCTCCTTCGCTTTCAAGTGGCCAACTGATAACAACACTAAAGAAGCGTTCCCCGTCAGTGGCTGTCTCAGTCATAGCCTCAGCATTAATGTGTCGTATATCGGTGTCAGGTCAGGCTTAGTCTGAATAGCATTAGGCGTACCATCGCTCTTGTGCCAGGTCATTAGTGAAGTAGACAGGTCCCATTCCATGTAGATGATATTAATATCCTCCTCTCCCTTCTCATGTTCACCATCCTTTGAACACTCTACTAAACGACAAGTCAGCGAGCAGTCTCGCCCCTTCTCGCTTTCATGTCTCAAAGTGCGGACAGATGATGATGGGGATTTAGTGTCCTTGCCGTCACTTTCTGAGCCTCGAAACGGATTCCGATGCAAGGGCGGGCAGGAGTAGGGAAGATGACACTGTCCATGGAGATCGTCTATTATTATGCCCACCACCAGATGTGGGGCCACTTATCAACTGGCTATTCTGAGTACCCTTTTACGGAGGCTTAAATGGAAATCGCAACCGGCAATGCCAATATAACTTGGAGAATCTCTTCTATGACGAATATTTTCCCCGGCGGGCTGATGGCAAGGACTTAGCTCACGCCTTATGGATGATGATGGTGAATGGCCCCGTCGTCAGAGAAAGAACACTTTTCGTTGTGGACGGCCTCTATGAAGTGTCTCGTGAATGGAATATGGAAGCGCCGATGGATGAGTTTCTGATTCACCTTCTCAAGCAACCCCGAATCATCATTACGACTAGACCACATCCATCGGACCAGATTGACGTAGGGCCACTCGATCTTGGTTTGGAGACCATTGGGTTTCGTCCCGCAGTCAGATCTCTGGGCAGGGCGATCAAAAAGATAAATAAATGCGGTGTAAGTCTATTCTGCTTATGGCCTGCTGCTTGAGCCTAAAGAGACCGCGGCTAAAAAGGTGCCAAAACTGTCTATCAGACTTGAGTAGCTAGACGTTCAAACAGCAGAGAGAGCCATTTTATAGAGCACGCACAGCGCGGCCAGGCAGCACCGGGGCGACATTTCCAAATCGAAACGCCATGCCATTTCAAGTAGGTATCCGAGGTTTTCCTTTTAACTTCACAGGTTGTGTGGTTTAAGCTCTTCAACCACATTGACTGAGGAGTTTCCTGAAACCAATATCCTCAACTCAGTCCTGCAAGGATGCTCTACCACTTTCATGAGTAGTCTGGAAGGTCTGGATGCAACCTTTTCACAAGACCAATACAGGACAGGTAGTAGCCAAGTGGTCAATTTTTGAACCGTATATATATAAGGGCAGATGAAGTTTGCTTAGTAGCGAGTTATTCAAGTAAGAACTCCAAAAGCCTGTCTTTGGGCGTTAAGTTCCAGAACATTCCCCACCGAAATAGCGGCCTGCTCTGGATCCAGGCTCATCGTAACTTTCTAATTCTTAGACAAGACTTCACAGTGACCCTTGAAATCCTCATCCAAGACATGATGGAATTATCAATCACGGGTTGCTTCCTGACCGCCAGCAACTTGGCCGTTCCAGCCAACAACTAAGTAAGCACTGTGCTCTAAAGCAGAGACAGAAAGCATATTATTCTTGTTTAACCGACTATTCCGAACTTTTTAAGGAGAACATGATGACAAGAACACATGAATGTCTGCTATTGAGACCCAGAAGTGCCAGGATAACCAGGACGACGCCTCCACTGATACTCTACTCTCCTAACATGGCTCCTCGGAGGGAGCGCTTGCGGCTGTCTGCCGATACTTATATACTTAAGACTTAGGATTATCTCAGAGATTTTCTTTGCAGGAATTTAACCAGTAGAATAAGTCATGTAGACGCTAAGTCTTCTGCTTCGTTTGATTAGCACATACCTAGAGTCTTACCATGCCATTGGAGAAGCTTGTTTCGGACTCTTAACTGAACTTGACAGCCTAGCTAGCAACTTACACGGTGGGGAAGGAAACGTTGCAGAACCACATAGTTAGCACTTGTCACTTTGTCTACGCTTATTTCAGCATTCCACTAAGTCTTCTCGTCGCTAGTCTAGTCAATACCAGCTAAAGAAAGGAGGCATGCTGTGTGCGTGAAGAGATACATTTCCGGCGAATATCCCTTGGTCATGCGGGCATCTGCCTGTCTCGGTTCAGAGTATAACGGTCACTTAAAGCCTTCTACAAAGATTCTAAACATCGCAAAGGCGTTACGGGCAAGGTAATTTAGTTGGCTGGTATAAGTTATGAGATTATTGCTCTACAAGGAGAGTTCCTGGAGTTAAGGGGCTGCAAAGAGATTCCTTTCTTTAGACCCGCGCTTCTGTTCGAGAATTGGAGACAATTATACTGATAGAGTAGTATACTTGGTATCCGGCATAGAGAATACCAAAATGATCTAGACTACGGATTACTCCGTACTTTCTTCTCTATGATGCATTTTGGCCTTCATGGTAGCTAGCCGTACTGAGGTGGGGCGTAGAATGAAGACGAGGGCAAATGATGTCTTGAAACTACTTTGTACAATAAGATTATTCTTAGGCACTGAATCGAACAATCAAACGGTCACAATTATGTACTTGAAAGGTGCAAAGGTATTCATGAGACGGCTGTACCTACTGTATAGATCCAATGTGGGTCATTGACTCATGACGTCTAGACCTTATTTCAGTTACATAAAAGAAATCGGCATCAAATCCCCGGCACCAAAGAGAGTTGATAGGTTTTAGATCTTTTGCACCGCCAAGTTTTCAAGACGAAACAAAATTTTAAAGTTCTCATCCTACCCGTGGAACTAGAGCATAGTTTTCTATCTCGCGATGACTCCACGAGTGCGGGATTTACTTCCATCCGATGATCATCCATGTGACCATTGGCGGCTGTGTCTGCTGTCAATCCATATAAATAGCCCTAACTATCCCAAAACTCCTACAAGCCTACCACCCCTATTCGACAAAAATCGCTCGTCACTTGCAAAAGAAAAAAAAGGCACTCAAACCACTGTTACTTGAAAATCAAGCTCACTATCCTCCTTCATCGATGGCACTATCTCACCCATCCCCCCAGAACACGACAACCACCAGATCCGAGATTCTAAGCTGGCTCAAGAGGCGAACAATCTAAACCCCCAATGCCCCCACCTCGACGAAGATGTCAGCCCTCTACAAACTAGCCGCAATCAACAAAGGCCCAGAAACCAGTTGGGACGACAAACACACCCGGGTCCTGGCCCGACTGAACGACGAAGAAATCGAAATCCTGCAGCTCCCCTCGCCCACCTGTCCGACACGACGCATTTCCGAGCCTAGCCGCATCACTGCCCCAAAGGTCCCCATCATGAGTCCCCCTTGGCGTCTTGGCATCTGCGCCATGGAAAACAAGGCCCTTAGTAAGGCTAACCAGGAGATCTTCCGCCGTCTGCAAGTAGACGGACTCATTGACGTTGTCCTGTTCGGTGACAAGGTACTGTTGAACGAGAAGCCGGAGGACTGGCCTGTCTGCGACTTTCTCATCGCGTTTTATTCGGATGGGTTTCCGCTCGAGAAGGCGGTAGCGTATACCCGGCTTCGGGACCCGTTTGCCTACAATGATCTGCTGATGCAGGGGGTGCTTTTCGATCGGCGGCTTTGTAATCGTGTTCTTGGTTATCTGGGGGTGCGGACGCCGAAACGGCTGGAAGTCAATCGGGACGGAGGGCCTAGAGCGCGGAGTTGGGAGCTCGTGCAGCATGTCTATGATCGGATTGGGTTGACACTTCCTGGTCCTACGCGGGGAGGGGATGAAAAGCGCCCTCGTCCGCCGACGGTATCCCTCTCTGAAGATGGGGATACGCTCCTGGTCGACGGTCGGAAGCTGCACAAGCCCTTCGTCGAGAAGCCTGTCAACGCGGAAGACCACAATATCTACATCTACTTCCCTAGAGGCGGTGGTGGAAGACGGCTCTTCCGAAAGGTAGGCAACAAGTGCTCTGAGTATGACCCCGACTTATGTGTTCCCCGTTGTATCAGTGAGCAAGGCACGACGAGTAGCTACGTATACGAGCCGCTGTTGAACGCTGACAACGGGGAGGATGTCAAGGCCTACGCGGTGGGGCCCCAGTATTGTCTTGCGGTGACGCGGAAATCACCCGCGGTTACTGGCTTCGTCCATCGGGACGCAAATGGGAAGGAAGTAAGGCTATTCACTGAGGTTAGTAGGGAGGAGGCGGAGGCTGCATCGAAGATCTCCGCGGGATTTGGGCAGTCGGTGTGTGGGTTCGATATTGTCCGGAATAAAGGCAAGAGCTACGTGATCGATGTGAATGGGTGGACCTCGGTGAAAAATCAGCCCGGCTTTTACGGTCAATGCGCTGAGATTCTTCAGCAGATGTTGATGTCCCATGTTTTGCGAAGGAGCGAGCCTGGCTCTTTGGCGTAGATTAGATGACTACGGGTATTATTGTGTTATGGATTTGATTCTGTACATAATCTAGACCTATATCATATATAGCCAATAGACATATCTACATCATCTGTATCTCTTCTTCTTGTAGACTATGTGTACTATCTCTCAAGGATTCGTTATGACAAAGAGTAACAGTTTCCCTGACATATACTATATAACCCCACGGAGTCACGCTCCCCATCTAGCTCAGAATAAGGATTTCTTTTCCCATGACTAACTACCACTGAGCAAATTTCCCCATTGCCGAAAGCCGAATGCCACAGTAAAAACCCTGCTTTCTGGTTCCCAGTCTCGGACCGGACTAGAGCTCAGACTTTTCTTCCGCAATAGGGTTACACGCGGCCTGCAAGCTCTGACGGCCTGAGGGCTGTGCTTCATGGTAACGGTGGAGCGAGTCAGGGCGCAGAAATGTCTAGTCTAAAATGGCATCTTGTTTCTCGTCCCGGATGACCCAAGTTTAAATCTGAAGACCCCCTTCTAGAGGGACCTTGAGGGCCGCTGCGTGACGGGTCAGAGAAACTGCCTTATGCATAAATCGTTCGACGGGTGGGTCTGTTGGCAATAAGCAATATTAAGAAGTATATTATTAGGTAAATGGGAAAAAAGATTTTTTTCTTTTGTCCTCAACAAAGAAAGTAGCTGCAGCCTAGTGTAGCATATTCTATATTGATATATAGGCCTACAAAATCTCTTCATCTCTGCTGGTCAAGACGCAGGATTGTAATATTCAACTTCTCCATTTTTATCTCTTCTACATTGAGCTGCTACAAGCATTATCATCATCTTTATCATTCTAACCCTCTGAATGGCTGATACTCTATTTATGAACAACTCTACTGTGATCATTTCCCTGATCCCAGGACCCCTCACCAAGCTGCAGGCAATTTGCGACTTTGCAGAAGTGACTGAACCACCATAGGAACCCTGTCCTCCCTGTTTTGTCGAACCCACACTGTTTGAATTTATGGCCAACCCATTCCCTCAAAATGAAGAACTTCAAGCCAGTCTTCCGGTGCGAGATTAGAGGGGTCGCGGAGACCCAAAGCCTGCCTACTGAACCAGATGTCAAGGAGGAGAAAAACGGCATCGTGACGACGACCGGAGAAGTGACAGGCTACAAGGTCAAAGAAAGCCCCCGGCTACTCGATCGGTGGCTGGACAAGGTTGTCCGCATCTCCGGGTCCGCACCGGTCTTCCTGTTCATCGTCGGTGCTCTTCTCGTTTGGGCTTTCTTGGGTATTCGTTTTGGAGAATCTACTAAGTGGACGGCGGTTATTTCTGATGTACAGGCTATCCTGTGCTACGTGTTCGACTCCTTCCTCATGCGACAACTGCTCCGCGAATATGCTGAACAACAGGAGGCGATGGCGGAGATGAAGTCGAGACGCAATAGCCACGAGCGCATGTTCGCGAAGCTCAAGGAGAAACTGGGGCCGGAAAGGGTCGAGCGTGTGTCGCAGATAAGTGGTGATCGTCCCTTGGATGCGCTGGATCAGGGGTCACGTACGCAGAGTTGGTTCGCGCGCATGATTATCTTCACTGCGGGGGCTTTCGGGCATATCATCACGGTGGGCATGTACTGGGTTTGCATCTTTATCTGGCTGGGTTTCGGACGCTATTGTGGCTGGACGGATCGGTGGCAGCTGTACATCAACTCGGCAACTTCGGCGCTGATGGTGCTGGTGTTTGCGTTCCTTGATTGTCTGCGGGAGTGCTACGCCGACTATGTCAATAATTGCCTGGATGCCATTTTCCGTCTTGATGCTACGCTCGAGCAGGAGCTCCGTTGCATCTCCGAGGACGACCTTCCCAATGAGCCGGAGGTGATCCCGCCGCCGCGTGAAAACCTGCTACAGGTTGCTGTGTTCCACTATGCCGACATCATTGGTACGCTAGTTGGGATTGTGATTCTCTTAGTGGTCATCGTTGCGTGGGCAGCTGTCGGTCCAGTCTTCCACTTCAATGACAATTGGTGGCTTCTGATTGGTACTTACGCGGGCTTGGTTGGCTTGTTCGATAGCTTCATCCTGCGCAATATCCAAGGCAAAGTTAAGGATTACACGACCTGTCAGGTCCAAAGTCTGGAGAGAGAAGACATGTCCCTTTTCGCTGGGACACAGATGGCAATCCCAGCCAAGGACAACCTCGATATGTCTTCCCTCACCCATCGGGTCTCGATTTCTATGGGGAAGATCTGCTCTCATCTGCTTATGGTCGTTGCTGGGTTTCTTCTCACCATCGGCTGTGTGATTGGATCGAGTGTGATGAGGTGGAATACGACGGGGCAATTGATTTCGAACATCCCACCCAGTATCATTGAGACCTTCTTCATGCTTATCCTAATCACTGGACAGAATGATGCCGATGCCAGCGCTCGGGTTGATATGACCAATATTTATCATCGACGACAGAGACTTCTGTGGTTCGTTAAGGACGCTCGGGAGTTGCTGAGGAACCCTCAACATACCACAGAGCCTACTGAGAAGAGGGACAATGAAGTCCCAGGTGAAGCGTTGACCTAGTGATACTGCTGCCCTTGTTAGTCGTAAAATTTCCCAAGATCGCCTCGCTTCAACATGCGTTGCGGTTGGGTTGACTTTTCTTGGTTTCCCCCACCTTCGCTCAACCGATGGTGGTGTGGTACAAAAAGTTAGTTATCTTTTTGTGCTTAGTTTTGATGTGTTAGTTATTTGTCATTCTGTTTTGTTTTTGTTCGATTAGTTGATTATATTGCACATCTTATTACTGTAAAGATATATATGGAGGCATCCATGCATATGCCAACGGCCTCCACGAACCCTGAATCAACAACATAACAACCATTGTCCTCTTTAATATGAAGGCCCCATACATCCTCTTCAGCACGCCGGTTTTCTGAACATGTAAAAACATCGTGGGTAGAGTGAAGCCGCGCGGCTGGAGTGAACAACGAAAGTTTCTTAGCATAGCTTGCTACGGTTGCTGCAGCGTATCCTTGCCACTCTTTATTCTTATGCGAGTCAGCATAATCACTGATGGCCAAACATGGAAGGTTGTCCACCTATCCCGCAGCTCCTATCTCAAGCATATGATAGCATAGTTCTGAGTCAGTTGATCTCGCGTTTTGCCATGTTTCATGACTTGATCCCCCGGCCCTATTAGCCCATAATGTATCCTAGGATTGTTATTATCTCGAATATATCAAGTTACTGTCTTTTTCCTTTCACAATTCCTACAAGAAGGCTCTAATCCTACATGTTTATATTATGTATTTAAAAAGGAGGTCTTTCCCCTGAACAAAATAGGCGAATCCAGCCGTTAGCTTCGGATATTTTGCAAGCAAAGCGTCAATATAGTCTGGCAGCTTGTCGACTATTGTTTGTTTCACTCGGGCTATTCGACTTAAGGTGCTGAGAGGTCACCTCAATCTTCGCAGTTGCCAATATACAAACCTCTGGCTAGCTTATCTGAAAGCCAAGATAGGGCAGCCAAGCGGGCAAGGATTTCGACCTATCATGCCCCCCATCGTGACTCAGGTAATAGAAATTACAGATGTTAGTGGAGGATTCTATGACAGTTCTCCGCTGAGCAAAAAAAGGGCCAACCAAGACGGCGAGGTAAGCTAAATAACTCGGGTTTACAGTAGTAGTCACACTCCCAGTCCAGTCCGCGGATTCCACAAAAACACCCGGACCGCAATGACGGGAAACAAACCAAGGCAAGCTTGCTCACCACAGGCTCGAGTCGGGTCGCAAAGAAAGATCGTGGTGGAACTATTAGAACCACAGTGGCAAGGCAATTACCGCTCGCCTCTTCTCTTCTCCTATCATGATTTCTATATAACTGGCAGATTTATAAGAGGAAGAAAAGAATGTTGCGAACCATCCCCCCGGGCCCACACATCGATCTGTTCGTACCCTGCCAGCTTGTCCGTCTAAAAAATGTACACTTGAATAAACAGAGAAGAACATGTACTATGCCCCATAGTTGCGGTAGCATGTGCATATACATGCACATGTACATTGCCCGGTGCGAGGGAGGTGTCAGGGTAAATGAAACACAACCAACCAATTGGTACGGAGTACACCAACAACACGATATATGGGCTAGATTAGACGACGGAAAAGTGTATAGGAGGGATTAATATGAACCATTCAGTGAGTCACTCATATTTTTTTATTTTCACCTTGGCCTTCACATTAAAAGTGGGATTATCAAGACAAAGCTATATCCAATCCAGAAGGTTGATGCGGAAGCCCACATTAAATCCCCAGCAAAAACAAGTCTAGATAGTAGTAGACACCCGAGGGAAGAGGCAGTGCCAGCAGGCAGCAGCTTTTCCCAAGACTATGTTAAACGATGGAGGGAAAAAAAAAAAAGAAAAAAAATAGAAAGAGGGACAGAGCTTGGGCCAATTACCCACTCAGCATGAGGTATTATTTTTTCTTCGGCCGTCCAGACAAATTAAGCTTTCCTGCAATGACACGTGGGGCTCTCAGCCCTACGAAATTAGGGCCTGAGGTAGCGCTGGATGGGGTTATCTTGGACGATGGGACTGACTCTGTGGAGGGGTATTATTATCTTATGTTTCGCCATGATGAGGTATTTTATGATTGGTGTATATTGAGGTTATCTGAGTGGTAGAATTTCTTTTGATGGGAAAACTGTAATTCTTGCTCGTAGAGATGCCTGGTCGGACGAATGGGTGTCGTCTTAGAGATAGGGTGGGAAAGATATTGCATTACAGAGGAGTATTATCAGCATTCTATCCTAGAGATAAGAGGTCCCCTGCTTAAGTGATTATGAATCGGTGTTGCGTAATGGAAACAGGAACTCCGTTAAGAGCTTTGGTCCATCTAGGAGGGTCTTCAAAGCGCTTTTTGTCCGCATTGGAGTTCCCTGTATCCCCGGAATGCTTGTGCATTATACTAGCCCATTTCCCGGAACCATAATCTCTTCGGACTGATTGGTCTCTCGTTGAGCAGACTCTTTCCCTTATGACGGTCGAGAAACGCAAAAAGAATCTTCGACTTTCAGTGACCCTCTAGGAACCTTACCGAACACATGGGCGGAATAGGTTCGATCGTCTAATGCTAATTACTTAGACTTATTCTACTATTGTCCTGGTAGGGCGGAGGAATATTGCTTGATGAGACAGACCTCAGGAATACTAGACGCTCTTTTGCCTTATTGAGAGATCGTCTCCTACGATACGCTAGAACAAGTCAACGGATACAGGATGATATCTGAATACCACTTGCTTGTTGAAAAGACCTAAACTCCATCGTTCGTCCTTCACGAGAAAATATTCCAAAATAGAGATTAGTTACAAAGCTATATGCCGGATCTGCCAACGGCCGGTCATCTTTGAGAGAATGATGGATATCATAGCACAACCCTTCATGCCATGATCGTCAACTTCTTGTGCATTCTCTCTTGCATTCTCTCCTCCATCTCGATTTCCCGGAGCCGATTGTCCAACCTTTCAATGTATTCATCCAGGGTCAATACCTCAGGGTCCTCGCTAAGATAGAAAGTCTTGATATAGTCGGACGCTGCATACGGGGTCAGCTTTCGGCCAGTTCTCGTACGTGGAACATTCTTTATCTGGAATGGAATGTGACATACCCTCGCCTTCCAATTTGATCCAGGCGTCCACAATGCTTTGCAGCTGTCTTTTTGTCATTCTCACCGGTGGAATGTTGTCAGTGTCGAACTTGACCAGCTTGTATATCCCCTCTAGCTGACTATCAATTAGTTGCCAGGCTCCTTGGAGCTTTCCGAGATCGTCTTTGGCGGGACCGATCTGATCTTTTAGCTCTGTGATTTGGCACTACAGATGGTTAGAATGAAATTTTTACCTCGGCCAGATTTGTCACCTTACCTTCATAACTGTAACACTTTGCTGCAAATTGACCGCAAGCTTCTGCTCTTGCTCATACTCTTTGAGGAGGGCTTTGAGTTTTGTGAGGCTCTCTTTCAGGGCCTTCAGCTGGGACTTGAACTTAGCGACGACCGCCTCGCCGATTAAAGCACCCGTCAGTCCCCCACTGGCAATGGTTAGCGATTCGACCCCAGATTCCAAGAAATAAACAATAACTTACATCCAACTGTATTTTCTAGCGTCCGAGATCTGCTTGTTTTCTACAGATGTCGTGAGAAATAAGATTGAGTGAAGGGAGTGGGAGATATGACTTACTCCTATCGATGTCATCCTGGACATCAGCGATCTCGTCATTGACGTTGTCAATCTTCTCTTGGATGTCTTCCACGTCATATCCCGCTTTCTGCAGTTGTAATCCAATCCGATTCTGATTGCCTCGGAGCAATTCATCATGGCCCTCGATGGTGCCTTTGAAGCTGTCTAGTTCCGTAATAACCTCGGTTACTTTACCCTGCAGGACTTCGATCTCTGCCCGACACTTGTTGACGGCGTAGATGATACTATCCTTTAGTTCCTGAAGCTCACGTGGATCCGGCTCTTCCTTCTGCATCTCCTCCCAGTATAATCCGACAAACTCTATGATCGTAGCATAATACGACGTTTCCGTGGTTCCGCCCTGCGTATCGGCATATTCTCTGATCCTTTTGGCTGACTCGAGGATCTCCATCCAGGTTTCCTCCTTGAATTTCCCACAGTCACCTTTGATCTGCTTCTCATTAGTTTAAACTGTGTGTGTGTGTGTGCATATGCACGGCGGCATCCAGGTTGACCTGTGCGAATGGAGAGATAAACTGCAAAGGATATGACTACATACCTTGGTATGAGTGACCATAAGATCGTCAATCTCCCGGCGAAGGTCTTCACCGATCAGTTCTGGATCATCCTTAAGCGACAAATCGTTAAGGTATTCGCCGCGATTGGTCAGAAGCTTTTTGGCCGATCCTATGTACCGACTCAAAGCCGTCAAACTGGAAGCATTGAGAAAGAAGGTCTTCTCATCGTCATCGTCATCAAGTTTGCCACGCTTGTTGCTGGGGCGATTGTCAATGTACATTCCATTGGGGAAAAAGACCGTTGGATCATCCCAGGGCTGCGTCGGATCAAAAGCCATGATCGTAAATAATATGAAGACTCTCGGATGTGTGGCGGTTGCCGAAGTTTATGGTAAAATGAGCGTATTTTGGCTGATGGAGGAGAAAGCGCAGCCTGGATCATGTCTCCTTTTATAGACAGACATTTCTGTAGACAGGGTTTCGGCGAACGGAACAGTGAGGGAATGTGAGTCTGCGAGTTCCCTGCCCGAGATGGTGGCCAGCTTGCTGCTCATTTTCCGAAGCACTGAAGATGAGTTCTTTCATCACTTGCTGTGTTCGAATATACAAGGTGCGAGGATGATTCCTGCTATCCTGCATTTGTGGGGGGGGGGGGGGGGGTATAATGCAGGCCATAAGCCCGCTGTGCATGAGCTGAACTCATCGAACGCAACGCCACTCGCACGTCCTCCGCACTTGAGTTCTCTGTTGGCCTCCGTGCATATAATCATGCATATGAACAATAATAGCCTCCTGTTCTACTCCGTACATCCCCGCTCTCTCGGAGGCAGTGTCGTATTTTGTTGTATTAGATGCGCCACATAAAGCATTCTTATTCGCCCAGCCCAACTGGTATGTAAGTTGGGCTTCTCTTCAATCAGCCCATGAAAGACAGTGGAAATATCGCTGTACAGTTTCGATTGGCATGAGGAGCGCAGAACTACAGAGCACATGGATTACCATGGTAGCAGCAGAAGTGGAAGTTGTAGATCATAAATCATACGCTATCTATGGACAGTCGCTAGTCCCAGCTACTTACGCTGTAGTCTGTGGCGATACCTTAAGGCTCAAGGCGGGTCAATGTTAATCACTGCAATTAAGCGTCATCTAGGGAAACATACAAAAGGAAAAGAAAAGTGAGGGAAGTATCTTCAGAACTAGTTCCCATAGTTGCGTTCTGCTAGTGGGCAAAGCCACATGCAGACTTAGGGCATTCAGCTCAATAGGCGCAATCCTCGCAATGCATGAACCCCAGAAGTGTCCCCATACGACGGGCATATTAAGGGTTCGGTTACCAGCATGGACAGCTAGCTGCTTTCTCTGGATTGGTCGGGATGCAGTGTGATTCATGCACCGTCCAGACTGAACGAGTTGTACAAAAACTGTTTGATTCTCGACTCAGCTCCGAGTGCCACCCTGCAGTGAATGAGACCCAGCCCTTCAGCCAGCCACGCATGCCTTTACATACCGATGTCAACCTCTCAGGTAGAGGTTGGCTAAAGAGGGTGAGGTACACGGTGGGAGATAATCCTTGCAGCTGGGGAGAGCAGACGTCAGCTGGCATGCAGACATCTCTGTCCTGTAGGATTATCAGGCAATCAACACAGAGTTACACAATGAACCCCGCCTCCACAAGATGTTTAGGCCTAGTTCTTCTCAGCTCTGGCTAGATCTGTACGAGAGAGACATGACGCAACGTCAGTAGAAGAAAGGAAGAGATATTGTGGCACACTGGAAGGGAAAGGGGAAAGGCTGGATGCTCATAATACTTTGAACTCGTCCCTATATCAGTAGCAATGGTTGCTGGAATAAAACTATACTTATTATTGTAAACCAGTCCTTTTTCAAAAACGGCTACCATGACCGGACTTTCTCCCCAGCCAACTTCTCCAACGGAGTGGGAAAGCTATGCCACCTCGGACGCAGTGCAAAGCATACCTTTGCGAGAGGCTGAAACCGTGGATGAGAATGCAGTGAGTGATGACTCCATCCAAGGGCCAGTGAAACCGGTGCAGGCAATAACTAATTGCTTCTAATTCATAAGAAAACTGCAACTTTTCGAGGGGTCTTTCTCGAGGCCTCGACAGTTCTCCCTTCTTCTATGAGCAGAGTCAATGTTTTGGCAGATGTTGTCGCTTTCAAAGAAGAAAGCTCCACCATCTCGCCAGCCAGAAATGGTACGGTCCAAATCAAGGCTAGGGTTCTTACCGCTGCTACGCCAGTGAAGATCGTGATTCCTTCAGATGCGTCAGGGGTAGTGGCAATCTATGCCGCCATTGTCGATCAGCCCATTGCTGTTTATCTAGGTGACTCTAAAGAGCTGGTTCTGGACCTTGGTCGTGAGTCAGAGTATGTTGGGATTGTTTTGGATTTCGATGGAGGCGTCTTGGAATATGACTATGAGAAAATATATCCGTCAGACTGGAGTGAAAACCTTCGGGCGAGCCTAAACACGCAGCTACGCATTGCTCTCGTTGAGTTTTGGAGAAACACTTCGATTGCAATCTCATTATGTGCGTATGTCGCGGCGCTGACGAAGAAGAGCCCTGAATTCTCCCTGCTCAATACACAGGCCGTGGCGCTCGGTCAGCAACTCGCGGGACAGGTCATAGAGGGCCCTGAGATGAAATATGCACCTGTTTTGGTTCCCAGTCGATACGAGATTACGGCACGAGCTATTATTGACGCCGCAGCTGCGTTCCAGGAGCAGTATGAACGATTTGAGGATAAGGAGGAGTCGTTGGAGAATCATATCAAGGCTTGGCAAACTATGCTATCTCAAGCTACCGGGGTAAGTGAGATGCACAAAACCCAGCGCGACATAGCGATGGCCAAATACAAGAATGCACAAGAAACTACCGAGCACTGCTTGAGGCAGTTCAAGAATGAGGGCGATGCCTTAGTATTGGTGCAATATCAGTTTGAACAAGGCCTCGAGATGTGGGTAATTGAGCAAAAGTTTCAGGCGGCGCTACAGATTGTCACCGCAGTCTTTTGTAAGCCATCATCTATTATTGATTGATTTATTGATACTGATTCGCAATCCTAGCCTTTGCTGTCAGTATCGGAACACTCGTCATGGGCAACCCTGGTGGAGGCTCCGGGGCAGCAGATGCTGCAGGGCGGGCAGTCAAAGCCGTGCAAGATGCAGAGAGAATTTCCGACCAAGTGGGCAAGATCCTATCATCCAATACCTTAAAGAAGCTGGCGGATGCTATCAATGCTCTGAGCAATCTGATTCCTTTGGTGCTTATAATCGTTGACGCAGTCGAGAAATTTGAGATGGACAATACCATTGAAATCCCTTCTACAGACGATATTTCAGGCTCAAAGATAGGGAATGCTGATGCAACTACCATTGTCACACTAGCTGCTTGGGATAAATGGATTTTAGATGTTGACCAACAGATTGCGTTTGCCGTTGAGAATAATATTGACGGCGCCAGTGACTATCAGCTGGCCCTGCGCAAGCATGGTATTAATGGGAAACAGCTGGCTCAAGCACAAGCGGAGACTATCAAGGCCGGATATGAGTATGTCCAAGCCCAAATGGAGGTGATTGTAAGTCAAAAACAAATCGAAGAACTTCAAGCATTGCTAGAGGATTACGAAGGGCAAGAGGAACGGTATCTTCAAGCCAAAACCATATTTTATGACCGTGCTATGGCCTTGAGAACCAGCATCGTGATTGTGCTTCGTGATATGGCTTGGGCATATCGCTACTGGGCTCTCGCTGAGAGCTCAATTAGATTGGATGCTCATAAGCCCCTTGCAGACTATAGATCAGATCTTGCCACCATTCTCACCGAAGTGGACAATGTGGACTCGCAATGGGCCAGTGATTTCCAACGTAAGCAATTCCTTTCTGTCAGCGGAAGCCAACTGATCATAATCACAAAGCATTCGAATACCCTGAGCATTCGGAATCAGTGAGAATATTATCTTCCTCAATTTAGTGTAGAGAATCTATAGCTAACGAAGCTGCAGCTGCCCGCAGATTACGGCCCATCACTAACGGCCGGCCTTCTCGGCGGCGAGCACACCGGCAGCTTTACCCTTCTTCCGGAAGGTGATTTAGCGAATGTCTTCTCTGAAGGATCACATTATCGACTGAACGGCTTGGATGCTACTCTGGACGGTGCACTTCCAAACTCTGACTCGGCACATGATGGCAAAGTATGGCTGAAACTACAGATCACCACATCCGGTATCTATGCAGACATCAAGGAGGATGGACGTGTCTTATACTTCAGAAGCCTTCCACAGGTTCGGCGATGCTCGTATGACCTTGACATGAACGGAAACCGACTCAACACTCGCGATGATCCTTCATTTGAAACGAAAGATCACGCCGAGCCCACTCCATTTACCCAGTGGAAGATCAAGGTGCTGAACCCGGAAGACTTGAATCTGGAAGGGTTGAAGGGGGTGAAGCTTTTATGGGAGGGACGTGTTCGATATGATGAGGTACACCGTCGCAGACAACAAGTAGAAGAACTGGAGTGATTGTTGACAAGCCGAGGCATGCCATCCTCTCTGGCACTTATGGATATCGATTATGAAGTCTTGATTAGATGAAGTTATTCACGGTTTGCTATTTTAGTACGCAATACTGATTTGGCCCTTGGTTCCTTGGAGCCTAGTACTATGGAATTTTTCGACTCAGAAGATAATGATGAGAATTTAGATGGGTGGGATGCCATGACCTTTTATGACTATGCAGGTAACCAAGCTCAAGAGGGATTATCATTGAGGGCCGCATCGTACTATGACAGTACCAGCCCCCATCCCTTTCCTTGAAAGGGCTTCAATGTCCCCTTACGCCGGATCGATGTACTGTTCCTTGAAAACCTTCACTGCAAATGTGAAAAGAGTCAGTGGCCATTGAAGTCAGGGAGACGGCACCGCGAAGGGCTTGCTCTTACCCTCTTTTTCCAGGCTTGCCCATTTAGCCAAGATCTTTCCCTTCCTCAGCCTCTCAAAAGGGTTTTCTCCGGGCACGAGCTCCTTGACATATCGTTCCAAGGTAACAAGATCTAGATCAAGTAGCTCAATCGAGCCTGAATTGGACTTCAGTCTGACCGCTCCTCCAGCTGTGACGCGAATCAACTCACCGAGGGCTCTTTCCAAATCATGTAACGCGCCAGCTGCCGGGCCTGTGAAGGTAAGCGCGAAGACCCATATCTGTATGTGGTCGTGTTTTGTCAGCCCAGCTGCACGAAGAACAGGATATACAGAGTACGCCCATCCAATGGGAGTCAAATTCACCTTCATATTTATAAGTGCCCAGAAGTTTAACTGATATTCATTGTCATCCTTGATGGCTTCACGAAGTAGGGCGAAAACTTCCCATCGATTTAAATCCTTGGCTGCGTCCTTAAGTTCGTCCTGCGATATCTCCACATCGCGTGTGGCTTTGATCAACTTAGATCTTACTTCCCTGGTTTTTGAGGTGAGAGTGGTAAGGGATCCCAGGCGCTTGTTGATCCTGGCTTGCACAAGAGCTCGTAGCTCCTCGTCCGATTCACCTCTGTAGAGCCTCTCTAAGCCGTCGAATATCACGTCTATATCCCTCCAGTGCAGCAATGGTCAGTCTTTACAAAAGGGTGCTTCTATAACAATTTGCGAAAGGGGTTTGCGTTTAGTTCTAACCGTAGTCCTCTTGTGCAGTTTTCGCAAGGTCCAGAATTATGTTGCAAATAGTACCGATTTGTTTATATCCGGTCTGAATAGGAATGGTCAACAATTCAGGACGTAAAAGCAGACTTCTAGGCTTCCTCTCACATAAAGGTCCTTGTATTGGTCGTGTATCTGCATGTGTTATGTCAATACCACTCTAATAACAGGAGGGAAAAACGGGAGGGGGACAGAAAAGAGAAATAGAAGTACCTTTCCTAGATGCGTAACAGTCATGCCAATACTTCCTTCAATCTGCTCCCAATCAGTTCAACATGTCTGTTTACAGGTAAGTTTTGATCTCATACTGCCTTCGCTCCACGGTCTGTAAACCTGAAGAACGCCGCCGCCACAACTTTGGTCAGTGGGAAATACAGGAATGCTGAGAAAGCGCTGTTAAAGTTTTTGAACAACGGTCCTTTCAAGATAAAGCCATCTTCAAGCAAGAGATCTCGAGGGCAAAGGAAATCTTCGTCAATGTGGAAGGTCGTATTAGTGGGGGGATAGTAACGTTGAGCCATGCTTGCATATGTCTGATACAATTGCTGGGATGGGCTGGAGAGCCTATGGTGGTCTATAAATATTCCTCGCCAGCACAGAAATATGCAATCTGTGCTCCCAGGGGAGGGGGTCAGGGGGGGGGAAGAAGACACCTGTTAACACCTTCCCAACAGACAATGCTCAGTGACATCCAGTAGTCATGGGACGCATGTGTATGCTCGCCCCTCTCCGGTTGTCTGTGTACCTACCCAAGATGCAGCTTTGCCTGGGTTGGTCTGGGTGGATGCTTACCATTGGCTTGTTGATGTGCCTTTAACCCCTCCGCAGATTTCTCGAAGTTCAGCTCTCCACCCAGACCAGGTCTTTTTCTTTCTTTCTTTCCTCAACTATGCGAAAGTACACTGTGTGGAGACTGGGGGAGCTGACATTGTAATTGGTCAATCAAGTCTGGCTATTCGAGGTACTATTGCTTTTGTCTTTATGATAATCCGGCGGTCCTCCTCGTGAATTAAATCCGTGGCAATTGAAAGACGACTCAGGAACCGTAGAGCCACGCTGCTTAGCTGCCAAAAGCTCTTTTACGTCTAAGTTCAATAGCGTACAATAGAAACATCCATGTAACTTGAGACTCTTTTAATATGTACCAAATAGCACCAATTAATAGATAATCAGTATGTTGAGAATGCCGCTGAAAGATGCCATCTAGTGTGTTTTTGTGAGCCGCTCTGGTTCAGCTTCATCGACCTCTCCTTGATGATAGGCCAACATACTACTACTACCTTCGCCTGCACCCGGTGCTCCTTAGATCATGCAAATTCATTGTTGCGCATGATCTACCATCACCTAGCTACTTACAATATATGCATCACACGGGGGATCAAGCGCCATGAGAAATACGCAGAAATCCCCGGCAGCCCTACATATATCATAGTAACGAACAGTAATTTACCGAAGACAAGCCATATATTTCCCACCAGCTCTCCCCTGTCTAGAAGGTCATTCCGCAAGGTACCAATCCAGCCCAGGTACGAGTACTAATCACCAATAGAACAACGGTAGGATACTTCTTATATAGGTCGATATAGGTGTAAATAAGATCTCTAAATATTTTCCTAGACAAGCTGTACACATCCGGTACCTGGACCAAAAGCATGGTCTTATATATGCCGTCCGGCAATTCTACATTCAACTAATACAGGAGATCATCTAATTCATCTAGCAGTAGTTTGAGCAGTGGTGCAGGACGCAGAATGTACACTATCTACGTAGCCGTCACATTGCATCTTACCAGGCCTTTGACTAGTGAATAGGCTCGTAAGAATCCTCGTGCTCGTTTTCCAAATTTCTTTACAAATTGTGCGGGCCAGATTGGGCCACGTTGTATATGGGGATACTAGTGAATGGGACTATATTGCATGCTACTAATTTATCAGTCTAGTTAAATCGCAGCCTGATAGAATTCTTCAGATGGTGCTTTCTGCTTCTGCCCTGACCGCCGATCTAAAGAAGAATGGAGTAAAGCTAGGTCTATCTACGAGCTCATCCAGCTCCACGAAATAGTATTCGACTCGCTGTGGACAGAGTAAGAATCCGAAAACTAACATCACAAAAACCCTGTAATCCGCATTTGGAAAGCGTTCTCAGAGTTGAAGCAGGCTAAAGCATCCATGACTCGATTGACGGCTCACCCTTAACCCTAGATGAAATTCGTCTAAGGTGATCACGGACAGACTCTAGATTGCAGCATTGGCTGCATTAAAAAGTCATCATGCGCAATCTCCTCTGCTGTCGGCCGCTCATCTGACAGCCAACTGAATATTCTTTGCAAGAAATTTAAAAAGAGAATTTTATCTTCTCCGGAATATTGTCGCTCTTTTATGGATAACAATTGCTCTGGTATGGGTACAGAGCCCTTCCAATTCCCCGCAACAAGGGGTTAGGATAACAAAGGGCAGGAGGGAAAGATAGTATCTACCCTTTCAGGTCTCAAAATTGGCAACATTTTTCATTCTGTTCTAGAAAGTCTTCCGGAGGAGGCTCTATGGGTGATACCATTTCTGCTATGTGCTGCTTGTCACTCAGTTGATGATTATTCTTTGAGGGAAAAAAAGATTACTGCTCCCAACTAAATCCCAAGCCTAAGAGATATATCAGCATAAAAATTCAGTACAGGGTAGAAACGCGCAGCAAATAGTTAGACGGGGACAAGCTTGCTATTCCAGCCGTACTCACGATGGCACCGATTGACCAGGCATCAACCTTAGAACCCCAGTGCATGTTTAAGATCACTTCTGGTGCCTGGTAGGTTCTAAGCATGACATCTCCCAAGCTTGTATTTCCCGTTTCCCACTCTAGCCTCCCCAAAGCCAGTAATTACAGGCAAGCCTGTGGTAACAGGTATTGGTCGAGAGACGTAAACAGTACAATCAGCTGGGACCTTTCTAGCAATCGGTCTTCTTATCTCATCTTCTTCAATCTATGGTAAAATAGAAGGACTCTCGATTCTGGAGAGTATATTATTCGACAAGATATCTAAGGATATCGAGTATAACGCCCCAAGTAAAGTTTTGATTTTATACATATCTGTGTGGACAACGCTATTCTCATGCATAAACGCTAACGAAATCAAGATGAGTTGGATACTCCTTTGCACAAGGTCCTTTGGGAACGTTTTATCAGGAAGCACATCACAGAATTCAGTAAAGCTCAGGCCAAGGGGCTGATAAATCAAACATGTGTGCTTCCCATGGGCACCGACAACCTCAAATGAATCTAGGACTAAGCGGACTAGTTTCTTGCCAGGATGTTCACCACAGTTCTTCAGGTGCTCAGAAATAAGTATCTCATCTCACGGCCGCTGATTTTAAACACATGTTTTCAGTATGTAGAAACCATAGTTTCCGTGACTAGTTAGATAGAAGCAGTACACTCATGGCCCAGTTAAGTAGGTATTACTCACTGAAGATCAGCCAGGCTGTAGCAGGCCCGCCGTACCAGAGTTTGGAAATAGCCTAATACCTTTCTACAAACATTTCTCCAATATAAACCGGATAGTATCTCTCTACCACGTAGAAGGAAAGTCTTTCCTCCTTTATCTTCTCTGAGGTGTCCAATGTCACAAATCCTGATGTAGGAAATCGGCGCGGACGAAGTGGTGGAACTGAAACCATAGTTCTTGTGATATTACCACGCAGAGGAATAACACTATTAACTGGGCATTTCAAGGAAACCAGAAGGCCTTTGGTATTTATGCCGTCGACAAGTTAAAGATGATATTATAGCCATCATGGGAGGAAATCGTGAAGATCCGTAGAGGACAGGTATGTTCTAATTAAGCCCTGGACAGTACATAGAGGCGAAGATCATGGACCATAAAAAAGCACCGTTACAGCCAAGCTAACTTTAGACCCTAGCTACAAAGTACTAGTAGCTAGTGGTGAATACGACTCCAGGGGCGACAATTTCTACCAGTAATCCGATTCCAGAAAGGCCTGTGGTTCAATCAAGTTCTAGGGCAAAAGCTTTTCGGCGCCTTAGAGACACCGACGAGATATAGAGCATAGAGCTAGAAGTTGTAAGCCAATAGACTATTTTCTACATAGTTTTGGCACCGAGGACTCGGAGGTGTTCTAAGATTCAGAACCGCATTGCTGCTGGAAATACAACGAATATATCCCTCGACGACCGGGAGGTCATTATAAACGCGATAGAGAAGGGGTCTCAATCTGGCCTCTGTGCCGCTGCCCATGAAGATCATTAGGATGGGAGTCTGGCCGGACCATGGGCTTGAAACACAAGGGATTCACCTCGCGGAATTTACTCTTGCATCCCATCCAGAAGAGGAATACTCAACTGCCAGGAATACACACACGATATCCGGGGCGTCTACCTAAACTCTCCGATAAAAACCACTGCAGAGTCTTTATGAACTTAGTACTAGTCAAATCCTATATGTACATTTCCAAGGAGTCCCTCTAGAAGGAGCAGACTGTTGTTAAGAAACGGATATATATAATTTAAAAGGTACATACACAAAGGAACATCTCTAAAAACTATGAACAGTTAATGACCTTAGCCTGGCAGTACACTCCACAGCAATCGAGAACACAGTTCAAGAGCCAATATAAGCTTACCCTTAAATTCAACAACCGCAATCTACCCCCTTCTTCCTAGTAGGTACATGACATCTCACCCAACATGAACCGCAGAGATAGGGTTCAACAAGCCTCCCACGGACTTAACTTGCCCATCCTTATCAACTCAGCTTACGTGAGTATATACACAAAGGAAGATGAACCCTGATTGATACCTTAAATAGCCCACTAATTCCCAGCCTTGCATAAGATCCATCAGCCTTAAATCTTAGATAATACCTATCACCAACAACTATTGTACTACTACTATGTACGAATCACAGAATACAATACTATTAACAACGTGTACACCGTACCTATACAGCTAGAAAGAAATTCCAGGTCACATACTGTACCAGAACAAGAGTTACATCACGATTTAGCTCCGCGGATAGCCTACCCAGGCCAGAGGAGATGCAACCAAGTCATCTGTTGGAAGAGCCGGGCGTGGCGGGATGAGCGGCGGTTGGTGACCCTGATCTCCGCATCGCATTGAGGGGTTGCATGCATGTCAGATGACATCAGCCTTTTTTGCGCTAGGACCTAGTACAACCTAACTATTTACTTCCAGTAGTGTTTACTAAGTGGAGGAGGTGGGGAAGAGGATAGATGAGAAAGGCCAAAAGTAGTAAAAATTGAATGTCTATCGGTACGATGGTAGTGGGTGTCTATATACGATGTCCGGTTCCCAATTCAAGACGTCGCGCAACGAAAGAATCAAACCAACCGTGGCCGAGATAGAACGAGTCGCAAAATGGTATCATCGAAGACAAAGAAAAGCCATGGGCTCCAGCTTGCAATAGAGAAATGCAAATGACTCCCGATGACCCAGCATACGCCAGACAAGAAAGCAAAGCCCCGTCCCAGTGGTAAGCAGAATGAAAGAGAATTAAAAGTGCCCAAAGAAAAATGAGAACGACAAAGGAAAGTAGAAACAAGTAAATCAGTAAAAGCGTCAGAGGGGATCTGCGCTGATAGCAGCCATGTTCCCTGGAATAACCGACAGCAGAGCAATCCAGTCAGTAAGCCAAATCAAACGCGCTCAAATGCAATCCGACAGGTCGAAATGTAAAATGCCGAGGAAGCTCAAATAGTAGCTTCGATGTTGCCCTGCAGGTCCGATTATCCATTCCCGACCCTTGAAGATGAAAGAAACTAAAATCAATCACTATTACTTTTTTGGTTGGGCCCGATGCCCGGTAAGATATCGCAAATGTTTCATGAGGACTAAGCCGACGGTCGTCGAAGAATGTCCTCGCAGTTGGCGTCAAAACGCATGTTCCATAGACGAATGCTATTCATCAATTTCTCCGTGCTCTCCAATTCGCGGTCGCGACCGAATATCGTCTCGACAAATTCACACCCTGCATTGCGGCCCATCGACACGCTGCCCTTACCACCTTCTCGCTTGGCCGCTTTCCACATAAACTGTTCGCAGGTTTTCAGCAACTTCTTAAACCGCGCCCACAAGCGCTCCCCACTCTCCAAAAAATCCTCCACCACTTCGTGGGCATCGGTATGCTTGATCCGATCCACACACTCATCGGCCCTCTTGATCTTACCGGCCAACTTTATCAACAACAACCACAACTCACCCGCAACATCCGCCATCGGGGTCGAAGCACCGTGGTGGAAGACCGTCCAGTCGTAGATCCACTTGCCTAGAGAGTTCGCATCGAATACACTGCCCAGGAGAATGATAGGCGTTTCGGTAGGATCCCAGTTCTTGATCGAATAACCCGGGGGTATGCCAGCTTTGGCCGCATCCTCCTCCGTTGCCTTGGGAAGCGGCTTAGATGATGTCGCAGGCTTAGGCTTCGATGGGTTCCGCGTGGAGGTGGACTGGCGACGTGCGCGGGACCGCTTCGGTGAATCGTCTTCATAGACAGGAACCTGATTAGAATAACAAGAGTAATCAGTGGGTGGTTTTGGTTTGCGTGGAGACGAAGACGAAAATCGACGGGGTTGGCTAGCTTCCTCGTGGAAGGCGAATCGTGGCGCGTCTTCGAATCCGTCGTCGACCACATCAACAAAGATGGGTCGTTTCCGGGTCGAGTGCGACGGGCGCGGACTAGCATTATCCCAGGGATCGGCGGGGGCATTGGCCATGGTACTGCGGCGACGATGACAGGACGTAGAGCCACCAAAAAAAGCACTTACATTATCGTGCTTGCGCGGCGGCGTGCTGTATTCAGGCATCGCTTCGTAGAACGTCGTTCCGTACCCGGCAGGTTGCCATCCTTCTTTAGTACCCGCATAGCTGGCTTTGCGACTATGGCGCTTCGACGCTGGTCGAGGAGAACCGTAAGGATTGGCGATCTGGGTGGCGTAGTATGCGTAGTGAGGAGATGTTGGAGGTGAAGTCATATAATGGGATGACCACCCAGGAGGTGGACTGGCGTAATGATACATTATCGGAAGTTGAGCATAAGAATCGGCTCGCGATGCTGGTAGTAAAGGCGAGTAACAAAATTCGATAACTTTTTATAGAGTCCCAAGTAACCAAACTACTCAAGAAAACGATAAATCAAAATAATAGAAAAAAAATATAAGGAGAAAAATTTGAAAGGACAACCCAGATATATTGTACAGGATATCGCTCAGAACAAACCGATCGACGCCGATGCAAAGGACAACGAAATCGGAAGATCGATGAGGACCGTCACCGAGGCACGGTTTGTAGGGGAGAGGAGGAACAGGGTGTTATGTGCCGAGAGTGCATTTGAACGTCGTCAATCGTCGGACGGAAAAGGTGGTTGATCTGTGTGCGAGGCGAAATTGGATCCTTGAAGCGAACGGGACTGAATCCAACGGAGGTTTCGAGCAGGTTCCTGGGAGGTCTATCGTTCTATATATGTTGATAATCCAGGAGTCGGTCTAGGGAACCATGCGACTGCTGGTTGGGGTGATTGAATGTGTTTGTGCAAGTGAACCCTTTTGAGGGTGTGATAAATAGAGTAAGTAAACGGCGAAGGGGAGAGAGCGCGCAGGCGAACCCCAAGCGCTTTTGTAATGGATGGTGAAAGAGACCACGGGAACGGGGGGCGCGGCGGGTAAGGGTGTGGGGGCCCTGGTGTAAAATTTCACAACGCTAATTTGGTCCCATTCGCTTCCGTTTCGTTTGGTTTCTGGTTTGGTTTGGTTTGGTTTAGTATGGTACGGTATGGTACGGTACGCTTAGAGTACTTTTCAGCTTGCATGTAGGGACTCAACCATAGTAGAAATGCCAATTGTCATTTTGAAGAAAACAGCCTTTTTACATATATAGAAGCTATGCACATTTGAGTTCCTCATGGAAAAGTTTGAAGTTGATCATCTTGTCGGTGCACATATGATACGTTATATATTTATACTATGTCGTGCTGAAGAACGAGTCATTTGGAGCCTCGATTAGTTGGGCATCGCCTACTAGTAGTAGTCTGGGTGCCCACTAGGTTGACTGGATAGGGCACAAAATGGCAGCCGAATCCAGGCGTTACGATTGGTAACATCCGATTAGCTAGGAGTCAAAATTGCGATATCAACCATATATATCCAGTCATCCTTCTTCGTGAGCCCCCATCGTGAGTAATCCGATGCATCACCATTCTATTAGACATGCAGCCCCATTGGCCGACTCGACCCTACAAGATCAGAGTCATGTACCAAGGTGACTCGTACCTAAGGCATCCGCAGGCTGATGTACGTCCGGTCTCCCATCACACCATCTTGATATCCATCCATACAGCGGGTGGAAGCCTGGAACCCAGCTTTGAGGGCGCGGATACGGGCGCGGGTCTAAGTTGCCACAAAGGTGGCTCACAGTAAAGCAGATATCTACTCAGGTCGATACGATCATGGATCAGAGGCTTGTCAGCTGAATGAAGGCTCGTTCTACGAGAATTCCGCTCGCCTTGTTTTGAACCCGTGTCGTCGTCGCACGATTGCCTAACAGTGGAGAGGTGGCAGCGCAGACCTTGAGATCACAGCTGCGAATGAATCATGGCATAGTGTGCCTAGCCAGTGCTGGAGAAGGATGCAGTGAAGATGCAGACTGTACGAATTAAAACGTTCAGTACAGACTGTGCCTGTTACATGGTTAGCTTTAAGATGATCCGTTCCATGGTAGTTTCCCGCACTATCCCATGGTTCCATATTCAAATCTCTGGTTCCAGATAAACAAGCTCATCGTCTAGAGGGGTTCTAGGTCGGTGGGACTCTTATGACATAAATGCCCACAGGACCATCAGGATATCCACAGACCCCCATCCACCAAAACAATGGTTGTTGGGCAACAGTCGGTTGCTGGGCTTTACCGCTGCTGGGCAGCAAGTGTACAACACGATCAGGCTTCGTTAAACAGACCGCAATTTGAAGGATTCGGCGCGGAAGGACTCGGTAGAGGGGCAGAGGAAGTAAAAAAAAAAGGAAAGATAGGACACATCTGAATGACTAAAACTTATTTAAAAAGCTGGATTATTTTGTGTACAGTTGCACGCAAAGTCGCAATAAATAGTGATCTGTACTGTATTTGGGTGAGTTGTACCGATTCGTCTCAAAAACAAGATAAGAAGACAACACTGACCAGTCATCTCAGACGGTCTTCTCACTCAACCTTGAATGAGATCACAGACAACCAGGTCTCTCTCTCAGGCTCAATTTCTTTTATTTTACTTTATTTCATTTTTAATTTAAAAATTTCCGTGGGTGTCTGTATGTGTGCGTGGGTAGACTTTACCCAATGGTACAAAGACTTTCAAGAAGACGGATCACTAGTGTTACACGGCTTACAGTACTACTGGTAAACTATAAGATTAGGATCAGATGAAATGAAGGCCAAATCGCTAGCCTGTCAATGATAATTCCATAAATGAGGTTTAGCCCCGTTACTGCCGCTATGGTCGGCGTCAACGGTTCAATTGCATAGGCTGGCCGAGGTGTGATATGTGATGTGATAAACATCCCCCTCAGCCACCTGCGGGATTAATTTAGAACAATATATTAGACGATTGCGGGCTCAGTCATCACTCTGGGTCTTACTTGCGCCGGAGTACATAACACGGAGTACACAAGACAGAAATCTGAATCAAAGGAGGCCGAACAGTAAGATAATCACCCAAAGGGGGAAGTCAACGTCAGGTTCACACGGGACACTGGGTACTTTTGTCGTCATCAAAAAAAAAAGTCAAAGCAGCTGCTTTCTCCACAGCCAAGGCCCACCAACAGAGTTTTCACTTTGCCCTTGCTCTAGAAACCGATCTAGAATCCTTCCTGGCGGTGAAGTGTTTCTAGTCGTTTTACTGCGGGAACGGTTTTGCATGTGGGAAGAATAAGGATAATGTCCCAAGGGTTGTTCAACTACAGAGTCTCAGAATTTCTTTCCTCTTGATCTGGTGTTCAAAAAGTTGGCTAGGGCGGCTAAGGGAAAAAGATTTAATGGAAGTGTAACAGAAGCAAGTGTAACAACAGCTTCAATTAAATATAGCCGCCTCCTTTGGTTCAACTCAGCTGTGTAACAGTGCTCAAAGCTCAGAGGTTAAAGAAAAAGAAAAACTAGAGAGAATGAAAAAGGTAAAAAAAAGGTAAACAAAAAAAGCAAAAATCTATGACCAGACTGGGGCTCGATCCCAGGACCTTATGCGTGTTAAGCATACGTGATAACCAACTACACCATCCGGCCGATATATTACCAACCGTCTTATTATGATATATGAGAAAAACTTGCTTTTCAGAATTCTGCGACCATTATGTACGGTATGTACTGGTACATACATGGTTACCTAATTTAGTACGTACGGTACGTACCACATTCTAGTCCAGTAAGCATTCATATTCCAGCCTGGATTACCACAACTTATTCCCAAAATGAGCAACAAAGGAGACCTGAATCCTGCATACTCAGCCCGGATGAAGAATTCACCTCAAAACAGGTCTGCAGCACTTGACCTGTCGTATGATTAGTCCAGGTCCATATTTATCCCCAAATGCATACGTAGGTCTGTCTCAATCATCCTCGACTCCTCCAACCCGGCCCCATACCAATCAAGCTGAAGGATGGGCAGGAGGTGAGCTGAAACGAGCATTATTGTGCGCGTGACCGCAGCCCTTACCCTGAGCCCTAGTCAGCATGTCAGACATGAAATGGGACCCAGTTTGCCCAGCAAGTATCAATCAAAGCCGTTCAATACCACCCCATAAACCAACATACAGAGAAACATACATACATACTAATGCACCTTGCGCAGATACTAGTAGTAGTAGCGCCGGATTTCCAGTGAACCAAACAAACCCCTTATTCAGCCAAACACAGGCGATCAAAGTACCTGAACGGGGGGCTGGACACAACACACCTCCAAACTACTAGAGTCGCAAGCGCATGCAGCTTTCCGCCTTCCGCGACGCTCAACTAGTTCGTATTCGACTGCTCAAAGTGCAGCGCCAAAAAAGTAGAGTTCCTGTCCGTCGTCATAGCTACATCTGTGGCACTAGTGGGTACAGTTAGTACTGGCGTACCCCCTCACAGTAAGTAGTTTGTAGTAACTCCTATAGGCAGTCCAGGAGAGGGTTGTACGCCCCCCCCCATTTCTGACAGAACGTGCAGATGGGCATGTTCTCCACGCTAACTAACGTGGCCGAACGGAGTCTCACCAACCACTAGGCAACCCTATCAAACTTACCGATGAGAAGATGCGACCCCTCCTGATCCTTCCACAGGAATGTAGGACCATGTATGTACATACATGCGCCCAATAATGGATTTCCCAGCCCAAACACCTCCACCTTTTTTTTCCTGCGGTTATCAGGGTGCATATACATAAATCTCCGACTAGTGGAGTTCGAAATCGGCAAATGAGCGCCTGACACGCTGGCGAAGCCGGGCTCGTTACAGGTGGATCTGACATTGGGTTTATGAAACTTATATCGGGTCATGAAATGGCGGGGCATTATTAGTGAATGGTCATTTGCGTCGCGCTGCTGTGGTAGAAAGTGTTTCTCCAGGCAGTTATGGGTTTCAAGTGATCATGTTACACCGGTAGAGGGACTCAACTCTGAATAAAAGGTGTATAAGTTTGATTCTCTTAGGTAGATATTATATTATCTGTACACAGGTGAAACTCCCTCAAGCTCGATCCGTATTTATAATATATCTAGCTATATGTGTATATATGTATATATCGTGAAGCAAGACCGCCAGAGACCACATAGGTCTACCTGCAGTATTATTATTATTTTGTACTCATGGGTACATTCATCATCCTGTCACACCACCATATATTCTCCCTCGGCCCGTTTGGCCTGCATCACCTGGTGCCATCGGAACCCATGTGGTCTGCCAACCGGTAAAGACACCGATGTCTCGCAATAAGGAGCCGCTGCCGACACGACATCTCCAAATGGGTCCAGATATGTACCACGTGATGCACGGCCAGTGTCATCACCAACTTCGGTGGCGGTGGGGATCTCCATCCATATTTTTTCCAAAAGCTCCAGACACGAGAGGTTATTCAAAAACCCGGAATCTTTAGAGATGTCATTGCAGCGCTCTCTGATGAATGTACGATGGCTTTCAAGCACACACTCCGAGCCAGTAATAAAAAGCGGCCAGAGTAAATACACGTCTGATTTGACTGACGATATATGTTGCATTGCACGGTGCACAAGAAATTGAATGCGAGGATGGTTCGATGGCAGATCCGGATACGCAAGTCGCTCAGTGTAAAGGATTGCAGAGTGACGGAATGATTCGGAAATGTGGAAAACATCCTCAAGGTTCTGAGGAGCAATAACGGAGTGAGATGACGGTGATGAAGGTGGCGAAATATAGGCATTTGTAGTCGTTGCGATAGGCGCGAAGCCAGCATTAAAGGGCTGGCTAGGCTGGCCTGGAAGGCGCCATGACTCAAGCTTCTGCCGTAACGAATACCACTCAGCCCAAAAGGTCGGCGATGAGGGTCGCCTTGTGTGGTCACTTGATTGTGATGGATACGGCAGCGGAAGTGAATATGAATCGCTTGCCACAGACATATCTGACGTCAGCGAACCTGACGGGTAGTAGTATGTCATGGACGGCGGAGGAGTCGAAGAGGGGACAAACACGTCTGGAAGTGCCGGCGCCCTACTCTCTCGGTCTTGACTTAAAAGATTTAGGCGACCTAACTGGGCAATGAATTTGAATAGGCTTGGGTCACATCCGGCAAGGTTCTCCAGTCCCCATTCGCCGTCCGAAACAGTGGCAATATCCAAGCAGGTACCGCGAAGTTGGGTTTCACGATTATTGGTGGTGGCCGTCATCGTGTCAAACCAGGTGAACATACGAATGAACCACTTCAACTCCTCTGATATCCGGAGCGAATTGCGCATTCGAATAGCCAGCAACTTCGTCACACCAGCGAACTGGGTCTTGAATTGAGCGACCCCAGTATCACAGACGTGGAACAAACAAAGTACCAGCAGTGTTGCAAGGACAGAATCCGATAGTCTCTCATGCGGGTCGGCCAGTTCCATATTTAGAGCCTTGACAGCCATACCTCGGTGAAATTGTTCCTCCCGAGCGAATCCGTCAGGTCCCAATACACCGTATTCATCTCGGAAGGCCTCGTCCGTCAAAGCCCGGTGGGCTAACGACGATAGGCGAGCTGGAAGGGTTCGTTCGGTCGACCTCATCCTCCGCTCGTGTCTCTGCCGTAAGTTACTTGTGGATAACGTAGCTATAGCTTCCTGAAGAGATAGGCTCTCCTGTGCTAAGCGCAAGACATACGTGCGGAACGGGTTTGCTGGGCCATCGAAGGCAACGATCATCGGCGCTATGACTTCAGCGTAGTAGCTGATTAAATACCGAAGACGAGGAGTACGTCCGACGGAGCGTGCTAAAAGTAACTGCGATAGCGAGGGTGAATGACAAGTGGCCATTTGTAGCGCACTGTCTGTACTTTCTTGCTCCTTTCCCGTGACTTCTTCCTCTGTTGCGTTACTTTTTCTGGCAGTCTTTGGGCATGACGACTGTGACATCATCACTGACGCTTGTGTCTGGTTAGACCATAAGTCCGCATCGACCGCCGCATTATGACAGCCTGTTGACGGATCCGGTCTCTTGTGAGAGGGTGGTGGTTTCGATGCGTCGTTTAACGTCCCTGTTTCGTGCTGATCTAGTTCATTCCACGGGCCACGATGTACCGAGAGAGGAGAACCGGTAGGCCACGTTTGGGGGTCAGGTACGCCAGGTATCCAGGTCGTATTCCTATGGGCTTCTGGGACCGACGGCGACCGCTGCGGTTCTTGAGGCACAGGTGACGCCGCCAGCGAAGTTAAGACTGGGAGAGACTTGTAAGACGGTGGTGATATTGATGGCGAACCATTTTCCGGCTGCCTCTGAAAGTCTATGGGGCCAGACGCTGCTGACGGTGTCGCAGCCGGTTGTGACCCTGTTACAGGAAGCGACAATCCCCGGAGCTTTCCGCGGCTAGCAACGCCGACACCCCAGGTCAATTTCGTCTTATATCCCGAGCATTCTCGGCCATGGTCAAGGCATTGGGAGCAAAAGGGGCGTCGCCGGTCGCAGGGAAAGCCTTGCCGGGCACATGTGAAGCAGTCCTCCGCTGCCCCAGTCACTACAGTCCTTTTGCGTCTTTTCCGAGGCGCTTGGTCCCCGGCGGAGGTTGATTTGCGGGTTTGCGCTTTAGAAGCCGGCTCCATATTAGGACCCGGACGACCTGCTATCGAACCGATAGTCTTGAAAGGCTAAGATTAACAAGAACAGGGGATGCGGAGCAGCGGAAATGACCCGCGTTGCGGGGTGCCATAGATGATGATAGAGCGATCGACAAATAACCACTAAGTTTAGGACGATTCCAAAGGATGAAGGGTTGTGCGAGCGAGAAGGAAGGATGGAAGAAGTGGGAGATCCAATGGATGGCCGTAGTGAATTAGTTAATTCAGAATTTATCAGCGAACAATCTACTGGGTGGGTGAGTTCTGTTTCGCCCTGAGTGAAGACGGACAATAAGTGACGATCGTTGCGGCTTTGCCCGCCTTTTAATATCAATTAGTTCATCGCAGAGCCGAAATGAAGATTTCGCAACTAACCAGGAAGAGGTAAGTTGATATTGATTAGTTCAACTCTCGGGATTCTCGTCACCAGAATGTATCAAGTTAAAAAAGCCTCAACTCTATGACGACGAGAACCGGGTTCAGTGTTTGCCACTCGCACTGGAGTCCATACAGTACCTAATTTGGCGTATTGGGCCGTACCCTGGTCCTGTACCCCTGTTTAAAATAAAAGGGGACGAAAAAGAAGAAGAATAAAAATTAAAAATCAAAAAGAGGGGACACTGGATTTAACTGCGAAGCCTGGAGGTAGTCGAGTCTCAATAAAGACAAGCAAATGATTGTGATTCCAACGGCCTTCTACCATGCAAGATCATCGGAATCATGTGCCGTCACGTGGGGGTGGAAAGTTTCAGAGTCTTTTTTTTTTGGCATTTCCAGCCAAGTTGAAGAGGATTCTCTAGACCAGTTCCCGTTGCACAGATCTGCCGGCAATACCAGCGCGAGACCCACTGTCTAGTCTCCAAAGGATGAACTTTGTTGAAGTACTAGGAATTGACTACTCCGTCGGTACAAGGACTTTTGTGTATATATGTACATATCTCGACAATTCCTCTGGAAAAGCCTAGTAGTATTCCGTACTACGACCATGCTATTTAGGGTATTCTAATCACCTAATACTCACCTCACCAAAGGTGGTTTCTAGAGTTTTGGATATCCACTCACTATAGGTAGGAGGTATCCGTGATATGGTTCTAAAATTGGCATAGCTTGTCCCTCCACCTATGAGCGTCCAACGATTGGGAAGCGCCTAAACATTCCCAAGGGTACAGTCTCCCGTACCTCAGAATACAACTGAGCTCTGGACTCTTCTAGGACGAAGGTGCGAAGGGTGGATCCTCGAGAAACTTACTCCTTTGAAGTTAGAGTAAGGAGCAAAAATCGGGACAAAATGATTATGCTCAGCTTTTTTTCTCCTATAGCCTCGTCTGGATTTATGCACCTCGTTTCTGCCACCGCCTTTCACACAGGGGCAGCAATTTCTGTTTTTTTTTTTTTTTTTTTTTTTTTTTGGAATTTCGATCGATGTATACTCAGGACAGGATATATCAGATCACCCAAGTTTAGAGATTGGGACCGTTGAAGACAAACAACCGACACTTGGGTCGAGAAGATCGCCGGCTTCTGAAGCTTCAGTAAGAATTTCAATACATTGAAAAGCTTGTCATCCACTTGTCGAGTGCTAGCTATTGCGACAGTCGCTGCCTCGGCCACTTCGGATCGACACCCTCCGTTGGCCTTTTGAAAGACCTCCTGATCTCGGTCGGAACCACCGAGTATTGGACCTCATTGCTGTCGACATCGCCTGTCATGCTGATTATGCTGCTGGCTAGGACTGTTTTAATTTGACATCAGCAATTGGGAGGAGATATCTCAAGTGTTCAAACCTGTGTTCGCGCCACCGGGTCAACATAAATAGTCCCCATTGTAGCTTTTTCAACGGTATACTCTGCCTATCAATTGCAACCGACTATCAAACAATAGCAATGTCAATCTTCCGGCCCGGTCGGCTGAGGACTGTCCTCTCAGCAACGGCTGCATTAATTCTCATTTGTACTTTTTATTTTTATTGGACTCCGCCTCCTGTTTCGACGGTTCCTAGCACTGCCTTTGAGGTCCCTCTCACAGAACGTCAGATTGCTTTTTGGAAAGTGTTCAGGTCAATTTTAGATGCACACGCTCCGAATTGCCCTTCTCCCACGCTCCGCGATCGTGTGAGTGCGGTTCATTTCAATGCTACAACTGTTGATCCGCGTCCTGACTTCATTCTTCTTGGGGAGAGTGAGGTCAGAGCGATGGAAGAAGCACATGCAAATTATCTCGATGCTATCAGGGCCGCAAGGAAATTGCGTCCTGTTCATTCTCCTGGGACACGGGGTCTAGTCACGACCGCCGGGGGTTCCTATCTTCCCGTATTTCTGTCGTCCTTGCGGATGCTGCGCCGTACGGGGTCAACCTTACCCGTGGAAGTGTATATGAAGGATGCAGGCGAATATGAGAAAGGTATCTGCCAGGATGTCCTCCCGGACATGGGTGCACGGTGCCTGATACTGTCTGATGTTGTAGGAAAGGACGTCATCCAACATTACCAACTAAAGGTCTTTGCGGTCCTCTTTTCCTCCTTCGAGGAAGTTGTTTGGATGGATGCCGATTGCTTTCCATTGGACAAGCCCGAAATATTGCTCAACCATGAGCCGTTCATATCCACTGGCTTGGTAACCTGGCCCGATTTCTGGGCGTCCTCGGTTTCTCCAGCGTATTACAACATCTCTCGGCAACTGATACCATCGATGACAGAGAGGCAATCATCGGAGACCGGCGTCTTCCTTGTATCGAAGAAGACCCATTATGTCACAATGCTCCTTGCTGCGTATTATAACTACTATGGACCGTCGCATTACTTCCGCCTATTGTCTCAAGGTGCACCTGGCGAGGGTGACAAAGAAACGTTCCTGCAAGCTGCCACAGCCGTGGGTGAACCTTACTATGCAGTTAGTGAGAGAGTTCAAGCGCTCGGTCATCACAGACCCGATGGCTTTTCTGGCTCGGCTATGGCACAATCGGATCCAATCGGAGACCACGCGTTGACAAGTGAAGGCAAATGGCGAGTTCAGGATCCTTCGGTGGACAAGCCTCCTCGTGTATTCTTCGTTCATGCCAATTATCCCAAGTTCAACCCTGCTGAGGATGTCTTCGGGGCGAACTGGGAAACCGCACCCACCCTTCGACCGGATGGAACGGAGGGGCGCGCATGGACTGCTCCAGAAGACGTCCTGCGCCGTTTTGGACTTGACATCGAGAAGGCCTATTGGGAGGAGATCAAATGGGTCAGCTGCAATCCTGATATTAAATTCAAGACGTGGGAAGGCAAAGTGGGTATATGCGAGAAAGTTGAGAGCTATTGGAATACCGCCTTTGCGGAACCGCACGAGGACGACCCTAAATTTGTTGAAGAAGGCTAGGTTGGCCCCATTGAATGGTCCCTCGCTCCAAGTCAACTTTGGTACAATCCGCAGCCACTTGCTGTAGTATTCAGCTTAATGATCCGTGCCACGGACGCTGACATAAAACCCCAACCCCCCATGGCTGCACCGTGGCTATAAACAGAGAGAAGTACCTGAGATTCCAGGTAGAGAGCACGCTGATTACGAGACAACGACCTAGCCAATGGCAAGACGTATATATAGATCCCATCCCATACCATTCTTAATGTTGCATACTGGCAAAGGATATAGAAACAAACTCCAAACATGCACGTCAATTATGACTTATTCCCATTATTTCGTCAACCAGTACATGCTAAAAGTACAGAAGATGCCATATTAAGCCAACCTTACAACCCGAAAAGCATAGCCTTTTTGTTCGTTACCCATGACTCCCAATGCAAGATTATTTCTTGATCCCCTTCTCCCGCAATCTCTGCTCATCTTCCAACTGGAGCTCCCGATCAATCTTGGCTCCTTTCGACGGCTCGTTTCCATGCATCTTGGCCTGGAACTCCAAGTCAGTCACGTCGTCCTTCGACTATTCGCCCTGAGAGGAACGGAACATGAACATACTGGTTGAGTAGGGTTCTTCTGGCTAATCGCCGCCTCGGGATCAATGTCGTCGTTATGGTGATGGCTGGGATCAGGCTGCTTCTCGCGAGCAGCGAGCTTGTTGGCGATGGAGCGCTCGTCCTCTGTTCAACTAGTTAGCACCGCCCAGGCAACGTACCCATGACTAGATGTCAGGGGAGGAAAAGAAGTGAAAAGGATAGACATACTAGAATCCAAGTTCTTGTGGCTATGTCTCTGGCCCTCGTTGTAGCGCTCCTGCTCGTTAATGACGGACTGGGGTTGGGTGCGCTGATCGCCTGCTTCGTAGACGGCGGGGCCGCCGACGCTGGATTGACCTCTTGAAGACATCTTGGGTAGATTGAGAGTGTGGTAGAACGTTTGAATAGGAAAGAGATAAGTCTGATTGAGTAGTCAAATAATAGTTGGGATTAGAGAGTTGAGTGAATTGAGCTAGGAATAGTGTGGTCAGAAGGTATGCTTTATACGCTCTTGGATGCTATGTTGTGATGTCATGGGGGAGGTCGCTGAGATCATAGGTGGGGCGCATTACAACAATATCTGGAAGGGGAATACCAGTTACTGTTGTATTGCAACTTGGTCGATGTGATTGAATCATCGGTCGGCCTGGTAAGGAAAAGAACTTTGTTTTTCTTTTGAATTCTTTGGGAAGCTAGTTGGGCAGGGTTAGGGTAAGTTTGGCTTGGTAGTGGTTTTGGGTAACACCATCACGCGATCCGATCTAGATCTACATACGAATATCAAAACCGACATAGAACTTATTGGCCGGGTTTTCGAGTTTCTCATGTTCCAATTCGCTTTCATCTATGATAGCTTTCTAATACTACCCCTTAAGAGCTCAATTCCCAGTATGCAGTCTCAAAAAAGACAGGGGTGTCAGTGTTGAGCGGACACCTGATCATTAGGAAAATGCAATCCAGTCCAATCTCGGTGACCCAAACGACAGCATCTAAACCACACCTCCAACATCAACACCATCCCCAAACCGCTCAGTAACCATCCACCATCTACGTCAAACACAAACAGCCCCCAAAAACCTTCAATAAACCGCACCCCATAAGTCAACACCAACAACCCCCCCCCCCCGGAAACTGAACAACCAAGAGCAGACCCCTACTTCCAAACCCTCTTCAACGACCTCGAATCCCGCTTCAAAGCCACCTGCATCCCTTCCCTCCAGATGACCCATTCTAGCTATTTCAGGATTTGAGAAATGAGACGCTTTGGCATATTCACGGTACGGGGCGGTTGGGGGTTAGGGGGGATATGTGGGTTGTTTGGGAGTGAGAGGGTTGTGGCGGGGTTTTTTTGGATGGAGTCGTATGAGGTGCATACTGTTGAGAATGTGAAGCAGGATGTTTGAGTGGTTAGGTTGGATATATAGATCCTGCGAGGTGATGGTTTCTAGGGAGATTATGGATTACGGGTTATGAGTTCTGGATAATGGCTATAGAATATGATAGTTTATGAGTATACGCCAGTAATCAAGAAGAGTGAGTAAGGATAAAAGTATTCCGGGTGTTTGTATGGCGTCTGACTATATATCTTGCTCAATTGTCTTGTTAGATGGTAATAATTTCTCACTATATAGCGAAAGTATATACTTTGGTTGACCCCCGCGATAAAATGTTCGAAAAAGGTTTAGCGAGAGCGGAGCAACTTTTATCGCCCGATGAAGCTCAAAACTGCAGAACTTCAACAAAACAAATACCCCCACGAATTGACCGTATTTTCGCATCAGAAACCACAACTACAATCACAATGGTAAAGCGCAAGGAAATCAAAGACAACGATGTCGAAATGGGCGGCACCAACCCTCGCGTGGCCGATGATGACTCCGACGAGGTACATCAACCCACCCTTGCATACATCAAGGCTTTTCTTTTTTTCTTTTCTAATCGCTATTGATGGTCGCAGGATATGGACATTGTGAATGTCGATTTTGAGTGGTTCGACCCTCAGCCGATCGATTTCCACGGCCTTAAAATCCTCCTCAGACAACTTTTCGACTGCGATGCCCAGATTTTCGATATGTCCGCTTTGTCGGACATGATCCTCGCGCAACCGTTGCTAGGATCGACGGTCAAAGTTGACGGTGCTGAGTCGGATCCTTACGCCTTCTTGACTGTGCTCAACCTCCAGGAACACAAGGTACGCTGCGCGCAAGAAACCGGAAACCCAAGAAGAATTCCCTTACTAATCTCTCGAATAGGATAAACCCGTTATTAAAGATTTAATATCCTACCTCCAGCGCAAAGCATCATCCAACCCCGACCTTGCTCCACTTGCCCAGCTTCTCTCCCAAACGCCTATCCCGCAGATCGGACTGATCCTCACCGAGCGATTGATCAACATGCCCGCCGAAGTTGTGCCCCCGATGTACACCATGTTGATGGAAGAGATTGCTTGGGCTATCCAGGACAAGGAGCCATACCAGTTCTCGCACTACCTGATCGTGTCGAAGACTTACGAGGAGATTGAGTCGAAATTGGACCAGGAGGACTCGCGACCGCAGAAGAAGAAGAAGAAGGCGTCTGGAGATAAGGTCGAGAAGTTCTATTTCCACCCCGAAGATGAGGTCCTTGAGAAGCATGCGCGCTGCTTCGGTTCCATAGAGTATACACATAAGCATGACGAGGGACACTCGGACTCGAAACGGGCGTTCCAAGAAGCGGGCATCAGAACCGGCGGAAGTCTGATGCTCTTCGATGCGGATAAGCTCGAAGGTGCAATCAACGCGATGAAGGAGTACATTAACCCCCCGGTATGAATGATGGTTACGGCATGGTTTATGATAGAAAAAAGTTATTCTGCGCTTTTGTCTATAGCGTACCTATATCCCGCTTTGAAAAAATTATTAATAACTCTATGATCTCGTTTTTTTTCTTATACGTCACGCGTTTATGGCTCGTTCTCTATCTTCGTAAAACCTGATCTATCGTTTGTTTACTCCCATTGTGTGCCCTTCAGGCGTTGCATCAAGTACTCAACCTCTACGACCTTGGTCAAGGGAATGACGTATTCCTGGGCGGTATTAGCAAGATGCTCTGAGCCGAAGAAAGCTTGCCCCTTGCTTACCTTGTACATGGCAACTACAGCACCGACATTGATCTTAACGCCGTTCTCCGTCGGGAATGCCGGATCAGTTCCGTACGTCTTCGCCTTCAGTGCCAGCCTCTCCAGCACTTTGCGCTCGACCTTCGCATCGGTAATCGCGGCATCGATCCCTGCCCGATCATTCTCCTTGATCATCTTGACGAATCGCTCAGGCTCCTTTTGGAATTTCGACTCCGCCACAAACTTGCCGAAGTGAATGCGCCGAGACAGCGCCTGCAGACAGCTAACATCCGCCGTCGCCGCCGACCCGTAGTTCTCCTGCGTCTCACCACGATCTTCACGTCCAAACTGTGGACACACGGCCGGGAGGATATTCTCAACGTACCGCTGCTTGATGATCTGATTGACGTTCACATCATTGTCGTGCAGAATCTTGGGATACTTCAGCGGCGCCAGGATCGGAGCTTCGAGGACGTCCGGAAAGAAAGGATACTCGTCTGGAGATTGGTAGCGACGTACGCGCGACTGGATACGCTCCTGCTCGCGGAGCATGTAATCCATGAGCGGGACATCCTCGCCGGGAATCTTGACGCCGCCGGGGTAATAGATGGGCTTGTTCAGGGGGAATTGGACGCGCTCGATCAGGTGGAAGGTGATGGTGTCCTCGAGTCGGCTGCAGTAGTACACATGATGATCAGTCCAGGGATGTCACAGGGTTTCGGAATTCTGTGGTCGTTGGTTTTTGGTCTAGACGTTTTGCCGTGCAACTGCGGGGCAGGTCTAAGCGTGGAATAAATGCGAAAAACTTACATTAACTGGAAGCGGATATTGGCCAGATCCAAGGCCTTGGAGGCATCTGAGAGGTCAATGGCTGTGTCCATAGTCTCTTGTCCCTCGGATTTTGTTGGTTGGGGATTTTCAAATCAGCGTCTGACTGAGGGAGTTTCTTTCTGCGGGACCTCCGATTTGCGAAGGTTTGAGTCTTGGTTCACTGGTAAAGAGTTGAAGGAGAAGAATATTCGATACTTTTTTTTTTTTAAAGAGTTGAGCACTGCTCAGCTAGCGTGATACTGACTGTGTTAGCAATTGGGCACTTATCAATTGAAGAATAGATACAAAGAACTAATTAAGGACCCCTCTTTTTCGTTGAGAGTCGTTCTCCATCACACTTCCTAGATCGGAGGGTCTTTCTACCTGGTTTGGTATGTAAGGCTGCGCTGGGTAAGATTTAAGGACAAGCGCTAAGCCGCTAAATGAATGGAAGAAACAATAAGAATGAAAAAAAAAGCAAGATAAATAATAAATAGTAATGGACATCTGAAAAGAAATTACGTGAGTGAAGGGGGTTTACTTAGTCAATTCCTCTCTATTAATATGTTCTATCTGACATACTCGGTGCCCAGAGAAAAAGTACCGAAAGATTTATCGCAAAAATTGTTCTGGCGCTTGATGCCGTCATGTGGTAATTTTGCGTTGCAGGTGAACAAAAAGTGTAGATTTCAGTACTATGACGGTATTACAAGATATAAGGCCAAGAATTAATGAACAGTTCGGACTGGGAAAACAAAAAAATTATTATTCTGAAGAACTTCAAGGTTCCACCAAAATATTGAGCATATTCTTCCAAGACAACGCAATACGTACACTAAATAGTACTTTCATGTGCTTCAGCTTAAGTCCGCGGTAATAATACGGTACATCCTTCCCGGCAAGGCGGTAATTCATCGCGTGCAGCTCCAACCTTCTTTTCCAGAGAGCCGAAAAACAAGAGCAACCCGATCGCCGACTCGACGTTGCTCCCCCTTCTTTGCCTCCCCCTCTTCAGACCTTCCTTATGGGCGTTTAACGTCTCAAGAGAATTACTCAGGTCGGCGATATGGACAAACACCGCCGCGATGAGTCGCCTTCGGGTCTGTCTGATATTGTCGAGCATGACGGTCTTCTAGGGACCGGCCTGACGGTAAGTCCCTACGGACCTCTACCTCTTATTCTCCCAAAATCGCCTCTATGATCCGCTGATGTTACCATTCTGGAATTCAGACCAGACATATCGAGGCCTTCGGGAGGAAAGTAACGTCGACGGCCGGGCATTTAATGGGCCCTCCGGGTGACGGAAATCCCGCTCATTACAACAATGCTATGGTGGATATTCAGCGCGAGCTGCGGCGCCCTAATACGCAGCGCAGGATATTCGCCTTGACTCAAACGACTCCGACGGATCTTGTCCGCTCCAAGCTGTCGACTTCCGAAATCCAATCGCGAGCTCTCTCCTCCCTCCCCGACGATCTCCTTGCGAACATTCCCGATGACAGCAGCTCCTACTCTCTATTTGAAGGCTTCCAGGCCTCACAAGATGACATCGAATATCGAAAGGCTCATCGACGGCGCACTTCCAAATCAAAGAAGTTGTTGAAAGACGGCGAAGGGCGGCCAGCCCTTCCGTCCGCTCCGGCGGACCTGAAGAAGGAGCGTGACCTGTTGAGTCGCCGCATGGAGCTGATGGGCGTGCGCAAGAACATGTGTAGCTCGGAGATACATGACATAGATAACAAGATCGCGAACCTTCACAATATGCGCAAGATTGTTTTGGATCGGTTGGCTGGGCTAGAGATGGAGGAGGCGGAATTGGAACATGAACGTGGGTGGATTTGGCTCGATCATCGCGCTTTGATTCTGACCTGCGGAAACAGTGACCGAGATCGAAAATAAATTAGAGGATATTGAAGAGGAAGCACCAGATGTGGTGGGCACTCCTAAATCATCCGTCAATGACGAGTCTCTAATTTCGGAGGATGCGGCCATGGACGCATCCTTCATGTCAGAGTCTATCTATCAAAAGATACCGTCGCCGAAGAGCTTCAAGCAGAAATCAATAAGTATGCTTCTTCAGTGAGTGTCTACTGGGCTATCGGCTAATGCTTACCAGGAAAACGATCCATGCCTGTGTTACACGAGCATTTCACCCCTGGATCCTTGATCAAGGAGATGGAGGCGCATACCGACATGGTGACTGCTATTGATTTTGATTTCCCTTTCGGTACAATGGTCAGCGCAGCATTGGATGATACCGTGCGAGTCTGGGACCTTAACACTGGCAGATGCAATGGGTTTTTGGAGGGGCATAATGCATCGGTTCGGTGTCTTCAAATAGAGGATAATATTGTGGCCACCGGTTCTATGGATGCCTCAGTCAAACTTTGGGACTTGAGTCGCGCCCGCACCAGACCGCGAAGCAGCCGCATTAACAAGCAAGAAGATGAAGAAGATGCTGCCGACGATGCTTCTCAAGTATCTCATTCGACGACTCTAGAGGATTGCCACGTATTTTCACTAGATGCCCACGTCGGTGAAGTGACAGCACTCCATTTCCGGCGTGACAACTTAATTTCCGGTTCGGCGGATAAGACTCTACGACAATGGGATCTTGTCAAAGGGCGTTGTGTGCAGACATTGGACGTTCTCTGGGCCGCAGCTCAAGCGTCGACGCTAAATGGAGATAGCTCATGGCGACCGTCGGGACGTATGCCGGATGCATCCGCAGACTTCGTGGGCGCGCTTCAGTGCTTCGATGCCGCCCTGGCTTGTGGTACTGCCGACGGTATGGTTCGTTTGTGGGATTTGCGTAGTGGTCAAGTCCATCGGAGTCTCGTTGGACATACAGGTCCCGTTACGTGCTTACAATTTGACGATGTACACATGGTGACGGGAAGTATGGACCGCAGTATTCGGGTATGTTGCACGCTGGCTCCGTGAAGATTAGGAAAGCCATTACTGACACGTTCTAGATCTGGGATCTCCGAACGGGATCCATCTTTGATGCATATGCCTACGATAAACCTGTAACCAGCATGATGTTCGACACGAAGCGTATTGTGACTGCCACGGGAGAGAGTGTGGTGAAGGTATACGACAAAGCAGACGGCAACCACTGGGACTGTGGTGCCGGCGTTGGTGTTGATGAACAAGGCCCGTTACCCGCCACCGTAGACCGAGTGCGCCTCAAGGACGGATTTCTCATCGAAGGCCGCAAGGACGGCACCATTGGCGCGTGGACTTGTTAGAAATGATTCTATGAGGCATTGGCTTTCGGACGTATTTGGATGTACATGCGAGCACTTGCCATTATATTCTCCCGCAAAGTCTCAGCGCGTCTTTAAATATGTATATTATATTTGTCTCCAGTGTTTTAGAAGCGAGATGAAGCTGTCCAGGACAGGCAGCGTTGTAAAATGAATTTGTGAAGTGATGCCAGTCTTTCTTCTCATTTCTTATGCATTGGATATGAATGAATGCGATCAAAATTAGAAGATAAAAGAATGTTGAAGTAAGAAAGCAAGAATTATAGACTGGTCTTTGTGTTGCTGTAGAGCTTACAGACCATGCCGTGGATAGTAAAGCAGCTACATATTGAGACATCTCCAGTCCTTATATATTGCCCGTAATTCAGAATCGAGAAATTGCCAACTGATCAATACCTCTGTGTAGTGTTGCGCAGACTTTACCGCCTTTCCGTAATCTCTGTGGGGCGAACAGGGTCACGCTTTACTGGATCAGGGATTCTACTGACTTGCATACCGAATACTTAGTTTGACTTCGCGACATCGTCAACACCACTAAATATTACTTGAAATTTAACCAAAACGCGTGCTGATACAGTCGCAAACCACTAAAAATTGGGTTCCAAGCTTCAGGCCTTCTTTGAGCGACCGTACGCTCAACAAACTGCGGATTAGCGTTGATCGATCGGTGAGATCCGCCCGCGTCGCATTCGCGCGCCGTGGTCCTTTTTCATGAATGAGACGCAGTTTTTTCATTCACTACTTAGGGAAGTCAACTAAGCAACTTCTTTGATACCTTTAATCTACCTTACTTTGAGGGAGACAAAGGGGTAGGGGTGCGGGTGTCTCCTTGTGCCGCGGTTGTGTTGATTCTCATTTCAACTTTGCCAATCTATTCAAACTGCCACCTGGTTGAGATTTTAGACCTTGCACTGCATTTGATGTGAAATACTGGCCAGATAGCATTTCTGAACTCGCCGATCATCACGCATATTCCTTGCTTGACTATTTCATAAGCGCCACCCTGCAAAGAATTTGTGTTACTAGAAGTCCTGAAGGTGTGGATGCTACAGTATTGCGATCCGCTTCGAAGGGCTTACTGTAAGTGGATAGATATCCTTTGCCTCCAGGTCCATGAGTCCTGCGGCGAGTTTGTACCTTCTCTTCCGGCTCAGCTTGCCTGACACTGTTCTTAGGAAAATACTCCACGGCATTTACTGAAGACGAGATAGACGTTTGTCTTCTCTAAAAGGTCGTCAGCATGCCTCCCAGACGCGCCTCTACACGGCGTGCCGGAGCGGTAACTCGATCTTCTGACTATGGGACTCCTTCGTACATTCCCAGCATGTCGAGTCCAGATGCGAGGAATCCTGCCTTGCCTAATATACCAACTAAGCAATCGTTTGCCTATGGTTCATCAACTACGCCAATTCTTCCTCGCGAGCTTGCGGCGAAGCCCAAGATGAACCTAACTGAAATGGCCAACAATATTGATGAAGGCCTCAGAGCCGCCCAAGGCCGAGACAACGACAGACCTCACATGAACACTCGTTCACGAAGAAACTCTGTTGCTGCAAGCCTATCCCCTGTTCGACGAAACCGCCGTGAGCCAACTCCAGATCAGCTGCAGCTGCTCGATTCATTACGTGAAGCCACTATGTCACCTCGTCCTAATGGTCAAGACGGGTCAAATCAGGGACAATCTACCCCTACTCCCACGCCTCCTATTCCACATACTCTATCCACAGCATCCAGTCCTGCTACTGAGTCTCTTACCAACCCCAGATACCCTGTTTTGACTACCGATCAACTATATCCGTCTCCGCTTCTGCGGTTTGGCTCTCCCAATCGGAATGGAGTCTCGTTAAGCTCACCCAATTTTGGAAACTCCATCGACAACGAATCTATCATCTCGTGGAATGTAGAGCGCGACATCAATGAAGATGAATTGCAACGAACACGTCCGAACGGGTACCTTGATGGACCGCATGGAAAGAACATTACAGCGCCTCCACGCCGGTTTTCAGGTTTCGCATTTGCCCAAGAACCCATTGAGGAAGTCGATGAGCCGACTACTCAGTTATCTATCTCTAAATCCCGCTCCCCTGAGGCTACGACCATCGATCTTCAGCCGAATCCCGAACCACAATCAGAGTCAGTGCCGGAAATAGAGCCGGAAAGGCAACAACAACCACAACCAGAGCCAGAGCCAGAGCCAGAGCCAGAACCCGAACCCGAACCCGAACCTGCGCCTGTACTGACAGCTAAACCTGAACTTTCCACAGCTCCGGCTAAGACAATTATTCCCAGCAATCCCGTACGTGAGGCTTCATTCGACGAGAACACGCCTCCGTTCCGAGGGCGCGTCAAAAGCAATATGTGTTCAATGGGAAGTGCCACCATTGGCTTCCAGAAAGGCCCGGCTATCCGAATCGCTACTCTTGTGATACTTGCAGTAGCATCAATTTTCACAGCATATTGTTTTGGTGACCGAATCTCCAGTATTACATCGAGTATCGGCTCGCATCTTCCATTGTACGGAAGCCCTTTCCGCGACTTGAACTCTACTGCTTTGGAAGCAGTCCACGGCCTTTCTAAACAAGTAGTGAGTCTTGGGGTAGAGGTGACTTCGCTGTCCAAGGAAGTGGACGTTATTAAATCAGAGGCTGAACATGTACCTGCACCTACCACGATTGTCCAACCGATCCCAGTTCGCCAGGAGATACCGAAAACCAATTTTCTATCCATTGGCATGGGTGTGTTTGTCGATCCATATAACACAAGCCCCACGTCTGGGCGCTCTGCGAACATCTTCCAGAAACTTCAACACAAAATCCTGTCCGGGGGCTGGCAACGGCATTCGCAGCCTCCTCTTGCAGCTTTGACACCCTGGCAGGATGTGGGAGAATGCTGGTGCAGCAAACCTCGCTCCGGCATGTCTCAGCTCGCGCTACACTTAGGGCGTAAAATTGTGCCCGAGGAGGTGGTCGTAGAGCACATACCGAAGGGGGCAAGCATTCAGCCCGAAGTCGCACCTCGAGATATGGAGCTGTGGGCCCAATTCCAGGTTGCTGATGGATCAGACTCTGATTCGTTTCCCTCTTCCTCATTCTTCCCCTTGCGGGAATCTGGAAAGTTATATGAGCAATTTCCTCTCCACAATCACATCATTGATACCCTTCGGCTGGCATATAAGGGTGAGCCGGAAAGCGCATACTCGAATGATGAACTCCTGGGGCCTTCGTTCTATCGTGTGGGACGGTGGACTTACGATTTGGACGGCACGAATCACATCCAGAAGTTCGAGCTAGATGCCATCATCGATGTTCCAGCAATCCGAGTAAATAAGGTGGTTTTCCGGGTCAAGTCGAACTGGGGAGCAAACGATACGTGCCTCTATCGGTTGAAATTATATGGTCACATGTAGGTTATAACCTACACCGCAGATAAATTTGTGTTCTTCCTGTTTTTATGTTTTTGGAAAAGGTGCTAGGCGAAACCCCGGAATAAGTGTGGTGTTCTGGCACTGTGAAGCCAACTACTTGTTGCATATTTCTTTTTCCCTTCCGTTTTACATTTTGTTTCGTCTTTTTCCTGCAGTTTGGCTTCAAGGTGTGACGGCAAGCCAGGTTCCTTGTTTCACTTTGATATCTTTGTCGTTCTTCTCTTAGATGCATGGCGTGGCATGGAAGGGGCGTTGCGGTCTGATTCGAGATATCCGGCTCTCAGTTCTTAGTATTGATGCATTTCATTTTAATATAAATGACTGTTATCTCCAGCTTTTGTAGCATATTTCACCATAGCACACATAAGCCCCCCACACCCAACTTCCCTATGCACCAACAAACACAAAAAATCAAAAATCCTACAATTCATCCGACCCCCCAACAGTCAAAGGCCCCTTCTTAACCATCATCGTAAGAATCTCATAAAGCACATCCGCAGCCGCCCTAAGTCACTATCAGCAAACCTAAAATAAGACCTATTAAAAGAAGACAAAAGGAGGAAACAAAACATACATAGTCGACAACTCCGCATTAGTATCATAAGCCGGCGCAACCTCCACAATATCCGCCCCGATAAGATTCAGCCCATCCAAGCCCCGGATAATCGTGCGCAGTTCACGAGTCGACCACCCGCCCGTTTCAGGCGTGCCGGTTGCAGGCGCGACTATATTTTTTTCAATTCTCAATTAGCATGCTTTCTTTCCTTTCCTTCCCTTTCTTCCTTTAATTCCGGGAAGGAAGTTAACGGAACATCACGTAAACTTACAAGCTGGGTCAAGTGTATCAATATCAATGGATAGATAGACCGGGTTCTCGGTCCCGACTCGTTCGCGAATCCGCTTGATGATCCCATCCGTTCCTGGTCTTGTTAGAACAGGGGGTCTTGTTCTGGGGCTGTAAGGCTGGAGGATGTATGTATGGATGCATGGATGGGTGGGTATGTGGGTGTATATACCAATAGTATCTATATCCCTCGCCTCAACGATCTCAAACCCACAATACCCATCATTCTCGTAATCCGAGGGGCCCGAAAGCGTCGTCCTAATACCGGCGTGGATGTTCGTGTCGTTCCTGAGCAGGCCTTCCATCGCCGCATGATAGAAGTACGTTCCGTGGTTGATGGCAGCGACTTGGCTTGGGGAGCCGCCGAAGACTTTTGGTTTCCATGAATCACTGGTTTATTAGCACCCTTAGACTATAGATAATAGATGGAAGGAGGGAGTAGGTTTGGGGGTAGGGTAAAGTACAGGTGACTATCGAAGTGGATAACGCTGACGGGGCCATAGGCCTTATTGATACTCCGGAGCAAGGGGAGGGTGATGGTGTGGTCGCCGCCGAGGGTGATGACGCGGGGGAGGGTCTTGCCTGCTCGGGAGAGGCCGTGTTCGTTTGCGTCGGTGAAGGGCTTGCGCATGAGGATGCTGTTGTGGCCTTCTTCGATTTGCTGGATGGCCCAGGCATTGTCGTACCTGGTTTCTTCTTGTTAGTTGGGTTTTGTTTTTAGAGAGTGGGGTTGGGACGTACGAGGTTACGGGGATGTCGCCGCAGTCGAGGATTTTGAGATCGCTGACGAAGGGGTTGGCTTGGAGGGGGACGTTGTAGCCGCCGCTGGTGGTGCGGGTTAGGATATGGGTGGATGTTATATTGGAGGGATGTATGTACTAGAGGTTGAGACGGCGGGAGCCTTGTCTGATGCCGCTGGGGCCGAATCGGGCTCCGGGTCTGTAGGAGGTGCCCGTGTCAAAGGGGGCTCCTATGGATTTTGTTAGTTGGTTCGAGAGAAGAGAATAGAAAGGGGGTCTTTGTTGGTATACCTATGAAGGCAATGTCGTATTTCTCATCGTCGCTGGAGAGACATGGGAAGTAGGGCAATCGACCGAAGGTCGAGATGCCTGAGAAGACAGAGTCGGCCTAGAGATTTTCAACAAGGGTTTATACATCATGAATAGTAGTTGGAACACGTACCTGAGTGCCACCATCTCCGGGGATAGTGTTATACCACAGTTTCTGGTGTGGACCTGAAATTGGGGTTTGGTGCTTGTTGTGGGCAGAAGCCATGGCGGATAAGGTGAGAAGGCTCACTGCTGTGAAAAGCATGTTTTAAATGATGCTTGCTATACTTTGATTGAAAGTAGAGGGGTAATGATCCAAATATTGATGTTATTAGAAGATGAGGAATATATGATCTTGTATAACAGAGGGGATGAAACTGATATTTATGTGACTTTACAGCAGTCATGAACTTCATCTCGGCACCGTACACTCTTTCCTCCTGCCTTTTTCTGGGGCCAGAAAGATTCCCTGAAGAACCTTGATCATGTCTTGATTGCTACCTCTATACAATGATTGAGATAATTAAATCATCAACTGTGCCCCGGAACCCACACGGATCAACTAATCATACAGAACTAGCCAAGGAATGGAAGAAAGATGCCGATAACCATCAAGGTTCAGTATTGGACAGGATCAATGAGATACAATTGACATCTACCCCACTCCTGACAACTTCCTACTCTGGAGAATACTGGGGGTGGGACAAGCCATGGCTTTATCCTGTTGTCGGCAACGGATATGCAGGTGAACGCAAGGGTTACATCTCTTACCCAAAAAGGAAAGTTTGGGGAGAAGGAGACGCAAGAGAACAAGTTAGTAAAGGTTAGTGATAACATGAATGTTTGGTCATCAGTTCTTATCTTTGGCAAACTCTTATCAAACTTAACTTCTAGAACGCCCGGGTCTGTCCTCGGAAAAATATCGATCTTCATCTGTCTGGGATATAAGCGTGTAACTAGCTTGTTGGAGAAGTACTTCTTGGCCAATCGAACTTCCCGTTTGAGCTCATGCTTTGGAGACACAACTTGAACACAATCAACTCTGCCATACATCATACCTCCATACAATCAAGTACTTAATTACTGTGCAACTACTCTACCTTTCATCCAATCGTTCCACATCCATGCGCGCGAAGGCCTTATCCACTTCTTTGTTCCAATTGCTGAGAGCCACGATCATCCACTCCAACGCCCCCACCAGATACAATGCAATGCACTGTCCCATCCACAGTCCCTTGAGGCCCCAGCCGTGGAATGCCAGCCAAATGCCGAGAGGCAGAGCACCGCAGTAATAGCTAACCAGATTGATCATCGCTCCGACGTGCTGTCGACCCATACCGCGAAGACTACCCCCACAACTCCCATTTAGGCCGTCGGCAATCTGGAACAGGGCAACATACGGTAGCACCTCGGCGGTGAGGCGCACCACTCGCTCGTCCGAGTTGAAGATCTTCGCAAAGTCGTGCCGGGTACCCATCAAGACAACCAGTACGACCGCTCCAAGGAAAATGCTGAGCCAGGCGGCCGTATTCGCTGCTTTGGCAGCTCCCGGTGCGTTCCGAGATCCCAGAAGGTTACCCACTCGTGCCGATGTGGCAACACCCACCCCAAACGGGATTGTGTTTAGCACTTGATCTGCGGTCATGATAACGCTTTGTGCAGCCAATGCGATGGTGCCCAGGCGGCCTGCCGCTAGAGCCACAATCTCAAATGCCCACCATTCTGTGCCGACATGGATGATACCCAGGAAGGCCAGGCGGGCAAATGTACCGAGGTTCTGGAACGCCTCTCGCGACCATCCCCCCCAGCATTCGGACCCAGCAACGAATCGGGCATAGAGAGCTAACAGGATAAAGGACAACCAGTATGAGATGCCGAGGGCAAAGGGCGCCCCGAGTAAGCCCATATCAAAGGCGTAACAGCATAGGTAATTGAGAAGGGCGTTGAAGGGGGATGTGATCATTAGCACGTATGTTCCTGGACGCATGATCCCTGAGAAAGGTGCAAAGTTAGTAGTTGCATTCAGGAGTGGCATAATAAGGTAAACCTTACCTTGAGCTTGCAAATACTTCTTAATCAATTCGAAATAAATATAACCCAAACCACCAGGAATCAAGCACGATAAGAATCTCGCGCTGTCCCTAGACAGCTGATGGTCTTGCCCCAGAAACAGAAAGACAGGCTCAGAGCATGCCCAAAGAATGGCGACGGGGGTATAGAAAAGACTGAGAACAAAAAACCCCCTCTGCAGCAAAACACCAAGGTCATGCTTGTTCGAGCTCCCCGTGAACGATGACGAGGCCAATGTATCCAGGGCTGTTGTCCCTCCCAGAGCGATCATCCACGCAGTGATCATAGCAAACATCAGCGAGAATGCGCTTGTGGCCAGATCCCCGGGTGAGGAACGCCCGACTATCAACACGGATACAGTTTGCAAGCTGTTCTGCAGTGTATAGGCCAGGATAACCGGGATAGAGCCCTTCAACAGAATCCAGAACTCCCCGAGGTATCGATGCCAGCCCTCGCTGCTAGAATCATAGCCGTCATTGGTGTCTGCATCTTTGAGAGTGTCATTATCTGTTGGTTTGGGAAAAAGAGAGGTATATTCCGTTGGCTCCTCTTCGGCGTTAGGCAGGTCGTTATGGCGGGGTGGGTGTTGACGGGGCATCTCTACGGAGGGAGGAAGTAATGAATCGATTGACTAGAATTGTACATACAAGGGCTTCTATATCAAAAAACTAGGGAAGCCCAGAGCCTATTTTACTTATTGCGCCGATACCTTGCAGACTGACCCAAATGACCAGCAGAACTGACTTTTCTCGGTAAGCAAACAAGTGGATCTGGACGAGCAATAAATATCTCATACAAAGGTAATAAAAATACCTTGGAAAATATTTAGAAATACAAAAAAGCTCATGCAGATACTGCTCATGGTATTCCATTCGGAACAAACATAGATAATCGCCCAACCCCATCAAACTCGAAGTTTTGACCCAAATAGGCATTCCAGAAGCCTCCTGTGACCCTGATAAAGATTGTCAAAAGTGCTGAGCCCTCACTTCATGTGGTGACTCTTCCCTTATCAGCTATGATGCATACTCTCCTGTATGCCTTCATTTTCTCCAAACAAGTTCCCGATCCGGAATAGATCGTCCTCCCTCGCATCCAGTTATGCTACACTTGTGAAGTTGGATTGAGCTTCTTATCGCTACCCCACGTTCCGACCACTACCGACGGTCATTTATACTACGTCCGGGCTAGAACAATCCCGTGATTCCTTATTTCTTGAGAATCCAGGAAAGGATATACTGGACATAAATAAAAGCTTCCTTATTCATAGTTCGTAAGATCACAACAGACAATACTAGTGAAGTGTCTCTGCTATTAGAGTAGACATCAGATACTTCTTATGTATATTTTCCCTTGTACACAGAACTCGATCTATGATAAAACGGTCCTAACTGAGCCAACCATTGTGCCTTTAAGACATATGTTGATCACTGAGTTTCTTATCAGAGATCTTCTTGTATATATAACTCTAGAGCTTATTGGCTATGGTAATTGTCGGGACTCCGCGCCTGTGATGATCAAGATTTCTAACAAAAGGAGTACCAAACTCTGTATACTCTGTATAGTTTTCTCTTTCTGAATATACCCCATAAAAGTAGAAGAAAGGTAGATATGTCGCATCAGTATATAGCCAGCGTTCACTGACAAGCAAAGATGTGGTGGTGTCCGGTTATGTGTGGCCGGGATATGTACTAAACGCTCCCCCGGATCGTGTTGTCATTTCTTGAACCCTAATTCATGGCCGGAGAGATAAGACATGCGTCTGATATCTCTATACCATTTGATTCGACGGATCTTGTGCTAGTTTACTATATTCCTTGCTCTTATGCAGGCACTGGGTGTTACGCATTTTGGTAAGAGAGCTTGATAACCATCTATATACCTGATTCTGTATATATACTCCTTGAATCATGCCCCAAAATTCCACTGATCATGATCATACCCCACGGATGAGAAAAAGAAACAAGTTTTACCTCCGGATCATATGAATACCGACATGGCCAACGGGAACGAGAAACATCCATCATTCCTTGCTGGCAGTGGTAATACTGCCGAGCAAGACGGTATGAAGATCCATCCGCAGCCAATATCAGATCCTCTGGATCCATTGAATTGGCCCAGGGCTCAGAAAAACTCCATACTTGGAATCGTCATGCTCAAGTATAATGATTTGTCTGTATATCTGAGCCAGTAAATGCTGACACGAAGCCAGATATTTCCTTTTCACCTATATCACAACCACAACCGTCCCCTCTTTCCCTGAAATTCAAACTCAATTTGAAATCAACTACTCGCAAGTAAATTGGACTGTGGCTATCCCCGCTCTGGGGTTGGCCATAGGCCCTCTCTTTTGGTCGTCATTGAGCGATATCTATGGTCGTCGGATCATCTTCATCGTGGGGACAACGGTCTCCTTGGTAGCGACTATTGGCGCTGCGGTGGCTGACACCTATGTGGGATATATGGCTACTCGATTTTCCCAAGGGTTTGGCGTTAGTCCAGGGGCGACGGTGGGGATGGCTGTGGGTATGTTTGCCCGATGCTCTTCAGTCATATCATGCTGAGATACTGATGATGCCAGTCAATGATCTGTTCTTTGATTATGAAAGAGGTCAGAAACTAGGATTGTGGGTTCTAGCAATGGATTCAGGGCTCCTTCTTGGCCCTACCTGTACGCTTCTCTCCCAGCCCCAGCCTTAGCAGTTAGCATAACCCTACTTTGCATGCTGACATCATATTGATCAGTCGGCGGCTTCCTCAATGTCTTGAGCGCAGCATGGATCAATTGGTTCAACGCCATTCTCTTCGCCATCCTACTCCTCCTCGAGCTCTTCTTTATGCCCGAGACTCTCTATCCGCGTACCCGCATGCTCCAACATATGTCAAAAGATCCCTCCGAACCTTCGATAGATATTGAACAGCCCCAAGAGAAACCTGCTGCAAAATCAGAGACTACAGAAAAAGACACAATGCCTCGGACGAAAACTCTCGAATTCTTCAACATCCGGCCCATTCCCGGCCTGCGGCACCCAAAGCCTTGGGATGCCGTTCTCCGTTTCTTTCTCACTTTTCAGTTCCCCGTTGTGGTCATTGCCATCCTCGGATACGCATTCGTGTGGTATTGGTGGGTGCTGTCGGTAATTACGATGGTACCAGCGGCCTATGCAGACTACTCTCCATTGATCCAGGGTCTGTTGTTTCTGGGACTGTTCATAGGGACGGCGGTGTCTGAGGTCTGTTACTCGGGGCGACTGAGTGATTACATTGTTAGACGACTGGCAAAAAAGAATGAGGGAGTGAGGGTAGCGGAGATGAGGCTATGGTTAGCTTATCCGGCGATTTTAGTCACTGCCGGTGAGCTCGCCTCCAAAGAACCCTGTGGACTAGGATGGCTAACGAAAGTCTCAATAGCTGGCTTGATACTATGGGGCAACAGCATCGACAAAGGATACCATTGGATGGTCGGACAAGTTGCTTTCTTCTTATGTGAGCCCCTAACCATCTACTTCATTCCTGTTCCTCAATCTACGTACTAATACTGCACTGGTCATCATACAAGTTGCGTCAGGAGTCCAAGTCGGCAACACCGTAACCAGCAGCTACATTATTGACAGCTACCCACTCCAATCCACCAGCGTCGTCATCTTCTACGCTGTTTTCGTCAATCTGAGTGCCTTCATCAATCCTGTACATAACCCCCTACCTATTAACCTGCAGTGGTTGAGCGCGACATTGACAAAACTTCAGTTTTTCATCGCCAATTGGCAAGCTTCTTCTGGCTGGGCCTGGACATTCACAACACAGGCTTTGATCGTACTCATTGCCGGAACAGGGGTATTCGCAGCATTGCAGCGTTACGGAGCATTCCTGAGAGCAAAGTCTCCGGTGCCGAAGTGGGTGAATCCAGAATTTGACTCATGAATCTACTTGGTTAAAACCATATATAACGATGGAGGTTTGGTCCTCTGATTTTATATAATGGCTTATAAAATCACTACGCTGGACATAAAAAATATCCCTCCAAGTCCTAACTAGACGTATGACGCCTAAGCTGTACGACATAAATAATTCCCCATATTATCATGTATTAGAAGCCCCAGCCATTTAAATACAATAATACGAACTAAGGAAACGTTCTATTATTCATTACGGGAAACCCCCCTGACTATCTACCTGTAAAATTACCCCGCGAACCATGGTACAGTGAACTGCGCAGGCAACCCGCTTTTTGAACAATGCATTCAACGAATTAAGCTACATGTCTACCGTAGATCCGGGAAGTTAGAAACAAGAACCGTTTCAGACGTGTTGTTATTGCTCCACCGTATTTGTTGTCGCTTATGCGGCTGGGGCTCACTCATCTATCAAACATTTATAGTGGTTGGATTAGGGCTGCTATGGGTCTAGTTGGGGCGGTATAATCTGGGGACGTGGGGGTTGGAGGTGAGGTTTATGCGTCTTCCCATGGAAGCTGAGGAGCTTGAGACATGCTTTGTTTGATGTGTAGACCTTAAGTTAGGCCGTGTTAGCCATGATATTGTGGATTATTGTACCTGGGGAGACTGTACTGGTTACACGTGATTTCACGATCTTGGGGTCCTAAGGAGATTTCTTTAGGAACTAGAGGTTGTTTGTATGATTTTTTGATTCATTGACCTTGTGAATTTGGAAGATCCTTGTGTATAGAAGTGCTTCTCTAGATGGGGTGACTCGATATGCTGTTGTTGCTTTGACTCGCTTCTGTCAAGCGAATCGATACAACCAGCAACGCGAGTAGCATCACCTCTAGAAGTAAGGATCTGTGAAGTAACACATCTTCATAATAACTATATAAGTACAAGGTTCTCTTTAGTTGCACCTCCCACAGAGCCTATTTTAAAAGCTGAGATAGCCCCGATCTGAACGGGCGGACACTGGTATGAAACTTGAGGGAGTCGATGTTTGAAAGGTATGGCACTAGGACAAAGAGTAGGTGCTAGATAATTGTTTATCCATCCAAAATCCTCGTCCCTATCACGAGTCGTTAAGGAGATCCAAGCCCCGAAACTCATACGTATCTACTCCATCTCGGCGGTTGACACACCCCTTGCATGAACACAAACGCCACCTCAGACCCCGCGAACCGAGTGCGAGCCTGTTCAGGGTTAGCTTCTGAGAACCTCAGTCGCATTCACATTCGTTTTCTATTTAGTCCTTCCTACACCCATCTAGGGATGACTATTAAATTTACAGATCCAGCTGACCGAAGTCTATCGGTGGCAAGCAGCGGTAACACACATCAGTTAATGTCCGAGAGAGATATCCGTCCTTGCAGCTCAATAGAGTTTCGATTATTACACCGGATCGGAGAGGGAATCTTTTTTTTTTTTTTTTTTTTGGTTTGTTTGCTATGAAAAGACCCTTTGGGAGTGTCCTTGCTTAGAACAACCGTCTTCCTGGACCCTGGGCAGCTTTTCGGGCCCTTGTGCTCCTTGATAGCTGTCATCGTCGGCTTTATAGGCAACGAAAGGGGTTGGGACACAGCGCATTATTGACCTCAGGTTTGCCTACCTCTGGTATCCGACAAGGCGAACAGGTGATATCACAATATGCTGTAGCAGGCCGTATCACTGCCCCTGCCGTATGTACCCCGTACATATGCATGGTGTTTGACACAAACGGTTGAATAACCCAATATTCTCAACTGGTCTAGACTGCCCCTAAATGGAGTATTCGATCATCGCTTTGGAAACTCTCGGGCCGGCTCTTTGGTCTGCTCCCTTCTAGTTACGAACCCCAGCGGGCTACTGCTAATTATACATCGCTCCACTGTTCTGCCACAGAAAAGCTCTTTCGGGCCGTCGGATGCGAACTCTCTGTATGTAGGGTCCCCCCTTTGCTTGCGTTTATTGAGACCTCCGTGCTGTCATGAAGCGGAAACATCACTGGAACCCAGAATGCGAGAAGAGAAGACGGACCCAGGAAGAAAAGGGATAGCGCTATGTTAATGCTCGCAGCAACCTCGGCCGCTTTGAAATCAAGCGGTTAGCGGCGATGGCACGGACCCCAGGCCAATCATTGCTAGACTGGACTCCCGCCGAGGTCCCATTTCAGGCTGCTAGAAAAGTTCGACTGGTGCTGTCGCTGGGCTTGGCTGGCGTTGAGAGAGAAAATGCGGTGGTTTAAAGAGTAGCCTAGTTCGAGTCAATTCCTTCCTCACATGTGACTCCTCGTAGTAGCGATGTTCTAAGGGACTGCATCAACCGCCGTTAATAGGGTTTGGGATCCGGAGATTGGGATGAGATGGATTCGTAGAACAGTTACCCGAAGGAGGAATATCGGGGTTATTCATAGTAACTGCTGTGGGACCTGCTTTGAGGAGAATCTCCTGTCATATTTTCACATCTTATGTCTTTCCGCACAAATGGTCGCCATGTGGATTTGGGGGGTGTTTAATTGCAGGACGTAAGCAGTTCGAAGGGCTTGTCGATTTTCCCTATCTTCCTTTATTGTGAATGGCGTGCCTGTATCAATGGGTGGTTTTAGGGGGAGTTGCGATCGTCGTGCGGTGCTGTACTCCGTACTATCTACCTCATGAGTTAAATCGGGCACGGGGGCAATTGCGCTGACAGACCGGATCAATATATGGAGTCCTTATGGGAACAGAGAATGTATCATGAAACCGTCCATTTAACCAGCCAAGGCTTAGTGTTCGCTAAGGATATCAACCATGTGGAGGGACAAGAAAAACCGCCATGATTGAAGTTCCACATTCATACTTTAGTGGTTCGCGCTAGGACCTTGTGTTGTTTCGCCTTTTGCAAATCCTTCCATAAATCACTCGCATGTATATCGATTATTATAATATAGCACTATGAACCAAGCATCGAACAGGGCTGCGCTGCACTGTGTGGGGTTTAATTGGCAGAATGAACAGAAGATCGGTAATGATATCGAGGACCGGGGTGTAAGATTGACTGACTAATCCGTACGCCTGTGTTATCTCGAGGAATTAGTCCAAGACATCTTGGAAGGAGTTCATCTGACACTGCCGCTTGTGCCGTCTTTGCGCATAACTATAGCTAGTATATATAGAAAGTGGAAGTGGCATCCACCGACAGATAGACTGAAGCACCGGACTGTGTCAACTCATGGTCAAGCTTTTTTATCTTCTTCGCACGTGTGACGGCACTGTAATCTGTATCCGGTCGCTCTTCATTTCGCTTGATTCCGCTAGGTTTAGAGAACCGTTCCTGCTGCGGTTTATTCTCCAGTAGTTTATCTGGCTCCCACCTTTTATCTTTTTCTTTCTTTCTTTATTTTTATTTTTATTTTTATTTTATTTTTTTGCTTCTTTTTTATCTTTAGCAAAATGGATAGATTTCGTATTTACTAATTTGTTTGTGGTATTATTTTTGACGAAGGTCAAGACTGGATAACTAGTTATGTGTTTTCAGAAGCATGTTTGTACTCCGTAATAGGCCCTAATTTCTGGGGTCTTTTTGCTTTTTTTCCTTTTGCTTTTTTAATTTAAAGTAGTTTATCCATGTCCATTAGGTAAAATAGCCTCAAAATCATACAATCATATCACCTGGTGCGTTCAGCGATAGATCATGCATACTAGATCTCTTTGACTCAAGATCAATATATGACATATGCAGCTTGACGACCTGGTCAATTGAATTCATCCTGTAAGCAATTATCCGTACCGAGTACCGTTTCTATCGTGGAAATTCTCCCGGGTTCCTGGATCGAAGAGCGAACCATGGAAGGGTACCCAGCGGTGCGGACACCCGTCATGCATTATTAGTGAGTCAGTATTGTCAGGGGCATGATTTGAATTTTGGCCAGGTTGATATTTCGGTCCGCATCGTTCTAAGTGGGCTATTTCTCTCGATGTTCTCTCTTTTTTTTTGGGACGGGAGAAATAGTCAGTCAATACTCCGGTGATAGTTCACTAATAATCTCCGTTGGAACCGTAATGATGGCCTGAGAAGAATGGACCAAGATAGTTGCCGATCTAGGCCTGGACTTGGTTCCGGTTCCCCCTGGCGTCGTATTTTTGTCTTTTTTTTTTGTTCCAGTTTCATAACGATCGGAAAGAGTGGGTGGTTTTTCTTTTTTCCTTTCTCTTTTTTCATTTCTTTTTTCGTCTTCTTATCGTTTTCTTTTATATGAATATTGATTATTTAGATCCTGTCGTCGTGTTGGTTTCTCTGTACGATTGGTTATGAAGATACTGATAGTTGCCCTCCCTACTTTCACGTAGAATCAGTAATACCCAAGAATTGATACTTCCTAGATGGTCGAAAGGGGATGACGCCCAGTTGCCCGTCTGTTAAGATGTTTTTTTTTATCTCTGTTATTTTATTTTATTTATTTATGATTCTATTTTTGAGTCTCCGGTCCTAGTCATAGATTCACCCTCTATTAGCCAATGCATTGAGGAAGAGAGAGGATGAGCACTAAGTAGGTATGGTATTAAAGGCAAATAAATAATCACTCAGGAAATGAGTTCCTGGATTAATTACGCACCGCCCCTTTAGTACAGTACATCTACTTTACTTGACTACTACTTATGTACAAATTACTACTACTTCTCTCCTCCACTTCCCAAATAACCAATCGTTCTCCCCCCCAGTCTTGGTTCGCTTCAACTTTGACGGCCACCAATTAACTTTGCCCGGCTTTTCAGGAGTTCCAACACTAATCCCCACTTGCACTTTCGACCAGTCTAGCATTCAGGCACACCCTACCACTCACGATTCCTGTACACTGGCGACGAACTAACGACTAACGACCTGGTAGGTCCTACCCCAGACCTGTCACCGTTACTCTTTTTTTTTTTTTTTCCCTTTTCCTCCAATTCTTCTTCTTCTTTTGTTGTTGTCGTCGTTGCTCTTTCCATCCTTTGTTTTCGCTGCTTTCCGAGGGCGCCGAATTATTTGCCCGCTGCCATTGACTGTTATTTCATGTTCGTTTCTTTCCTTCTAATTTGTTGGATCGTCCACTAGGTACCTTCGATCTTTGCGTATGCTTTGTCTGCCCTGTAAATAAGGGGACCACTCACATCGCCGTTTGCCGCAGGCCGCCATACCGTGCGACTACTTCGTGGAAAAAAACACAATTCAATAAGAGAAAAAAAAAAAATTTCCAACCAACAACTACTTATACAGTGATTCACCGTTGATGACACCCTCCTCTTTCGCCTCTTGACCAATAAATCAATTGTCTTATCTCTCCACGCCCAACCTTTTCGCCCAACTACGATTTTGCGAAAAGGAGTTCAGATAAAAGGGTCATGACGGCCTCGCCGCCAGGTTCGCCGACAGCTGCGCCGCAGCGACCCTTCAGCGGCGTTCTGCGTACCCCCAGGAGCAACAGTCGGATGAGCATGAGCTCGAAACACGGCGGAGGAAGTCGGGCTTCAGATGAGGATGGCAAGACGGCTGTCAAAGTTGGTGCGTTCCTTCTCCCGCCTTGTCTCGAACCGAGGCCCTTTACTGGCGCGGAAATTTGACGCGATTGCGGAAACATATGGCCTGGTGTCTTCACTGTTCGGTACAGTACTAACGCCCTCGCAGCTGTCCGTGTCCGACCCCCCTTGAAGCCCGACGACCCGAATTATGAGTTAATCCCGCAACGTTTCCAACGTTCCATGGTCCACGTCACCACGCCAACCAGCTTGGCCGTGGATGTTCCGCAGGGTCGCAAGCTATTCGTTTTCGACCGAGTTTTCCCCGAAACGGTCGACCAGGCCGGTATTTGGGACTATCTGAGCGATAGTGTTACTTCTTTCCTGCAGGGATACAATGTCTCGATTCTGGCCTATGGCCAGTCAGGTGCGGGTAAATCCTATACGATGGGGACGTCGGGGCCCAATGAACAGAGTCACCAAGGAATGGGTGAGTCGGCCTGGGGTATTCTGCGCCTGGAGGATGTGGTTGACTTACGGAATCAGGAATCATCCCACGCGCGGCCCAGTATCTTTTTGAGAGTTTGGAAGGCCCCTCGAAGCACAATCGCAACAGCTCGACCGGCTTACGGACCCCGGCGCGGTATTCTATTAGCTCGGCCTCAAGTTTCAGCAAGGCGAGCAGTGAGAAAACCTGGCAAATGAAAGCTACTTATGTTGAAGTACGGTTTGGTACCTGGATGCCTGGCTGACACGAGGCTGACCTGTCCAGATTTACAATGAGCACCTGAGAGATCTCCTTATACCGGATTCAACCCCCACCAGTGAGCGCAGCACGGTTACGATCCGCGAAGACACAAAGGGCCGCATCATCCCCACCGGCCTGCACCAGGTCAACATCAACTCAATCGATGATCTTCTGGGCGCACTCAACTTTGGCTCGGCCATTCGGCAGACGGACTCGACTGCAGTTAACGCCAAGTCTTCTCGCTCGCATGCGGTCTTCAGTTTGAATCTGGTTCAGCGTAAATCCCCGAACGGAATGAACTCCACTAAGGATAAGCGCATGTCAATGCCCGCCGAGATGCCCTCTGGTTCCGATCTCTCCGTGACCGTCGAGAGCAAATTCCATTTCGTCGATCTTGCTGGAAGCGAACGGCTGAAGAACACGGGAGCATCTGGCGAGCGCGCCAGAGAAGGTATCTCTATCAACGCTGGTCTCGCTGCCTTGGGCAAGGTTATCTCGCAATTGTCTTCCCGTCAAGCAGGCTCTCACGTTTCCTATCGTGACTCAAAACTGACACGGCTTTTGCAAGACTCCCTCGGCGGCAATGCGTACACCTACATGATTGCCTGTGTGACGCCTGCAGAGTTCCATCTGAGCGAAACGTTAAATACGGTTCAGTATGCACAGAGAGCTAGGGCAATTCAAAGTAAGCCTCGGATACAGCAAGTACACGATGAGAGCGACAAGCATGCCGTTATTGAAAGACTCAAAGCGGAAGTGGCCTTTTTGCGACAGCAGCTCCGCAATGCGGAGGATAACGAACGGCGCAGCGTCGCCCCGCAAGACCGGGCGGAGCGCCAAAATGAAAGGGAGGCAGATCTCCAGAATCAGCTCCTTGACATTCAAGAAAGCTACAATGCGCTCAGTCAGCGTCATGCTAAACTGATCTCCGAGCTTGCTAGAGATTCGGAGACAGAAGAGGGCGCAGTTCCCAACCATGCCGCCTCGGACATTGGCAAGAGTTCGATCGAAAGACTGAAACGGTCCCACTCTTTTGCAGAGTCCGTAGAGCAAGTTGTGCTGGAATACGAAAAGACGATCCAGAGTCTCGAGTCTTCCCTTTCTAATACCCGGTCTTCATTATCTGCGACAGAAAGTACACTTCTTGAACGCGAGACCAGATGTACTTACGTCGAAACAGTCAACACGCAACTCCAAGCGCGAATCCAAAAGCTTCTCGAGCGAGAGTCCGGCACAGAAAGCTATCTTCAGGAATTGGAATCTAAGCTTGACGGTCATTCTTCTGGGGAGGAGAAGCAAGCGGCCATTATCGCAGAGCTTCGTAAGGAACTGAGTCGCGCGCGCGAAAGTGAAGGAAATTGTGAAGATTATATCACCACGTTGGAAGAGCGGTTAGCGGAAGCCGACCAAGATATGGAACTTATGCAGCGGGAGGTTGATCGCCTGGAGCGTGTCATCGAGCGTCAACGGAGCCTCGGGAAATTAGATAATCTTCTTTATGATCTTGATCATAGTCAGGAGAACAGCAGCGCGAGGAGGGACTTTCTTGAAGAGACCGAGATGCTCACACCGGTCAAGCAGCGCTCCCATCACCATCAACGGAGAACGGCGTCCCTGGATGTGTTGACCGAGGCTGTCGAGACTGCCATACCCGAATCCGATGAGGACCTGGGTGAACCTGCCCCCGAGGTTGAGGACGACACCCTCAAATCGGACCCTGTTGGTGACGCTAACGAGGATCTCAAAGCGTTGGAAACCGCTACTGAACACCTGGAGACCGATCACAATGAACAGGGCCTCCCCGATCGGACTCCTAGCCCCACTCAATCCAGGGTCGTTGCGGATAAGCTAGACACGGTCACCCAGGAGCTGTTCGATTTGCGCATGCAGCATGAATCTACGATAAATGAGTTTGAGTTGCTCGAAGCAAAATATGAGCAAGCGCTGAAGCAGTTGGCCGACCTGCAACAGGATGCCGCGGATGAGGTTCGCCATTCTACATCTGATGCCCGGCATCTCATCTCACCAGCCCCTACTTCGCGACCCGTGTCTTTTTTAGAGGATCCCAAGGCTCCCGACTCGAAGACTGGAACACAACAGTCGTCCTCGCGATCACTCTCATCGGAGTTATCGTTGGTCGGGGAGCCTGCTGCTTCGCACGAATCGTCTAACGCTAAGTCTGGGCCCGAAGCAGAAAACCATGTTGATACAGTGTCAGAGAACAACGACGCCAAAGCGCAGGAAGTCGAGCATATGCGCAGGCTGCTCTCCGAGCACCAAGAAGGTGTCAGTATCATGACCCAGAAATATGCCGAGCTACAAGCCGAACATGCTGAGACTCTGAATCTCATCGAATCGCTCAAGGCCGAAATCCAGAAGCCGAAGGTTTCTCCTCCTACAACACCGGGCTATAAGCCGGTTATTCGGAGGAAAACAAGTCAGACCCTGATGGGAAATGTCGACAGAGCGAATCGCTCTCTGGCCGCCTTGCGGAACATCGCAGTGGAAGAATTTGAATCCCGTCCTGACACGATGCAAAACTTTGAGGTACACCTGGACTCAGCAATGCATGAGCTGTACAATCGTATGGAACGTATTCAGGCATTGGAGGCCGAAAACCAGAGTGTGAAGAAAGAAATGGAGACGAAGTCGACTATCATATCTGGGCTTACTCGGGAACGTTCCAGTTTGCAGGGTGGTGGTGGTTCCTCAGTAGATATGGGCCTCGTGTCTCAGCTGCGTGACCAAGTTGTCCAACAGGAAAACTTCATCAACGAGCTAAAGGAAGCGCACGAGGCCAGAGATAAGCTTCTCTTAACCGAAATAGAGGAGTTGAAGGCTCTTCTCACAACCCAGGAGGCCGCCGCTAAAGCACATGATGCGGGCATTGAGGAGCAAGATAGAAAGATCGGTGTCCTTGAGGGTGAACTGACAGAGTGGAAGTGCAAGCACCAGAGCGCCGTGGAATCCCTGCAATCTTCCGAGCAGCAGCTTAGTACCACTTTAGCCGAGCTTAACAGTGCCCTGGCCACTCTGGAAGCTATGCGCACTGAACGGGCAGCTGCTGGTGAAGCGTCATCCGCAGAGAAGGAGGCTGCCGCAAAAGCTCTGGGAAATGAAAGGTCCCAGCAACAAGAGCTTGTCGAGAGTCTGAAGCGTGATATTGAGCACCATAAGACTACCGCTGCTACTCACGTGGATACAATCGCCTCCCTCGAGAAGTCACATAGCAGAGCCCAGCAACAGCTGTCTGAGCTCCTTGCATCAAAGGACGCCAGCGGAAATGAAATCGAAGCTCGCCAGATCCGTGTTTCTGAACTGGAACGGGACATTGAATCCCACAAGTCTCTTGCTGATTCATACAAGAAGGACCTGGATTCCCTACAGGAGTCTCACAAAGCAGAGCTTGCCGAGTTAGAAGCACGGGCTAAGGCTGCGGCACAGGCTGAGTACGAACTGCAACTCACGGAGAAGGATACCGAACATGACAACGCGATGAAGGCTCTGAGATCTGAAATCACGGAATCGAGAGATGAATTGATGAAGTTGCTCAAGATGGTTTCTGATCTTCTGAACTCGGATGTCACCGCAGACAATCTGGCAGAACAGATCCAAGATATTCTCACGCAAAAACAAAATTTCTCTGATAAATATGCTGAACTGATGGGTACGAATGAAGATCTCCGCAAGCAACTAGAGCTCAAGAGTAACGACGCCGACCGTGTTGACGAGCTTACCAAGAGCAACTCTGACAAAGAAGCGAAGGTGAATGAGCTTGCTCTCTTGGTCGCCACACTCGAGGATACTCTCCACCAGAAGGATGAACAAGTCAAAAAGAAGGAAGCTCTTGTTGCGGAAATTACCGCTGAGAGGGAGAAGAGCGTTCGGCTTGTGGAGGAGCTCGAAGAGCAGATCACCAACAGTTTCGACCAACACAACAACCGTGTCTCTGTCATTCAACAGGAGCGTGATCAGGCTCTGGAGGATGCAAAGGCCAAGATTGTTACTTATGAGTCCGATATCGAAACCTACAAAATGCGGATCGAGCAGCTTGAGGTAAGCAGTACCATGACGACCAATGACATGCGGCCGCTAACGAATCTCCAGCTTCAAATCAAGAACGGCTCGAGCCAGGATTCTGCCTCCCACGATCGGAGCAGCTCTCTTACTTCTAACTTACGGAAGAGCACTTCTGCAACATCTCTTCCATCTCCACCACCTGCCATTCCGCTTCCCCCTCTCCCTACCATTGCTTCTGCTACCAACGGTACCTCTGGTAGCATCTCCCCTCCAAGCTCTCGGCACACTAGCAAAGAATTGGTCAATACCCAGATTGTTGAGGATCAGGAGGCTCGTATTCGCACCATAGAAAAGCATCTCTACGCCGAGAAGCAGCTTACTGCTACACTTGAAGAAGCCCTCGGAGACCTTGAGGCCCAGAGTAACAAGGTTAAGTCCGACTGCGAGGCCTGGAAGAAGAAGGCGTGGCAGCTCGAGGAAGAGCTGACCACTCTTCGCAAAGAACGCAACTCCCAACGCCTCTCACTCCAAGCTGTGGAAGAAGAGAGAAATGCTCGTCGTGAAGCTGAAGCCGCCAGGGCTCAGCTTGAAGAGCGAATGAATGCGCTCAACAAGAAGAAAAAGAAGAGCACTCTGAACTGCTTCTAGTTCCTTTTGCTCCATACTTCCATAGATCTGTTGTTTTGTTGGTTTCTTTAAGACATGATGTTCATTCCCCTGTATTATGAATTCGACGTCGATTCCCCCTTGTTCGATTCGCTGATACCTTTTTTTCTTCTCTTGTTTATTTGCACCCCTTTTGTCCCATTCATCATCCTCGCGCATTCCCCCTTCTTTTGCGGTTTTGCATTACGATTCCTGCCTTATGATGACTCATTTCGCCGTGGTTGGTTGTTGGCTTAGCCTGATGTTCACACGTCTATACATACTGGATCTTAGGCTGAACAAATTGGCGCTGAGTAATGTGTATATAAAGTCCGTCATATGACCGCTTTGAAGAGCTCATGTTCTGTATTCATGAGGCTTGTGGCTTTCTTGGCTTTGTCCATGGTATTGCTAGTAGCTGACAGTTTGTCTGTAGAGAGTTCTGTATCGGGCACGAAGATCCGTGTAGTAGAATCAGAATACAACACGTCCAACATGCTCCTACTTCCATGAGAATACTGTTACTCATGTAGTTCAAAATATACACTCCGACCAAGCTGCAAAAAGCTCCATCCCTTATCAGATAAGAACCACGGAGTTAGCCCGATATCATCACATGACGTAGACGTATGTAGTATAGCCAACGGCCGCGTGTCTCCCATCCCATTCCATTCCATATCTACTCTCTCGACTCTCCCATACAATCCCCCCAATCCAATCCAATTCAAGAAATGCTCGCCATCTCCTAAAGCAACGCAACCACCTCACCATAAATCCCACCACACAGACTCCCCAAAATGCCACCCCCGGTAACAATCATCCACCCAGACCTGGGCATCGGCGGCGCCGAACGCCTCATCATAGACGTCGCCCTCGCCCTCCAATCCCGCGGCCACAAAGTAACAATCTACACCTCCCACCGCGAAAAATCGCATTGTTTCGAAGAAGCCCGCGACGGAACCCTCAACGTCCAAGTTCGCGGCAACACAATCTTCCCGCCACATATATTCCGCCGGTTCCATGTCCTTATGGCTATTTTGCGGCAGTTGCATTTGACTATCTCTGTACTTAGGGAGAGTTCGAGTGAGAATTCTGACACAGAAAATGGGGGAGAGAGTGAAGTTTTCATCGTCGATCAAGTCCCGGCCTGCGTCCCGTTTTTGAAATCCCTGGGGCGCAATAAGCGGAGACGGAGGGTGTTGTTTTATTGTCATTTTCCGGATCAGTTGCTTGCGAGGGTTGAGGGGAGCCCGTTGTTGAAGTTCATCAAGGGGGTTTATAGAGGGCCTTTTGATTGGTTTGAGGGGTGGGCTATGGGGGCTTCGGATGCTGTTGTTGCGAACTCGAGGTTTACGAGGGGGGTTATTAGGGGGGTTTTTGGGGAGGGGTTGTTGGGGGATGTTAGGGTTGTTTATCCGTGTGTTGATACCGACACTGGTTCTGGGGAGGGGGGAGTGATTGAGAAGGGGAAGGAGGGGTTGTTGTGGGGTGGGAAGAAGATTTTGTTGAGTATTAACCGGTTTGAGAGGAAGAAGGATATGGGGCTTGCTATTCGGGCGTTTCATGGGCTGGGCGTGGAGGGGAGGAAGGGGGTTCGGTTGGTTGTTGCTGGTTTGCTTTTCCCTTTTTCCCTTTCGCTTTCTTTTTCTGCATGATGGGGTGGTTGATGTTGATGCTGACTTGGGTTTTTGTTTAGGTGGGTATGATAGCCGCGTGCAGGAGAATGTGCTGTATCATCGGGAGCTGGATGATCTGGCGACGAGCCTGGGGTTACGGACTGCGACGTCGAAGACGGTTATCTCAGCACTTTCGGTCCCCGATTCGATCGATGTGTTGTTTTTGTTGTCGGTGCCGTCGGCGTTCCGGGATACTCTGCTCGAACAGTCGAAGTTGCTGCTTTATACGCCTGTCAATGAGCATTTCGGGATCGTTCCTGTGGAGGCTATGCGCGCTGGGATCCCCGTGTTGGCGTCCAACACCGGTGGTCCGTTGGAGACGATCGTCGAGGGCGAAACGGGCTGGCTCCGTGATGCCCAGAACGATGCCGAGTGGACAGCGGTCATGGAGAAGGTACTCTATGGGATGGACCAGAAGGAGCTCGATAGGATGTCCGTCGCGGCGAAAAAGAGGGTCGAGCGCGAATTCTCCCTAACCGCCATGGGCGACAGACTCCAGGAGGAGATCTCGGAAATGGTCGCGCGTGAGCAACGCCCATTCGCCGGGTTCCAGCAGCTCTTTATCCTTCTCGCGCTGATGGGATTCGCCCTCGCGGCAACTGCGACTTTGGTCGTGAAAATGCTCTGAGTGTTGTTTGATAATACCCTACCTAACGATTGACTTCTGTACAATAGACACCCGAACCAATACCAATCAATACAACATTGATAACCATGTACATATATTCTATCACCACGTGACTACGCGCTCCCACGCGACACGTGCATAGCTATCACTTATCAATCCCTCATGAGTTCCCGTTAACAAACACCAATTCCCCAACAATATTCATACAAAACAAAAAAAGAGAAATGCCAGAGGTCATAAACCTCCTCTCCTCAACTCCCCCACCCCCCTCCCACCAACCGCGCCAACCCTCGCCCTCTTCCTCCCCAATTTTCCCCTCAAACCCAATACCAGACCGAAACCCCCCAATCACCCTCCCAATCCTCTCCTCCGACTTCGACTTCGACCAATTCAACGACGATGACCTCTCCACTCTCAACCCCCCGAAACGTCTCCGCGTAAGCGAAGAATCAAGTCCCGCCCCCCGAATCCACGACCAACAAACATCACGCATCTCACCGTCCAAGAACCCGCTATTCCTTCTCTCGAATGATATACTGCCTTCGTCCGGTGGTCATGGTCACGGTCCTGCGAATCTGAATTTGGATTTGGATTTGAATTTACCGGTTCGGCATGGAGGTGGTGGTGCTGGGGATGGGTCTGATCCGATTGTTTTTACGTCTTCTGCGCCTGAACCTGAACCTGGAGCTGGAGGTCGAGATGGGATTACGGTGAGAGGGAGTGTGTTTCCAGGGGGGGTGGAGGAACGGCGGATGGAGACGATTACGATTGATGATGACGATGATGACGATGGTGGCGGTGGTGCAGACACGGGTGATGCGCGAAGGAGAGACGAGATCGAAGGGTTTAGCGATGAGATTGGAATGTCGAATTTGAATGAATTACTTGGGATTGAAGACGGGGGTTTGAATACGCGGACTGGGCTTTCGAATCGGACGGCGAGTTTGCTGGCTAGTCTTGATCGGCCGGGGAAGGCTCGGCGGGGACGGGGTGTTGAGGTCGAGGAATTAGAGGTGGGTACTCTTCCTGTGGGCCGGGGTAAGGCGCCGCGGAGGACGGGGTCGAAGGTATCTGGGGCGGACAAGGAGGCGAAGGCGCGGTCGCGGGAGGCGAGTAAGGCGCAGCGAGAGAGGGAGAAGCAGGCGGAGAAAGAGCGGAAGCAGAAGGCGAAGGAGGAGAAGGCTCGGGCGAAGCAGCTTGCGGCTGATTTGGCAGAGGTGAATAAGCTCAAGGTAGATAAGAAGGAGTCAACGCCAGAGATGATTATTGAGCTTGCGGCTGGGTTTGAGGGGACAAGTGTCGGAAATCAGACGGTGGAGTATATGAAGCGGCTTAAGGTTGAGCAGAGGTTTTTCGAGAGCGCGATTGCCAATGTGGTGAGATGGCGGCGGAAGGTCTCGGCCAGGTATAATGAGTCCCTTGGCTACTGGGAGCCGTGCTCGTTTCATATCCGTGACGAAGAGCATGTGCTTGTTCTGTTGCCGGCGCAGGAATTCGTCGACATGGTGATAGCGCCGCCGTCCGCTGAATCAAATACGAACAACCTCGATGCCCACGTCCAGCGCCTCAAATCCGCCTACCCGGGCTGCACGCCCATCTACCTAATTGAGGGTCTCACGGCCTGGATGCGCAAGAACAGCAACTCCCGTAACAGAGCCTACCAGGCCGAAGTCCGCCGTCAGAACGAGTCCCAAATGCAAGAACAGTCCCAACCCACCACATCCCGGCGCAAGAAAACAACCAACAAACCCGAAACCATACCCGTCAATGACGACACTATCGAAGACGCCCTCCTCACCCTACAAGTCACGCACTCGTGCCTCATCCACCACACCAATTCCACGCCCGACTCATCAGAGTGGATCAAAAACTTCACAGAGCACATCTCCACCGTGCCCTACCGCCGAGAACGAATGGAAGGCAACGACTCCGCCTTCTGCATGGACGGAGGCCAAGTCAAACCTGGTGAAAACAAATCCGACACCTTCATCAAAATGCTCCAGGAAGTCACCCGCGTCACAGCATCCATGGCATACGGCATCGCAACCAGATATCCAAGCGCAGTCGACTTAGTCCGCGGAATGAGAACACATGGTCCGGCCATGTTAGAGGATGTAAAGGTACTTATTCTCTTCCCCTACCTTCTACCCACCCATACATGCACGTACACATATACCATGCTCCCTTACCCACAAACTAATTTTTGAACCCTCTATCAAATAAAATTAACTTGATAAAAAGAAACTAATATGCTGCAGAAATCCGCCAATAGAAACGGCGCGCTAACGGATTCTCGCATCGGCCCTGCGGCAAGTAAACGGCTTTACAAGGTCTTTATGGGTCTTGATCCATCTGCGACTGATATTTGATCGTAGATGTACGGTAGGGGTCATCTTGGGCAATGGTTGATTAGCCTTGTATATGTTATTATCTGTATCGTTATTGGTTTACCGATTGATTTCACGGGTGCTTGGGTGTGGACTATTGGAGTATTGTCGGTATCTCTGTGGGGTTCGGTTTGTTTATTCTTTTGAAGAGGTGTTTCTATATGCTTATACACTGCATGGTGTGGAGAATTTGTATAAATGGTTGTAATAAGCTAGTGCGGTCATTGATAATGATGCCGAATATGAAAAGATAATACTGCGTACAAGACCTAGGTTTCCGGATACGCTTGTTGAAATATAATGGATTTAATGAAAAACAGCCAATAAACGCCTCTATCCGATGTTGATCCTGGTGATGATAAGTTGAGCGCTGTATAAACGTGAATATAATTCATCTAAATAGAAACGCCTCTGCGTCCCCAAGTTCTCCAGGCAACACACCAGGCGGCCATGGCTACCCATACGCTCAGCGTACATCCTATAGCCCAGTACCCGTAGCATTTCCAGCCGTGACACTGGCCATCTGCAAAGCCGTAGCCTCCATCTGTGGCATCTTGGTAGCCGCGGGAGTAGATGACACCCCATACGGCAGCCCCTGCCGCCGGAAACATGGCGACGATACCCCAATTCGTTCCAAAGTTCTCTATACCCCAGACAACAGATATGATGATGGGGCAAAGGGAGAAGGCGCTCCCGTAGCCGAAACCGACTAGGCTGGTAGTTATATGAGACAGTTCAGGGCGCTGGAGAGGCAAGGGGGATGCGAGGAGTAAGTAGCCCAGGGAGAGGAGCAGTGCGGATGGGAGAAGAAATGTTAATCGGGATAGGGTGAATTGCTTTGAGGTGGGAGATGGGTTAGGGCGTGCAGTTGCCAAGTTCCCCGGGAAGAGATGGGTTGCTGGGGGTGCGAAGAAGTCTGAGAGGGATCCTGTGAGGAGTCGGGCAATTGTTGAAGTCAGAGCAATGGTGGTGACATGTGTGGATGGTTTGCCAGCTGGCGAAGGAGCATTAGGAGAATTTGATTCCGGGTTTAGTGCTCCAACCACGGTACCCAGCTAAAAGACAGTCAGCGAATGGGTTTACAAGAACACTGGATGGGGATATTGTTACGTTGTTGATGTATGCTTCTCCGGGTCCAGTGACCAAGAAAAAGCCCAAACCGAGCCACCACATCGTATGATCTTTGAGAAACACCTTCGTTTCCCAATTCAAAAGCCAGTTTTTCTTCCTACGCTCCTCCTCCTCTCTCTCCTTCTTGAGTCTTGCTGCTTCCCGTTCTTCCTCGGCCTGAGTCAAGGCCAGTGTTCGTTCCTCGTCCTCGCCAATATCCTCCGACTGCGAGAATGTTCCGTACGCAGCTCTCACTTCGCTTCTCGACCGGAAGAACTCACTCTCTCCCAACAGGCCACTCCTTTCGAGTTCCTCAACCGCCTCATCGATGTACTTCTCCTCGTCCTCTTCCACTATCCGCAATCCAAAAGCGCCAACAACACCAATGCTAAAAAGCAGTACCGCAAGGAAAATAAAGTATCGGAAGACGTCAACGTCACCACGACTGCCGTCATCCAACCGTTCAGACAGAAAATACGTCCCAACTTGGCTCTGCCACATACCACTAAGACCAAAAGCAGCTATGGGGATGGCAAGCATAATACCTTTGTGTTTACCCCTGCCAAAGTTTTTAGCGCAAGTTGTGACTGAGGCCAGGTACATGCAGCTTGTGGCGGTCCCGACACACACGAAGGCCACTACCATCACCCAAAAAGGGTATCCATTACCACCGGTATCGGGTGGTGGTCCATTTTTATAAACTATTGCGGCTAAAAGGTAGCCTATTCCAAAAACTGTGCCAGCAAATAAAGCCAGCGGCGAGGGGCTATACCGGTCACACAGGTATCCGAAGATTGAGACGGGGAGGTACATAGAAACCCCGGCAGCAATCGAGACAGCATTAACTCGGAGCTGGGTGTAATGGAGACGGGTAAGGAACAAAGGCCCATAGAGGGAGAACGCAGTGATACTGCCAGCCCCTAAGCTAATGGATTTGGAATATCTATCTGTTAGAGAGTAGGTTCAAATAAGGATGTCGAGTAGGCATGCTAGGCTCACCAGGTTATAACTCCCCAGGCAAAACTACATATCCGTACCACTTCCTTCGCGAGCCTGCGACGATCCCTTTCGACAATTTCTTCGACAACGTCATTCAGGAGACCATCTTCAGCGTCACTATAGCACCGTGCAGAAATTCTAGATACCGGTCGTGAATGTAGGCCCCGGTCATCCGTCTCCACGTCAACATCGTGGCTAGTCAGTAATGGACGATTCATGTCGAAGTCTCGTTTGTCAATAGCGGAGTCTGCTGGGCCATTGAAAGGTGCCATTTTGCTTATTCGATCAGTGAAAGGGGCGTTGAGAAAGGAACGGTTTTCGAGCAGACAAAGATTCGAAGATAATATAGACACCCTGTCGGTATTTCGCACGCTAACATCCAGTGTACTGTTCCTGTGAACAATCGAGTTGGCAGCTGGTGGGATCAGTTGACCGTGCTCCACAATTCGGTTCTCCTACGTCACCGGAAGGTTTAAAGAAAGGTCATGTTGGGACGAGCCAGGGTCCCGAAGAGAGTAATTTACAAAATATCCCGAGAGGCAAGGAAGCATACACCCGCACGGTCTAGAAACAAAATCGACGAGCGGGCGTATGAGAATGGAAAGGAGGAAGAGCAAGGAAAGGGGAGAGATGGAGAGAGGAGTCATGGCGATTACACCGCTTATCGCCGGTGACACGTGACACGTGTTCATCAATATGACCCGTTTAGGCAAGACCCGCGCCTTAATTCCGAGAAATCTACACGTCAACGAAGAATATTTATTTGGAGAAAATAAGATTATGAAGTTCTTGTCTAGAGGCCTCCCACCATTTATGTACACAAACATACTTCTGGAATGTCACCATAGTTGAACATGGAAAAAGGTCCAGGGAATCGGACAAGTTCCCGGGAGGTATAATCAATAAGACATGTCCGAGATAAAAACGAAACCCAGAGAAGTGGAAAGAGAAAACAAGAGGGGAAAGTAGAAAGGAAAAAAAGATGCCGATTTCATACACGCCGTCAGAATGGAAACGCTCTCGCACGAAGGACCGTCTAGTATGCTCCAGGCATGTAAAGACAAGGGCTCTGAGGGGGGCATTATGCCATGATCAATCGTCGGTATCGTACTATTATCGGTTATCGCAAGACATTTGCACCACATCCTCAGTCAAGTCGTTAGAATGTCGTCGATAGTTATCGGACGTGCGTGGGGAATAAAAACAATTGAAACAAGTGGAACGCTAACGCCCGGTCCATTGCTATGCAATTTCGACGCCGTATACCGTGGTTCTGAAATGATTCTGTGATCGACGGACTCGAAAAGGGAACGCAAAGCCGCTAACTCCAAACTCGAAGAAGGTAAACCTGACTAAAGGAAACGTTGAAGGGACAAACAGAAAGAAGAGAAAGAGAGGGGGAAACATTAAAAGCACGCAAGGATCAAACGAAAAGGTGGGTAATTATGAGAAGGGCGTGAAAGGAGCACTAGAAGCTGGCTTCACCAGGATCGCTTTCCATGACCCCTTCATCCCAGTAGCGATCGGACAAGTCTTCACGACCGGACATCTGAGATATAAGAGCAATGGCTTCACCTTCACCCCGTTCAATGTATTCATCCTGAGTGATCTCATTCAGGATACGCTGGAAGTACATCCGGAGGCTTCGAAGACCACGAAGATAACCGCGGTCGATATCGTCCGGATGGTGCGGGGGGCAAGGCGCATCAGGAGAAATCTCATCCTCGCCCGTAACGCAATTTGCGAAGTCGACAATCTTCAGCTGAACATCAATGTTATTGTGTCCTTCTTCAGAGGAACGATGCTGCAGCGGAATTCGCTTGCTGTCAACACTATTCTCACCTTGCGGCGCCTTTTCGGGGGAAGACTGCTCGCCATCATAAAGGATTAGGAGACTGCTAGCATAAAGCCGGTAACGTTTGAGCTTTCGGATCATATTCTCCAACTTGGACAGTTGTTCAAGTATGACAGGGATCTTCTTTGCCACGCTGGTATAGCTGACACCATCGTAGAGAAAACGGGTGAGAGCATCTTGGAATTCACGTCCTGACTTCAGGTCCCGGCCAAAGTACTTGTCCTCGAAGGTATACTCCTGCCTTTTCACATTCCAAGTCTGCATGCCACAAAGTCGGACACCTAGCTGCTGAGAGGTTGTTGACCGACACTTTCGTCTCTGTGACTTCTTCTTCTTCTCACTGGCTTCAATCCCATATTGGCGAGTTCCCATTTTGAGATCAAGCACGCAAGGTTTGTTCATGCCAGCAGTGAGGTCCTCCAGTAGCAGGAAGAACTGCACACGTTCATCCTTTCGTGTCTGGGCTTCTTTAGGATTGGACGGAAGTTGGAAACGGGTTTCCTCTTTCGGTGGAACTCGAATTGCTTCCCTCGGCGGCATATCCCCAACAGAATCTTCCACAGCATCAGCCGTATCGGACTTCAAAGTTTCGAAGTTGGGCGGTTTCGAATTCTGAAGACCTGATGGTACCGTTTGGACGTCCGCTTCCATGGAAAATATTTCGTCTTCCCTATCACCACCATAGCCGTCGTCTTCAAAGAACATGAGCTCGCCTTCTTTCTTCCCGGGGCTCATGCTCCTTCGTCTTTGCAAGCCACTTCCTGAATGACGACGTCTGACCCGCCGAGACCGTGAGACAGAGCTAGAGCGCGGTTGGGACTCTTCAGTCCGAACTTGTTGCAGTCGGTTATGGTTCGAGTCTAATGCGGTAGACGCTGATGATGACAAACCAGGACCTTCACTTGTCTGTTTCGCGATGTCAATAGCAGCAGATCGAGGTGGTTCATCTGGAAGAGACGCAATGCGACGGCTACTGGCAGTTTGATCTTCCGACAGGTTACTCCTCCTGCGGGTGATACTATCTGAGGAAATTCTTGGTAATGTGATGTGGCCACGAGCATGACGCCGATGATGATGGATTGCGGGAGGGCTGAAGACCTCTCTAAGGACCTGCTCCTGCAACTTCCTATTGACCGTAGTAGCACCCCAGCTAATTGTGGGCTTTCTCGGGGAAGTAAGGGTGTCATCCAGAGACCCATTTTTCAACCTTTGCTCACCAGCCACCGACCGAACACCGCAATTGTATCTCTTTCGGTTCATTGTTGTACCATCAGCAGTCCTTGGCCTTTGTGAGCGAGAGAATAGATCGGCCGGTATGATGTGCCGGTTATTTTCAAGTATTACTTTAGGAATGATTCCGGTGACCTGCTTCTGGCTGAAAATCCGTGGTTGATCCACAGCTTCAGAAGCACGAGAGCCATCGGCCGTTAGTGACTTTACGTGTTTGACACCACTCGCCTCACCCGCGGCATGTTCGCCATTCGTAATCTCAGCATGACCCTCCGGCGTTACTTTGGAGCGCTTCGGGATTTTTGAGAAGGTTACGTTCAAGACACCGATGTACCTAAAGTGAAAGCAACCCGTGGATTAGCAAGGCGGAACATAAGGGAGTGTGACCAAAGAAGCATTACAAAAAGAAAAGGATAGGTCCTGCATCTATTTACCTAGGAAGAAACATCAGCATTTCTGGATGTCTGCGCTCAATGCGCTCATAGAATTCGTTCTCCCGGTTGTTAAGCTGCTTGCACACAGCGCGCCTAGAAAATCGGAAGACAGTCGTGTGGCCACCCACTTGATGCCGGTAGGGTTTCAATTCCACCGCGCCCAGAGGAGCCTCTGCACTGTGCTTGCGTCCGCGGCGGGGAACCCGCTGGCGTTGAGTCGGAGTAGCAGTTGGGGTCACGTCAGCCTCGTCGGTCAAACTCGACTCTTCATCTCGAGTGGATACACCACTTTCATCGGCGGAGCCCAACTCCGAGTCGCACGTTGAATACTCGCTGCTGCGATCGGTTGTGGCGCTAAGGGGCTTTTCAAGTAATTCTTCTAGTTGTGAAGCTTGTCTGTCTTGCAGATCGCCGTGCAGGATTCTACTATCATTTTTAGATCGAAGAGATATATCCACATGATTGATTTCTTGCTCGTCAGTGACAGCATGTCTCTTGGGCACTAGAACGTGACTACTCTTCGTTGCCGATGGGTCGAATGACTCCGTACCATGTTGACCATCCGGATAAGTCTGAACCTGATCAACTTCTTCAGAAACAGTGACGCGTTCATGGGGATAATACACAGCAGACGATATCTGCTCATCATCCTCATCTCCAAATTGTGCAGAGCCCCGGCGCCGTTCTCGGTCCGTGTCCGACGAAGGCGAGAGACCGGGGACATCCTTCGAGAAGTAGTCCCTGCCTCCTTCTGCAAACTGCCTAGGGATACTCTTTGAAAACGATGTACCCCGCGCACCGCCTGGTGTTAGGTGAAAATTCCGAATCTCTTCAAGTAAGCTGCGAGGCAGAGCTCTATAAGGCTTTTTAATATCATCGCTCACCATGCGCGCCGAAGTCTCGCGCTCCGGAATTGGCATTATCACCGGAGCATCAGCCATTGACAGATGGGATAAGCTTTTTGAGCTTCTCAGATTCGAATCGTCTGTGGACGACGTAGATTGCAGCTGTGGGTCAGAAAGCTCTGGAAGAGGACGAGGTTCGGAGTGGATAGCGGGTTGGTGCCTATCCTGGGGCTCCAGGGGGTCATCGTGGCGTCTTCCACGATCCTCTCTTCTTTTGCGATCCGGTGAAGTAGTATTCTCCTTGAACAAACCCAGATAATGGCTTGACTTACGGCTGCGCACATGAGACGTTGGCTCCACGCTGGTCAGGTTTGCCTCAATCGCGTGATCTACTCTGCCACGCCGGCCACGGCTCGAGCTGCGCTCGATTCCGATCTCAGGCACAGCGTCCCGCGAAGCCTGTTCCAGCTTCGGAAGTGACGCGGACTCGTGCTGGCTGTCCGTAGACGGATGGTCTAGAGGGACCACTGGGTGGTGGTGTAGGAAGGACGCATCATTAAGGGAAGAAGAGATCAGGCTGCGATGGACCAGCGACCCTTCTAGAGATTCGATACCAGCACCATCTGAGGCGGTTTTGCGAAGAGGTTGCAGATTCTCCCAGCTAGAGGTCTGCGGGCTTCGTTGAGCTGTCTTGTGCTGCCTTTCCCGGTCTACATCAGGACCGACCGAAAACAGTGGGTGATGGCGAGCTGGGATGGCAGACGGCAGTAGTGACGGAGGTAAGGAAGGGTTTCTGTGGACGTCAACTTCCATGTGGGAGAGGTTGGCGTTAGTACGACGGGGGAGGACCTTGGAAGATGAAATGGGAGAAGGAAAAGCGGGTGCATTTTCGCCGGCGATATTCAAGCTTGCGGACAGCTCATTGTCTGTGTCTCCTTCGGGTGGAAGCTGCGGCGAATTACTGAGTTCGTTATCGGAGGGGAGGTAGTGGGTAGCAAAGATGCTGTCTCTCTCGGACAACTGGGGTCTATGGAATTGATCGGGGCGGGAGAGTTTCTCGTGGGGGATGGTTGTGGCCCTTTTTAGAGTGAAGCCAGCGGACGGTTTGGCCCATTGATGAGCCGTGGGGGATTCGGCACGGGAAGGGGAGGGAGCTTCGTGGTTGTCATGTTGGAAGAGTTGATCCCGGGGGTGGTGGCGCGGCGGGTTGCGATGACGGCGTTCAGGCCCGTCAGAGCAATCATTTTGGGCAGATGCAACAGGTGTCACCAGGGGTGTAGACCAGGTATTTTCTGATGCAAACGGAGGGCTTGACATGGGGAGGACATTGGTCGAGAGTGCACGACGAGAGCAAGAACCGAAGATTGAGGCCAAGAAGGGCAGGTTATGGTTGGTGCGTTTTTTTCACCTCAGGCGCAAGAGAAAGAGTAGGTCAGGTTGAGGATCTGGCGTCAGCGAGTTAGACAATCGAGAAATCGAAGAAACAAAGCAGATCCACGAGTATCAGCCACGTTCCGAGAGAAGGGCACCTTACAGGTTGGAAATTAAGCGCAGCCACCGGAGATGATGAGCATCTGTGACGGGGGGTCGGAACAATGCAAGTGAGGGAGTTATCGGATTGGGAAGATCCAGTTTAGTTTAGTGGTATGGTTTGAGGCATGTATGAATTGAGTATAAATTAATCAGAATTGGATTGGGTTGGGTTCGGAGGGACGAGGAGGGGAACAGTGCAGGAGAGTGTAAGGTAAAAACAAATAGCACTGCCGTCGTTTGCTCAGGCCGTGATAGTGGTAGTTAGGTATGATATGGGGGCGACGAAGGTAAAGCACTAGGAAGAGCAGTTACCGGGGAGTGTTCTTAGTGGTAAAGAAGGAGAGTTCGCAAGGGTAAGTCACTAAAAGAATTGGTCGACCAAATGACGCGGATGTTCGTCACCGCCTTTGGTGGGTCCAAAAAAGAAGAAAGAAAAAGAGAAAACGTAAAAGAACAAAAAATGGCGGACCAAGGGAATTGAAGGGGGAAACACCTCTCTATCTATCTATCTAGTCTGCTCCAAGAAATATAAAATAGATAATAAAAGAAATAACAGGGGTAGATGCAGAAACAACGAGGGCTCTAATTGGGATTGAACACTATCTCTTTCACCTCAGCCTAGTACACTTCTATATGGAGTACAAAAACAAAGAAAAGAGAAGAGAGGGTATTTATCAGGGATTAGAGAAAAGAAAAAGAAAAAATAAAATCCAAGCTGTTCTCATGAAGTCACCAACCGGAGCTGAGGAAAATCACATCGACCAATCACCTGTCCTTCAGAAGAATGGAGGAATCACCAAACAGGAAGGGGTCGTTTGTTCCATACCCTTCCGGAAAATCGGATTCCCATCCAGTCCCAGGCAGTAAGGATACCCAAGCTATTGGAAACTTCTGTGGATACGCCACGCTCTGGGGTATATACATACTAATCTTCTTAGTTGACTTGCTAAAAAATCATTACTATCGTGACCACGGATTATCAACGTCCTGAGATCCAACGTTTAATAGGTATCATTACCCTTCCAACTTTTCTCTGTGGGATAAGAGTGGATCATTTTTGATTTGCATGTACAGCACACATGATAAGAAAACATCATTTGCATATGATAAAAGATCATAATTCCAGATAATCTTCGTTCCAGGGAATCGGAGATCTCGGAATGCGGGCTCCGCGGGTCAAATCAACAATAATAATTACGGTGCCTAGTCAGCAGTCGGACTACTAGAGTAATGTTTCAATTCAATTGAATGTTCTCCTTTGTCATTAAGTCCTTTTAGAGTTAGCCCGCTATGCTATATACACAAACTTTGGTAGACCGTTAGACCTTCTACTAAGACCAAGGAAGGAAGTCCACGGACTGATGGCACCATCAGTTCAAGAACCCCTTAATTGATTGAAGGATCTACATGGTCTCAATTACTAGCCAGAACGTGAATGCAATATTGGGCTGAATTCAATCTCCAATTCCTTCTATTCCGCTTCATCTCCACACCCACATGACCGCCAGGCTACCAATCATTGGGCAACGTGATCGGCTTGGTGGCCATGGTACTTTTCCATGATAAGGCATCAACATTTCGGGTCAGCCGTTCTTATCTATCTATAAATCACGGGACAAGGCATGCCATCCTGGTCGATTCCTTTCTCCTTGCATTCGCTTTTTCCCTTCTTTCAGACCAACTTGGTTGAGTTCCCAACATAACGCTTATGCCAAGTTCTTATACATTTGGAAGTTTTACCTTCAGGGTTTCTAACGTGTACTCCGTATCACCACATCTAAAATTTGGCCAATGTGATGCCGCTACCCGCGCCTCCGTAGTACATGACTGACTCCATGGATGATCATCCGCGATGTCCAAGAAAGGGGAACCCTACCATATCTGTCAGAACCCAACACCTAGACGACTTCATCGGTGACACGGGTTTCTTGGTCTTTAGCGGACCGTTTCCCGGTGCAAAACTCAAAGTCTTGGGTCCTCCAGTTGCTGAGCTTTCCATTACCAAATACAAAAGTAAAGAAGGTATCCGGTCCTTCAGAAGAGTCTATATACTTGCGGTCTAGAAGCTGGGATTCCTTCCACGTGATCCTATCTTTCTCACTTTCTGCCCGAATCCTTCCCATCCTTTTACCCTTTTTTTTATTCTCCCTATCTACTCTTTCTCTTGTTTGTCTTTGTACATGTACGATTTTATGCAAGGAGTCGGGGAAGCTGATAACAGTCCTTACGCTGGAGTTGTATACCAATCAGGGCTCGAACATAGTTGCAAGGTACCGAATCAAGGATTATGAAAATGATTCCCTTTTATTTGAACGGATGTAGGACTTTACATTCTTTCTGCTCAAATCTCTATGGCCAAGAGTTCCTCGGGATTTGCTTCAGTACCAAGCCAAGAATGAGAAAAAAAAAAAAAAAAATGAAATGAACAAAATCTTCCTAAACGAAGGACAAAAAAAAAAAAAAAAAAAAAAAAAAAAAAATAAAAAAAAAAAAAAAAAAAAAAAAAAAAAAAAAAAAAAAAACTCAAATGCCGTCACACCATGTGTCCATCCGACTGCAACCCTAGCTAACAAATGCTTAATAGCTTGATGGGATCCTCTGTTGGCCGATCAGTAGACCCAGTACCAGACTAAGGTATATATATATACAGAACGAATGACCTTCGGTGATTCATTTCATGTAATAGAGTTTTTTTGCTGCCCAAAGAAGTTGACCATATTCGTCAATGCTCTAAGACACCTATACTATACGTCGGCTTCGGGCTCAAGCTGAAGCCAAGGTGCCTAACGCACCCTAGTATGCTATTAGGTTAGTGCAAGGCGTAAACAATAAATTTGTAGACTTGTTGTCCCAAACTGATGTTCTTGGTAGGTTGGCAACAGTATTCTGATACTCAATGACAAAACACTTCGCGTATTTTTACCTGCTCGGTCTCTCTATCCTATGTAAAATAATATGAAGAAGAAAAGAAGTTGGCTGGTAACAAGCCCTTAATCATATCTGCTAATAGTGGGATATAACTGGAAAATATCCGAGTAACGAACGAGGGCATGATCGATTATATTGTGTTTCGATTTCAACCTCAAAGCTGAACAAATGTGGTAGGTAGGACACCGATGCTCTGGTATTAATTTTCTTCTCATACCCCCTTGTCCTATAACACAACGTGATCTGAGTGACTGGAATCGTGGCAGATGTGATTAGGTTTCACTATGTGTCAAAGTCCGAGATCTACTTGCTCATGTGTCCTGTACGAGCCTCAGGTAAGCATCGTCAAACTCAGCAAATGGCAAATAGACACCGTCTGCATCCTGAGTTAATCAGGAACTTCATGTTATCCGTCAACTTGCTCGCTCACCAGTCTGCTTTGCTTCACTGACCTGATGGTTTGTCCATTACTAGCCGACTCGTGCCTTCGATCTAGGCAATGTGTTCGGTCATTACCTCAATTTTCAAATATGGAGAGACAACTGCTCGTTTTGACTCCTTTATCTTGCCCAAAGCTTAGATAGTTCCAGTTTCGGTCAGACTCACCTCCTCGCTTAAGGTTCGGTTCGACGATTCAGTTGGATTAACGAGTATGATGTGAACATGTGTTCGTGGTCTTTGTCCCCCCCCACCCCTCAGAATAGTAGGAGACCAGAGTCACGCTGTTGAAATCTTATGCTTCGTTTGATGGACAACCTTGTCGGTATCACCTGCCTTAACGTTGGCGGCAGCGACTACTGTATAGAGAAACTCGGTTAATAGATATTGAGACCTATTCGGTCAACTGTGTCAGTGGCATAGTTCCTAGTACCATCAATTGGCCGCTTCCAACAATATCCAGCATATGGATGTCGAACGGGGTTGAATGTCAACGCTTTGAGCCACGCTGAGGACCAGGCTTCCAACATCTAGAACGATTTCTCGCAATAACTCAGTTGCTTGATAGTAAGTAGTGATGCCCTACCTATCATATCTAAAACTATGAGTTTCTGACTAGGTCGTATTTTCCGAAGCCAGATAGGAATCCTTTGTTGGCTTCCCGGACATCTTTGAATTCCGTGGCCTTTACGAATGCCGGTTGCATGGTTTATGCGTAATGATTGCTGCGGAACGAAGCCACTTACTCTTAGGAATTAGAGATGACGTCGGAGCGTGTATTTCTCAAAGGACTCCATTCACTCATGAAGCCTCAACAGAAGCCCTACCCTTTAAGACCTAAGTACAGGAACAAGCGATGGAAAGACGGCTGGCCGAACTTCGCACCAAGGACTCCATAAACAGAATTGTCTTTCTTCTCCCACGTACGCGTTAGGTCAAATTGGTGCTCCGTTGGTTTCAAAATGGTCATCACAGTATTGATATCAACCCAGTATAGGTGTATGAAAGGAAGATGGTGGTTAATAGTAGGAAGGAGAAGTAACGAGAGTAGAGGTGAGAGGAATGGTGTGGATATAAGTAGTGTTGTAGGGGCGATTTCTGGGTTGGCTCGAAATCGTTCAAGGCTCTTTGCATTTTGTAACTGCAACAAACATACCATTAATTGTCTTAGCTATTGTAACCTTTCCATCGGACCGAATGATCCACGATCTTCCATTCTTGTTTGATCGTTCCTTCTTTTAGACAGGAGACAATCAATCATATGACTTGTACTTCGTATATACAGGCCATGGCTCAGATCCTGGTAAGGTTCAAAGTGTGCAATAGAAACCACGTCATGCATTTTTCGTTGCTTAGAGGAAGACAAAATGCAGAAATTGATCGCTATAATGATCGGAATTAATGACAGCGGGTTACTGTGCATAGCTGGTTTGGGTTGCTCTTTGGGACGTGTGACACACTACTGAGTTCATTCACAGTGCTACTACGACTGTCAAGTGCATACTACATAGTTCGATACTCATTCATCTTGTTTTGTGTTATCTACTTGTAGCACTACCAGCATGCATATGTGCGATTGCGGAGGCGCAAAGCGAACAAGTACTGTCAGAAGGCAATTCCGAGCATATTAGATTTAGTGTCCATGATGCTCGATAGACCTGAAAACAGGTAGATTATTTGGATTGGAATCCTGATCAACGGCCTCAAATGCTGGAGGAAAACTAAAAACAGAAACTACGGGAAGAAGAAATATCAAAATGGTGTAAACCTTGACAATGGAACGTATCGAACGATATTGATAGAGCGGTATCATGTGGATATGCTGGCATCCATTATAAAATCTTATTTTGGCTAAAGCCCCAGTTACTGAGGTTTCTCAGCCCAAGAATGGCCGAACACATGAATAGTAGACGAGGGGTTAACTCAGAATCAATATTCGTTCATCGATGATGTGAACGACCGGCTATGTCATCCAGGTCATTTTGATAGCTGGACCACCTCAGACCCTGGATTACTGAATTCTCACGGGGTGGGTGCCTGGCGAGAGAGGATGCGAATCAAGATTCCCTTTGATATTCTAATACTATGGCAATGTCAGAGTTGGACTTAACATGACAAGATTACAGAGAGATGGACTATATCTAGTTTTATCATTGGCTATGTTTCAAATAGCCCTGAATGAAAACATTTAGCGGTTCGACGATATAGTGGGATGGCGGTAGTACCAGGAAAGTAAGACGAACCTACACGAACCAGCGACCTACTAAGGATTAGTAGAGAACGATAGTAGCGATCGACGGTCTGTTAAGACGGGCGCGATTAAAAGCTTCGGCGCAGCCACTCAAATCATGCTAATTCCACTTGTCTTCAAGTACATTCCAGGGGTTGTACAGATAGTCGACGAAAGAAAGGCAACAAGTCTCTTTTATTTTACGTATAAGAAAAATGTCGTAGGCGCCAGTTGATATTGCGGGACAGTCACACTGCACGTACAGGGTAGTGATGTATTTTCTCCAATATTATTGGAACGTGAGGAACTTTGGGAACCGCCAACAGTGTGATGCGTCGGGCCGGCGATGTGACGAGAAGCAGCAACAGTCCAACGGCATCTTCCGAACTACCGCCAGACCAACGAAAATCCTTACTGGCGTGAGAGCATGCAGTGTGAAGGCACATCCGACAAGGGGTTGGCGCAACGATTGCCCCTCCCCTTTCTGTATTCGAACTTTTGGATACTCATCTCCCCGCAGCACCAGAATGTCATGTCAAGTCTTTCTCACCACGACTAGGAACCGTAAAGGTTACACTTAATTACTGCCTGCCTGCCTCATTATCGCTACTCCCCCCTTTTCTTCCCTTTCGATCTAATATTGTTATTCTTCGTCTTCTTGCCTCTGAGCGCTCGGTCAACCTAACCTCCTCTATTTCTGATGTCGTCCATTCTGCTAGGGTTTCAGCCTGCACCCATTTAATTCATACGTAGATGTAGATCAATTTTGCTGGAGAAGACAGCTTCGGCGCGCAAGCGATCAGCGGCACAATCTTGGTTCATACAAAATCCTTCCAGAAGCCCTTCTGTTCAACTTTGACCCTTGACTTGCCCAACCCGATTCGATTCTGTATACTCGCCAAGAACACATCGCCATTATGGCTAGGCAATTACGGTTGAACACCTCTGTTGGGGGTAACCAGCGATATTCTTTTCTCGAGACACCGCTAGAGATGCATGCTCCGGGTCTTCGAAGCAATCAACAGCAGCAATCAACGCCGCCGCCGCCACAACCATTAGCAGTGTCCAATCCTGATACTATACAGGGCCAGGCTGCGGCAGAACCAGTACAGCCACAGTCCCTACCGCCATTGAATGAGAAAGCACTGTATATGCAGCAAGAAGCGGCAGCGCCTGGTTACCCAGGTGGTCCGAATATCGAAGACCATCCTGCCAACCATGCCCCTTTCGCCGACGCGGTGCCTCAGCAACATGATGCGGTGGTGCCAGACTACTCGTATGCGGTCCCGCCTCCACACTCCCCAGGACCACTTCCAACCAAGACCTATCCAGAAACCCCGAGCCAAGTAGCACGATCCCATACTGTGGCGATCGTACCGGACACAAATCCACTGCAGTCCCCACAGCTCCCTTATTTCCCTGGGCCGCCGACAGCCTCAGGGAGATCCTGTACGCCCTTGGCAGATGATGTTGCGGCCTATCATCGGCCAGGCCAGATATCCCATCCTAACCAACACGTCAAAGGCGGAACATGGAGCCATGGCCTGTGTGAATGCCCAAATATTTGGACTTGCTGCCTAGGAATCTTGTGTCCTTGTATATTATATGGAAAGACGCAGTATCGCCTTTCGAGGATGTCAAGGAAAGAAGACCCGACAAACATGCTAGGCCATGAAACATGTAATGAATCATGCACAGCGATGGCGCTATTGTGTGGCTGCCAATGTGAGGAATTTAACTCGTTGTCTTGGTCATTTTGGTGCTGACTGCTTCTATAGGGCTTATGGCTACGGTTCAACACAGACGGACTCGTAAGGCGTATGGAATCCCAGGAGACATTGTGTCAGACTGTGTTAGAGCGACATGTTGCACATGCTGTACTCTCATCCAGGATGAAAACGAGATCAGGAAACGCGAAGAAGAGCGGGCAAGTACAGCCAGGACTACAGGGGCAGCTCTTGTGTCGCCATACTTCGCGCCTCCGCAGATGTCATACGGTCCTTCGTTGAGATGAACTGGAGATGATCTCGATATTGCATCTTGCCGTGGCGTGTTGACGAAGCATTAACTATCTGAAGCCGCATACCATATTTGCATTTCAGCCCATTCTTCTTGTTTATCTTATTCTTTTCCCTTTTCCCGTTTTCGGCTCTGAAGAGCACGGTTCTATCCGTCAGTGCTGATACATGGCCCTGGGCTGAGTTTGCGGTCCAAGTTCCGTAACGACTCCCCATCTGTTTGTCATTCCATGGATAATCTTAGCGTCGCTGTTTCAGTTTACCCTGCATATAGTTAGCGGTCAGTTTACTTGGATGTGGTCTTTGGTTTTGGATATCCGATGATCTGGCATGGCATTTCGTGTACAAACTCCATAACATCAGTATATATAGGAGGTAGATTTACATTAATAGGGAATGTTAAAGATCAGTTCTGTTTGCTAGGAAATTAAATGCGGGCAAAGGGTGATAGGGTGATCGGCTGATCATCTATCGACGTGTTTGTTAGGCGGTGACGCCAAATGGCCAAAATCTGGACCGCAAGTGGCGCTCAAGCGTTACAGAGTTAACTCTCGCATAGAAAATGTACCGCTTGACCCCCAGCCCTGACTCCCATTTATCTCAATCGGTACTATCTAAACAGTTTATATCGCCCTGTTCCTTTCACCCGTGTTCTTAAAGCCCGCTCAATTCCGTACATTTAACCCACGCTCATTGCGCTATTTTTCTTGTGTTAGTTTTTCGATACAATCTCGGGCATTTAGTCATCATCAGTTTCTCGATTGAAACACGTCGGTACCAATGGAGGTTTGAGAGTCATTTCGAATGTCTCCTTGGCTGGAAGAAATGAGAGTCCCTCGGATGGTTTAATGGTGTATACCAGTGACTACAACCGCGTGGTCTGTCTGCTGAGGTTGTTCGTCCAACAATGGGGGATGACGTTCGTCTAGCCCCTCGCCAGATATGGGCGCAACCGACAACTTCCTCCACTAAGTCTTACCAACCTGGATGTACTCCATTCGTACTTCCCAGTGAAGGTATGCTGAACTCAAAAATATGCGATGATTATTCCTAGCCAGAATGTGGTTGCCTGCGATGCCATCGCAGGTCTCATGAGATTTGACTAACATGGCTATCTGCGAATGCTCTTAGGTTATCTATATTTGAATCGCTCCTATTCGATAAGTCTTTCTGAAAATGCCGTCTTTGAGCCTGTTTGTACGAGTACGGCGACCGAGTCGAGAGGTCCAATCCCAATGCTCGATACTCGTGACCCCTTTTACGCTTCGGTGACTCCACAGCTATACGCTATCGGTTGCGCAACAGTAGTTAGCTATCTTCTCGTGATCATCCTTCTTATAACGCCGCGTACATTTTATGTTGGTGGGCCGGGTGGTGGTGCCAACTTCCTGGGCCGTCATGGCATGATCAGCGGTTCTTATAGTGGTAATTCCTCGGTTGTGGGAGTTGGTGGCCGGCCATGGTTGCAAAAAGTGGCTGCGCTGCTGGTTGCTATATCACTAACTATTGCGACTGCTGATTCATTCAAGGTGGCTGAGGACCAGTATAACCACGGCTACTCTGATGCTGACGCACTGGCCTCGGAAGTTATCGATGGCATGGAAATTCGCGTTATTAGAGTTATCTCCAGCACCTTTCTATGGCTTGCCCAGGTTCAGACCCTGATTCGACTCTTCCCCCGGCACAAAGAAAAAGTCATGATTAAGTGGGCCGGGTTCGCTTTGATAGTACTGGATACAATATTCAGTATCTTGGATAAATTTCTGGTCCAGACCAACACTACAAGACCCCGTTTATATGAAGACGCAATACCTGCTCTCAGTTATCTTTTCGAGCTTGCGCTCAACTTGCTCTATGCGGCATGGGTTATCTTCTATTCCCTGTCTAAACATCGTTTCGCGTTCTTCCATCCGAAGATGCGGAATATCTGCCTGGTCGCCCTTTTATCCTTGTGCGCGGTTTTAATACCTGTTGTGTTTTTTGTTCTGGATATCGCAAAGCCTGAGGTCGCCGGATGGGGTACATACATCCGGTGGGTTGGATCGGCGGCGGCTAGTGTTGTGGTTTGGGAGTGGGTAGAACGCATTGAAGCATTAGAACGAGATGAGAGGAAGGATGGGATCCTTGGCAGGGAGATTTTCGATGGGGATGAAATGCTTGAAGTGACCCCTTCCGAAGAAGTCGATTGGCCCCGTCAAAACAACGGGAATGATAGAGGAGGCACAGGTACATCTTCAGGATGGGGAGGAATGATGGGGTTGACTCAACGTCCGTTACGCACTCGAGTTAGTCATCCTGGGGGCCGTAACCGACAATCTCGTGCTGATGCACAACACTCCACCGTCTTGAATGACCCTCGTCACCGGGCACCAGCCCGGCCTACCCCACCACCCGCCGCTATCACGCCTGTCAGCCGGGCCGATACGACAAGTGCTGCCAGTACTGTGTACAATGTCCATTACCATCCTGTCTCCAGCCCTACCCCGCCCGTTGCGATGCCGCATATGGAGGAAGAAAACGAGGCTGACGAATATGACGATCTTGCTGCTAAAGAATTGGATACAGCTGTAGAAGAGCATCGAATTAGTTCGGTCCATCAGCGTATCTCAGCAGAGCCGACTAGAGAAGAATCTCCGCAGGTCATTAATGTGGATGATCGGTGGCGCACTATCCTTAATCCCTTCCGGCGCAGGCGCGCGTCTCTCCCTAGAGAAGTCGCTTCAGCACAAGCGGAAGAGGAACAGGACCCTGCTGGAGAGGGAGATGGGCTGTACCGGGGGGAGGCTAGCGAGCAGGATTCCTCGCGACCTGTGAGAAATCGCCTATTCGCGTTTAATCGGGGACCGAGGCCAGGGTCTGGACGTCAAGGTTCTGATACCCCGCTACCGGTTACGGTCATTCCCGCCAGGCGTCGAGGCCAGCACACATGGTCACCCGAGTGGTTTACAGATTCCAGTCTTCTGGAACCATCCCCAGGTCAGCGTGCCCGGCCCAATCGCCCTGACTTGCCGGTGAGGGTCATTCAACCACAAGGTCGAACAGCTGCCCCTTGGGCAACGCCCAACGAGGGAGAGTTTGGTTACGGAAACTATGAATTACGGTATGACCCGGAAGCGGCGGCTCTGGTCGGATCCGTTGATTCTCAATCCTATCCGCCGTCGGCTAATCACGTTTACCACGATACCCATGTCGATCCCGAACGGCACTCGGTTTCAGAGATGCATCAGCAAGCTCGGTCACCCGAGGGGCTGCAATCACCACAAGATCCGCAGCCTACCAATTCACCGGACAGCAGTACGTTTATCGGTGAAGACTCGAGGCCTCCTCGACAAGGGAATTGAAGTCCAGCTTGTTGGTCCGAATGCATAATGACCCGTTACCGTCTGTTTTCTTTGTCCTTACATTAATCTTTGGTCTATTCTTGGTTTAGCGGGAGTATCGCAGGATGTCTGGGATCTACTGGGGTCTTACTGTTTTTTAAAGGGCATTTTCTTCCTTTATTCTATCTTCTTTCATTCCTCGTTTTCTACTTCATCGGGACTGGTCAGGCTGTTTAAATGCGGTGTTGGGAAGAGTCCATGATCAAAGACACTGCACTGCGTTCCACTACCATGTAGTGGCGACAAGGGAAAGGGGTTTGGTGTGTAAAAGATACCCATGGGATTTATGTATCAAGATATAGTTACTAACATATATGCTGTATATATTAATTATGAACCCATTTCGTCGTCAGGTTGGGGATGTCGGTTCTAGCTGGTTTACGTCGTACCTTTTCAATTAAATAAATCGTATAAAGATGTGGATAGGAAATCCATTGAGGAGAAAATAAGGAGTAAATAATAAATTATTTATTTCTTTAAAAATTGTTTGTGGTTTAGATATACTTTTTGTAAAAGGAAAAGAAAATGGACGTCAATCTGGGGTGAAGAACTTTCTGAAGAATAAATGATCGACGGGCGAAGCTGCCTTAATTAATTCACGAGGAAACCGTCGCAAGCCAAAAAACGCTCTCCACTCACAAATTCTCCGCTCTCCGCCTGCTGCCGTCATCGGTCGATGCCTTACGCTGTACAACACAGTCCTCCCTCCCTTTTGAACCAAATCACTCGCTAGTCGATGCAGCGACACCATCGCCCCTGGGCGTCGCACCATGGCGGCTGTCAATCGGAATATGTTTGAGGCCAGCGTTACGATAGATCGACCCCACGGAGGATCGTTGATGGTTCTACCGCTGAATCTGATCGCTTTCATTGTCTCCCACGTACGTTCTGTGTCTACCTTGTGCGGGACGCGCAAACAGACAAGCTAACTCAAGCTTCCGTGTCTCTTTAGCTGGATGATCCTGGCGACCTTGCTCGCCTGTGTCGAACATGTCGGGTCCTCAACTACATGACGCTTCCGCAGCTCTACAAGAGTATCACCCTGACTTCCTACGATAAAATCCGATACCGCGGGGGCCAACCAGAAGGGATGGGGAGCGCAAGTCCCTTCTCAATGGGCCTGAATGCCATTATCACTCGTCCTTACGCCTCGCTAGTTCGGTCGCTAACACTCCGGGGAAGCTGGCGTGAGTCCGAGCTGGAGGAGCATGCGCGCATTGGTCGGGTGCCGGATTCCTCTATGATGCTGAATATCGTCGTGCGGGCGGCCATTGACAAGATGACCGACTTGGAAAGCTTCAGCTGGGAACTCAATACGAAGATGCTGGAGACGGTCTATCTGGGTCTGACGCAACTACCCAGGCTAACTTCGCTCACTATCCGATTTCCTTCGAGTCGTCACCCCCGGCCGACGATCGTCATCCCCGCAATGCCTCATCTACGATACCTAAAATTCACCGATATCGACCCACTCTGCTACCCCGACGACATCTCAACGCTTCTTTGGAAGTGTAAGAAGTTGCAGGTGCTTAATATGCACTGGTCGCCTCGAATGAGGGAAGAGCAGGAACCCAGCGTCATGCTTCATGACTACTTTCGCAAATGCATATCAACAAAGCAACCGCTCAGAATTAAAAAGATCGGGCTCCAGAACCTATACGCCCTTCATACCGAAGAATTTAAACTTGCATTCGATCAGTCTACAGCCGAAGATGTCACCATCCTCAGCAACACAAAAGCAGACGATTTTAATTTCCATAATACGTTTGTCGACAGTACCTGGCCTATAACCCCGCCACATGTTGTCAGAATCAAGAGTGTTAGGCAGGATCGTTTCTCAAGGAGGCATGCGGATTTCCTAGGAAATTTCACTGGGTTAGAGAGGCTGTACTTCGTCAACGCAACGCCTAATCCCAACGATATGAACTCGGAGAGACACTTGGAATACTCAGCCCCCACGCCACCGTCTGTGGACCATAACCATCCCAATTCGAATACTCCCGAGGCTACCCCTTCCAGTTCTCCTGGTCTTCAGGCCAGCATCCGCGACGCGTACCTCAATAATATCATCGTGAATCACGCCGCTACACTACGACATCTTTTGCTCCCTTCCTACTGGCCGCTCCCATCGTCCACGATTGCCCGCCTCGTTCATGCCAGCCCCCAACTTGAGCAGCTTGCTTTTGCAACAGAGTTCTCCAGCATGGAGACACTAGGACTGCTGCTTCCATTCCTCCGTAAACTGGTTGCCGTGCGCCTCTTGATTCCAACTGCCGGTAGTTCGTCTCCCCAGATTCCACCGCCGCCGAAGCCAAGCTTGGGACGAATATCAAAGGCCTCCTGCAATACCCAAGAAATATTTAACTCGGCGGTTTCTCTTACAGATATTATTAGTGCCGATGACGACGTTCTTATCGACAAGCTTTCGGAGTCGTTAGCGGATCCCCAAATATTTAGCCAGATGAAATTTATTGGTCTCGGCTGGAAAGCGTTTGAGCTTTTGGATTACTATACGGTGCCCGCCGTTCCTCCTTCTGAGTGCAACGTTGAATCTCAATCGCAGTCTCCGGCTGACCTTGCGGGCGAGGAGGTCAATGGGGGTCGGGAGCATTTTGGAAATGGATTCTCCCATCATGACGGATCAACTGCCTCTGGTATCTCAACTCCGGCACCGGTCCCTCACAGCCTGTCTACAGGCCCGGCACCAAGGACAGGCCACTCTCCTTCCTTACTCGGCAAACGGAGGCGGGATCAAGACTTCAATCCAGGAACGCCGTCTAAGAAGGGCATGTCACGCGAAACCCCCATAGATGTGTTGGCGGATTTCAACCCTTGTTTGCCGGCAGCACTCACAACTGTAAATGGTCGTGTGTGGAGACGCCGGGTGCGGCGGGTGGGCTGGGACACTGTAAAACACTACGAGATTTGGGGCTTGGATACACAAGAGTTATGATCACTATATGGTCACCGACGGCCATCTTCGCGGTGCATATACATACGTAAATGATATTCTAATTGTTCCACGATGGGGCGTTTTTTGTTTTTAGTTCCTCCTGATATTTTGCACAATGGGTTGAGGTAAGTACTATACTGATTCGATGTATCTCTCTGACCAGAGCTAACATTTGACCTCCAGGTCGCTTCTGTGCACATACTACGTTAGAGGATTCCGATTCGGATTATTTTTGTTATATATCCCTGTTTCGTACATGCCTTGTACTTCTAAAGACACACAATCCACTCTTGACTCACTTACTTACCTACTCATGATCTATAATTATAGAAGATGGAATTTTATATTGGCACGGCGGAGTAATTCACATCAATGGCGTAGTCGGCTTAGGTCCTTGGTCTTTATAGAGTACATAAAGCCGCCAAGCAGCTTGAATGCCTTACCTCTACCTTGAGATCCTTAATGTATTATACAGTGCACGGTTAAACTCATTGCCAATTAGTCTTTATGGTGGAGCAATAAGGGCGCCGAGAAGTACTAATACACTTTAGAGATATACATATGTATATAATTCATGTGAATCTTCACTTCTGTTCGAGAATGACTACAACGTCACACATGTTACAAATATCATTCAACTATAGATAGTAGCGTATAATAGACCTTCAATCGTTTGTGTAAAGTGTTCCCATACTAAACCCGAAAAGTGGTTTACCTCCCTCCATACTAAGCTGCTATCCTGCGACCATCCCGTGAAGCCCGTCTTCTACTAGCTATCTGTATTTCTTCTTTTGGGTGGATACAACAACTTATAGGCTATGTCCTTCATTTCCAAAGTTAGATATCTCTAAGGTGCGGAGGAGATATCCAATCATAGACTGTACTACTGCATGTCTAGCAGGAGACCAGAGATGGAAGGAATCAAATAGAAATGTATCAAAGAAGCTATTAAATATGTCAACAACACACTCCGACCCGAGGCAGGTCCAACACCGAATCGCGTCACCCATTGGCGTAAGATCTAGATTCCCTCTATCCCGAACGCCGACACCGACGGATTCACCTCCTTGAATAGCAGCCATTGGAGGTGAAAACGCTTACCCGGTCTTCCGTACTTTATGGCAACAACACCCATTTTTTTGACTTTCTAAATCACCCCAGTCAGGCATTGATCTTAGAACGTTTTCTTGCGCCACACACGACAGAACCTCTGGTTCTTACTCCTGTCATTCGCTATGGCCACGCAAACAATTACAAGGACGAAGACGACAAGAAGGGCCTCTGAAGATGCCGTCGAAATGCGCAGGCTAGCAATGAACTGCGCGGCCGTTGAAGAGAGCAGTTCAGACTTGACTGGGGAGGATCATAAAGACCCCGAGACGCGCTCAGCCGCTGAATCTCAGGAGTACCCTACTGGTTTGGAGTTCCGGCTCATTGTCCTCCTCACTTTAAGTGCTTTGGTTGCTCTTGGAGGTCTGGACACCAATATTGTCGCCACCCGCTATGCCTAGGTACGTATTGGAGAGTCAATATCCTGGACTGTCAGGGTCTATAAAAGCTGACAATTCTCGGCCCGGTAGTATCACCGATTATTTCCACACAGTTGCTGATGTGGGCTGGTATTCTTCGGCATTCCGGCTCTGCTCTTGCATATTTTAGTTCATCTTCGGCGAGCTATACAAGCTATTCTCAATCAAGCGTATATCCTTGCTCGCTCAGTTTATCTTCTTGGTGGGTTCCTTGCTCTCCGTCACAGCCACGAGATCATCTATGCTTGTTCTTGAGAGAGCTGTGACCGGAGCAAGCTTTGCGGGTATTATTGGGGTGGGTGGGGGTGGTTTTCACCATTCTCGTTCATATCCTACCTCTCCGTCGACGGCCATCCTTCTGTCGCATCTTAAGTATTATTGAAAGTGCGGCTATTCTTGCCGCGCCTATCGTTGGCGGACTTTTGACTCAGAAGCTTGGTCGGCGGTGGTGTTTCTGGATCAACCTACCGATTGGAGGTGGCACAGTTGTGATGACAATATTTTCTTATTCTCGGACCCAAAACCCAGCGACACGAGCATTACTTTCCGGCAGAAACTAGTTGAACTTGACCCACTGAGTCACCAGGTCGTCACCCCAGCGCTGACCGGTCTCTTTATCGCATTTTCCTGGGCCGGCACGAAGTACCCCTGGGATGACGGTAAAGTGATTCGCCCTCTCGTCACCTTTGCCATCCTCATCGTCGCATTTCTATACAACCAACGTCGGCGAGGTGATGCCGCTGCTTTATCACCCCGTATTCTAAAGAGCTGCAACGTCATCACCAGCGCGATCTTCACAATTTGTACTAGTGGCGCTATTAACGTGCTTGAATATTACTTACCCACCTAACATCAAGTTGTACGCGAGTACTCTCCCAGTAAAAGCGACTATATGATAGTCCCAATAGTGATTGGCGCTACTATTAGAATGCTCCTTTGTGGATCGGGAACCAGCACAACGGGCTACTATACGCCATTCATGCTCTTTTCTTCTACGTTGATACCTACCTTTGCGGGCCTTATTACAACTTTTGGAGTCAATACAAGCTTTATACGACTTCTCCTGTATCCTGGCGCATTCGGCTTCGCGAGCGGAATAGGCTTCAATGCACCTATCAGCGCTGTACAAACTGTACTGCCTAAGGTTGATGTCCCGCTGGGCCCTGTCAATTGTGGTCTTGCACAACACTTTGGCCCCGCAGTGTTCGTTGCCATAGCTCAGGATATTTTTACGAGTGGACTCTTGACTAACCTAGCCCGAGTAGTCCCGGGCCTGGATCCTGCAACTATTGAGTCCGACGGGCTGCCTGAAATCGTGGGATGTGCATGCACCGCCGGTTCGACGTGCGGAGATTCTTGGTGATGTTGGTAGAATTTGTGGTGAAACGTCGCGGTATCTAGCCGTTGGACTGACATGTGTGACGTTGGTTGGGAGCATGCTCGTGGAGTGATGTTCTGTCAAGGAAAAGAGCACTTGAGTTATTGGAATACCTACACTGCCAAACTATGTAGCATACGATGATGTTCCGCGGCAAACTGAAATACTGTTCCTGCATACTCACCATGCTGCTACCTAAGACAAAGATATATTCACTCGTTAGTGATGTCTCGTGTTGTCAAAAAGATGCGTCTTTCGGTTTATTCGCAGAATCGCTAGGCCTTAACAACGCCGGGAGAAAACCCATGCTGAAGCTGATAATCCAGGCATCCTAGGCTACATCGTACGATCCGAGATCGTTCTACTACGCATGGCTGATTTTTCGAATAAGATTCGTGAAATATCTTTTGCGAATTCTCGACCGAGTCTGACTTCTCTCAACTTCTTGGAGGAATCATGGTTGATGTTGGCAAGTCGGCACAAGACGTAGCTGCAGATCTGGATACCCTGCCCCAAAGTCAACTGTATCCATGTGAATCTGATCGACATAATCTACACCTGGACATTCTGCGGCGAGCAAAATAACGATCTTCCTAAACGGCTGACCGTTCCCTCTTGCCTCGCCCGCCTATTTCACTCCCATGTCCACTGTACCAAAGCACAGTGATGTTGCGTTCATGCGAGCGTTAGCAGCGCTGCATCCAGAACGACGAAATCCCAACCCATGGTATTAACTCCGGATATGTCAGTGCGAGAACATATGGAACCATATTCCGGCCCAAATTCATCACACCCACCTGACAGATAGCAGACATGGTAATTTCCCTGCTCTGAGATAAATCATACGGACAGGACGGGGGAGATTCTCAGCGATAAAACGCGTGTTAATGATGTGCTGGCGAGTGATTACAGGACAGGCCACTGCGGAGGAACTTCAAATCTAGGTCTGCGTGAATAATCTGTAAATCTGAATAGTCGCCGTCGGCGGTCCGTTCGTTCGACTATTAAAGGGCGGAATATAACGCTATGTGAGATATGTGTCGCTTAAATTATCCCAAGATAAACGCTTTCCTATTAGATAAGAATAATTGTATTTTTGGCCTTTTCTTTTTCTTTTTCTTTTTCTTTTCTTTTTTTGGGGGGCCCTGGACTAGTGTGCTCGTCATTGTTTACTAGATTTATGCTCTCTCTCGCGTCATTTCTTGGTATTTGGACCCTGCAGATTTCGTTATCGGCGGATTGGATGACGGTGAAGCTAAAGGGTTGATTGGTGTCTTTCTTCAGCCTACTAGTAGCTAGGTACATAGATGGCCCGTATTGCTCTTGTTATCGTGCAGCTGCGTCGCGTCATACAAAAACATATGTAATTGAAATTAGTTAGAATATAGAACAAATTATAAAAATACCTACTTGAATATATCGAAGATCTATGACTTAGGGCCATAGTTGTCATGTGAGGGGGATATACGCTGTACCTTCTTTTCATGGAACGGGCTTGACTCAACAACCGAACAACACCATCCACGAGGACAATTGAGTTACAAAGATATTGGGATTGTTGATACCATCCTAAACTCAAAGCACATCCCAAAAGTTACGTCCCAATGGGGCAGGTACCAACAGTGAGCCATGGACTGATCTTGTAGACTATTGAGCCGCTTATCACCGATTCCGTTGGTGATCGACAGCCCTAACCTTTAGGCATCTTTCCTGTCAGTCCAACCAATCCGCTTGCCTTGTCTTCTATACTCCATACATTCTAAGTGGAGCGCAGCGAAACTCAACCTGGCTGCGGTGATTTGCCCGTACTCAGCTGTGTGTAGGCCCTCATCATTTCAGCTTGAAACCTTGGTTGGTACTGTGCGATGAGTGGCTTCCAGTGTATGGAGAGCTTTTCTTAAATTTTGAGAAATTGAATATTCCATGATAAGATGGTGGAGAAAACCAATGATTGGGGTAGATAGAGTGACATCGCTCCGTGTTCGTGAGAGCGAATATTGATGCTGATGTCTGTTCCTTATCCTGCATGTAATATGACAGGGTCACTGGCTGGTTATCTCGGAATTTGCGTCCGTAGTATAGAATGCAAATGAAATATCAAGACCAGTGACGCATTCAATTTGGTAATTGGAACGTGAAGAAGAGCATTGTAGAGAGACTATCCCATAGAATACATGTGGGATATCAGATCACAAACGGTGATCATCAGGACTCCGACGGATAGGGACTCGACATCTCGTGCCTCAGGCACTCATGCCCCTGTGATGAACGACACTTAAAAGGGACCTAGCCAATAAGAGCCAATCAGAGAGAAGACTAGCGTTCGATTCTCCATTTCATTTCCCTTTTCCTTCAATCAACACTCGGGCTTCCTCCGGAGCTCCCTCACAGGTTCCCAGATAGATTACCTGCTTCAATGATATTGATAGCCTTCTTCAGGCCCTTGGGCCTCTTTGGGAACTTACCCCTGCGTCTTCCCCCTCCTCCAATACGACGCCAGCCCTGACTGAATGGCGATCGCAGAAGAACCGGAGTTATCCGTCCACCCAGATTAATATAATTATACAGGACGATGCAGGTGGAGATCAACGGATAAGAGGTCTTATCCCAAACAAGCAATGCCCATGTTCCGCCGTAGCATCCGGGGCTAGTTTCCCACCCAGGGTCTGGACATGGGGTTGATTGCTTGTCAGCTCACCACTCAGGTACACGCTGCATCCTCCCTTCTCCGTTGGATCTTGGCGCCAACACAATGTCCTCCTCTTCTTACATGATAGTGGGTGAGTTTGCAATTTGGCCAAGAAAGCTTAGGGATCTTCGTTGTCCCATACCTAGAAGAGAAACACATCCTAATGCCGCTGATGTGGACCTCTTGTTCTCCTGAATCGGACTCCGTTGATTATCACGGCTACCATCACCATGTCCACCGACGCAGACAAACTTATAAAAGAGGGCTTTCCAGCTCCTCTAACCGTCTCATCTCTCTCTCATCATCTCCATCAAGAGTCTAAGCTCGAGTCGGCCTGTCTTAGTCATTCTCTCACGCCAATTCTTTCGCTCCTTTTCTGCCTTCACGAGATTTCACCTCGAGGACAGTCAAAATGGTTGTCTTGAGCAAAATTGCCGTCGCCCTTAGCGTTGCCTCGGCCGCTTCTGCCTTGCCTCACGGCCCAGCCCAGCCTCATACTCGCCGGGGATTCACCATCAACCAGATCACCAAGCAGACTGCCCGCCCGGGTCCCAAGACTGCCAGCTTCCCCGCAATCTACAGCAAGGCCCTTGCTAAGTATGGCGGTGCTGTGCCTGCACACGTTAAGAGCGCTGCTTCCTCGGGCAGCGGTACTGTCGTGACATCTCCTGAGGAGAATGACATTGAGTACTTGACTCCTGTCGACGTCGGTGGCACCACTCTGCACCTGGACTTTGACACCGGCTCTGCCGATCTGTGAGTAACAGTCCATTTACTATAGCGTAAAATACACTTGACTAACTATGATTCAGCTGGGTCTTCTCCTCGGAGCTCCCTAAGTCCGAGCAGACTGGCCACGACATCTACAAGCCCTCTGGCAACGCCTCCAAGATCGAGGGCGCTAGCTGGCAGATCAGCTATGGTGATGGCAGCGGTGCCAGCGGTGATGTCTACAAGGATACTGTCACCGTAGGCGGTGTCACTGCCCAGGGCCAAGCTGTTGAGGCTGCCTCCAAGATCAGCCAGCAGTTCACTGAGGACAAGAACAACGATGGTCTGCTGGGCCTGGCGTTCAGCTCGATCAACACTGGTGAGTGATACTCCTACAGTATAGTGCGAACGGCTAGGTTTTGCTTACAGTGACCACAGTCTCTCCCAAGCCCCAGACTACTTTCTTTGACACTGTCAAGGGACAGCTGGACTCTCCCTTGTTCGCCGTGACCCTGAAGTACCACGCTCCCGGCTCTTACGACTTCGGTTACATCGACAAGAAGAAGTTCACTGGTGAACTCGCCTATGCCGATGTCGACAACTCCAAGGGTTTCTGGCAGTTCACTGCTGACGGTTACTCCGTCGGCAAGGGCGAGGCCAAGAAGAGCCCCATCACCGCCATCGCTGGTAAGTCGCAGTGAAAATCCCACCAAAACCAGCTCTTGAACTACCCACTAACATCTCTCCTTAGACACCGGCACCACCCTGGTCATGCTTGATGACGAGATCGTCTCTGACTACTACAAGCAGGTCGACGGCGCCAAGAACGACGCCTCCGCCGGTGGCTACGTCTTCGACTGCAGCACCGAACTCCCCGAATTCACCATCGCGATCGGCGACTACAAGGCCGTCATCCCAGGCAAGCACATCAACTACGCCCCTCTCCAGTCCGGCAGCTCCACCTGTGTCGGCGGTATCCAGAGCAACTCTGGCCTCGGCCTCTCCATCCTGGGCGATGTCTTCCTCAAGAGCCAGTACGTCGTCTTCGACTCCCAGGGCCCCAGACTCGGCTTCGCCGCCCAAGCCTAAATGCCCACGGGCGACGGGCTATATTGCGCCGATTCATCAATCATCCTGGCGGGTGATCTGGATTAATTTGATGGAGAACGAGTACTTTGATTGATCTAGTGGTGTTACTATTTGTTCTTTCTTGTACATGGTGATATTGATTTATGAGACGGGGTCATGTACATTGAACATGAGATGATTGGATTGTGACTGTCTTCTTGGACTATTGTATATACCGTGACCTATGTTGATCGTTGCGTCACTGAAGAGGGCAGAATAATGGGCACACATTCATCTTTTGCCAAAAACCATACTTTCTACACTTCCATAGATTACCTAAAAGTAACTAATAGGGTCAACTAATAGTAACGATGGATGATACACCCAGATCTAACCCGACTACTTACCTCCGTACTAACAGTTCAATAAAGAAAGTAAAACCGGAAGTAAGCAACGGGCTGTTTCAGATTTAAAATGACATTTAAATCTCCGCCCCAGCCCCAGCCCTACCAGAAATGACATCCCAAAACCCACTATTTCCAACTCTTTTACTAAATCTAAATCCCCTTACAAATCTACAACCCTACCCCATATGGGTAAACCTATCCCTACACTAGAGGAACGAACCCCTATCCCTATCCCTACCCCCTACATACGACAACGAATAGAGAGGTAGAGTGACACATGTACATACATTCATTCCCGATAATAGAAGCCCTCCCTTCGTTTAAGTACCTCCATGCATACCCTTACCCCAAAACCCCCACAAATCCTTCCAAAGGACCAAGACAATAAATGCCGTACCATCAATGATATGATTAATCACATGTCGCCGAGAGAACACCTCTCCCCTCGACTCAGGCGGTTAAATTAAATTAAACATTAAAAGTTAAAACCCCGTACCGTTTCAGCTGTCACGGTCCAAACCTTAGTGTATTATGCATTGCTAAGGTGAAACGAGACGCAGCGGAAACGGGCCTGACTCGTGTGAAACGGGCTAATTGTTTACTTAGGTACTATACATCCTTAGTACTTTTGACGATTTCAGGGTCATGGATCGGGCCCCGTTCTGTGGGTGTTTATTGGGGGGCTTGGTTGGGTTCTAGGTTTCTGGAAATCTAGTTAAGGGTTTATTCTAGCTTACTAATTACGTGGATGGAAGGAATGGTTGGCTTAGTAATTAAGGTCAAAGGTCAGGATGCGATGCATGAGAATCATAACGTTCATTTGTACATACATTAGGGTATTTAGTTCCTGCTTTACTCCGGTGGCATATATATGCATATCCCATCCTATCGTATCTTTTTTTTTAATCTTATTTTATCCTACTATGGTGCGGCGGCGGGGGGTTTCAAACTTCATCGGAAGGGGATACTTAAGAAGATGAATGCAGGAACTGGGACGGGAGGTTGGTGCCGGGTGTGGGCTCGAGATTGTCGCCGTGGCCATCGTACTGTTCGTTAAGGAGGACTTCGAGCATGTCGAACTCGCCCACCATCGGACCCGTACCTCCCAGACCCTGGTCCACCAGGGTGGAGCTGTTGAAGAATTGGTCTAGGGGCAGGGCAAACCAGTCCGGTAGACCGCTAGAGGCTCCCGTATTGTCCTGAATGGACTGCGATGGAACGTTTGAGCCGTCCAGATCGCCTGCGGGGGGCGTTGCATTCGGGTCATAGTAATTGTGGTACACGGATGGCGGTGGGGGCATGAATGAAACATTAATATTGGACGAGTTGATCGGCTGAGCTGGGATTCCCGCCAGTGGGTCGTGGACGGAGGTCATGGGAGTGCCGGCCTGCTGGCCGTTACTGTCGACGTAGCCCAGATTCTGTGTCGCGCCTTGTCCTGGTGTCCATGTAGTGCTTGTGCCATTTTGACGGTTCTCGCGTAGACGGGGTGACTGCGGCCGGGACGCTGGCGCAGATGGGCGGTCATGCTCACCGTCGCCGCTACGATCCATTGGTGCGAACCGCAAGAATCGCGTGCGGATGCTAGTGGTGAGCAATTCTAGTAGTCGGGCTATGGCGTGGCTCAGGTGAACGTCGTCTACCACATGGTTCCGTAATGCTTCCACGGTTCGGTCCTGGAGGTCCAGAGACACGCGCACATCATCCTCTTTCGCACCGAGAGTGAATGTCTACTCCATTAGTATAGGTACAGTAACCACTGTAGGGATGATGAAACCAACCTTGAGAATGAAGATCATTCCGGACAGGATCCGGAAGTAGGTCCGGACAGGTGCGTGTTTTAGGTGATCTCCAGGAACAAGCCCCTCCAGAACGGTCTGCAAAATCTTGCGCGATGCGTCGACCACCTCCTGGATATACTGTTCGTTGACACGGTACAACTCCATGAGCGCATTGAACCAGCCACTGCCCGAATTTGCCCCAGACCCTGGCCGCGCGTTTTGAGCGGCTTCATTCGACATTGTCGTCCAGCGGTCAACCACTGCTTGTAGAGCTAAAGAGTTGACATACAACCCTTTCCAAAGTCAGTTTTGGAACATGTCATAGATAAGTAGAGTAACTTACGAGTATATTCATACTCGATCATCAATATCATCCTCATTGGGGGTGCAACTGGAAACGTCAGCGTGGACCAGGGAAACAAGCAACCGGAACCTACGGTCAAGCGTGTCAATGTTCTGTCGCCATTCCCGCAAAAACGGCTGGAATCTGTCAATTTGATCTCGATATCGACCACTGCGGATCAACTCTGACGTTTGGTCGTTCGACGCAAACAGCAGTTGATTGCTCTGGTACATGATCTTTGATATGCCGATCCAGCAATCGTGCATCTTGTCAACGGTTGCATCGGCGCCTTTAATGCCCGTTACGTTCGTCGGCTGGATGTCGTTAGCCCATTGGGGAAGAGGAAGCATTGACGGGATACCAATGCGGCCACTACTCTGCGTGTTGTACACAAGAATGAGTCGACGAAGCCGCCGTTTCCGCGTCTGCTCGGTGGGGTTTTCGCCAGAAGTTTTTGAGTCGTTCTTCTGATCAAATACCCCCAGCTCGAATGCTAAAGCCTGCGCCGTGCTAAGTATCATCCATGACATGCGATCAGACCGCCAAGCGGGCTCCAGCCACTTTTGGAAGGCAAGTCGGCCTTCTGCCGTAGCATTCGAAGTTCGATTTAGAATGTTATCGCCGTCAAATTCTGAGTCTTTTTCCGGACGATGAACTTGAGCATCCAAGTCCAGTAGTGCATTCTCGTCATCACCTGGAGGGAAATGTAGATTCCGTGGGTGCCAATCTGTTAGGACTAATAGTGCTTCGATGGTCCCCAGCGATCTCAGATTGCCCTTGAGGTTCACCTTAGCGGAGGTGGGAGCCAAGTCAAACGAGCGTGGTTTGCTGATCCCCATACTATTACCACCGAATTTCTCTTGACCCCAGAAGAGGCGCTCAATCATGCCACGTAAATACGACCAGAGCCGATCATGGATGTAGAATGAACGAGTATATGCTCCATCCCCTTTGGGCTTCATATGCCGTGATGCTGTTGTCAGCAGGGTAACGGCCAGTACAGGCTCATCGGTGAGCAAAGTACGATGCGTAGAAGGGTGAGAGAAATCAGGGATGACGATAGGGCTCAGGGGAGCCAGGTGTTCGTAAAAACTGCCCAAGTCAAGGTCAATGAGTGATGACAAGAAAAAAAGAAGGCAGGCTTACTATGCAACATAAGCCATGGACTCCTCAACGGAAAGCCAGCCCGCACGAACGAAGCGCAACCGTGACCATGCTTTAACGGCATCCGCAATGCCTGGATCCTGAAGGCCTTCCGTGGGACCTGGCTGGCCGCGGTCATCGGAGGTTTGCTGATCTACCGCGCCCGACCCGGTTGTTGGGAAATAGTTACTCATCGGCATGCCAGGCCGATTTGGTCTCGAGAAAGAACCTCCTGCGCTTCGAGGTGTGCCGGCTTGGGTCATAGGCGACATCGGCGAATTGAACGAGGAGACTGACTGCCGGGCTGCATAGCGATTCTCGAGGCTTTGGCGATTGAGATCCTCCGTGCGTCCGGCGGCTTCAGACAATAGGTGTAATGCATCATGGCTATTACTGATGGCAGGCGACAGCAGCTCGACCGCGGTACGATTCATCATGGGTTGGCCGCCCTCCAGACCAAAGCTCGTTGCTCGGTCTCCCAAGGGGAACAAGGGGAGTCGGGTATTCCGCGCATCGGGATAATTTGTCGTAGATGAAGGAGTATTCGGCGTGTACCGATGATTGGCCGTCGGCTGGGGTACAGGAGCGGCGGCGGCTGTGGGTGATCGCTCGGACGACCACTTCGGGGGCGGAAGAGGGTCATTGTTCTCGAATGAGGCCGGTTCAGGCTGCGCGTAGGACGATGATCCATCACTAGGAGAATCATTGGGTGCACCTTCCCCGATCATCATTCTCTTATCGCGTCTGAGCACGCCATCTACGGTCTCCTCTACCTCGGAAGGTTTGCGCTTGCGCCGGGTAGCAGAGAACTCGCAGCGCTTGCTTTCGCGACGACATCGTACACAGGGCGGAGGACGGGGATTGTCGACACCTACGAACCCATGTCAGCTCTTCTACAGGGGGACTGGGGAGAATCGTATGATCGAAAGGGGAGGACTGCCTTACTGCCAAGATCACACTTCACCTTGCGTTTCCGACAAGGGTCGCATGCCTGATAACCGCGACGATGCGAGGGTTGGGGGGAGGGGGACTTCTGAGACTGGCTGTTTTGGGTATAGAGACCGTTGTCAGGTTGTGCATTGCTTGCTGCCATCATGTTCTCCAAACCTCCAGCAGTGCCGCTCTTTGCCGGCGTTCAGAGTGGATTATGGGCTGTTTTGTTGGAGAAAGCCGATGCAAAGCGAGCCGAAAGCGGTGGGGTTGGGCAGGTGTATATAAATAAATATATCGGGATTCCTTCTGGGTTTCCTTGGTTTTTCCCATTGATCGTTGTTTTTCTTTTTCGTGTTCTCTTGTTTCTCCAACGAAAGGGGAATACTTGTTTGTCGTTTCCAACCACCAGAAAGTTGTCGATACTTGGGGAATACAAAATCAAATACTGGAAAGAATCCACGGAAAAGTCGAGAAATGGGGGAAGGAAATGCGGGGTAAGCGAACGGTTCAAATTTAATTATATTTGCAATCCATTTCCTTGGACGGTGATATCTGTTATCAATAATAATCCCTTTTCAGTTGGACCCCTTCGTATAAAGTATTTTTTCGTACTGTACATTCCCAACCTAAAATACAATACAATTTCATAACATAGAGTACATTCATTCATACTTACATACCACATATTTCTAGGTGTGCACACATACACATCAGCATACTTAGATATCACTCGGAAAAAAAAAATGCATGACCAAAAAAAATAAAAGAAATAGTAGATGGGAAGAGATATTGCACCCATATCTGTGAAATCAATTTAAGGGAAAAAAAAAAAGCCCAAACCCAACAGAGTCAGCAAGATAAGCCCCAACCCCCGCTAATGTAATAGTAGATCCCAAATCAATCCACGCGATCCAGAAAAGATCCTCCTCTTGGCGGGTTTAGGCCACCTGTGAGGCAGACGCCGTATTCAAAACAGGGATGCTTTTCTTCCCCTTGTCAGACGCGATCTCCCCATTGGATTTCCCCAGCGAACTCATCATTTTCCGGGGTAAGTTGGATTCGCTGCATGCAACACTGTCTTCGCTCCCGCGCCTGGACATCGTGCTAGGCGTCAACCGGCCCGGTAACAGGCCTCGAATCCCGCCAGGCTTTCGGGCGGGTATTTCCGCCGTCCCTGCGGTAAGAATGTAGAGCAGATACTTCAAGTTAGGGAGCGTGTGACGAATGTCAAGCACCCGTAGGCCTTGTTTATTCAGGAGAAACTCGATGTTTTTGTTGAGCAGAAACACCCCATACTCGAACCGGTAATGGACGTTGACTGGGTATAGGGGGTAGGTTCTTTGTGGCAGGGAGACGGATACAGGGTCCTGGATCAGTGAGTTGGAAAGATACGGATTGATCGGGTAAGGAATGGACATGGATAGATAGAAGGACAGGAGGTAAACCAGGTGTGCTGTAAACCCCAGAGCTGCCGCCACGGCGTCTCGATCAATATCCGCGAAGTTCGAGTTTGGGAGGGCAATACCCGCAATTGTAAACGCAAGTGGCTTGTCAGGGATGGGTTCAATGGGATAGATTGCAAGGAGATCTTCTGAGATGCGCCGGATCTGACCCTTAGATGCTTCTGTCTCTTTTTCCAACAACTTAGCGCTGGAGGACAACTTCTCCTGTGCATCGGGAAGGTGACTACGGGCTCTGTCTTGAGTCTGGCGCCCACGCGCCATAGCCTCCCTCCTCGCGCGTAAGCTGGCGATCAGCTCTTCCTTACGTTTGCTAGCCATGCGAAGTTGTTTCCTCTCAGACACCACCGCCTGTTTCGTTAAAGCCACTTTATCCCGAGCTCGCGAAGCCTCACTAGTCACGGCTAAAGCTTTCTGATTTCGTTCCAAGATTGAGCTTATCTGGGCCTCCAACTTTTCCCTGGTAATCAATGCGTCTTGAATACACTCGTCCAGATTTGCAAGCCGCATCAGCGCATCGTAGGACGAAGTCGGCAACGCATTCCCATCGGAAGTCTTGGGTCCTTTCGCAGGCAAAGGCATCCAAACTGGCGGAAGATCGGTCAGATTCCCATATACACCATCCGAGAAGTGGAAAAGAACAGAATTGGACGGCAGCGGCTGGTGAAAACTATCCAACGACTTCCCCAAAAACTGCAGGGATTGTAAATGTAGCTGCAGCTCCACTAGCAGCACGTACTCTTCCATAGCAACCGTTTTCGCCCACAGCTTGAGGCTGAAGCTATCTGATCGCGAGACCAGGGGTCCGCACATATTCAGGTCGAAGGACCGAAAGCTCGGGTTCGTGGCATCCTTTACAACCTCACTAACGTACACTGGTTCTTCAACCTTGTCGCAATGGATGGAGAACCATGTATCCGCCATGCGACTCCTCATGATATCCTCTAGCTTAACTTGTCTTGTGCGCGGATTAGGGTCACTCCAAGGTAAGGTGTTTCGCCTTTGAGGCTGCCGCAGTGGAGGGGGCTGCTCATTACGGATACGACTATCGCTGGCTGCATTGATAGATTTGAGATTTGTAAATGAGCGTGAGTGGTTCAGGGAGCGATTTGCGTCTTGGGCGAGAATCTTGGATGGCGATTGAAACGAGTTGGGGATGTCTTCATCGTCGATGGTTTTCCCGCGAGTCCTATTCGGGGGGTTGTTGACGACAAGATTACGGATTGAGATGCCCTGCAGATGACGAAGCTTGCGATTCTAAGAACAAGCCTATCAGCTACTCCGCAGCCCCGATGGAAGATATTCTACTGTGAGATGGAGTTACCGATGGGAACAGCCAAGGTCTCTCGCGACGATTACCAGCATCATGGTCTATGCTCTCCGTGGTAACAGTCAAAGACATTTTGAGTGCTTAGGTGTAACCGAAGTGCGCAATCATTCTATGTGCAAACCCGACGCCAAGAGGATGAATTGTAATATATTTCAGTAAATTATGCATAAGCAGAATGAGATGCGCGCTAGAATCGACGAATGTTTAGGAAAGATGGGAGCTTAACACATGCTGTCATTGCTCTGCGGAGGTTTGCGGGCGGCTTTAGTTTGCTTTGGTTTGGTTGGCTTGCCTTGCCTTGCCTTTGCACTCCCCGTCGAAAAATTGATCCGCTCTCACTTCCCAGCTCCCGACACCACCACTTTCCCCCGAATCGTTATGCAGTAGAGGGCCGCTCAAACTCTTTCCACCCTACACCTCATCCTCGTCAATAAAGAGAGAATAGACGCAGCAGTGCGTGTCTGGCCGCAATGGCCTCACAATCCGTCACCAAGCCATTCCAGAAGATCCTGGACCCGACCAAAATCGGGACATGGAATATCATCCGCCGCCCACCAATCGAGAACCACAGTGTGATCCAGGGAAAAGCGCGGGAACAGAACTCGAATGCCTTCAAGACACATCAATTCAAGGAGGGAGTCCGGTTACGGAAGGCCCTGAATGCTATCACCCATGGCAAGAACATCTTCGTCTATCACAATATCCGGACCAACCAGGTTGTCTACTCATTGACACGGTATCTGGAGGTGAGAAATCCCTTATTCTCTTCCATTCCCGCCCCACGAACCGTACAATTTTATGCTAAGATATGTGTCATTCCTTAGAAAAACAGTGTCCTCCGCCAGCTGGTATACCACGGCAAGAAAACCGTCCCCGCTACTCTCCGAAAGGACATGTGGGTGCCCTACTACTCGGTCCATTTCAACGAACCCAAGGTCGGCCTCCGGGCGTACCATCTCCTCCGTGAATTTGCCATGCAACGTCAGCTCTCCCCTCCCCGCGAGATGATCACTATTACCGAAAAATTCCTGGACCAAAAGAGGCCCAAAAACCCCAACGAGGCCAAGGAGTTCGACGAGAAATACAAAGACAAGGTCGGCTGGTTGATGGAGAAGAAGGACCGCGCCCGTGCCGTGATGGACCAGAAGGCCACCAGTGTTGCCGATATCTCTGCCGTTCTGGCGATCCAAGAAGAGGAGCTTGCGAATGGCTTCGCTGATGGCAAGAGGGGATACCTTACTCGCACTGCTAGGCGGCGCCGCAGGGAAGCTCGCGCGAAGGAGGCAGCCAAGGCCGCCGAACAAGCCGGGCGCGTGGCTGAGCTCGAAAAGACCTTGAGTACCTCCCAGGTCGACTACAAGATCCAGGAGCCCGAGGGCTCGAATACACTGGAAGGAAACGGTGTCAAAATCCTTTGGACTGATATTCACTATGCTTCTTACGCTGAGTCTTGGCCTGAGCATGTCCGCCATGGCGAGCTCGACCTGACCCGCCAACACGTTATGCCAGGACAGAAGGTTAATCACGGCGTGGAAGTTCTTGCGGATAAGACCTTCGAGGAGAAGCAACCCGAGCAGAAGGCCTAAGGGCGCTCGAGGAATTGTATTGAATACTGATGGGAACTTGTGTGGATATTACCTTGGAAACATGTATTCGTTCTTCGCATATACAGATTTGTATTTTTAGATGATGCAATGGCGTTTGGCAGATGCTTAATTTATTACTCCCTCTTACTCGATTCTCCAACTATAAAGTGTGATATTGAGTACAATATCTGCAAGGGCCGCAGCGACTTCTCTTTGTGAGTTCAGATTTGGGGGTCAAATTTACAACGTTATGTACCAATACAGGAGCAGCAGTCATCGTCCGAGGGAGAACACACGTATAACCGGATCAGTTCCCCTTGGTTCGGTTAATGCCATAAGTCAGAGGTTAGGTGCCTCTAGATGCGAATAAGAAGGGAGAGAGAAAAAAAAAAGGTTACAGAATCAGAACAAAAGAAGAACTGACAAATACACCCGCCCAGATTTGGGCCAAAGGGTTAAGAAGAGAAGATCATGCCGGTGACCATGGGCGACCGAGGTCCCCAAAGTCCCTGAACTGCAATCGACGCCAGTAAGTTGTTTAAATAACAAGGAGAGAAAGAGAGGGGAAACGAAAACAGAATCACAAATTCATTGCCTGGACCGAGATATAGAGGTAGCTCAACCGCCCTTCCTGACACAACGCCAGTCTTGCAGGGGGTTGTTACTTGATGCTTAAGGGCTTCCACTATTTGCATCCACAGTCTTGTTTAAGTGACTGACTGTTGGTGCGTCATTATGGTTGTTCGTGGCCAGCTCTGGCCCGGATCCCTCATCGGCCATCTTTTGCAGGATTTCATCCTTTACCTTTTCAGCCATTTCACTGTCGTCTGTGATGCCTGCATTGGCCATGCTCTTCCGAGCCCCCTCGACAATCTTATCTGCCTCGCTCACTCCATGCTCAACGTCCATAGATGGATCGCCAACAACGCCAATAGGGTCAGCTGTCCTGTTGATAACCTCCTTGACGCGGTCGGTATCAAATCGAATAACCATGCAAGAAAGATTGTCGGTGCTGAATCGCGCAAGGGCATAATCGACAAGGATCTTAGATGCTTCCTGAGCGTCTGGAACATTGCGAATAAGATCGACGGCTTCCTGATCACTGCAGACATCCCAAAGCTAATCACAATCATTAGCGCCAGGAATTGTAACGGAGAGAGAGCATTACTTACGCCATCACAGGCCAATATAATGAATTCGTCAGAGTCCGGCAGAATTACAGTCTCTGTAGTATACGGATGTCCGGTGACGAGATCCTTGAGATATGCATCGCCTAAGGCTCTGGTCACTGCGAGAACGCCATTTACTCTATTGTTAAGGATCAAGCCCCCGGCATTCGTTATCCTCTTGCCTTCGTTCTCATCGCTACCCTTGTGATCGTAGGACAACCGGAGCGCCTTGCCGTTGCGACAAAGGATTATACGAGCATCACCGACATTGGCCGTATACAAGACGCGTTGCCGTATAGCCTTCTCTTGCAGTTTCGGAAGGATGGAGGCGCCACTACTAGTGGCTTGGGTCGGTGTGTCATCAGCTTCCGAATTGGAATCGTCCCTCGCAGCGGCAGCAGCGGCCGCGGGAGCAAGTGCCGAAGAGCCGGTGGCCGAATGCGAGCTGGGGATCCGGTCTTCCCATCGCAGGAGCGCAACGACAGCAGTACACCCACTGTTTTTCACAGGTAACTTCTCCAATTGCTGATCAACACTAGTAAATGTTTGGTCAAGAAGTTCCGGAACAGGCGCATTGGGATTCTTCCGCATGATTTCTTCTAGAATTAGATGTAATTTCTTCCCACACCATTCAGCAGCGAATGTGCCGGCATGCCCATCAAATATAGAGAAATAGCCGTTGTCGGTCTCGATAACGCTGGAAGTTTCGTCCGGTGCGAGGGAAAAATCAATCTCGTTGCTCTCGCCATCAGCCCGGGCTAAGGGTGCGGGCGTCCCCAAAAAGTTGTACAGGTATGCATGGGTATCCTCCATAGTCCGGCGACATTTTCGATTTCGATCCTCTGTGACACCAACTTTGAATGATGAGCGAGGAGTTGGTAGCGAATCGCCAGCCGAATTGTTCAATGACCCTTGGGGGACACTCAATGCCGGGTCCATGCTCCCAAGTGACTGCAGGGTTTGTGGCGGTCGAACCGTGTAATTAATAGAAGAAGATTCGCGGGGACTACTACTCAAGCTCAGCGAATTCTTCGCGTTGGTGAAAAACGTCGCCGCCTTCGTGACTGTGCTACTCCGGCGCTTCTTCTCTCCGGTAGGGCCCTGGTCTTCGCTAGTCCTTCTATTGAAAAATCCGCCGGACGATAGAAACTTGCTGCTTTGAGGCGGAGTGCCTTCTTCAAGTACACTCAAAGATTGCGTATCAACAGCACCGGAATGTGGAACTGAATCTGACTTGTCTTTGGGTGGGCTCGAGGAGCCACTGAACATTCTGTTCAGCAACCCACCCTGGCTAGAAAAACTTCTCCGCTTATTCCCTGCCAGCTTGATTGTAGATAGAGGAAGACGGTTTTAAATCAGACCAAAGGTATAGCGGGGAGGGCGGCGGCGGCGGCGGCTTAAGGCGAAAGATGGCAAGGCCTGACTTAGGGTAGGGATTGCGGCGGAAGCGAGGGGAAAGAGCTGAACAAGAGAAAATAAGGAGACTGTCAGTGACATGGGCTACTAGAAGCTGGTTCCAAACGGAGTAGGTTGGGGGGAAAATAATCCCCACGATTCAGAGGATTTTCAAGACGTAATGCTATGAGACGACGGATGGTCTGGGCGTTTGCGTGGTTGAATGGCAACCGATCTATGACATATCCCGGCCCTTCTCTACCAGGCGTACAAAAACAAAACAACAGTAATATATAAAAGGCAAGCAAGATTCTGAGACGATCATCAAAAATCACCATATCCGACCAAAACTGATCTGTCACCTGGAGAATCAGGCACCATGGGGGCACATTGTGACCAACCCCACTGCGCGGCGACACATGGAAACAACAAGGTGCTAAGCCACTTGGCGGAGTAGCGGATAGGAATACAAAGGCACTCACGGAGGAATATGATCAGAAGAGACCCAAGCCGAGGGGGGTTTCTGATGTAGATGTAGATGAAGGTGTAGAAATGGTGTGGAGGAGTACGTACTTCGGAATTGAAGTACGGCAACGCGGGTTGGTTAGAGGTGGGATCGATGGCATTTATTATTAGTAGTTAGTTAGTACATTGCTGGGAGTTCCAACTACTTAGTCTTACTCATGCTCCCACTCCGTCCTCACGCTAAACCCAGGTCGGGGAAGAGTCTAACTAATCACGGGAGGCGGTCGAACGCCAGTGCCGGAAAGGCGGAAATCACTAGTATTTCAACGGAATGGCACCTTTGGTGGATCCCCCGAAACAGCATCACTTACAGTAGTAGTGAGGCAAGACCCTGTTTAACTTGCTTTTTATTTTTCTCTTTGCCCCTGGAACTAGGTAGGGGTCAAGTATGTCATGATGTGATTCTAGATATATTATCGGTGGGATCCAACCCAGGCATACCTTGATTTTCTCCTTTCTTGGCTTATTTATCAACCAATTTGTATGCAAAATATATATGTATGTCAATCTCAATGGAAATTAATGGCCAACCTTTTTACTGTAATTTTTTTTTTAACCAGATATAGAATAGACGGCAAGGAATTAAATGCTGCTAACCCAAGAAGTATTGACCGTATCGTGGGGACGGCATAAACACAAGACTTCGTATCTCAGTTTCCCGTATCAACTGGGTAATATTCCTGGAACCTGGATTATATACAGTCATATAAGTTTTGGGAAATAGCCCAGAGACTATGCTATAGAAGCCCTATCATGGTCTAAAACTAAAGGTCCAGGACGAGCCATGTAACACCAGTATAAGAACCTTTTTAGTCCCACGAACTGAAATCTCCAAATCCTCCCTTGTTTTTGAACTTCTTTCGCATCGGTTCGGGCTCAGGCTCTTCACCTACAAATTCCACAATCTCGTCTTCTTCCTGAGCAGCTTGGTTAGCCAGCGCAGCCTTCAAATACTTCCCAACTCCATCTCCGCCTGCTCCTGTTACCCCCGAGCCCCGAACCCTCTTTCCTGTCCAAGTAACTTGATTATCTTCCTCTTCTTGAGCATTCTGGTCTTCTTCTGTCGGATCGGCTTGTTTGTTCTTTCCTGACGCCTCTTCCACCTGTTTTTGCTTCAAGAATTCCTCAAACGGGTCCACGAAAACAATAACGTCTTTGATGCGTATGTCCGGAGTAGGTCTGTTAGTAGAGGTATTGACTGGGTGGGTTTCGAGGTTATTGAGCGTGGGGGCTGAAGGGGTCGGATCGTCAATTACATGACCAAAGATAGTATGCTTGTTGTTCAAGTGAGGGAGAGCGCGGTACGCAATAAAGCTGGCAGGGTCAAGTTAGTATCGGTCATCTCGATTGAACTCGTGGCTTAAGCCAGACGGGCAAGGACACTTACAACTGGCTACTATTCGTATTCTTGCCTTTATTGGCCATACTGAGAGTTCCCCGAGAATCGTGTTTTAGAGGCCCCTCAAATTCATCGTTAAAGTATTGACCCCAAATGCTTTCACCTCCGCGGCCGGTGCCCGAAGGATCTCCGCCCTGAATCATGAAGCCCTTAATATTGCGATGGAAAGTAACATCTTTATAATAACCTTTCTTCGCCAACTTGATGAAATTCCACACGGCTTTCGGGGCGTATTGAGTCTGTAGCTCTAGGTTTATATCGCCTGACGTAGTTGAAATACGAGCATAACCCTTTTGCTTGACACGGCCCCGTTTTAACATGTATTCTTCATCGGAAAGGAGGGCCAGCTCGGCAGAGGTATGTGGGGTAACACCGGTGCTGGTGAATGATGCAGCGGCCAAACCAGTCGTATGTTTGGCTGCATTATATGGCGTCGGTTTTCCAGACTGGAACGAGGCCGTTTTAGATCGAGAAGCTGTGGCCGTACTGCCATCAGCCTTAGCAACAGCAGTAGAGCCAGCGCGTTGCGCTCTCTCTGAACGGGCCTTAGCCACAGCTTCCTTCGCCTTCAAGATCTTCGCTGAACTTCCTAAAGCGTTTGCGTTGACATTAGACTCTTCCTCCTTATTCCCAGGCACACTTTCACCATCCTTCAGATAATTGAACGAGCTAAGATTCCTAGATTCGATGTTCTGCGGGTCTTGTAACGTGATGATGTCCTTGCGGCCGAATTCCTCATCCGTTACGAGATCGCGCCACAGCTTGCCTTTGATATTCAACCGCTCAACGGTATCCCAAGCGAAAACATTCCCTGTATTGCGCAGAGCGACAATATGTGTGTTGTCCGTCAAGACTTTATAAGTTACTGGGTCGACGTATTCGCCCGCCTCGTTCTTCGCAAGAGTGAGCTTAATGAGATCGGAGTTCTTCAGCGGGGAGCCGTCCACCGGATTCGTTCCATGTTTCTTGATCCAAGGGAGGATGTTGGTGAGGTCGAAAATCGTCCCCGAAGGCGTGCAAACCGGATGCGCGAATGGCTGCAATGAGAGAGAACAGAAGTTGAAAGGAAGACGCTTAAACGGCACATTGCCTCCTCTCCCTCCTCCTGCTCCGGCACTCGCAGAGTAGGCATCTCCTGATGCCCATTCGGAATGTGTGATCTGTTTTTAAACTTTGCCATCAGTAAGTGAGGCGCTAGAGAGTAATAGATCGCGAAGGACAAATCTTTGACGAGGTGTATCGTACGTAAAGCTTATCCGTTCCTACCGGAAAAAGGACCTGTTAGTATCAAGGATATATTACTATGTGGGATGGACAGGTTCCTTGCCAAACTAACCTTTCCCCATTTCGGCGATGGAGGTTTATCGGGTTGATGTTCTGGCCGTGTCTTTGGCCTCGCCGCAAGACATGATACATGATGTATTGCTCCAGGGCTGGATGCGGATCTAGCCGGTTTGGGTTAGACTGATTTCAATGATAGATACTCTACTCCGAGTCCATACTCCATAGATCCGTCCGAGAAGAGTAATGTCCAACCTTGTATTTCAACTGCGAGGCCACGGGAAAAAGCTATATAAAGTAAAAAATTCCGTCCTTTTCTAGAATCATTTCGCTGAAGTACACGTGGCCAATCGGATATGACTAGCATGATACATCCTGTTGACAGAAAGGGGTATACCCTGAATTAACCCCGCTCTTTTTAATGAACCCGTAAAACGCCATAAGTTAAACTGCTCGATCGTCAAGTAAAGGGCAAGGACTGAATCATGTTAAGCGGAGGATGGTTGGAAGCGTAGAGGCACCACCCAGCGATTGCCAAAGTCAATTCCGTGTCGGCGGCGTGTCCCATACTTCCTCCACACAATCTGAGGGATTCCTATATCTGCGACAGAAAGACTCCAAGTAAGGCCCTCCCCGGCAAGAAGTGCATTAATAATTCCAGTTTTCGGAGCCCCAAGACACACCACCGACTTAGAACCGATACACACCCGGCCGCCTTCCATTACTGTCATTTCACCTGCGGTTGGTTGACTTGTATTAGTCACAGTATTCTGCAATACATGCTTATAATGAAAAGACTTACCACTCGAAGCTGAAATACCAGAGGGAACATCGACAGACAGAACTTCAAGATTGCTTCGGTTGGCCCAGGCAATCATTTCAAAAGCCACAGCTTGATTGTCGGTGCGAAGATCATCAAAGGCAATATGAATACCGAACAGAGCATCCAGAACGAGATCAGGGCTAAATTCGGAGGTTGAAAGCCGCGCCGACAGATCCTCCCATCTGTGCACACGACCACCAATCTTCTTGAAAACATCAATTTGCTTGCGGCAGCTTTCAAGTAATTCATTCTCATGCTCAATACCAAGCATACAGACTGTCACGCGGTGGCCTCTATTACGGAGATGACGTGCAGCAGATACGGCCCTTGCTCCGGTGCGATGGTTGCCTGTCAACACGAGCATGGTAGGTGCAGCGGCATCGCTAGACAGGAGGCCAACGGCGGCTTCCGCAATGCTTCTTCCAGCATTTTCCGTGATCATATCTTCAGTCAGACCAAGTTCGGCGACCGCTATTTGCTCGACTTCAAGTGCCTGTAGTGGGCTCACAGTCGGGCAACTTCTATTGGTGGTAGTGAGACGTAAGGAAGCTCCCGGAACACCGGGTCCGCTGATTGGAGAGGCTGAGACAGAAGCCTTGCTCCCAGGACGGGGACTGGTAGTACGGGAAGCGCTGAGTTGCCCACGCCCAAAAGAATTGATCTGGGGGGGTATCAAGGGTTGTCCTAGAATACCACTTCCCTTCCGGCTCTGCCCTCGTGCCACCCTTGAGGCCTCGCGCCCTGAATAGTTTCCGCTGCTCAACTTTGCATCGCTCGGTTCCTGATCAGAATCTCCAGTTTCACTTCCCTGAGGACTGTCAAGCACATTCTCGGTCCAATGCAGATTCTTTCCACCATTCGTGCCCGGCTTGGGGACCCTTCTGTTAAAGCTGACCAAGCGTTCTTCATCTGCCGTGGTATCATCATTTCGGATCTCTTCGAAAACTCTTCTTTTGTCGAATTTGGAGAGATTGCTCTGGAAGTCGAAATCACCCAGCTCTTGAATGTCGGTTGCATCCTCTGTCGCCCAACCATTAGGATCCTCGGCAAAAGAACCGCGGTTCTTCTTCTTCCGACGCCGTGAATTAGGCTCTTTTTCCCTGTACTTTTGTGGACTGGCAGGCTCTACAAAGGCAGTTTGGCGCCATCCTCGGGTCTTTGGGTTCGTATTCGTCGCACCATCGTGCTCGTTCACAGGGGTCAGTCCTGCACGCTGTGGCTTATTCGGGCCAATGCTACGACCACTTCTCGCGTTGGCCTGGGCGGAAGTGCGTGTAGAAGCAAATCCATCCTTGATACTGGGAACAGATCCATGTAGCTCGTTCTCCCGCGGCGTATTGCGAGTTCCCTTTGTCCTGCTATCTATATCCAGTTCCAAGTTGCTGAATGGCTCTGTCAGAACTGCAGATTCATCACGGTGGATTTGCTGCTGGGGTGGAAGATTTTGAGATGCTGGAGAGCTTAGTCGGTCGATCGGAGTGGGTTGAAACTGCGGGCATCCGGGTCCTACACCGTGACCAAACTGCTCAGAAGGCGGCTTCGAGAAGCTCAGGATGGCTGGGTCGACAAAGGGTTGTTGCGCCGGGACTGCGGGGGCAGCACGAGCTATATTCTGAATCTCCCTCCCTGCCTGCTGATTTTGCGGGGGTGCCTTCGGGGTCGGTCCAAGAGAGAGGTCGGCAATGTCGGCAGCATCAAGGGAATAAGTGGGAAATTTTTGAGTGCTCCACGAAAGTGCGACTAGCCGCTATAAATCAGGACAATGTAAACCAGACATCAAAGGATTATCTTTACATACCATCTCGCAACATCAGACGTTGGCCTATGACGTCGGCCACTACTCCTTGGATGGTTGCATTGGGCGGCGTTCTCAGAGTCACAAGAACATTGTATCCAATGAATTCGGAAGCCATAGTGAACAATCAGTGAGTATACAGTCACCCTTCTATCACCTTGCTAGTGAACATAACAAAGACCGACGAAAGGGAGTAAGGGGCAAGTCGAACACAAGAATGGTTCTGTTGTACAGCGTCGCAAAAGTGAATTGTCAGCTCGTTGCTACAGCTCCATCCGACGTCACGTGCAGTGCTAAGGTCTTATCGATAAGTGGCAGGTGCGATCAAGTGGGGGGCCTAGCAAGGTTCCTACCTTAGCTCGGGGTATTTTGGACTGTCGGGAACTTTACATCCTCCACTCACCTATTACTACAGTGGTACTTCCTACCATAGCCCTGTATTACCAACTCCCCCAATCTACCATGAAGCGTTGGTCAGAATAGTGATTAGTATTCTCAATAAAACCTTCCTTGCGCATATTTGACTCAAAAACCCAATATGAACAAGAAATTAAAACCAAAAAAAACCTCCATGGTATCATTACATGCATACCCATAAAGGGTTCGACCTTGCCAATCAATATGTAGTTGTAAAGTAGACATAAAGAAGTAATAATAGAAGCTTCGGATGCATTCCATAGTAAGTGAAATGCTGTAGCCCTATAAATTGTCTAGAAACTCATCGTCAAACTCGTCCTCCGGGTAATGACCAGGAATAGTCTGCTGGGCCTTAGATTTTTTAGATCTGAGCACCTCGCTGATGCTGATAAGTTTGGAGTAAAACTCCGTGACTTTGGGATGTACCATGACTTTTCGTGCATCAAATCGTGTGACTTGTAGACCATCTTTGGAGGTTGCACGACTTAGCGCAACGTAAGCCTGCCCCTTTTCGAAAACTCGTCCAAGATCAACTTTGACCCGCTGCAAGGTCTGGCCTTGAGCCTTGTGGATAGACAGAGCCCAGGCAAGAATCAATGGGACTTGCTGACGCTGAGCCTGAACTTCTCCGTTGGGAAGCTCAATCTTCCATGTTTCTGGCTGGCAAAGCAGATGCCTCTCGGTTCCGTCTGGCTGTACAAAACAGACAAGCGGCCATTTTTTGCTTACAACAACACCCCCCTCTTTGTTAGCAAGAGACTTAAGCTTCTTGCGGGAGCGCATCTTCAGTTCGTCATCGCTCCCGGCTCCTGCATCACCAGCAAAGTCGTTCTCATTCTCTCTGTAGATGTCGAATGTGGCATCATCCATAAAGGCAACTACTCGCCCAATCGACCCGTTCACAAGTGAATCCTCCATATTCTTGATGAGCATGACCTGCGCTCCTTTTTTGAGGTGGATCACTTGTGGAGCCATGCAGTTCGACAGCAATTTATCACGAATTTGTACATCTTGTATTGCGCCTGAATCGGTAGCGGTGAAAGTCATCACTTCACCGGAAAGCCTCTGCATCCTTGCTCCGTTTGCATTTTCTACTTCTTGGCGCGTCGGAAATCTAAGAGGTGGTTCTGTGTTAGTTCCCAAGGAGTACATTGAAGTGGTGACCCTTACAGTTCAGTAGCTTCAAGAGAATCGTGAAAGTCAAGTGGCCGTGATAGCTGCCTGAAGGTCTCGATTGTACGGGGACTAAGTTTCCCAAGTCTCATTTCGTTAAGCATACCAGCAAAGTCGGGATCTGCTTGACGGAAAACGGTAGTCAAGAGGATTGTATGCTGTATAGAAGTATTCCAAGTGCCGGCAGAGAAAGCAAACTTTGCCTCTCGGAAACTGCCATCGGGGACCGGAGGTAACTGGAAAAAGTCCCCTGTGACAACAAGCTGGATACCGCCGAAAGGACTACCGTTGTTTCTGATTTTCCGAGCAACTTCTTCTAGCTTATCAAAAAGGTCTCCATCAACCATCGATACTTCATCGATAATTAAGACTTTCGTACGCAACCAACGGTTCCGGGCCTTGGGGTTTCTCTTGATCTGTAGAGCGTCAATACCAATGCATTACTATGAGGAGCATTCCTGAGCATGACCTTTTTAACAAGTTCAGGTACTTCCTCTTTGCCTAAGCCGATACCTGCGAAACTGTGGAGGGTAACGCCTTCGATATTACAGGCAGCCAGGCCTGTTGAAGCCGTCACTGCCACTCTATCTGGTTCCCTTTTATACTTATCGCGAAGTTTCTTGATGATTTCCCGCATGAGAACTGATTTACCAGTCCCTGCAGAGCCGGTAAAGAATATGCTCTTTCCCTTTTCAACAACAACATTAAGAACGTGCCGCTGCTCATCGCTGAGGAACAAAGATGCCATCTTTGGACGTGGCTTATGTTGCACAGAATCGGCCTTCTGATTCTTCTTAGTTTGTCGGCGCAACTCCTTCTGTTCCTCCTTGATTGCGCTAGCCGATTTATTCCATGGCGCAGTCGGCTTTGGACGCGCGGGAGTTGCGGGCTTTTTGTATAGATCTTTTGGTGGTGCTCGTGTCGGCTCTTCATTTTTGAGCCATGGTAAGGTTCGAGTATTGGCGGGTTTCTGAAAGTGAGACGGTGGAGAGGAGGACCAAGGGAGTTGTATGCTGCTGGATGGCGCCGGGTCATCCTCAGGCATTGGAGGCAACTCAGGGTACTTTATGTCTATGTTGTCATCTTCGAACGTAGTCGTGGGTGCCGGAGCCGGCTTGCTTATAATCCCATCCAAGTCGATAATTGTAGGACTTTGAGACGGTACCTGTTGCTCGTTGCTTGGCCTCACTATTTTTGGAGGTGGTATAAAGGGCTCTGGTTCTTCGCTATCCAAGTCAAGGTCATCATCGAAATCATTTTCATCGAAGTATACGGTGTTGTGAAGAGATCCTAAGGCGGATCCTCCGACATTGGCCATCTCGATTTTTCGTTTAACCCCTAGTGATTGCGGAGGCGGTTTCGGAGGCTGCGTCCCATTGCTGCGAAAAAGGGTGGATTGAAGGGGTTTAGCAGATGGTCCCGGATGGTCTTGTACAGCTTTCTTGAACATTACGGTCTCTTCGGGCGCCTGTCGGGATGTCGAGAATCTGCATGCAGTTTGCAATGTCAATGATGGACCATATGAGCTAACACGGCAAATTGTGACCCTGTTCCGTATTCTAGACATACACAAAGAAGACAAATTGAAGCAATATGGTTTCAGTGGCACATCACCTATAGAAACAATACTGTTAAATGAGAGCATTCGCGACCCGCGTTTCTATGAAGATACGCGCTGCTATCACACGTGATTCCGATAAGGGCTACCTCACGGGGCAAATGACAAAATGATCAAAGTATACTAGCAGACTTGCAAAAAAAGTTAGATGAAATGGAAGAACAATTGATGATAGCCTGGACTGTCTAGAAGAAAAGCATCAAGGTTTCCAAACCCCCTAGGTACGTTTTCTGTATCTGCTTTTTTGACTTCCTATCTATATCACGTGACAACGCATCACGGCACGCGCGAGCCAATGCCGCATCGGAAGTATCAAATCAATACATAAACGAGCAAGATTGTTGTTTTATGCGCTGCCAACCATGAAGCATGGCAGAGAAAGCTGCCTCGGGTTAGTACACTATGGATTCCATTCTATGCCTCTATGACCGGAAAACTGATAATAAGGCAGACAAGGAACATCCTCTTGCGGGGGTGGTCCTTTGCTTCACGTCCATTCTACCAGAACAGCGGGTCAGTGAAGCGTTACCTTATTCTCCTCTTGAATTATTGCTGTGCTTGCCTTTCCATACCGCGTTGCTCGTACGAATCAAGCGTCATGACAACTGACAGCATTCTACCCTAGACGGAGTTGGCTACAATCGCGAGCCAGATGGGAGCGACCCTCAAGCTTGATTTAACCTCTGATGTTACCCATTTGATTATCGGCGAAATCAATACTACGAAATACAAGTTTGTTGCGCGAGAACGATCAGATGTGACCGTTCTTAAACCCGAGTGGGTAGAGGCGGTGCGCCAATCATGGATGCAGGGCGGGGACACAGACGTGCGAGCACTGGAAGAAGTACATAAATTCCCGACATTTGCAGGGTTGTGCCTATGTATAACGGGATTTGAGGACAGTGAGTGAGAAAGATCTTGCGCCGGGATGACATCTGCTAAGGCTTCCTTAACCCAGTGGCATTCCGCAATTACGTCCAAGACACCGCTGTCGCACATGGAGCCGAATTTAGAAAAGATCTCACGAAGCAAGTCACGCATCTTGTGGCACGGGACACTGAGGGTCAGAAGTACAAGTTCGCGACTCAATGGAACATTAAGGTCGTTACTGTGAAATGGTTCACCGACAGTATAGAGCGGGGGATGGTCCTGGAGGAGACATTGTATCATCCTCTCGTGCCAGAAGAGCAGCAGGGCCAGGGAGCCTGGAATCGCTCGTTACCAGCTGTTCGGAAGAGAGATTCGGGTAATGGCAATCCATCAAATCCTCGACCAAGAAAGTTGCGCCGCATTGCAAGTGCCAAGTTGGTGGATCAGAACGAAGGGATCTGGGGTGATATCGTAGGCACAGGCTCAAGAGAAAGTCAGCAGAAGGATGATAGTCAATTATTCACAAAACGCGCCTCTATAGTCCAAGAGGCTAAGTCTTTCGCTAGTGAAACTACATTTGCAGAAGCCCTGGAGCAAAGCCATGTTTTCCAAAAGCCTCATCAACGAACTTCAGAAGCGCCTAGCCACCGCGATGGCTTTTTAGATGGCTGTTATTTCTTCATCCATGGGTTCTCTTCAAAACAGGTTCGCTCGTGCACTCAATTTCCGTGTGATCGAATCTAACATGTTCACAGACTAATGTACTGCGCCAACATCTCTCTTTTAATGGGGCCCAGTTGGTGGGTTCATTGAGCGAATTCTCTCGGCCGGATATCCCTAAGAGAGGCCATAGCCTCTACATAATTGTCCCCTACAAAATACCCCAAACGGAAGTTCCTTCCACAGATGATCTAGCGTTTGAATGTGATGTTGTAACAGATATGTGGCTGGAAAGGTGCCTTGATGCTAAGGCATTGGTACCCCCGGAATCACATGTTGCAAACACCCCAGTTCCTCGCTTCCCTATCTCTGGTAAGTCCCTGTTGCTCTTGATACATGAAAACGCAGCCTAATGGGCTCAGGGTTCGATGGTATGAAAATATGCTCTACAGGGGTCTCCCGTATTAATCTTCTGCATTTATCAAAGCTCGTGGTGTTGATTGGTAAGTTCTCATTCTTTCCTAGACCTCTTTCGAGAACTAATCGTTTCAGGTGCAACGTACAATGAGTTTTTAACGCCAACTGCATCTGTCCTGCTATGCAACGAGGCTACTTCTACGAACCACGAAAAATTACGGCATACGCATGAATGGGGTGTTCCCGCTGTCTCTGTCGAGTGGCTATGGACCTCTATCCAAAAAGCCCAGAAACAACCATTCGGGCCTTTTCTGATTCGGAAACAACCCACGCAAAGCAGTCGAGACCCGGAAGCGCGAGCTGGTTCTTACCCCGAGCAGAGCGGACAGTCCCAGAATACCAACAGAAGCAATAATGCCGCCAAATCTCGAACTCACTCAGAAGAAGCCCAGCCCAACAAAACCAGCAGACGAACAGGCAAGGAAACAAACAAAGCCCCCGCGCGAGATCCAACTCCTTTAAAAGAAGGCATCGTATCGAAGAAGTCAAGCACCCCACAAAAAGGATCCTCCGACCCCCAAGCAAACCCGTCACTCACAAAAGAACAAACCCAACAATGCAGCACAGTCATATCACCAAAGAGACGCCCCACCCTAGAGCAAGGAGCAGCCGAAACCTCCTTTTCCGCCATCGAATCAACCCTCAGCGGATTCCTGAAACAGGCACGAGCAGCAAACTCGCGCTCCACATCGGATACAGCGGAGAACGGCGACCGTCCCCGTTCAAGGAGAAGGAAGCCTCTCCTTGGGCGAGCGCCCTCCCATTCCTCTGTTCGTTCTACCGAACATAAAGCTTTTTCCCGCGCCAGCTCAATCGATACCTTAAATGAAGATGGCTGTGGAAGTGCGATAGAAAGCATCAACACAGACGGGATGCCCTCCCTTGTCAATAGCGGACGATTCGACTTCCCCGAAGGAGACCGCAACAATGAAGAAGAGGAATCAAGTACACTGCCTCCAATGACACAATTGAACTACGAAGATCCGGATGCTGTCGCCATGCGTGAGAAATTCCTCAATCGGGCGGGTAAGCCAGTCGACAAGAAAGAGGCCTCTAATCAGAACCTCGTTGGCGAGGTTAGGGAACTGGAAAACGTCGGTTGGGGCTCGGGTCGGAGAACGAGGAATGCGGGTAAGGTGGTCGTGGAGGATACTTTCTAGGTCTTGTCGGGTTAATACCATTTCTGTTGGGGGTGGATGTTTGTTCATGTTCTGATGACTGTTTTATGCATGACATAGATAGCATCAAGGTGGGCGTCTTCTGGTCATTGCCGGAGTTATGGAAGAGATTATTTTGGAAATTTCCACTGATACCACTTATTATCATTATTCTGATAAGATTCGCATCGAGGAAGATGATGAGTTTTCTCCAATAACGATCAACTATGTAGATAGGCGACTGCCTACGGTTTTAAATTAAAGCACCCACTGGAGTGGAAATCCAATACGCTAGAGTTCTTCAATGGACGCCAATGCACATGTGAACAGAAAAGCCATCAAATTGAATCACGGCCTCATGGCGAAAGGGTAAAAATAAGTGAGGGTGAAAAAGCAGGGAAGAATGAACAATGATTGTTGTACATGGGGATATGGATATTTGGGAAGCGAAGCAGAATTAGCACCCACGAGGGGGCAGCTGGCCGGATAACTCATACAGAATCATTACTTTTTGTACACGCAAGGCAACAGAGATGGAAAGCTCATGGTCCATGGGCAGCCATCGCACCCGGCAACGGGCCATCAAGGTCGATGCTCTCCACTGAGGTCCTGTTCTCGCCACTCTCCCGGAAGAGATTGGAGAAGTACTTGCTTGCAGTCTCACTCTCAACCTTGGTCTTGCTGACTTCGTGCTTACGTCTTGCGAGGTCTTCGATATCTTGGGCAAGACTGGATTGGAGGTTGTTGGCGGGAATACGGAGGACTCGCCGGATTTCTGTAGAGATCCGAGTTGCGTTAGAATGCACGTAGTCCTTCTCTTCGAGCGCAGCGGCGAGCTTGCGCGAGAGACGAGGGGGTAGTGTGCTGGGAATCGTAGACAATACGTATGCGGTAGTCAAAGCAGCTGTTCAAATTAGTCTCTGCTCAGTAACACTGTACCGACGAAGAACTTACCAGCTGCGACCAAACCCGGAACAAGGAAGCGTCGCAAGTTGTTGGGTCCTATGAACTTGATTGTACTGAACACGCTATCAACCCAGCTAATGCCGCCAAAAGCTCTGCCTCCAAGGACAGTTACAGCTGTCATGGCCATTCCTGTTCCGGCCACCTTCTCTTGGCGCTCCCAGATGCCAGCAAAATCGAAGAAATCCCATAGTTCAACTTCGGTGTCAACCTGTTTGGCAAATGTATGGCGTCGACTACGGCGGAACATCATATCGGCACGGAAATTTAAGGGAGCAAACTTGTCTCCAACATGCAAAAGACCAATCTTTTGGATGGCATCTACACCGTCTACTGTCTTTCTGCGTGCATAATCCTCGCAGGCTTCGGCTGCTGTGGAGATCTGTTCCAGCATGGCCAACTTCAAATCTTCTGCATACTGGAATGCAGAGAAGATGCCGGGGTATTCAACACCTAGGTCAGCTTCTGAGACGCGAGCAATAGTGTCTGACAGGGTCGATCGCGTATGGTTGTAAACATCTTCGCATGAATCGTCAATATACTTCTCCACCTGCACATCAAGCTCGATTTTCTTCTTCTGTCCACCCTCGTAGGCAGGTTCCAGCTCTGCCAGTTCTTCTGTAACGCGCTTGAGTTCTGCCTGGGCAATGTCACGGTTGACGGAAGCGAGGGAATTTAGATCTCCAAGCAAGTTGAGAAGATAAGTCCTGGCAGGAGCAAGCTTCGAGCGGGATCGCTTTTCCAGAACGAATCGTCGCAAAGAGCTTTCTAAGTTCTCAAAGTCTTGAATCTTTTGCTTCTCTTTTCCTTTGTCTTTGCCTTTGCCTTTGGGCTTACTATCATGCGAGTCATCGTCGTCATCATTTTCGTCTGGATCGAAGCCTCCGCCGCCGCCACCAGAACCAGAACTTGTTACAGACATCGGGGGTGCAACAGGAACGGCATTGCTTGATACGAAATGAACGAGTTCCGCAGATTCCTTGTATGTGCGAGGGCTGAGTTTGTTAATTTGATCCAGAATCATCCGCTCACATCGTTGCTTATCGCGAATCTGGTCGAATCCGTTGACGACGATAAACATATATGCTTTTTCCTTTGCGGCATTGTGGATAAAGTCTTTGGCTGAGAGGGTGAAATGATTGGCAGCGGAAACCACGAACACAACAACATCGATCTCTTCCTGTCGAGCAAAGACAGCTGTTGTCTTCAAAGAATCCGAGTTCAAACCAGGGGCATCAATCAGGGCGATGTCAACAACTCCATTATTCAACAGAGACTCGTCGATGGTTCGCACGTCCTTAACGTAAACTTTGCATTGCATGTACTTGGAGTTATCGATCACAATATCCTCGAGTTGACTAAGCGGATATACATCATATGTACTCTCGTCGTTGCGATTGTAATCCATGTCCTTGTGGACAGCGTGTACCTCCTCAACCCCACTGTTCTCCCGTGCATCGAGGACCTCACAGAAGATGCTCGTGCAGGGCTGCTGGTCTTCGGGCAATACCTTGCGACGCAGCAAAGCATTACAGAAAGTTGACTTTCCCGCGTTAAGGTCACCAGTGATCAGAACCTTACTTGACGTATCTTCGATTCTGTCGCGCAGCGAGAGAAGGTGTTTGACACTCTGGCTGATCTTCCCATCCAAAAGCGATGCGATAGAGGCCTTTTCCAACGAATGTACTAATTCCACTTGCGATAAAGCACCTAGCTTTAGGTCTAGCTTTAGAATGGAGAATTCTTGCGCTATCTGCGGGCTCATCAATCTCGGCTCTGGCGCTGGCCGACGCTCCGCGGCGGCACTTGATTCTGCCGAAGCCAAATCGTCGCTATTTGATACCGTAGCCGCTCGTCTGATCGGCCCTGGCCTGAATTCACCCTGCTGGATGTTTCCATCATCGAAGAACGACTGCGCTTGGCGCAACGCGGGTCTGTCCGAAGGAGAATCTGACGCGCCTTGCACTGAGGGATAGTGGGCGGGCCATTGGCGGTTCGTTTCCTGTAGTTCCTTCAAAGTTTCGATTGTTCGTGTGATAGCGCGTCCCAACTTCGTTCTGTTGGAATTACTGTGAATGCCGTTAGAATTTGTAATTCGACTGTTTTGTGATTCCCGCAGACGTACTATTGTAGTTGGTGAACATGGCTCGCGTACACCTGTCTCTCGTGCTCCGCTGTAGCACAAACCATGTTAGTATATTCTGTTCCACGCCATCCCATAAAACCGAGTATGACCAAAGAAACGAACCTGCTGGATTCCACTGTCCGGGAAGGGTTGGGGTATGCATCGGAGTCGGTCTGTCCACCATCATATCTGATCTCCAGTCGCCACCAACATCACCATCCATCAAACTGCCACTCGCAATACTGCCGCCATAACCGGAATCTTCGTTCAACGATGCCATCAAGGCCGTAGCGCTCTCGGAGGTCGCGCCATTTCCAACGGTCATGTACGCGGGCGGGGCGTTCGGGAAGAAAGGGTACTCGGACGATTCCTGTTGCGGAGGATGTCTTGACGAACCCTCGCCGGCAGAAGAACCGCCTTTGCCGGGGAAATACTCCTGACTCATGACGAAAAGAATGCGCGGTACATAGACATAGAAGTCGAAAAGTCGGGCAACATGCGATGAAACGGGACTTGTTTTTTTGTCAGTCGGGAGACCCGCTTACATAAATGAGGAAATCCAATCCAATGTCCCGAAAGGGGTTGGTCGCCGCCATGTGACTGTAATTTTGATCAGTTGGGATCCGCGTATCGTCCGGTACTGCGTCTAGTGCAGTACTAGTACGGTGGCCTTGATGTCACTGCGGGCATCAATCATCTTCCCCCCATACTCTGCGCTCTTCGTCTGTACTTTCTACGCATTCGCCTTGGATCATATCTGAATATTTCACTACTGAGGTCTCTTTGACTTGCTCAAGATGAATGTGTGTTGTCGCCTACTGTTGGTTCTCCCCGATTCCCCGCTAACGTTGTTCATTGTCTAGGTGATCGAGTGGGCATTCGGAAAGCGCATGACACCGGCAGAGCGCCTGCGCAAACATCAAAGGGCTCTCGACCGAACGCAGCGTGAATTGGATCGGGAGAGGACCAAGTTGGAAAATCAGGAGAAGAAGTTGGTACAAGACATCAAGAAGAGCGCCAAGAATGGTCAGGTTGGAGCCTGCAAGATCCAGGCCAAAGACCTAGTCAGGACCAGGCGGTACGTTTACCAAAGAAAAGCAATAGATCATTCTTTCATACCATGTCGATGGTCTAATGCATAACCCTGGGTTTAGGTACATCCAAAAATTCTATCAAATGCGAACACAACTTCAAGCAATTTCCCTGCGCATTCAGGTACGGTGACTCCAGGCAGACAAACGGCGGATCACTTTACTTACTTGCTCTGGTACAGACCGTTCGCAGCAATGAGCAGATGATGCAGTCAATGAAAGGCGCAACGATGCTATTGGGTAGTATGAATCGACAAATGAACCTCCCCGCGCTGCAGCGAATTGCCATGGAGTTCGAACGAGAAAATGATATTATGGATCAACGACAAGAAATGATGGATGACGCAATAGACGAGGCAACTGGGATGGAGGGTGAGGAGGAAGAAGGGGAAGACATTGTCAAGGAAATCTTGGACGAAATAGGTGTCGACCTTGGCCAGGCGGTTCGTGTTCTCTATATCACATCCCTTCGAGCCGGGCGTGTACTAACTTTATTTTGAACAGCTGGGTGAGGCACCTACAGACATACAGAAGACTGCAGTTGGCGAAACCCGAGTTGCGCAACCGGTTGGCGCTGGGGGAAGTTCAGCTGATGACGATCTGCAAGCGAGGCTGGACAGCCTTCGAAGATGATCACGAGCTCCTCCTTGTTCATTCAATATCCCTTTATTGGTTTCCAAGCCTCACTTTCATCCTCGATGGGTTCACGTTTGCATCGATTACGACGCCACTTATTCATTTCATGTCAGGTTAATGTGATTCAATCTGCAATTTGGGGCAAGTCGACACATGACCTGCCAGAGAAACGCAGCGGGGGCATGGGTATGAGTGCTTTGGTGTTACAGGTTGTCCTGGGCATTTGCGCATCATAGTAACGTAGATTTTCAGCCTAATTCATAGCGAGAAACGGAATAGCAAACTGCTCCTTTTCCATGCCCGGAGCCCGGTCTCAAAGCTAGTCTCATACGTCTTACCCAAATGACAGAGTCCTCCCCAGTCTTTGTGGCACAATCAACAAGTTGCAGGAGCTCACTCTACTCGTTTCCCATCACTTGCGCGCACAGAGGTATGCTCATATCATAATCTGTGTACTGTTGGGCCGAAAGTTGCCATGGGGACTGTTCACAACATTGCGCAATCTCGTTACTGGCCCCGGAAGCCGTACTGGAGAAGGATCGCAATATCCGAATAGTATCATGTATCTCCCAGGAATTTATCAATCTCCAGGGAGCACCGGAAGACTTACTAGTGAGGTGGATCCCGACAATAAAGGAACTCCTGCGATTCCGTCCGACACAGTTCTTTTACCACTTGAATTCAAAGGTGGACTAAGTCAAGAATGTCTCGGCGAATTCGGGAGTCCTCATGGCTAAAGTGGGGGAATTCGTTGAGTGGGTTATGTTTCATGGTCCAGACACGATGCATGCAGGAAAGAAACCAACCTTGGCTTTTGATAAAGAAAAGCTCCATTATCTTGGAGACAATGTGACACATCCGTCGCACTGGCTTAGATGTCTCACGATATACTTAGTAGAACAATAATGAAGACTACTTCTCTACGAGGAAACCTGGCACATAAGATACTTGATTGAAAGGAACAGTAAAGATTTCCTTCGTTTGCGTCAGTGCTCTACGAGCTTTCATGCGATCAGCGTCAGAATACCCCAGAGGGGGTTTAGGGCTTCGCAGTGGTATCCAGAGTCAATGTATGTAATGCAGACAGTCAAAGGACTCCACTTGCCCTAAAACCTGCAAAAGCAAAAGGTACTGTACATGAACTAACAGCAGGGATCGGGACTCTTTGAAAGAGAACTGGCCTTTGCGAGGTCGATAATTTTCCGGCTCGAAATTATTCCCTCCGTGGAACGTCCTCGAAATCCTGGAATCGTACGGAGGGCGCATTTCAACGAGCAGTAGGAGAAGTGAGTCAGAGCGGTGAAAATGTACAGGAGTATAGACCTCCATTAAACTATCTTCTATTTCCGCCGGCCTATCACACAGTAATTTACCCATAGTGTATGCGGGGACATTACAGAGATCGTCGGGGATTGAATATTAACGCTGACGTAGATTGGCACTTTCATTTCCTAGGGCCTGATGGAGGGTGGGCGAGTGAAAATTTTTTCTATGCATGAGGGGCCTGGGTTAGTTCCAAGAATCAAGAAAATAATCGTGTAGGAACTGTGGGAATCATCTTAGCAGTTAGCTACTATTCTTTCATCAGGGTTGGTTGTTCTGTTTATCGTCCAAAGAAATATTTATATCAACGTGCGGGATGTACGACGCCAAAATAGATGTAAGCAGCACCGCTTAGTTTCAAGAATCCGTCCACTGAATAAACAATCAACATACTTTCCTGCATCTATTCTATGTCGCGGACGTAATCCTACATGAGAGGGAATTTGAACTGCTCGACGCTAAGGACTCCTGTCAGACTTTCCTAGGCTATGGGTGCCTGCCTGCCTGTCTTGGCTGCATATCGTCTGCATTGCTCATCACAAAAGAAAGTCCAATGGATGGTCTGAACCCGTCTGATGTTAGAAAAAAAAACACTCATTTCGAATTTGCCAGCCGTTGACCAGTTACGTTATAGATAGTATAACCGCTGAGAGCAAGAAGCAGTGTTCTGTTGCCTGAAGCAAGAAAGGTGTAGCACAGCTGACCTGCTGAATACCCTAACTTCTACCCAACTCCCGACCTTCTTCCTGGTCGACGGCAGCCTATTGTATCCAACGTTCTATCGAATCCAATCGCCTCTTGTTTCTCGCATAGCCACCCTTCCTGCGGCTGAGGGACGCCTCCGATACAATACAATTCTGTACGATAGAAGGGAGAGGGGGATGACAGCAGCCTCGCTATACTGGCAATGCCCGGGTGTTTCTGCGCCCTGTCCGTCTCGTGTAAGTGAGCAAAACATATTTTTGAAAAAGGGGATGCTCTGAAGATCTGGATTCCTGCGTAAAGGAAGATAATCCAACCAATGACCGAGGGCGGATTGCTAGCCTTATTCCGGGTGATACTCGTGTGAGCTCTGGGATTTTCCCTGGCGTGCAGTCATCAAGATGGAGTACAGTACATTACAGGGATCCTCCACTTTCTGAAACACCGCCATATAATATACTCGTTTGCTTTGGAGTTGAAAATGCCGACTTACCCCTCCTAGGTCTTGAGATAATAAAAATATAAACATGCTTTGACCCTCTCCTTCTTTCTCCTTTACTCTGTTCGTTCTGTTTAGTCTGTTTTCCCAGCCATATACCCCATATACCCCTATATCTTATTCCTTCTGTTTGAGTGTCGCTGCTATTGTACTTCTTTGTACGGCTTACTGTATTTGATATTACCTTACTCACTATTGTTTGCCCGCACCCCCGACAAGACGGCTTCGTTCGAGACATGGCGGTCATTAACCAGAAAGCGACTCCGCCAGTGTCTCCTTCCCATCATGCTCCGGTTCAACAACTGGTAGATCCAGCTCTGTATTACCAAAGACTTCCCCCGGGACTCTATCACCCATCTGCTTATCCGGCTGCCTACCAATTGGCTCACCATGCAGCTCACCCTGCAGCTTACCCGGCATCTCACCCTGCGCCTCAGCAAGTGCCTCACCCTGCAGTCCAACCAGCGAACCATCCAGGCAACCGCCCTGCAGATCACCCGGGGGGTCTACCGGGTGGTCTACAAGGAGGACACCAAATAGGTCACCAAGGAGGCCAACCGGAAGGATATCCAGGGGCCCCTCGGGCTATTCACACTGTCACCCCGCGCTCTATAGATCCCGCCAAGTTGGCCGAAGCAATGGCTCGTCTGAATGCCAGTGCGGAGAGACCGGCCCCCGGCAATCGACAGAGAGTACCAGACTCTGTCCCCCCAAGAGAAACAGACTCACGGTTTTATATCGGGTATACCTTTTTCAAGAAAGATGCGATCCCTGGACACAAGCCCACCTGGAGCCATGCGGAAAAGACCCAGATCAATCTGACGCAGTCAGAGTTGTCCAACATGGTCCAGAAACGGGCGAAGAAGCTCCCCGGCATCCAGCAGTACCAGTCTCTCTCGAAGGTAAAGCGTACCCATGTGGACCTGCTCATCCATGAGCTGAAGGAGAAAGAACCTAATTTCGAATGGACCTGTGCATGTGTGAAGGAAGCCGAACGGCCCATGAAAGGCAAGAACAATAAGCGCGGAGACTATGAGACCATCTCCATGGATGTTGTCGCGATGGGGCAGCCCATCTACCCGCCGCGTCCTAAGGCATCTAACAAGCCTAAGGAGAAAGTCGAACCGAAGACCGATAACCCTATTATTGTTAAAGAGTCTAGGCCAGTGGAAAAGACCATTGAAAACACCACCGAATGGACCCGGCCTTACCCAGGCCATGTGCAACAACCGCAGCAACCACCCATGGTGCACAATGTCCAACGGCAGCTTAATCCCGAATTCCCTCAGCAGGCTCCGCCACCGCCTCCCCCTCCCCAGGTACATCCAACTGGAGGAAGACCATTAGTAAACCAAGCACCTCTGCCCAAAGCAGCTCCAGCCACTGTGTCCTTCGATGTACGCCCACAGCTGGACATACCTCACGCTGCGAGAGCCGCTCCCGAGAAGAGACCTGCCATTGAGGTCCTAAAGGAACATATGAGAAGCGTTCCCGTGGGCGCTGGTGCTGGACAAGGGGTCAAGCACGCTCCAAGCCCCGCCGGCATGCCGGTCATCAATAACATCCCGCAGAAAGAGCCAGCTCCTCATGACCCACGTTTTCATGAGCATGTCCCTCACGGAGGTAGTGTTAAACCACCCAACTTGGCAGCGGAACCAGAACAAGAATGGGCCCCCGACTCCAGCAGCATTGGGGATGACGACTCGGAGATTTTTGACTTGGAAGATGTCAGTTCAGTTACCGATGACTCCGACGACGATGGAGAGGCGCGCAAGGAGTCCCAGCCCTGGCGTGGAAGTCTTTTTCGCCGACATTCCTCTGCTTCCAGGCGTCCTGGACCGTCGCGATACCGCTCGCACTACCGGAAACAGCCTACAGGTGCATCTGACAGCAGGTATCCAAATGGCTATATTGATGTGATTCCCGCGGACAACAAGGATTCGGACAAGCAGCTATGGAGACTGCATAGCCGAGAAGTTACTCGGCAGACCCGAGATCGCCCGAAGATTATCCACGCCCCTATTAGTTCCGACGATTTGGATGTGCCTGAGTTCGAGGACAGATATCGTGGGCTACGAGCTCACAACGATATTCGCAGCCGGATTCTCGATGACCGGGAAGCTAGACTTGCCCGCCGGGAGCAGCACTTGGACTATCGCACGCGAATGCTGGATGCACTTGATGAGAGACTGGACGAAGCCTTGCGCCGTCGCATGTCCTTGAGAGAACCTGGTTCGTATTACTCTCGACAGTACTATGACAATTATTGAGTTTGATCATTCTTTTTCTATTTGATTTTCCGTTTCAGACCCCCCCCCCCTGTGTCCATTGATGTTTCTTTTACCCTCGGGTCTCTCCCATTTTTCTTGGTTTTGTTTCTAGTATTCTTTTTCGGGTGAGAGTGGGTGACGGATAGACACTAATAACGTCATTATATGGGGACTGTTTGTACACAATGAATTTTTGTCGAGATCTGTTGCGTTCTGTATGTATTTGCCCCAAAAGAAGGCTAATCAGATCCAATCTGCATGGAACTGCACTATCACTGGTGAATTTTCAATCTATTACTCGTAGTGTGGTAGTAGAAGGAGTAGTATCTTCAACAAGTCAGACGACTACAGTGACAGCGCATTACTTATCGATAAGCCCCACCCTTGTAGAGCCTGAGGCAGCCGACACCCCGCCATACTCTTGGTTCGCTGTTCTTCCGTCTTCCTTTTTATATCATCGCTCCCCGTCTTTGTATTCTCTTCCCTTCCCTTCCCTTAACTTTCAACTTCACCTCCAACCCTGTCTCTCCTCAACCAGACTCGTCGTATCTTCTTTTCCCATAACCGCACATTCAAAATGCCTCGCCAATTCTTCGTCGGTGGTAACTTTAAGATGTACGACATCACCCACCCCTCACCACCATTGCCCCGCAATGCCCCCTTACCATGCTACACCAACCAAGCCACCAGAAAGCTAACGGACTCCCTCTGTCTCTCAGGAACGGTAATGTTGAAAGCATTACCTCCATCATCAAGAACCTCAATGACGCCAAGCTGGATGAATCCTCCGAGGTCGTCGTCTCCCCTCCTTCTCTCTACCTGTTCCTCGCCCGCCAGCTCGCCGATGAGAACAAGATCGCCGTTGCCTCCCAGAACGTCTTCGACAAGCCCAATGGTGCCTTCACCGGTGAGATCTCGGTGGAGCAGCTGCAGGACGCCAAGATCCCCTGGACCATCATTGGACACAGCGAACGCCGTGTCATTCTGAAGGAGACCGACGAGGTATGTTTCTCCCCCTCCTTGTCTGTCAGTTAGTGGGTACGTTCGGGCAACTAATTGGATTTAGTTCATTGCTCGTAAGGTTAAGGCTGCCATTGATGGTGGCATCAGCGTTATTTTCTGCATCGGTGAGACTCTTGAGGTAGGCTTACCCGCGACCCGTTTTCTACTTTCCCTATTGGGGAAGATTGCATGATCTGGTTTAATTAACACCATGTAGGAGCGTGAGGCCAACAAGACCATCGAGGTTGTTACCAAGCAGCTCAATGCTGCCGCTAAGGAGCTCTCCAAGGAGCAGTGGTCTAAGGTCGTCATTGCCTATGAGCCCGTCTGGTAAGTTTCCTTTCTGTTTACTCTCACCCTAACATGATTCTAATCGTGCCACAGGGCCATCGGTACCGGCAAGGTCGCTACCACCCAGCAGGCCCAGGAGGTCCATGCTGCCATTCGTAAGTGGCTCGCCGACTCTATCTCGGCTGAGGCCTCCGACAACACCCGTATCATCTACGGTGGCTCAGTTAGCGAGAAGAACTGCCGTGAGTTGGCCAAGGAGCCCGATGTAGATGGCTTCCTCGTTGGCGGTGCCAGCTTGAAGCCTGCTTGTACGTTCCTTCCTCCCTTATTTTCTGCCTTTTGAAATACTAACATTCACTTGCAGTCGTTGATATCATCAATGCTCGTTTGTAAGCGATCGAGATATTAATATAGGCTATAATCTTTTTTCCGGTTCCTGTGCCGGCAAATCTATCACGGTTTGAAATTAGTTCTATGAATCAAACGTTAAAACGAATATAGAGGTCTTACGAAAAAAAAAATATTTGGCTGTTCATCTATCTCGCTCATAACTCTAAATATATACATCTATGCAATACATCTAAACTATACACGCGCACGAAAAACCGCCCGCAACTCCAAAGATCTAATCCGAGAAAAAAAAATCAGGAAGAATAAAGCACCGAAACCCCCACCCCCCTCCAATACGATGGACTCCCACCACCACTCTGCCCCGAACCAGTCGTAGCAGTCGCCCACGATGAAGGCGAGAACGAACTCGGCCCCAATCCCACCCCAGCACTAACCAGCAGCTCCTTCACTCTCCCTTCCCAAAGCAACCGCACATTCCACGACTGATCAACCCGGATCTTCAGCACTGAATCCGTCGCCTCCGTCTGGTCATCCCTGCCCTTCGCCTCCGCTGCAATAGTAGGAAGAGAAGGCGGCGGAAGTGGTTCCGAAGCGCGCATCTTCCGCCGCGCCCATTCCAACCCATCATTCTCCTCGACAGGAACCCGCTTCCTCGACCTCCGCCACAGCTCACAGCCCGCCACCATCTCACTCTCCCAACTATAAACATTAAACCCAAACCGCGAACTAAACGCCAAATTCGGCGACGCACGCAATGAATATGTCGTTGACAGCGACCCCGTCAATGGCGTCAACGTCAATGTAAGCGTATACGGGAACGTAGAAATCGGGGTACTCTGATTCGCAGATGCCGACCCCGTCGCCGTAGACGCAGGTACATCCGTCGCCGCAGGCAAAGTACTGAACCTCAGACCGGTGGACATGCCGATCAGCGACGAGACGGGGGAATAGTACGCCTCTGCGCCGGCGGAGAGGAGCGAGAGGCGCGGTGCGGCATCATCTTTTGAACGGGGGTCCGGGCCGAAGTTCCAAAGACCGCGCCAGCCGAAGAGGGCGTTGTCCGTGCTGAAGAGGTATTCGTTACTGTACTTGCCTGTATCGTGGGAGAGTTGGGTGAGGAAGGAGGCCTGCGGGGCGGATTTGGAGAGCGGAGGGCCGCGGGTTGAGCAGACGGCTAGCGTTAGTTGCATTGTTGGGGAGATGCGGCGGAGGAAGAGAGCGTTGAGGGTTGTTGGGGGTGGAAGGTGGAGGGTTGCGTGGAGGAGGGTTGCCTTTTTGGCGATGTCGCTGGGTGGTGCGCCATTGTCGAGGGGTGAATCCCATTCCCAGGTTTCGAGGGGTGCCGTTGGCGGTGTTACTTGGCGGTAGCCTGGGGATAGTTTGCGGAGGGGGATCAGGGCGCTTCGACTTGGGGTGTTGGTGAAGGGGACGGTGCTGTAGAGGTAGGAGACTGAGCCGTCGATTAAGCCTACGGTTCCGAGGGTGTAGCTGGTTGCGAAATGGGGGGTGGAGAGTGAGGAGAGATGCACGCGAAGACGCTCGGGGGTCGAGAAGTCGAGGAGGGCTGGAGATCTGTTAGTTCTGGGGATCACCATGGATATAATTAGATAGGATATGATTGAGGGTAACGTGCACTGAGCTGTGGCCGTGAGCGATGTGTATGAATTGTCGCGGTTCCAGTTAGTCCCCTCTGCGAAGATGAGTTGGATATAGTCCATGAAATCGAGCATTGTGGCTCAATGAGATAAATTGATATAGTAATAATAGAATAGAGCTGAGACTACTAGCCCACAGCTAGATCATCCTAGGCCAGAATGAAGAGTATCGATACTCTTGTTGTCTTCTGTACGTTCGGCGAACCGTGACATCCCAGCTGCTTTCCCCATGCAGTTTAGATCTAATCGGATAAGCCCCGCATCAACAATATTCCGACTGTTATCAGTGAAGAAAAAAATAATTGAATTTCGACTCCTCCAAGTCGACCCATTCCCGCGCTTGTATATACAATCCAATCCCCCCTCCAAGCACGCCGGGGTTACAATAAATCAAATAATAATCGGATCTCCGAATTTCCCACTCATAACCCCGCCAAAATGCCTCGTTCCAAGCGCGCCCGCGTCGTCCACGAGACCAAGACCGCCAAAAAGTCCCACAAGGAACAGACCAGACGGCTCTATGCCAATATCCGGGAGAGCATTGAGAACTACGAGCACCTGTTCGTCTTCGGAGTCGACAACATGCGGAATACCTACCTGAAGGATGTGCGCACTGAGTTCGCCGATAGCCGGTGAGTCAATTCACATTCGACATTTGCACTCTTGCGGCGAAATGTCTTCCGTCCTTTTCCCATTCTCCATTTTGATATTTCACCTTTAGAACCATGAAATGGAACCTTTTTCACACAAATTCTTCACAATCAACCACTAACCCACCCACAGTCTCTTCTTCGGCAAAACAAAAGTCATGGCCGTAGCCCTGGGCCACAACCCTGAATCCGAAGCAGCCACCAACCTGCACAAGCTCGTCCCCTACCTCACCGGCGCCGTCGGTCTCCTCTTCACCTCCCGCGACCCGGAGTCCGTCACTAACTACTTCGACAACTTCCGGCCGCTGGACTTCGCCCGCGCTGGCACCGTCAGCACCCGGTCCTTCAGCATTCCAAACGGCATCGTGTACTCGCGTGCAGGCGAGATCCCCACCTCGCAGGACGAGCCAGTCAGCCACACCATCGAGCCCGAGCTGCGCAAACTGGGCGTGCCCACCCGTCTCATCAAGGGCAAGGTTATGCTTGAGTTGACCGGTGGTCAGAAGTCGTTCCCGATTTGCAAGGAGGGCGAGGTGCTCGATTCGCGGCAGACAACGTTGCTGAAAATGTTTGGTGTTGCGTCGTCTGAGTTCCATGTTGCGCTCAAGGCGCGCTGGACTCGGAGTACTGGGGAGGTGAAGGTTTTAGAGAACCAGGGTGGTATGGAGGTTGATGGGAACTGAGGATGGGGTGGGGTGATAGACAAAAAAAAAAAAACGGAAAAGTCTTGAAGTTTTTAATCTTTTTTTTCTCTCTTGTTACTCTTTCTTTTCTTCGACGAAATCCCCTGGGCATTTCTTGGAGTTAGGTTTGGCGCTCGCTCTTCTTTCAATTCTTTTTGCCGTTTCTTGTTGTGTGTTTTATTACCCGTTTACTACCTAACGGGTTATTCATTGCCGGATGAGCGTATGATGGACATACATGAATACTGAGCTGAAAATCTACTATAAATAACTCCCTTACAGTGTGACTCTAGAAGAGGATGTTACTGAATGATGAAAAAGAATATTCCGACCATTACCTTGATTTACACTGTACGAAGATACCTGGTTTCGGTTATTTTGTTGTTGAAGAAACCTTACCTGATCTTCTTACCTGACCCCCCATAATCCCTTCATGAATGCACCGAAAAGATGTTGACTACCTAAAGTACATACTTACCCCGTAAAGAGCAGTGCAAACCCTGGAGAAGGGGAAAACGCGACAGGGTAAAAGGACATGCAAGAAAGCAGAAGAATAACTAGATAAGAAAAACAGTAAGAATGGGGTTGCGACCAAGCGTCCGGTTTCAGTAGACGTCGACTCTCCAGGAAGGAAAAGGCCATTTCATGGGTCAGGAAATCATGAGATCGCCGCGGTGTACATAAATACCTCAGTACCAGCGTAAGATGAGGATGAATAGCGCTCCGACTGTTGTAAGTATTGGTCAAGCCTGGAGGCATGAGACCTGAATGATAGTGGACCTTGCCTTACCCATTGCCGTGATAGACGATGAGAATAACTGGAAGATCGATCAGAAATACCCACCAGCAAACCGTGTTGAGTACTAAACGGGGATAATCCTTTCGAAGGCAGGCGTTTAGTATCTTCTCTTGGCGCGAGGGTCATCGTATGCATCATCCTCATGGTATCTCTTCCGTCCATAGTCTTCCCGGCCTCCGTACCTGTCACCACGATCACGGTCGCGGTCCCGGTCCCGGTGACGGAAGCTGTCCCTGTCGCGATCCCTGTGACGGTCACCACCATCGCGGTCCCGGTCTTCCCTGCGATCGCGGTCGGAGAAGCCATCTCTGGGCCGTATCGGTTCACGGTTGCTGCCAGTTGCACCCCGATCGCGATCATACCTGCCGCCACCAAAGCCGCCGCTTCTACCACCACCGGGGCCAGACGGTGCGTTTGGCGGGGCCTGTCCGCCAAACCCGTTGCGACCTCCCTGATATCCGACGCCGCCACGAGGACCACCAAACCGATCATTGCGGAAACCGCCCTTGAAGCCTCTACCACCGCCACCACCAAAGCCACCGCGGAATCCGCCGCCGAAACCGCCAGGCCCGGAGGGAGCACTGAATGATCCAGGACCAATAGGGCGCGAGGGTAGCGCTTTGGTGTAACCACGGCCTCCTAGACCACCGCCGAAACGCCGAGGTTTCCAGCCCTTAACAGTGCGGCCGCGTTCCACATCAACTAAGACACGCCGGTCTTTGATACGGATGCCATCCGTCTCTTTATAAGCGGCTGGATCCAGCAGAAGAATATCATGTCAGCAAGATGGTCTCAAGATTTGGATACCTTTGGCCAATGCAGATAATGGTCATGTTTGCAATAATACCTTTCATGTCCTTCTCGCGCTCGTAAACGATGAAAGCGTAACCCTTGTGTGGCTTCTTCGAACCCTTCGGGGTTACAGTGTCTTTAACGATACGGATCTAGATTGTGTTAATCACATCAGCATGAAGAAAAAAGACGGAAAGTAGAATAGGATTTCTGAGTATTACCCTCTCAATAGGACCAAATCGTCCAAACTCTCTTTCCAGATCTGACTCCTTCACATCGTAGCTGAGACGGGAGACAAAAAGCGTTTTGAAGGGGTCGCCTCGTGCTTGCGGGTCGTTCGCAGGGTCGACTAGAAAAAGGTCAGCATGAATTCACTCAAGTTCTCTCCCAGAGTCGAAGGAAGGGAACGAACAGTCTTGAAGGCCAACTGTCAAATGCTTGTCCATATTCTCCTTCTTCTCCTGCTTCTGCCGCATTTTGCGCTGGATCCAACTCTCTGTAGCATTGTATGGGTACTCCTCTTCATATTTCCTCAGGTCGGGAAGAAACTGTGCAACGCCGCCGAGCGTACTCTTCTTACAGTCCTCTGGTGCACGGTCAATGGGAGTAACATAGCGTAAAGGTGGGCGAGGCTGAAAGAGGGCGAGGAGCGGAGGGGGGAGCTTGTCCGTCATCTTTGAGCCCTCAGTTTGTGAGGAGGATAATACGGGTAGACAAATTGAAAGCTAGATCCCCATGCGCAAAGGCAAAAGTAAAGAAAGACGATGGAATTATTCCGAGACAATACCGCAGGACTCGTTTGTCAAGTTCGCGTTCCTCCGTGACTTGGCAGCTAAACTGAGGTTCTGGAAGCCGCTAGGCGCGCTAACCGAAATAGACGCGGGCCAATGATAGCGATGTCCGGCGGCGATGAAAAGTCCCGGAAGTTGTTGATCCCACGGGTGTTTGGCTTTCTACAGCAGTCAGATAAGAACTAGCAGCAATGCCTGTACAAGGAATCAGAGCAGTCACCTCTGCTAGAGTAAGTTCGATTGCAGCGGCACTGGGTCTGTGGCTCAGATGGTAGCTAATGGTTTGATTGTTCGCAGAACGGCGTGGGCGCCTTCATTTTGCAATGCAAGCGTTTGGACTTTCACTACTGCGACTGGGCGGGTAGCTCCCGCGGGATGGTGTATGTTCTTTCTCTACAAGGTTGCTTTGAGATCTATTGCTAATGCTAATGTTCTGGGTTATCCAGTGCTTTCCTGAAACACCAGCTTCCTTCCTTCGCCAAAGCCAACCCTCAGATTGAAATCCGCGTATCGCCACGGCCGAACAAGCATCCGGTCGTCAAGGGTCACTACATCAACGGACGAGAAAAGGCAATTTGTGTCCGCAACCTCGAGCCCGAACAGATCTTCCAGAAGGCGAATTTGTTGAAGGAGGCCAGCGGCGAGAAGCTGAAGCGCACCAAGAAGCCCGTCACAAGTATCAACGAGAGTGTCAGAGGTATCTGGTCCCCATACCACGGAGACTACAAATCCGTGTAAAGTGGTGTCTTTGCGTTTATTTGCGATGGTGTTATGTTCTGGACTGTGAAGCTGCCAGCTTGTCATATTCATGCAGTGTATTATGGGCCTCTTGATTTATTCTGTTCTGGGAAACCGATGCTTTTTATGTAAAGAATATGTAGCATATGTATGTACAAAATGCATTTGATCTTAAATACCACGAGGTTAGTCGGGACCGTAGCCTATGGGGTGTGGAAATAACCCCATAGGTGGCCCGTAGTTCAGTTAGCAGTGTGTAACCGAACGGTATATGTATTAACGATTCGTATACTATCCTTCCGTCAAGAATCAATGCAACCAGGGTATCAAAGAAGTAGTAGCCGGGATGAAGAAATCGTCCACCTAACGCCAGAGTAATGCAAAACGTGTATGAGAACATGCAGAGGAGAGAACATTTTTATCACAAATACACTTGGAACATCGACTTCGGCGCACTGACAGTCTTCCCACAGTCTGCCACTTGACATTTAGAAAAGGGTTTAACGGGTTGAGACGCCTTCTTGGCGTTCGATTTGGACCTGTAGGTGGCACACTGCCCGCAATAAACCTGGTATATATGTTAAAACCAACCTGCAAATGAACATTCTCTGGGATACGAACATGTCCACATTGTTTTACTACCCATATCTGTTGCTGAACCTCGTCGCCCGAACCAAGCTCAGAATCACAGTTAGGGCAACACACAACGTCATCTTCTCCAACAGTCCTCGTAAACCCTTCCGGCGGCGGGCTAGGTGGCTTGTATGCCGGTTGCGATCGCTCCGGCTCGGGTGGAAACCCTGAATATCCGTAGTCCATCGCCAGTGGGCCGTCCATGTCTAGATTGATCGTTAAATCGATGGCTCCCCCTGGTCTATCTCCAATCCAAAAAGACTCAACGTCTTGCGGCATACGACGGATGCTACCTCTAGTTCTCCATGATAGATCCCTAGAAAATAAACCTCCACTAGGGAAGTCTCGAGATCTTGGCTCCCCTAGACGTAGATATCGTAGAAGGCCAGCACCGAAATCAAAGTCTCTAGGCTGTGGCGGTGGTGGGCGGGGCGGTTGTGGTCGTACGCTGGCGCCGACGAATTGGACCTCTGGACTGCTCGGCGAATCTAGATGGATTGTGTTGTCCGGTTCTGCCTCCAAATCTACGACGTCTGCTATAATATCTCTCCCAAAGCGGGGCTGTCTGGGCCGCCGCGGTGTCAATTGAGGATCTGCTCTGCGTTGCTGTGGAGGCGAGTCTGGCTCGTTTGTTAAATCGATCACTTCATCCGTCTGGTGCGAAGCCGAGACCATAGGTCTCCGAAAGTCGAAACCATCGCCGGCGTATCTCATCGGTGGCAACCGGGGGTGTTGGCTGGGAGCTCTAGATGATGATGGCTCACCACGTTGAAAGAAACGGCGGCTGGGCGAATGAGATGATCGGGACATTTGTTCGTGATTACGCTTAGACACATAACAGTTAGTAAGGTCTCAGATCACCTGTGTTGGCACTATCAATGCCCCGCCTCCTGAAGACGATGGAGAGGATTGGGGCGAACCTTTCTCGGTCGTGCAGTCACAAACTGCACACCTGGGTCGTTGTTCATGTCAAATTTCCTGGTCTATGGGCCAGGAGGGGGGGGGGATCAAATGGCCGGAAGTAGAAGACAGAAGGAAGGAGGTGAGAAAGCCGTGGAAGTCGGAAACGACAGTTGGCGGAAGAGTTCCTAATCGTCAAAAGCAATAAGTCCGGAGCCGAGTCCATGCGGTGGAGAGATGACATGATATATGCCGCCTTCTCCAACAATTTGGCCACCGGTATTTGGACTCCCGATAAGATAAAGGAAGAATATAAAAAAAAAATTTCAAAAAAAATCCAAATAGATAAGAAGGGAATAAAGAAAAAAAAAAAAAGAGAGAAGAGGAAGAAGGAAGAAAAGAAAAATATTCACAAGGCATACTTTAATAATAGGGCCTGGATCACCACCCGGAAGGAGACGCTAATAATGTGACAGGTTCTGGTATGGGTTGAATTTCATGTAACACGGATCAAATCAATGACAGTAATTTATTGTCTTCTATTCTTTCATTTTCGTTTCTCCCAACAGTGAGGGTTGGGTGCAAAACGGCATGGATAATTTCAAGAACTAAAAGTACAAAATAATTGCTTTGCTTTTTCCTGAAACAAGGTATCATTATTACTATGCCGCCAACACTGTGATTCCACCGTCACGGTTCAGAGCCACAACACTCTGAGCCGCAGCACCCCACGCCACAGCAGCCGAAGGCACAGCGCTGCGCAGGGGCTCTGACCATGACTTAGATGCCTTGCTGTACTGCTGGACGGTCAACCCGCTAGGTCCGCCGGTGAGTAGGAACTGCCCAGTGTAATCCCAGCTGATAGAGTCAATCTGGCTACCGGTCTCCAGAGCCTTGACTTCCTGTGCGCTGCGAAGATCCCAGATAGAGACGACTGTAGAGTTTTCGGCGACTGCAGCCATGAAGGTACCATTCTCAGAGAAGAACAGGCACTTGACGGGCGCAGAAAGTGCGAAATTGGCGGCAGGAGAGCCAGACTTGACATCAAAGATCTTGACCTGGCCATCCATGCCACCGGCAGCAATAAGATGGCCATCAGGGTGGAACTTCACGGAAAGAAGAGCTGCAAAAAGAGATTGTAATTAGATCGTGTCCAATAATTCAGGTGGTGCTAGGTTTACTCACATGCATCACTGAAGATCTGGGTAATCACGGAGCTTGTCGTCAGGTCGTAAAGCACATAACTCTTATCAGCGCCAACGGAAGCGACGATGTCGCCAGTGGCATGAACAGCGAGCGCCGTGGCTGCGCCAGCATGAGACTTAAACTCAGCGACTTCATTGCCGTTCTCGAAAACTTTCACAGAGCCAGTAGACGAGGCGATGACGGCCTTATCACCTGCCCAGACAGCATCGGTAACGGAGCCAATCGCTTGGAGGCTTTGAACAACCTGCTTCTGGGATAGAGAGTAGACACCAACAGCACCATCAGTACCTCCAACAAGCGCGAGGTCTCCGGAAGCATTAACGGACAGTGCCTTGCCACCGGGATAGAGAGGCTCGCTGCTTTGAGCGGGTTTGTATGTGGAAATATCATCGCTGGTCGCCCAACCCTCTGGGACAGGGCGCTTACGGCGAGTCTTAGAGAGTCTAGTTGCAGTTAGATTTGGGGTCGGAGCCTCAGGGATCACACGAGTGATACATACGCTGCTTGTGTACTCTCAACACGTGACAATACTGCCTCAGGCAGGGAATTTGAGTCAACCTGCATTGCTTCACCACCACCAGCACCGGTCCGAGTAGCGCCGACGGACACCTTAGAGAGCGCATCACGGGCTTCGTCTCGCTCTTTGGTCAATCGCGCGATCACGCGGACGGCCGCATCATTCTGGTAGAGAGCTGTACTAAGCTCCTGGCGCGTTTGCGCCAAAGTCTGTCGCAGTGTATATGTCTCCAAGGCCAGAGCGTCCCATTCCTCTTGGAACACATTGAGTAGTGAAGGGATCGATGTGAGCGTAGGAGGTCGGGGGCGGACAACGCGCTGGGACTTGACCTCGATCAGGTCGTCGGTAGAGAGATCCTCCCCGTTTACAGGATCTTTTCCGTTCTCGGCGATGTATGCTTCGATGAGCCGCTTCTCGAACACGCTGCCTAAAGGACATTAGATATCGTGCGGGTGCTAGTGCTAGGTTACAACATACCGCTCTTGGGCGAGACGACGGGCACTTGTGGTGCCTCTCCCGAGACTATCATCAATTACCGTTAGTTTTCCATAACCTTGGAATAACATGTCACGCTTGTTACTCACTTGCACACAGCATGGTATTTATGGGGGATGGGTGGATATTGGAAGGGAAAGAGTTGATTGCTCTTCAGCGCGAGAGCTGCGGCTCCTTTGGACTTTTCGACCCTCCGCCTGGGTAATCTTTTGGGTTTAGCCGCAGATCTCTTGGCGGCAACCGCTATGGGACCCAGACATCCTCTCCAGCAGACCTCTTAAATTTCATAGCTTTACAAACACTGTATTTAGAGTGGGAGATCGCGGCTAGTTTGATACTCTGTCATTGAAGAATTCTCTCATTAGTCGCGTTCAAACTCCATTGCCCTGACTCTTAGAGGGTTGAAAGACAAGGAGAATTGAAACATTGTTATACAACTTCGCCTTGAATGATTATATGTCGCGGTAGCGATATGTCCCTGATGCTTTTTATCTACCAGGATTTAAACTAACAGTTTGCTATCGGACAACCAAGACATGTCCTTCAAATCAAAGAACCTCGCTTACGGTATGTTTGGGTCCTTATTACCGTCACATCGAGCTTTGGCTGATGCTCCAATAATAGAGGCCAAAGAACCGGCATTCTTACAGCGACTTAAAAACCAATACGGAGGCACATCCGGTCGCCTGGAGCGGCCAATTGCTCGCCCTCGAAAGCAAAAAGATAACCATGACGACGATGATGAACCTACCTATGTCGATGAAGAGAGCAACGAAGTAATATCCAAGGAGGAATATGAAGCTCTAGTTCGCGGAAGTAATGAGGACCCTGGGAAAGAAGGCCATGACCAGGGACAAAGCGGATCCCAAGACAAGGAAGAGGGCAAGGCAAGTACTGAGGCCGGAGCACCTATATCGAAACAGAACATGGCAGAAGTAGGGGGACCTAAGAAGCGAAAGCAAGCGAGGATTATCGGCGAAGAGGAGCCACCAGCAGAGAAAGATGAAACACCCCAGAAAGACACTGGGTCTCGGAAACCTAGGCAAAAGAAGAAGAAAATCAAGCTCTCTTTTGACGAAGAATGATGAACAATGACTACCAGCTTTATCAGTCATAGCTTGCTTGACTCATACCATGCGGAACCGCGTTGTTTAGTTCAGGCCGCAGTAGAATATATCGGACCAATCTGAAAGTAATTAATAATCAATAAAAAGAAAAATTCGGTATATGCACGCCTTGAGATATATCTATTCAGATATAGCCGCGGAATAATACTAGTCGCATTGTTTTTGCGGCCATCTACTGAGTGAGATTTTCCGATGATTTAATAATATTTTTCCATTTTTGTCGAAAAATTGAATTCTTCCGCAAAAGGCGGGACAACCGACTCAAACGTGATCAAACCACTGGAGGATCTTCGAACTGGCTTTTCTGGATCTAGCCTGGTCACTGACACCGGCAGTTTCCCAACATGCCCGTCGTAAATGTTGAGGATCTGGTCCGTCTGCAACGGAAACCAGATGACATACGGAATGTAAGCTGCCCCTCCATCCCACTTCTTTGATGTCACCGGCTCGCCCGCATCAAGATCGCCATTGCTAACCGCCCTCACAGATATGTATTTTAGCTCACGTTGTAAGTAACGATCAGGTTTTAACCAAATGAAATGCCACTTCTTATTAATTCTCGAAATTACCGTGTCTTAGGATCATGGAAAAACTTCTTTGACTGATAGTCTTATCGCCACTAATGGCATCATTTCACCAAAGCTGGCGGGCAAGATCCGCTATCTGGATTCGCGTCCAGATGAACAGCTTCGAGGCATTACTATGGAGTCCTCTGCGATCTCCCTTTTCTTCTCGATGATGCGTCGTCCTGCCCCCGACGCTGCTCCGGTAGCGAAAGAGTACTTGATCAATCTTATCGACTCCCCCGGGCACATCGATTTCAGTAGTGAGGTCTCTACAGCTTCACGTCTGTGCGATGGAGCTATTGTTTTAGTGGATGCTGTAGAGGGTGTTTGCAGTCAGACAGTCACTGTGCTGCGCCAAACCTGGGTCGAGCAGCTGAAGCCGATTCTGGTCATTAATAAGATCGACAGGCTGGTCACTGAGTTGAAGATGAGCCCCAGCGAGGCTTACTTGCACATGAGCAAGCTGTTGGAGCAGGTCAATGCTGTCATCGGTAGCTTTTATCAGGGTGAGCGAATGGAGGAAGACCTCCAGTGGCGAGAGCGGATGGAGGAGCGCGCCAATGCAGCTGCTGAAAAAGACCGCACGAAGAAACAAACACAGGATGATGAGTCTACCCAAGGCAGCATAGATACCGCAGAATATGTGGAACGAGATGATGAGGACCTCTACTTCGCGCCTGAGAAGAACAACGTCATCTTTTGCAGCGCCATCGACGGATGGGCGTTCACTGTCAGACAGTTCGCAGCTATATATGAAAAGAAGCTTGGGATCAAACGTTCAATCCTCGAGAAGGTGCTTTGGGGAGACTACTACCTTGACCCTAAGACGAAACGTGTCTTGGGTCAGAAGCATCTGAAGGGACGAGCTTTGAAGCCAATGTTTGTTCAATTGGTATTGGATAGCATCTGGGCTGCCTATGAGGCCACTACAGGCGGTGGAAAGGGAAAGGGGTACAGTAAACCATTTACTACACTATATATCTTTTACTGACATTTGATAGTGACCCTGCTTTATTGGAGAAAATTATGAAGTCTCTGAACATCACGATCCCGCCCTATGTTCTACGATCACGGGATCCGAAAAATATAATGACCACCCTGTTCTCTATGTGGCTACCGCTATCTACTGCGGTTCTTGTTTCTGTCATGGAATACCTTCCTAGTCCTCCGGCTGCACAAGCTGCCCGGCTACCGGCTTTGATCGAGGAGTCGCCCGGCGCTGGCTTTGTTGATACGAAGGTGAAAGAGGCGATGATCAACTTCAAGACAGGACCAGATGAGCCTGTAGTGGCATATGTCAGCAAGATGGTTGCCATCCCAGAGAGTGAGCTGCTCTCAAGCAAAAAAAGATCTGGCGCGACCATGTCGGCGGACGAGGCCCGAGAGATTGCTCGAAAGAAGAGAGAAGAGATCGCAAAAATGCAAGCAGAGGCCAACGGCGAGCAGCAAGACGACTACTCGAGGATCACATCTGCCTTTGAAAATGTCACTTTGGATGGCAACGATCAATCGGGCGAGCAGGAAGAGAAAGAAGATCCAGAACACCTCATTGGTTTTGCGCGACTTTATTCGGGAACTCTTTCAGTGGGCGATTCTGTCTACGTTCTTGCACCGAAATTCTCCCCGGAAAATCCTCTCGCTAGCCCTGTACCACAGAAGGTTACCGTTACAGACCTGTATTTGCTTATGGGACGGAGTCTTGAGCCTCTCAGATCTGTTCCAGCGGGTGTCGTCTTTGGTATTGGAGGTCTTGCGGGCCATGTATTGAAGACTGGTACTCTCTGCTCACAGCTCGAGGGCAGCATTAACTTGGCCGGAGTTTCACTGCATACACCACCGATCGTGCGAGTAGCCCTGGAGCCAGTAAACCCTGCAGACCTGGGTAAAATGGTCACTGGTTTGCGGCTCCTCGAACAAAGTGACCCTTGTGCACAGTACGATGTACTTCCTAATGGTGAACATGTCATCCTAACAGCAGGTGAATTGCACCTTGAGCGTTGCTTGAAGGACCTTCGCGAACGTTTTGCCAGATGTGAGATACAGACTGGCCAGACAATCGTACCATACCGCGAAACTATCGTCAGTGCACACGAAATGGCCGCTCCCAAGAACCCGGACCTCGGACGGGGAGGCGTGCTAGCAATATCAGGATCAAAGCAGTTGACTATCCAATTACGAGTTGTACCCTTACCTGAAGCCGTGACTGACTTCTTTACTAAACAAGTTGGAACTATCAAACGCTTACAGTCTCAGCGACGAACAGCAGCAGAAGACAAGGTAGCTAACGGAACAACGGATAACAACCAGCAGGTGGAGACCGGCGATGCAACGGATGAAGCCAGAGAAGGAAGTATACTTACCCTCAAAGACTTCAGGCAGGAATTGAACAAGATATTCGATGAAGTAGTGAAAGATGACAAAGAACTGTGGAAGGGCGTCGTGGATAGAATTACCGCCTTCGGCCCAAGACGAGTAGGACCGAACATCCTGGTCGATGCGACAGCAGTCAATACCTGTGAGAAATTGTAAGCTGAATAAAATGAACCCCTGCAATGGTCCTACATATCTTGTACTAATAAGAAGCAGCTTGCTGGAAGATCCCAAGCAACAACCCACTGTCAGTGTAGAAAACAGCAGCAGAGAAGCCCTGATAGTGCGCGACTTCTGCGACAAGATCACCCACGCCTTCCAATTGGCAACTGGCCAAGGCCCACTCTGTCAAGAACCAATGCAAGGAACGGCCGTATTCTTGGAAGAATTGTCTGTGAATGCCAGCGAAGAGGAACTTGACCTTGGTCGGTTGACAGGCGAGGCAATCAGACTGGTTCGTGAGAGCATCTCTCAGGGATTCCTGGACTGGAGTCCTCGGATCATGCTTGCGATGTACAGTTGTGAAATCCAAGCTTCCAGTACGCTCCCCCTAGAATAACCCTATGCCATCTCCATCATACAACACATACTGACCCAAAATAGCGGAAGTCCTCGGCCGTGTCTACGGTGTAATTACCCGACGCCGCGGCCGTATTCTTTCCGAAACAATGAAGGAGGGCACGCCCTTCTTCACTATTGTCGCCCTGCTCCCTGCCGCGGAATCTTTTGGATTTGCTGACGAAATCCGCAAACGTACCTCTGGCGCAGCGCAACCACAGCTCATCTTCGCGGGGTTCGAGGCCCTCAACGAAGATCCGTTCTGGGTTCCAGCGACAGAGGAAGAACTCGAGGATCTGGGTGAGTTAGCAGATAAGGAGAACGTGGCGAAGCGGTATATGGATGCTGTGAGAAGCCGGAAGGGGCTGGTTGTTCAGGGAAGGAAGTTGATCGATGCGGAGAAGCAGAAGACGCTGAAAAAGTAAAAGGAGTTTCATTTCTTATTTTTGAATGGAGATACGGTACGAGAGGGTAGAGAAAGCAATTGGATGTTGCACTTGGTTTCTACATGTTGTACATACTGTACAGAAGGAAAAAAAAAGTCATTGGGAAGATTACACCACGTTGCATTATTGTATATGCTCTGAAGCTGCTACATGTTCTTGAAGATATTATACCCTCAAACATGACAGTTCAAATCTATGGAATATAGATATGGAGAGGTCAGAAAGAGGGTCGTGAAGATGAGTATTTCCCCACGCGAGATACCATTAATCTTCCTCCGTTGACAAACACAGTTCAGCATGGAAAGCCAGAACCATGTATACTATGGAGGTGTGTTCGGGTAAGTCCGTGAAAACTGTCTAGAACTTTTGGAAGAGTGATTGTATTCTCTTAAATTAGCTTGTTCGTAACTCATCACACATCATTAGATGTGAAGCGCATGAAGCACTGGCGCACCAGGACTTCCGATATGTACAGCTGTAGTATGCAAGGGGGCATCTTCTCCCCGCGAAGGACCTAGAGCTTCTCAACTCCAGTCGCATAGCGTCTGTCCAAAACAAAACGGCTCCGAGCCGGACGCCGTGAATTCCTTCTGGAACAAGGGACCAACGGATCTCTCCAGCCGTCCGCGCCAGCACGCGAGTTCGTCCCAGAAGTACCAAGAAACAAGGCATCGCATAAGAGCCTTTCTCAGTCTTATGATTGTAAAAAGTAGGGGCAAAAACCATCAGTCCACAAACCGACAACCCTCGAACAAGAATTCAGCCCATCAAAAAGGTCTCGCCACCTTCCGCAACTCCGTTTGGCCGGAGACAGAATCTCGCATCTCCTTCCAGCTAACCGGGAACATCATATTACCCGCCTCGCTACGAGCCATGACGACACCCAGATCATTGCGCGCAGTCGTCAAATAGTAGAAGCTCTGGTCACCGAGAGAAATGATCGTGCCACGGACAATATCACCAACGCGGAACATCTCGTCCATAACGACGCGGTCCTTCTCAACAGCACGCACATCCTCCTTCCGGATCAAAGCCTGGAACCGCAGTTCATCGGAACTGCTGTGGTTCTCTGGATTGGCGGCGGAGGAGAGAATCGCCTCGATATTGTCGTTATCTGACGTCGTCTGCGATGGATTGACGCCCTGTGTGTTGGCTGATTCATCCAGGACAACGAGAATGGAGACCGTAGCCTGGCGTTTCTGGACCCGTGTCACGCGCGCCAGCACCACCGAGTCAACTGCGGGGAGTGTGTTGTATTTCGGTTTGGGTTTGGGGGTAGATGTGGAAGTTGCTGAGGGCTTGGCACCGACGGGCGTGGTTACGGGCTTCGCGGCATTGCCTGTTCCAGGGGCCCTGGGGGAACGAGAGACGCTTAGAGTGGCCTTGCCGTTCGAACCTGGTTGCGCCGGATCGACGACGACTGGGCCGGCGATGGAGGCGTAGACATTGTATTGCTGTACGTGGGTGCCTGGGCCGGCGGAGTAGGAGGTCACTGGGCCCAGACGTTGGCCTGGAATGGCCAGAGCTGGGAGTGTGCTTGCCATGGCAGGACGGAGGGGAAAGAAGAGAGATGTTGATGTAAAACTGAAGCCTCGATCTGTTGAGGGACGCAAGCGAAAACTTGTCGGCGTTGGAGAAAAGCTTTCCCGGTCCACTTGCTAGCTTTTCTCACCGCCTTCTTAGGTTAGCACGGACCCTATTGTCCTTTGCCCTATTCATCAACCGATCTTGTTAGAAGTCCTGATGGAGTATTCCTCAAGGCGAAGGACATATTCTGAATTCGCGTAACTAACAGGTTAGTTGGCTATCTGAACACTTTAGTACACATCGTAAGTTTCCTGCTATCTACACCATTAACCTGTATTCGGTGTAGTGCAGCTTCTAGTATACGTAAGACAGGGCTTTGAGGTCAGAAAAATAAATATCCACAAGTTGTCAGTTTTTGTTTCGAGATGCCGATTTATTCTCGAGAGCAAGGGTGACTCTGGTGGTGACTCTATTGTATTTGAATTCTACCTGATTCCTTTTTCTCTCATCGTTACCATCGATAGCTCCTGGCCATCCAAGTGTATATCTCACTGTACGTTGCTATAGACATCTAATTTAGTGTCGCATGAGGTCTGGGCCGTTGGGTGATAGATCCATGGTGCTTTGAGTCTATTTGGGCTAGGTATAGGGCTCACCTAGCTAGCCTTGAGTATGTAGCCGTAATGGATTAGAGGGCAATTGCTTTACCTGATCATGGCTCTGAGCCATCGAGCATTTCCAGTTATCGTTCAAGGTGATGTTTGAACCGCAAGACGGTATAGATAAATAAAGATATAGATATAAAATAAGGTTTGAACTAGAAAAATTCGAAACGGCATAATACGAGGCACTACGGGATTATTAATCCTTATACGATGCCACAAAAAGTCTAGATTTTGTCTCGTGGAAGTTACCGCTATGGAATTTTGAATTTCAAACAAATGGGATTGTCTGTCTCCCTCGTGTTTTGAGAGGAAGGAATAAGCTAAGAAAGTCAACCAATGAGAGTGGAAGGATTGTTGGATTTATATGTTACAGACGGGCTTCTAGAGAGACTGATGGAGGAACTAGCAGGTTAATTAAGATATCCCAGTGTACTCGGCATTTTCTAGGAACGAAGCACACACCAACATCTCGGGTAGAACCACTGTAATATTCTAAATTCGCATAAACGCTTCTTGAACAGACCGCCGAGACGCTAAATGGCTCCTTGGAACACCAACAGTGCTCTAAGAGTCTCAATCATTAGATGGAAAGCGGGTCCGAAGTAGGGAAGTACTAATATGCTCCGCCTCGAGCTGAGGTTCTATTCGTGAACCACAGAATAAAGATGAAGTGCGTGCTAGACTGTCAGAGACGGGCCAACCGGTGTCTCTGTTATGGAGTATAGGGGCGCGGTTGATACTTGGAGCACAGCATAAAAACTTAGAATTTTCTACAGCTTGCGACCTGGGACTTGCTTTTTGGATAAGTTCGTTTTCCCTTCGCGGCCAGCGACTACTACTCCAATTCCACGCTCATCTAAGTGCATCAGTCCTGGGAGAATGTGACGGCCAGCCGCCACATCACTCCAGCAATATGGTCGCTCTCACTGGTGATCGGAAGTCAGTCTTGGAGGGCACATGGGCCCTTGGAGCGATAGCGATTGTGATAATGGGACTCCGGGTTTTCGCGAAAGGGAGGCTTCACCATTTCGGCCCAGACGACCTAGTAATGTTTACAGCTCTGGTGAGTTTACACCAATTATCGGGACAGGGGTTTAGTCACCTCTGGAAAACCACAGAGCAGTGTTGCAAGTCTGAACTGTCTTTAACCGACGATATGTATATGACAGGTCTTCGCACTCGCCGCATCTATATTCTTCACAATTGCAGTCCTCGACTACGGTTTTGGCGCTGGTCTGCCCGAGTCCGATGATGTCAATGCCCTCAAGTTCTACACGTTAATGGAAGTTTGCGGCGTCGTTGGCACGTGTCTTGGCCGAGTAGCCTTTATCCTCTATCTGTTGCCAATCCTCTCGACAAGGAAACTCTTCAGGAACAGCTTATGGGCGTTGCTAGCGCTGCAGATCGTCGCGAATTCTGTTATGGTTATCCTCATCTTGGCTCAATGCCGCGATATACGCGGGGTATGGGACCCCGAATATGCGACGAACTGCATGGAAGATTATATTCAGCTTCGTTATGGCTATTTCATCTGTGGTACGTCAGTCAAGCTCAGGCAGTTCTTATCCTCTGCTAACTCAAATGAATCGACTATAGCCTGCAACACTTCAGCCGATTTGCTACTCGCGATACTTCCGAGCTTTATCTTCTGGGATCTTAAATTGCGGCCCATAATCAAGTTTAGTCTCATGGCACTGACAAGCTTAGGCCTCGTGTGAGTACCTCGCTTTGTATATTTTCAAATTGATACCGCACTAACGAAGATATCCCCTACACAGCGCAGCAATCGGCGCCATACTGAAAGCTGTATACCTCAAAGCGATTCTAGAGTGGAGCACCACAGCCAACGCAATAAATCTCACCTGCTGGTCCATGATCGAAAGCTACCTTGTCATTATTACTGCATCAATTCCTTGCCTGCGTTCACTGGTCGTTTCGTCCGCGCGCCAGTTCTTCGCGAGTGACAAGTCTAGCATTTTCCCAATTACCTCGTCATACAGGAAGAGAACGACTAGCCACGGGCGCATGACGGATCGCGTGCAGGGAAATCACGCGGCTTCGGGGAGTACGCAGAATTTCTTTGTTACACGAGGCGAGGAGATTGAGCTGGGAAATACTAGGGCTTCTGCTAACGCTAATGAGGGCTTGGATGGGCTGGAGAGTCCTACAAGTGGGATTGCGAAGACGGTGGATATTAGTATTACCTGGGATCAAGGGCATGGTAGGGGTCCTCCGGGTTCTAGGATATAGCGTTCGCTGTATATTTTCTCATATTATATAGTACGTAAAATAGTCCTATATATTCGACTGGTATAGTCTTTTATTGATGGTTGTTTCTCCTTGTCTGTCTGTAACTACCGAAGGGAATGTTGTTGAAGATGGACAACTCGACATTATACCGGGTATCCGAGTAGAGAGCTCGCCATGGATTAAGCTATATTATAGGTTTGTCATCACGTTGAGATGACGGGTTTAGGCCCAATCAACAAGGCCATGTCTGTCAAATGTTGACTGAAGGGTCGCACTATGTAGAACTAACAAATTAGAGAGCGATTATTGTACATGGTCTTTGCGCTGAGCCATCAAGGGCTGCTAGCCATTTCTCAATGTGACCCTTTCTAGAACGTATAGAACATATAGTCTTGTAACTATCGTCTAATTTACCGTCGCTAGAGCTTCCAATGTCCTGATAAAAATGGCCTTCCTGGATTGGAAACCGCTCAGTAAACTCGGTCATGACCGTATTTGAATCTGATATAATTCTGCCATGCAGCTTCGACACCCTGGCTTTCCTCGTCCAAACCGACATAGTAAGCGGCCATCGGTAGAGTCTTGAGGACTTCTGGGACTAGATAAACTAAGGTCTTGGTCGTTAATCCGCTGGCAGTCGAGTCGGTTCGACTAATTATAGAAACGGAAACTGTATTAATGAGAGAGTGGCGTCCAAGGTAATGCCGACCCAAGCGAACTAACACTGGTAGAGGTACAGGTCCAGTTCCCCGTTCGGTTGTCCCGAAAGGGTGGGCTGCTTCACGTCCTGCCGCCTCATGACGCTTCTTTGTTGGGGTTTTAGAATAACCACTAGAGCGGCAGTGTTTACCGGGTGATGAATGGCCTCCAGGAAGTCGCTTTGGTGGCCGAAACCACGGTTGCAGGTATTCCAGCCCTAAAATTGTAAGTCAAGGCGTGGTAAGAATCGGCACAGGGGACAAATGTGCTGGGTCATTTTGTGCTCATGGAGAGTAACGGCAGACCGAACGAGGGTTGTTCCGCGGCAACTACCCTTCTCGGCACACCATACTACTTATCTTAAAAGTCCTAAGGAAGCTCATTTGCTTCCAGTATAGCTTTGGCGTGTTCGCACGAAGATGACTTCTTAAACCACATGCCATTCGCGCATGTTCCCGAGTTAAAAAGTCATCCGAATATCTCCAGCTGTCAGCTCAGGAGACCTCACTCGGCCTAAATGGAACTACCGTAAGGTTGACAGAGAATCACACCTGTATATGATTATCCTTCCTCTTCATTATCGTGATAAGCAAGTCCTCCTGCAAGCGCCGTCGTTCAGCACGCAGGTGTTCGATTTCCGTTTCTAACTTAGCAACGCGAGCTTTGAGACTAGCTTCGGTACTCTTCACTTCCTCAATATCTCCCTCTAGCTCCGTTATACGAGTCTCAAGGACAACTTTGGTACTTCTCACGTCCCCTTTATCGAGACATAGTATCCGTTTACAGTTTTCGCACTCCGTAACGCAAACAGTATCAGCTTTAGCGTCGTCAAGAGCAGTTTTCAACTCATCGGAATTCCATGCCTCAGACATATCCATCTGTCGGACATGTGTGATAGCATGTCGCAATCGAAGACATGAAGAAGATTTCGTCTGTGCTGCTGCATTGCTCGCAGAGCGCTGAGGCCTCCGCATAGAATCGACAGCCTATCTCGAAAAGTAGCCACGCAACAGGATCATACACCTGGCTAGAGCTTGGCCTTCCTGGAGATATGGAGTCTGCGCATCTCGAAAATTCCAGCGAGTTATGTCCACAGACTCGCCCTTGTCATTAAAAATTGATCATCGTCACTTGCCATCTCGTCACACATTTCCACAATCAAGCCTGGAACTGCTTTGTGGTTTCTTGCAGTGTGTCGAAGACATACTGCGATAGGTATCCGTACTAGGGATTTCAAGCTCCGCTAATGACTCATTAAGGATCTGCCGATTGCTACATATGATAGAACGGATCACTGCCCAATAAAGCACATATACATAATATGACAAACAGGCCCTCGAGTCGGGGAGTCCGAGGCTTGCGATGAGTCCTCAAAACTATTTGGGATGATGTCTAGCCTGCGGTAATACCAGTACTCTTCAAGATCCTGTCAGAGCCAAGACGGCGTCCGAGTAGTGTTGCGCCCTCGTACCTTGCAGGTCAACTAGTGCCAGTCTGAAGAGCAGCTTGCAAAGCGGTATACATTATTCCTTGGCTGTCTTTAAATGTATTTATAAACCAATCTTCTTGGGAGAGCATCTCAGCGGAGAGAACGAATAGTGACTGCGGAGAGCTAGCCACCTCCTTCCGGGTGCTCGGCCTCTTGTAGGTGGGAGGCAATCCCTTCGAGAACGCGCTTTTTCGGAATGACATGTGGTTACTGTGATACCTGCCGTATAGTATTATGGATATTCTTAGTCCAGCTTGGGTGTATTTGCTAGATACGTAGATATCAGTTAGAGCATTGAAGGTTGATCTGTATTTGCGCCCCAGGAACATGAGGGGTAAGGATATAATGAGGGAAGATAGGAAGATCTAGAGGGTGGGCGAGGCAGCTTCCGCAAGAAACGGGAAGATCCTCAGCAACGAGTGATTTTGCTTGTCATCGGGGACGGGGGGTTGCTTGTCTGATTGCTTTTTCGCTGTTTTCTTATTTCTTGAACCCGATGGGCGTCCTCTTTTCTTCGGGAGGGTTAGGGGAGTAAGTAATGTAGGGGGGGACTAGGCGATGCTGCAACAGGCCTTGCCTGCTTAGGGGTCAACTTGGCCTTGTCTGGAGGAGCCAGGGTAACTATTGCCAGTTGCGACATAGTAGGCATCGTCTTTGACATTTTCTTGTTATCTGGGGACGAAGTCTCAGTTGACAGGCCTGTGGCGGTTTCTGCTTGGTTCGCAGTGACCACTCGTGGCCTTTTGGGTGGTATTGTGTCGATGCAGTAGTACGGTGTATCAAGGAATAATGATCATTTTGATTCCTTTTGTTTGTGGACATTAAGAATGCATGTTAACCGTACAGGCGGGTCTCAAAACCACCGTGTACTGAGAACAATGATAGCACTGCTGCGAGGTCATCGGGGGCTTACGAGGACGTAATACCAGCATTTCTCATGGAAGAGCGTGCTGAAAACATTTGATAGAATCAGTCAGGGCTCGTCTGGAGGGTTGAAAGAAGACGCCGGAAGAGATACAGTGTCAAGGTGAATACAGGCGTGGTTACTATATCACAGTGGGGCACACGGGTGTTTGTGAGAAGTTTATTGCAATCGAAATGGATGGGCTATTCGGCATTCAATATGTGATATAGGTGTAAAGTAAGTTGGTCTAAGATAGAAAGGAACAAAATGAACGATTGGGAGGGAGGGCAGAACGCATATATATGCTATTTAGTGTGAAAGGCTATGGTTCGGACTCCACTTATCCTAGGAATATCCAATTCATCATCTCTAGGGTATAGCGCAAAGGGCCCTATGAATACACGATTACATTCTTATACTACGGGGCTTGAAGGTGCAGGTCCAATCCCATCACTATCTAGGGCAGGAAATCTTTAATATACCCGTGAATCCATGACCAATTGTATGGTCTAGCAGAACGCTCCAAGGTTATATGTGGACCCCTACAATATTTTGGCGAAGTCCAAGTGCGTGACTCGTTTCATAGGCTCGTTAAGCTTAAGCAGGTACTTAGATTTCGTTTAGTAAACATGTACGATTAACTTCGGCATACTCTTGTATCTATAATGACAAGGGTATTATACTGGCGCAAATTTCGTCGTGATTCTATAGCCCTACTAGTACAAAAACCCTAAGTCATTTGGAAGAAGAAAACAACTATGTTTAGACTGCAAGGCCCAGTCGATTGCTTTATACTGGGACATCCTTCGGCAATACGATATAACGTGATACCCTGCAACATAAGCCCTAGGCAGCCTCTTGGCCCACAGGGAAACCAGTCAGATATCACTTTGGTGCCACAAAAATCGGCAAGTCATATAATTAGCGGTAGAAAAGAAAATAACTACACTAAAAGCAGAAACATTTCGGCTACTGTCTCTGTAACATAGCGCAGAGGTTGTGATACATCCAGTTTATTGTCTCTTTGTATTGTTGGTTAACAAAATGCGGAATCATACATCTATTACCGTCGTTGGGAAGTCCCTGCTTCAGCAATAATCCAATGCACATGCTGTGCCGCCAGGAAATTGCGATCATGTTCGAACACCAACAGAAGGCTCGATTAACCCTCCTTTGATGCGAAGCTCCTGAAAATTTAGGTCTCACTGGTCAACATTTGACGAAGCCCCGGGTGTAACAGGTCTAACATAGTTGAAAATCTTTCGTGTAGTTGGCACTATTGAATGGCGCGAGAATTTGAGCCACCATATACCAGGAATAAACCTTGAAGTGGACTTATGATACCCCACCCACTCTACGCCGAACCTGTTACGTAGCATTGCGTCTTCCCTGGCGATTCATTAAGGGAGTGTGAAGGCTGCTGTAATAGATGTGAATAAAACCTCACTCCACACAATGCCCCTTATCATTGTCGAACTTGGCCCATTTCCGATCCAACATCTGGAATGTCCGTCAGTACGGAGAACCAAGCTTGCTAATGGAAGTACGAGTAACCATATATCTATATATCTAGGGTTTTATTGTATGCCGGCAAACGAAGACGGCCCTCAGTAGTTGACAATCGTAGGATGAAACCTGAGTATATTGACCAGGTAAGAAGATCCTGGTTCATTGGTCACTTGCGGGCAGATGTTCATTTGGAGTTCCGACGGGGAATTAGGAAGCAATCCCGAAACTACTGAGACGCAAATGTTTTAATGGAGAATTTTGAAGCATTGGTGATGACCTGTCGTGTTGTTAGGTTAGCTGCATGGAAAACTCTGATTTGTTGAGCTTTACAAATTTCCTGGCCGATTCGATCGATTACCACAGAGTAAAGTGGGTTGGGATGCGTTGCGCTAACTGAACGCTTGAGAAGACAAAAGAAATAGCAAATCGCAAAATAAAGGTTGTCTTGTTAGTATCGGAGAGCATTATATCTGTAGAATTAGTGGAACTACAATTGAAGGAAGCCCAGGCCCTCTCAAGCATTTCAAGACCAGGGACAAATGTATCGCAAGGTACATTACATGTTTACCAATGGTTGGTATGCAATAACTGACCGCACTTTTACCCTAGCTGACTCTTCCGGTAGACCATCTTTTAGGGACATGGTCTATTGGGAGGAAAGGCAACCCTCGCATCCTTACATCTTAATCGTCCTAAATAGTGTGTGGAGGACTTTCGATGTGACTTTCGTGACCATATGATATTACACAAAAAGCTCAATAGGAGTAAGTGGAGTCGAATAGTTCCAAAACTTGGTGGAGACGCTATATTCGATACGGCCACTACGTGAGAGAACAATGCGCCAACAATTTGGAGCTAGCTGATGGACAAGAATGATGGGTACACATCGTACAGCTTGGGTAACGACAATATACCGACCCAGCACTGCATATGTTTGAGACCTACACGGTCTTGCATTATCTAGTCAGGACTCTCGATTACCTACGCTAGTTTTCACTGCGCAGGTGCTTAGCGAGATGGACATAGCATACTCTGGGTGTATACTGTCTGATTGGTCTTCGACTCTAGTACTTTTAGTAGCCATATATTGATACTGCTAACGATTGTAAAAGGAAGGAAGGAATGGAAGAACTTGCGTCAAAAGCATTTCCTGTGGGTTTCGAGCTGTACACAATTCAGCGAGTCTCTAGAAGACGGTGGATTAAGAACCTCCATGATACTACGAAAAAAATGCTACTCTTACGCCATGACTAGCAAGAAATGCAATGATCATAAGGAGCACTGATGGCGCGCTGTTAACTACCAACATCGGTCGATCTGTGATACGGAGACAGGAGCGGAAAGCAGGCTGGGGATGCATCTCTGTAACAACAGGTAATAGGATCCGGTGGTACTATATGGAGGCTATCTAAGAATAGTACCTATGCCTTCTAGATGATATGGAACAGTAAAGAACCTCTTCAAATGCGTAAGATCTGCAAGTAAGGAAGTTTATTTTTGGTTTATTTTTAAGTCTTGACTGAGTATTTGTAGAAGATGAAGACATGGCTCCATGAACACATTATGATAGTTAAAACGAAAATGTATTATGTTTCTAAAGCTCTTCCAGCCTCAGCCTCGAGCGACAGTGAAACAGCACAGCTTCTTCCTGCAGAATTTAAAAACAGTTCTTGTCGAGACCGTTAGGTGATAGCGGTGGCGGTAGGCTTGTTCATGATACGGAAGGCATTCATGCCAGCGATGAGACCGGCATCTTTGGTGGCCTGACGCTGGGAGTCGTTGAGGGGGCAGTGAGGACAGCGTTGTTGACGGAGCTACCGAGGTAAGACTTAGCAGCCTTACTTATCTTGGTGAGGGCCATCGAGGAAATATTCTTAGGAGTGAACGTCTTCTGCTGCCCTTAAAACTCAAAGTCTAAGACGGGCTTGTCCACGGAGGCCCTAAGGAGAAATCACGATAAACAGCCTAATGTGCATAGATCATGAGAAGCTATGCTGTAAAACTCTCCCTGATGGTTTTACTGGGATGTAGGAGAATATAAGCTACCTCATTGACTGGTTTCTTGACAAAATTTCGACACCTGCCCATCGACAGTGCAAGGAGAGGATATCGATCCTTGACCCCCAGGACGCCGCATTTCACTGGGTTTTTCGCAATGTCGACAGTAAGAAATGGTGGAATCTTATGGACTGCTCGACCCTCTGGTTTCCGAGCACGTCTGAGTGTTACCTTAACCATATCTCGTCCTCCATCGTGAACGAGGCAAGAACCCGGCTCTCAAGGACCAACACCCTGGTTCGTTACTTTTTCTGTCGTGCTGTTGATGAGACAGAAGGAAACATGCGAACCTTGTTAAAAAAACCTGCTGCATCAAATTGTCTACAACCCTCCGAGAGAGAAGAGGACGTCAATAGCGAAGCATTTTATGGAGGCAATCCCCGCACAGAGACTTGACGAGCAAGATGTATCCCTAAAGGAAGCTTTACTGCGTGCATCTATCGACAAGCTTCAGACTGCCTTGACTGGGCTCATTGAAGAACGAGAGGATTTGGTGGTTTTCGTGGACGGTGCAGACCCAGGAAGAATTACATTTGGGGATCTGCTCCCTTGTGTTTGACTGGCGTGAACAAGGGAATAAGATCCATGCTCTTGTAACGAGTGAACCGCGTGTTGCGACGAAGCAGGAGACAATAGAGAGCCTCGGCAATCTGGCACATATTGACTTTGACGAAGAACGAAAAGGCCTACCTTGTCAACCCATTGCTCGATATTTCGAATAGTATTACCTTCGTATTATACAGTGGAAGGGTCATTATAAAGCACACAAGGAAACATAAACACTTTACTAGTACATATATAGCTATACTCTAGACCTCTATAAATTATATAAGAAAATGTTTGGGAGATCACTGCCGCTATAATATGTCGGTAGATATCTTCCGGTAGATTTCTCTTTTTGTAAGCGGAGTACTTTATCCAGATCTATATCTTGAAGTCCAGACTTAATATGGGCGAGAGAAACTTTATGGACCGCCTTGTATTTGATAATAGGTATCGGGACCTTCCTCTCGGGGCCCTTATTATAAATACAGAACTGGTCGGCCCGGGGTCGGGAGTTCCTTGGCTGTGTAGGATTCTGGCTTCTTCCTGGCGGCTGAGCTGAAAGCCCAGCACTGCCTGATCTTGCGGTCAAGCGATCAGAGCGACGTGGCTACCTTTGAGTTAGGCTCAGAGAATCCATATCCGCCGCTATGTTTGACCTGTCTGTTAGGGTATTGGCGTGGTTTTCAAAGGCGACGTCTTTACTGAGATAAAAGATTTATTGAAGTCGCGGATTCGCGTGTAGCTACTTGACGACTGGAGCGACGCGTGACTCAAACGTCTGTCGTTGAAAGTAACCCAATCCGACTCCGAGCTTACTGTCCTCTCTCAGGCGTCTTTGCCATATTCCTTCAACGCTAAAATGGCATCAGTCACGAACTCGGTATTCATTAGGGCCTCCTATATTGAAGTCTGTTCGTTTGGAAAGTTAGTCTACTCTTGAACCTTGGCCGGTCGGAGTTTCTGGTCAGCGTTCGCCGGGTCGCCTTTTGTGGACAAGTCTTTGTCTTTCTGGATGAAGTGACCGAGAAATACGTGCACATGGCAGGTGTCGAGAAACTCGGGAACTGTCGTTTCTTGAGTCTGGAGCTTCAGTTATTTTTCAGCTTGTTCGCGGAGTTGCTGTTCTTCTTTTTGGAGTCGCTGCTCTTCTATCTGTGACCGTTCGGCTTACTCTCTGAGTCCCTGCTCTTCTTCAAGACGCCGGTGTTTCTCCTGTATCTCCTAGAGGGACATTCCCGCTGCCGTTAGCTGAGTGTCTATCAAACCGATTTCTGATAGGATATTTGTTTGGGCGGCCCTGCCAGAAATCCCCTAACCTTAAGAAAAGTGATTTATGGGCTGCAGCCAATGGTTTTGTTTAGCCTGCCGCCTGGGTGGGCTGCTCCAGAAATCCGCTGCCTCCTTTGATAGGTAGATACCAAAATGAACTAATTAAGGCCGTCTCGCCAAGCGCTGACCATGTCACAGTAACTTACATCAAAAGCATACCGGGGACGGACTCACCATAGTCTAGCTTGCATGGAGATAATTTAACTATGCGAGGGGGTGATTGTCCTCTGGCGGGCCAATTTTTTTCGATTATGCCTCTCCAGTGTAATAAATAATCTTCTGTTCCAGCAAATCCCTATCCACCAACACGATGTCGCAGACAACACCGCCTCCCCTAACCTCTACCTTTACGCCAGCTCCATCCTGCTTCAGCGATATCTATATTTGGAACAACACGCAAGGGCTGAACTGCGTTGTGGGGAAATCCTCCCAGACATGTAGGTTAAACAGCCTCGGGCCCCCGAACCCCCATGACTGCCTCCCGCCTGGATTCAATTCCTCGCCCCAGTTCTACTTCTCGCCGGGCGTGTGTCCTTCAGGATATTCGATCGCATGCTCTACGGTGGCCAGCATTGGGACACTTTCAGAGACAAGGGCGACATGCTGTCCTAGGTATTTTTTTTTTTTGGTTTATTTTGTCCCTAGTAGTAGTTCCGTGTACAGTATCTAACTCGAAAAGTGGCTTAATCTGTCAGACCAAAAGCGATTGGCCGTGGTACTCAACTGAACCGTGCACTTATGGCGCATCGTTTGTAGAAACATGGGCATGGACCTCGTCAACCGATGGAGGATGGACGATGGGCACCTCAACGGCGCTGAAAGGATTGAATGCGTATGGGATTTCTATTCGATGGCAGAGTACCGATTTCGCGTCGGCTGCCACAGCGACCAGCATTCCCCGATCTTCTCCTGGCGCCACGGTTTCTGCAGATCAGGCGACATCAACATCGCCTGCCACAGCGGATCCCTCCTCGGGTCTCTCGACAGGATCTAAAGCGGGCATTGGCGTTGGCGTGGGAGTAGCGGCTCTGCTCTTTATCGCGATTGCATGCGTGCTGTTCCGCTACAGGCGACGACACGCGGCTGTTTCTGTGAACAGTGCGAACACTCAGGGCGCGACCTTGCGGCATAACCCTTCAGGGTTGTGGGAACTGCCGGCTGGGGAGGCAGCCCGAGAATTGGACTCAGGCCCCGGGACATCAGAGATCGATGGATCAACCTCCCGGGCGGAATTGGCCGCGCATTAGCGGTCTAACCATTATTGATATATAGTAGTCATGGAAATGTATATATTATTTACCTGCTTGAGAAGGAGGATAGGTGTCTTGATACCCTAGCCAAGCTGCGAAAGGAAATATGGTGCCTAGGATACTCATAAACTACGAATACCGAAGGACCTTGTGGTAAATTTCTTCATCAGTAAAAAAGCCTCCTTCGGAATCAAGGAGAGGCTTCTTAATTAAGACACCGTTAGCATGGGCCGCAAAGTGTAGTTATGAGGGGATAGTAAAACTGCTGCTTCCTGGAGGAGCATCCATGGAGGTTAGAGCAGCCGATAACAGCGCTCCTTTATACTTGGCTGCCAAAAAGAGACATGTGGGGATTACATTACTATTACCCGAGCAAGGGCGAGCTTGGAGTGTAGAAGCAGTAATGGTTGGACACCATTATTCTGGGCTGCAGGGAAGGGACACTTCAAGCTGATGAAACTTTTGGTAGAACGTGGTGTCATCTTGTGGACGAAAGACATTAACGACCACACGACTCTCTCTTTGGCTGCTTGAAGAGGGCACGAGGATGTCGTGAATCTACTGGAAAGTCAAATGTGCAAAGTATGATCGGCTAGTGTTAGCTGAAGTCAAGCTCGTGCGTGGGCTGTGTATTATATGCCAGGTAGGAGGTGAACACCGCTAGAGACACAGGCATGACAGTCAAAACTATTCTCCAACCCAGTCACAGTTAACAACAAAAACCCAGCCAACATACCGTTTGGTCTTTGCTCCTGAAGGCTGTACCGAGTAGTACAGGAGCAGACAGGAAGTAGAGAAGGAGACATCCTCTTATGCCGATATTATGCTGTCTTTTCAGACGTACTTTTGCTCTAAAGACGATAGCAAATATGTTGCTGGCGTTTTCGATCACCCCGGATTATCAGCGTAATTGAAATGCGAAGTGAGATGACGCTCTCACTTAATCTTTGAAAAGCTCGATACAGAGCACAATCAATTTACATGCGTCCTTCCTAGAATCTTCGTTTAAACCGACATCACTAGTCTAACGCTGCCTCCTTCAGGAGCCCCCATATCCAAACTACACTCGATTATATAGCACGACCTAGAATGGTAATACACAAAAGATTCAGTACACAGTCAAGCCACCTAGTCTTTATCAATAAGGTAGCTAAGACGTGTAACACGTCGCAGACTCCATCAACAGACTATCCATTCCTGCAACTCATACATTGTATCCTTAGTATAAACCGGGTACGGAGTAACCTTAGCAAATCTTTTCACCTTACCCATAAATGACAGAACACCAGCTGAGAGTGACAAACAAGTCAAAAGCATCAGCCACCAATGGAAATCTCTCACCTATCTGAACAGAGTTCTTGAAAGCCCACCTATACAGACATCTCGCGGAGAGTAATAATCTAGATAATGCCCGCCGCAAACCAGCTCAATAGATCCTTGCACGGCAGCAGTCGCAACAAAGTTCGTGTGTTACCGCCAAAAGACCTAATCAACAGCCAAATTGGCCGCCACAGTGCAGTCCTTTAAAAAGAATATTGGGTCATTGATCCTGCCCTAGCCAGCTGTGATCAGCTTGGATAGAGGCTTAACAAAGGACGTTGTACGCTAGGTCTTCCGTAGTTATGCTTATATGAGATATACATGGTTTCGTACTAGCTGAGCATTTTATTGAGATTTTGACCCAATATATACGTACAATGATCTTGCCACAAAAAAAGGGGAGAACGAGACAAGGTTTCGATGTTGTACAAGATAGAAAATAGCCATAAAGATTTGTAGAATACAATAAAGCAATGGAAGATGAATATTAATAACAAAGAACGAAAGAGAAGGGCAAGATAGTGAACAATTAGTTGAATGTGATAATAGGGGGGGGGTACCGATAAGTTTTACATGGAGAATATGATTTTTCCATTTTAAAGATGGCCGTGGCGCCGATGAGAACCCATACGGCGATGGTGGTGCGAGCGTTTGGCTGGATCGGTTGCCGACGACGTTGGTGGAGGAATGGACGAGGACAGGGGTGTTGATGAGGTTGGGAGGGTCGATGAAGGGGTAGTAAGCGGCGTTGAGGAAGCTGAAGATGTTGGGCGGATACTGCTGGACGGGGTTGCGCTTCCAGAGGGAACTGGAGTACTACTGTCTTCCGAGCCGAGAGGGTAGCACCGTGGTTCAAGAGGCGCGGTATATTCCTACCCCAGAGTGTTAGTTTGGCTCTTTGAGATGTATTGAATGGTACATACAGCAAGGGTTTTATCAACATCGGGTGTGCTGTTCTTGTCGCCAACCGTGCCTTCGAAATTCAGGCTGAAGCTTGCAGATGGATCAACCTTGACGCCATTCTCCCGGTGCTTAGGATCATCGGGACAAGCCCCTTCAGTTTCTTTGATTGGTCAGTATCTCATCAACGAGAAAAAGTGCACTGGCAAGTACTTACCATGAACAGCAGAGATAGTGGCAGCAAGATTTGGCTTCAGATTGAGACCGATTTCAAAGCCCTTGCCTATATATCTTTGTTAGGTATGTATCCGCAGATATTTTGGCAGCGGCCTTACCTATCACCTGCGCAGAGATCTGCAGTGATACCTTAGGATGAAGCTCGATTTCTCCTTCAATCTCCGCGTCAACTGTCATCGGAATAGCCTCAACAGAAGGTGTCCACCCGGATGCCTCCACATTACGCGATGGCATGTCAATTGAAACCTCAGCAGAATCATCAAGGTTGACCGACATTCCCGCTGTGATGGTAGCAGTGCCAGTGACCGGACCCATGATATACCCCAGGCTGAAAACAATTTGAGGTCCAATGTTCAAGATTCCACCAGGAATAGAAATACCAGTAATTGGAATTCTTCCAATGTCTATCTCCCTGCTTGTCTGGTCCTTGAAGTCACCATCCAATGCTAGCCGTGGCATAAAGGTGGCAGATACGCCGTTAGGGCTAAGACTCAAGCTGCCAGCCCTTGGAATTTTTGCAACAGTCTTCACGTGGAGGCCGAGATCAAAGGCCCCGTGAGTGCTACAGTCCGCACAGTCCCAGGTCACGTCAATCTTATCATCGGGAAGTCTTCCGCTTTTTACAGGCACAATGTGGTTGAAGTCCAGAGATGCGGATCGGTCAATGTCACGCCTTGCTGCTGAAGAGGGAGCCTTTTGATTTCCTATGATGAGCTCATAGGTATGTGCGACCTCTTCCCAGTGCGAAGCTCTACCCTGCAGGTTTGTTGTCTTAGTGCCTTCATCGTATGTGATTCTGGAAACGACAAATGGAAGCCGGTTGGTGTTCCACTTGCAGTAGCCTTTTCCAGCCACCATTACAAAGGTACGGTCGTCCAACTCATTGACCCATTGCCAGGCGTGCTTTGTGTAGGCGTAGGCTTGCTCTTCTTTGAACGTCATTCCAATGCTCCTGTTGGTGCAGTGAACTGATTCGAGAAGGTTTTCAAAGCGCTCCATAGACACAATGCTCTCTTGCTCCCCCTCAACGGAGACTGTGAAGTTTGCCAGTGATAACTGTCCATTTTTGCTACCTGGGAGTAATATTCAGTTGGTGGCCCTGTCTCTTAGGTCCAACATCGTACGTACCGCTGTAGTAGAAGGAGTTATGCTTGAGTAGGTCGAGATTCGAGTACGCAGAGCCACGTACAACCAGGGGATGTGGCTCTACCTCTAGAGGATTGATCTCTTCATACACCAGCGACAGACCCTGCTGGGCATGTAGCAGAATGCATGAGGCTAGGGAAGCGCGGAAAAGACGCATCTTGGAGTATCGATATCAGACTGACAATTGCGATGCTTTCATTTCAAACCATATTCATATGAGCGCTTTTATATCATTCGTGCTATTGAGTTATGCCGAGCTCTCTACGGAAGCGAGCTAGAGTTTTCAACCATGTGGTCTGGGACGGACCCCTAACCCATCTTCCCCTGCAGTAGTTAGCTGTCTCATTGCGAAGGATTGCACATCACAATTTGCGAGGTCGTATTGACGATCCGATTACCCCACAGGCCACAGGGCGAATTCAGTAGTGCTACTCCAGATGTTTTGCTTGGGGGCAATCGATGCTGGGAATCTAACGGTATAGAATTACCAAAGTTCCACCGTTAGTATCAGGTTGACTACTATACCCAGCCATAGATCAGCTCAGAATAAACCTCTAAGCGGTTGATAGAAGCACAGAATCAAATTATGGTGTTTACTATGCCATTCTCATTTTCTATATGGAAGAGATGCCGTCTGAAATACTATCCTAGAGAGCGACGATGCATCGTAATGTTGCATGCAATATATTTCTGCACTATGAGAGCTTTCAAGTTCCAACTATGTACAAGGTTTTCGTCCATATTAATTTCATCCCTTTATTTAGTAATGTTTTACGGCAAAATATAATATGGAACAAAAGGTTGAGTGAATGTTGGAGTACCGAGTATGCCGTATTTAGGTCAATGATCTGCAAAGCCCTAAAATGAAGGACCCTTCTTTAGGCAAGGTTCCCCCCGATTTAGAACCGTTATCGGACATCGGAAGAAACATGGCGACCGGCGCACACGAAACCCTGTCCTCATCTTCCCCACCGCAACTGAACGGTTGTTGGGACCCAAAGAATTAGTGATGTGGAAAGTGTATAATTCCGAGACAGGTTTAGCGTTGTCTCAGTGAACTACCCCAGAAAAGTAAGGTTCTCGGGCCATGCCAATGCGTCGGCACGCTGCCGATAAGGTTGAGACCTGGTGGGGCCATCGGCAGCTTACCGATGGTATCGGCTTTCCCGACAACACCCTAGCAAACTCGTCGCCTATTCCCTTCATTTAGCCGAAGAAAGGCATATCAGACGGTCTCGCAACCCCTGAGATTTAATCCCTAGTTTTGGCCCCAAAAGTATTTCCTTGTAGAAAGCCGAGGTCATCCCGAGTGTCTTTTCCTCATTGCCTGCCCCACATTAACTCTGCATAGTTCGCTTCCAAAGCAGGAGCATGTAGCCTGCCCGTCGATCATGCCATATCCTTAAGTAATGTGGGCCGCAGCTCGGTCTTCACCTGAGAAACCGTGAGTCACAGAAAGCTGAAGAATTGAAGAGCAAAAGGGGAGTTAGACTTGGCATCTCTACCCTCCAGCCAAGAAGACGAATTACCTAGCGGTCTAGACTTGCACTACCTGTCATGCACCAAGAGTTACATCGGTTCTAGAATTACTCAGTGACCAGATCTAGTGATTTGTATAGTACCTTTTCACACACGTCCGAGATGAAGTTTGAAATATAAAATGACTGTCACACCATCGTAACTGGGAATCACAAAGGCGGTATGGTAGTCTGTAGGGAGAGTGCCAAGCGATGTAAGAGTAAGCAGCGCGTGGAAACATGAACATTGTAAAAAGCTTTAAATGGCCATTCTCAGTTCTGACGCCCAATCCCGATTCCTGACCCGCATGTCACCATATGAAACTTATGCCTGTTTCATTTCCAAAATCTCCACCACCTCCTGGCGACCGTCCGTCTGAGCTAACATCAATGGCGTCTGTCCATCGAGATCACGAAAATCAGGATTAGCCCCTCGCTCAAGCAAGTAGCTCACTACATCCGCATTGCCCTCCGAAGCAGCCTCATGCAGTGCCGTGCGCTCCTTATGCCGCAGCATGAAACACATACGGCGCAGCTCCTTCGCATTATCATTGATATCCACCTCAGGTCGGAAAAGTAATTCCATCATGTTAAACTGATGATGCTTGGCCGCTATTCCCAAAGCGCCCCATCCCGTTTACCCGGGCACCATGCTGGATCAGCATTTCCGCCATCTCGATTTGATTATCTTGCACGGCCAAGTTGAGGGCGGGTGTCTATCCCCCATTGGGTTTCAATTAGGATCTGCCCCTTGCTCGAGAAGATACTCCACAAGTTTGGAATCATCTCCACGTATAGCAAAGGTGAGATAGCCGCCAAGTCGGTCCACGTTGTAGTTGACATCCAGGAGCGATGGGATGAAGATCCTCATCAGCTCAAGCGTACAGTTTCGACCGATCGATTCATGAGCCCAGCAGTCCAGCTTGGCACCATGTGACAGGCAGAGTTGGATCAGCTCGATGTCCCTGCTGAATATAGCACGGCATAGCATGTGTTCTAGCGAGGTAGTGGACCCTTTGGGGGTTGCAGTGCCATTCAGGATGGATTTTCAATACGCGCTCTCCAGCTGATGCTGGCGACCAGATGATCTTCCAGTCTTGTCACCGTGTGCTGCACCCCTAGCAATATAAACACATCACTTCCACACTTGTGGTTCACATGCCCCACCGAGAGATAAGGCTCGATGGCCCCGCTATAGAATCCGTTCTCCTCCACGTCTCTGATCCTTGATGAATTGATATGCGTGCAAGCAAACTTCATGCCTTACAGCAAGGAACAAGCTCTCATATTATTATGCCCAGACTGATTATATACCTGGTGATCTCTACGCATTAGGAACAATCACGGCGCCAGAGAATAAGCTCCACCACTTCTTTACTCGGAAGTAATGGAAGGAGCCAGAGAAAAACTGGTGCAAGATCTATCGTGAGACTCTTGAGGGGTCTTTTAAGCCATATCAATAAAGACATATTAGCCAATTTCCTTTAAATAATCAATTATCAGTCTTGCAAAGATGATGAGCTTGGGTTTCTTCTCAACTATAGCCAGCCTCAGGATTTGTTTTCATCCCAGGATGATGAACTTGCGCGATATCTTAGAGGCAGTAAGTATCTATATCATAAAAAGATACTCTTTACTAATACTATATCAGGTCCATTGCCTACTGCGCCCCGGGTATTTTGGAAGGACCATGAACATGAGTTTCCAGCACTTGCTAGTTTTGCATGAGACGTTCTCTCAATACCTGCTACCGGCATTGGTGTTGAGAGACCCTTTAGTTCTGTGCGTGATATCTGTCATTACCGCCGAGGCTCCCTGAAGGCATCGACTATTCAGGAGCTTATGATATTGATGTGTGCAACAAAGTTTGACGCGAGACAGCAGAAGAAGAAAGAGATGCACAGCAAATGCAAGATAATATTGATCCAGTTAGTGATAATGAGGAAAATAGCTCACTAGTTAATACATGGCTTGTGATACCAAGCAAGCGTGTATTAGGAAAACGGCGTAGATGCCATGTTTCTGAGCTAGGAAGGGAGATAGATCCTCGAGCTTGATGACGATGACGGTGATTATCCCTTGCCTACCATGCCACAAGAAGAGAGTACGCAGATATGGAGCTCAGCAAGGAACCGCAAGAATCTCAGTGTAAGGATAATAGTTTTGAGTGCTACTAGATATATAAATAGAGTAATACTATATAAAATATCGTTTCCAAGCCTACATGACGTAAGGAGAATACTCAAAAATATTATATATTACAAGTCAAATTGCATAAGGTATGCATGTCACGGGTGTTTCTTTTTTAAATTAAGGTTTGGGTCAAATGGGTACCAGTGGGTACCTATCATGGATATCGGTCTCAGACAACCTATTACCTGGTGGATATGGGCCTGCCGAGGTCTACTTTCTAGACATTAAGCCGGAATTTATATCTTTGCAGGGCTACGGTTAGTAATGATACTGGCGGTCCCTTCCCCCATCATACAGACCCACGATGATGCCCGCCACGAACTCAACCTTGTTCTAGACTCAATACAAAATGTCGACTGACAGTGTATGTGGTCTGATATTTCCCGAAGGAAGAAGACAAATGAGCGCGGTCTGCAGTCTATCATTCGAAGTCTTGATAAAGTTCCGGTCCAAAGCATATTAGATTTGTACTATAGTAGCGACTCGACAAGTATAGAAGTATTCATTCCGTGGTTCGGCTTGATCCTTTGATATCCTGATGTAAGGGATAGAACCCGCAACGTTCGATAAACTATCATAGCTATCAAACAAGAAGAAAACGCTGAAGAAAGAAGAGAGGAGAAGAATCATCAGTGAGACAATGAGGTATGACAGGAAGGAGGGGCAGAAATACACCATGTGACGAATCCGGAAACGAGGGCCAACGGCCTGAGTATACTAACGGGCTTCAGCTTCTAAGTTCTAAGTCCGGTTTTAAATCATAAAGGTTTTGCTTCGCCTAGCACTATTTGACTTACAGCCAGAGGGAGATCTCCAGAGTCTGGTACAAACATCAGCCAATTCCTTCAAATTGGGTTCTTGACTGAACACATTGGTGCCAAATGAGCATAGCCCGGGAACGCCCCCTGGAGGCTGGTGGTGGTGGTGAATCTAGACTCTTTTTCTTGGCTGTTTGTTTAGGCGGCGAACAGCTACTTTTGCTGGCAAGATGGCGTCCTCTAATGGCAAGGGATTCATGGCTTCTTCCTATCGCCTGTTGAGCACCTGAAAATCCAACTCTACTTTCATGTTGTATAATCGTAGAATAACTGTGCATAGTGTCCGGTTGCAGTGGAGAGTTTTGTAAGAAATATATTATCAACCTGAAAAAATACTGAAATTCACTGTATAAAGCCCGATTGGTGTATGCACGGTTTTTGTGGCCTAGCAGTAATTTTGGTTGACATATATGATTAGACCTGGGCAGAACCCGTCAATTGACCCATTTGGGCCCATGGGCCGAAAAATCGATTTTCTGCCTGGCCGAGCTGTTCCATGGTTCGATATTCGTGACGCGGTACGGCCGACTATTCGTGCCACTCCGCAATATCAGGATTTCTAGCGGGGTCTTTTAACCGCCTGAAAAACCGCTTTCCTTTTATGAATCTATTTGTACGATCTTCTTAACTATCAGCGGCGGTTCCGACCACCCGCGGTTATATCTAGATAGCTAAGAAGGTAGATTTCTTGGAATATATTTAATAACATTCTTTTCTATTTTTCATATTGAAATTTGATATGAATCTATACGAGACAAGTGATCGCCTAGTGGCTTGGCCTGTACTTTATAATGTCCGGTGAGTTCTGCCGGCAGAAATATGAGAAATCCCGATGTTGCGGAGTGGCACGAATAGTCGGCCGTAGACGCGGTCCATCCGAAACCGCGTCCGCATCACCGTTTCCGTTGGTGTGCCTGCTCCAACGGCTATGTCAGAGCTGACCCAAAGTATAGGAATCAACCGGTAGCACAGGCAGTTGGATGTAATTGACCAAATTCTAGGCCCATTAGGGGCCGTGGTTGGCGAGGAATTTCAAGAAGAAGATTCACTGCGAAAGTAATGTTTTTCGCGTGTGTTCTTACTTTCACTTAGCAATCAAAGTTTCCACAACTGGTGTTTTATAGTTCGAAAATATGTAATTAAGTTTCACCAATGATATTGTACAGCTGGTGCAGTCACACCGCCGTCTCAGGTTATAAACTCTGAAAAACCAAGGTTTGACCATGGTGAAGTGGAAGACAGAACATCAAAAATGTGGAGGCAGTGGCCTGACTTTCGAACAGGTTTGGGATACTACTATTCAGTCAAAGAGTATTAACAGTACTTCTGTCCTTGGCGGAATTGCAATGCCGCAAGTTCAATCGGGGGTTCAACATACGTACCATTGAGGCACGGAATCTGACTGGGGGAGGCTTTCTCTAATAAGTTTCATCTAGGTCTCGATCATACGTCTGTAATCATAACTTTCGATTTGGCAAGGAATACAATACCAGGGATCTGGTGTAAAGCAAGCAAGTAACAAATCATAAACCTGTTCACAATATAATCTAAGGTTATTCCTTGGTCTAGATCGCATTAGAAAGTGTCACATTTATCTTATCTGGATTGAGAACCAATAATACTACTCATGGTTACCATTTTTCTCTTGAAAACATGAGTAGATCATACACGCCCTCCCCTCTGGGTTATTTACAAACTGGGTTATATGGCAGTATCATTGAGCCTAACTAGGCTTACAAGTCCTTGAATAGGTCTCATGACACAGTCAGGATCGCGTGAAGGCTCTGAGTGGCTATATCTGTTTAAAGCACTGTTGGAACACGTATTCAGGGTTCTTGGGCGCCTAGGATGATGCTAGGTCGAAGAGCTTCGATGATGCAAAGCCTTTAGTATAGCGCCACTGTAAGTTATAAATATAGCTGTTAGCACTGGATACGTCTTCCTGCTATATTGCAACTTGATATCTAAACAAAACTGACTTGTTACAGAAAAACCAGACTTTCAAACTATCTCATATTTTAATTGGAGCCACTTCAAAAGAGGCCATGGCACCCCAAGACTGGAAGGCTCCGGCCGTTGCGGATGCCGATAAGCCAGAGGAAAAGAAAAAAGTCCGAGCATATTTACAGACGCTCGGATATCTGGATATCTCCAAAAGCCCCGATGGCGGATTCTCAGAGGCGGAGGATTATGCTGCCCTCCGTAAGTTCCAACATTTCTACGGACTAAATGATGAAACTGGGTCCTACAACGAGAAAACAAAGCAGGCCATGACAGAGAAGCGCTGTGGTATCCCTGAAAACAATGTAGTTGCAAGTTTCAATACCGGTCCTCCCAAGTGGAACAAACAGGTCATTACTTGGAAACTGAAGAATAAGTCCCGGCATCTGGGACAAGAGAATGCCCGAACACAAATCAGAGACGCGTTTGCTGAATGGCAGAAATACTTCCGATATCCCCAGATAGAGGAGTCGGAAAATGAGGAAGAAGATATCAGTATTGAGTTTGCTGAAACTCATCATGGCGATGGATACCCATTTGATGGCCCTGGGAACGTGCTCGCTCATGCGTTCTTCCCACTTCCTAGCAGTGGCGTGCTGGCTGGTGATATGCATTTTGATGAAGCGGAGCAGTGGACCACCACATTCCTGCGACAGGTGGCTTTGCATGAACTCGGTCATTCACTTGGACTTGACCATTCTAGTGACCCTAATTCAGTCATGTGGCCTTGGTTCAACGGCAAGTCCAAGCTCGAACGTGACGATATTGCGCGGATCCAAACTCTTTATCCCGAGCATACTCTGTGAACCAGACCAGAAAGATTCGACATAATGCCTGGAGCTATAGCGTTACTGATATAGCGTGAATCTGATGCAGACTGTTGTGGGTGCTGTATGTGTGTATTCTTGATTTTGTGTTTTTATCGCGCCAGATGTACTTTGTTAGAAGGGCTTGACAGAATGTTGGATTTCTAAGCTCTCAATAGCAATTCTACGAGGAAGGTGATAAGTCTGATTCATTACAATGAATTCAGCAGAGCACTTGCATATTTGTATTTTAGCATAATTGCTCACGGTGCGTTGCGCGTAGGCGCCGTAGGAAACCCATACAATATCTACAAGCATGGCATTGAGGTTGAAGGGCTGTAATTGGTAAAGCACTAGAGTATAAAGCCACTAGAATAAAAGAATAAATACAACAAAATGTTAGTCTACCTTTGCAATGCTAGCGGACACAAGAAGCCGTTGGTATTAGTAATTTCTTTTCCAGACAAAGCTGTATTACTCTAAGCTAATGCCTGGACACTTGGTCCAGCCTGCCATCTCTCTGAGTGACCTTATCATTCCTGTAATGATCCACGATTTGGTCCAGCTCAGACTTGAGAGATTCGTTCTCAGCCCCGTGGTCTAGAAGAAACTCAACATAGTGAATAAGATTCAAGACTCTCACCATGTAACCGTCAGCTGCACCGCCTCCTCCATCTCGCCTGTACGACGCTGAACGCGAATTTGACCCTATTTTGTTTACAGCCACCGGAAGTGTCCACCCTCAAAGGTATACTGGACCTGTCTCGGGAGTTGCTTTAGTATGAGAACCCCAGATACGGTCCATTGCTCATTCTAATTGCCAGAATGACGGAGTGATGTCCATGTTTGCTGGTTCGGCCTACATCCCGCTTCTTACTACCCCATGGTAACCTACAACCAGCGTTGACTCCCCGAAATGTTACCAAGGACGATGTAGACGATCCTGCAGCTGATATGAGTCCGGGATACCTCTAAAAAGCTCTGAAAGTGTAATAAACTGTTCTTCTCAGCCATATTAAAATTGGTCGTGTTTGAGGTTATGGACATATCGATAATATCTTTACCAGTCATGCGTCAGTGTAATTATTGTGACGGTCGAGTAATAACAGTATAAAATAGAAATAAAACTTCATAATTCCGACTCTCTAGGGCTCTACAGATATAAGAAAATAATAACATCAGCCCGCAATCAGAATGATGTAAGTTATAGAAACTTGAATAGTAATATTATTAGCGGGTGTAACTAGGCCTCTCCATACCCTGCGGGTTACCCGTTGCTGGTTACTCAAAACCCGCAAATTTGAGGGTTCCGCGTTGGGATCAATAACCCGCCGGCGGGTTGTAGGTGATTGCGGGTAACTCGTGAGGATTTTGCGGGCCGGCTTGGGAGGATAGTGCAATAGGATGTATTTAGTTTGTTTTCGGTTGACGTGGTCGTGTTCCTGCAGGTCGCTTAGTAAATATCCAGAGGAGAGACGGTATGGGTAAGGGACCGTCTGGGGTTTATGTGCTGGTTAGTAGGTTGTCAAAGTTGGATGACGATCGACAGGGCTTTCTCTTGGAAGTTAGGGGCGCTCGTTCTCTCTCGTAATGATCAGCATCGCTAGTAAACCACAGGGACTATCGTTGTATGGTAACACATGTAATTTGGGATACCGCAAAAATTTGATCTAGGGGAGATACCACCAGCTTTCCAAAACAGTACGAATATGTTGTCGATCTTGGGAATGGCTTCCTCTCTCGTATACTGCCAGAGGTAAGGGAATACCATCGGACTTTGGGGTATGCCGACGTCTGACACGACAGGCCTTCGAGGGCTATAGACTGTAGGATATAAATATTTCGAGCAGAATGCTCAAATATCCTTACCATTATCAAAACCGTCTCTCAACGAGCATCTGACCAGGTAAATCCCACTCCCCGACAAGATGCAGTTTCTTCCAAAGAACATGCTTAACAAGTTCCACCTACTCTTCTCCGTTTTCTTCTTCCTTAACGCCCTCGTATCTGGTAGTCCCGTCAGCGGCAGCAATGAGATTTCTAATGCAGACACCCTCCCTGAAACCCTTTTGGACTCTAGGGCGGACAAACCGAAGATTACCTACCCTACTAACGAAGAGATAAAGAAAAAATTAAAGCCAGTGGCGGAGGGCAAATCCATTTTTTCTCAGTGCTCAACAGAGAATCAACAGCCATGAACTGGTTCGACGACCGGGGTTATAAGCAACTTGATGCCTTCTACCCTGATATGGACAACTATTGGAAGGCAGGAGACCCAAATAATGATGATTTCAAGAATTTCGTGGATAGAGCCAGCGAGCTGTTTGTGGAGCATGCATCGGGTGAAGTCCATGCCGTCCTTGGCCAATTCAATGATTGTTCCACGTAGGCACGCAAGGAATTTGATGCGTTGAAGAAGAATAAGAAAGTGACGAGAACCATTGAAGTGAGTCCTAAGGACCCCAAGGTTACGAAGGTTATTTGGCCCACAGGAAAGCATGCCGAGGGAGAGCATGCAAAGAGATGCCTTGGAGCAAAAAGTGTTTGGACTGGAACCCTAAGGATGGAAAGCCGCCTTTCCATCATAGGAAGCATTGAAGGAGTATCCGTATCCCCTTGAGCTTCTGCTTAGTCTGAGAAGAAGTCTCCGAACGAGTGGTATTGTTGGCTGGAATCATGCGAGGAGGGACCCACAAGCATATGTGTTCGGACATTGGGTAATATTCTGTTCTATAATCATGTATCTCTTATATAGAAGTATACTGTAACCTGTTGCACAACATATTGTTTCACACTTGCGGAAAACCCAGTGAAATAGAAAAACGATTGTATGCGAGTAAGTAAGTTATCAAAACTATCCGAGCGGATAGGTAAGGCCCTTTATATAGACAAACCCTTACAAAGATTCCCGAGATCCTATAACCCCTTTTTCACTTAAGCAACGATGTAAAAGGCTGAAAAAGGCTTCAAAATCTCTGATATAATTAACAACACTTCAGGATTATTTCACTACCAGGATCAAGTAATCACCCCTTTCAAGGCATACATCCGTCTGGTTGCCTCGTTTTGCACATTCGGACGTCAATATCCCGTACATGCTTCTCTATTCTGCGTGACATAACCCAGAAAGAATGCCAGCAACACATGGTTCCTTGTGAGGAGCAATGTAAGACAAGAGTGCGGACATTCGACCGGATAAATGGCTCGCTTGACATGCCTTAGAGATCAACGCATTCCATCCATTCTGGTCGCCAGATTGGTTGCATTGGTGATCTCGAAAAGCACGTCGACTACCAAGCCCCTTTATAAAAGGTGAGCTAATCGGCAGTTCTCTCGCTTGATCTGCAGTCCATTCATTGGCTTGATATTTTCCTCGGCCACTAAGTCCTCGTTTATCTTCTCAATATCCTTCGTCCCGGCAGAGAGAAGCACTAGGTTACCATGCGGCCAATGAGAAGTCTCTTCTACCTTGGCATTTCCGCTGCCATAGGGACTTTTCTTCATTGCACACTCACTGCTGCAGATATCGACTATGGGAGTTGCCCAAACGACACCGAAGCGGGCTTGAAAATCGGTATTTGGGTCGCGGGTCAAAGCGGCTGGTTGGGGGTAATTCACCATTTGCCACTGACGTATACACTGCCAATGCTAGTCGTTTTATTATCTAGCACTTGCCAATGCGTTTATCAACACGTAGACGAACGATTGCAAAGACAAGCCTCTTTCGCCGTTGAGTGGGTCACTGGTAGCACCACCCAGACGATCAACAACTTGACAGCCCAGACAGTAGATATCAACATAGCCTACCACGAGTTTGCGGAAGAAGTTGAGATTGATGCAAAGATAGCAAAAGGATGTTATATAAAGACAATGATTGGGGTAACCTTTGCTTTGGTGGCTGTGCCGGGTATAAAGAATATTGCCTTGTTACGTCTTCCGAGATCGCTTCTGTATTGGTGGACCTGCAGACAACCCAGCCGGAATCGATGGCTCGGATTATGTTACTTGTACATTTACTAAGCCTGTGGAGAAGATGGTATGACTCGCCCCCTCAGTTAATTCGATAAGTCCGCGACCAATATCAAAGACTCATATTTCTGAGTTCAGATAGGACAGGTACGGGCTAGTGCGCTTGCAATCTATGGTTTACCTACTCACACCATATAGGTTCTATGGGCGACGCCGCATTCGCGTTGGTACCATGAGTATGAGGACTACCTGGTTGGCGCTTTGAAGACAGCAATCTGTTATGGGGAATATACTATTACCGATGGAGGACCCTATAGAACAGTTCAAAGTAGCGATCCAGACTTTATAAGCAACAGAACAATATACAAGGGCAACGAGGACACCCAAATCCCCGACCTTCTCAACCCTGCACACATTCTAGTTAGGGCTGGTTGTGTTAATAACTCCTTTCCCTGAGCTTTTACTAAATGGGCTCTCGGCGACGCCGGTCAGAATCTTATTGCGAATTACGTTCAAGGAGATGGGAAGTATTGTCTTTACAAAGGCTTCCCTACCGATAGCAATGAGACTGATCTTGATTGCCGCTGGTACCTAGGTGAGCAGGACCACGGACTGGCTGTCTTACATGATTTGGGCCGGGAGGAACTGTAGCCAGCGCTGACTTGGATTTAACCATCGATCAGTCGAAATATGTAAGAAAACTCGATTTGAAACAATAGTCTGTTAGGAAACAGCCTTTGAGGGCTTTAACTCTGGTTACGCCTATTTTTATATAAATACATGTAAGACTACCGTAGAGTAAAAGTAATTTAAATTATACGCACATCATAAGCGGGAAAGTCTAGTATATATTGATCGTTGCTCTAGTTTCCCTAGATCCTAATCATACATTTACATTACCCCTGATAGTCGTGAGTCTATGTCTACCAATCTAACTTTCACTCCGCTTCAAACGGAGGCGCAGGCTCCGTTAATGCAGGCAAGCTCATCAGAGCAGTCGTCGTGGGAGCTGCACTTGTCACCAAGACAGTGACCCTCCCATGAGCAAGGCACGGCTCCATCAACAGTGCACTTGCCGCTAATGCATGCAAGCTCATCAGAGCAGTCATCATGGGTGGAGCAGGATGCACCTATAATGTCTAAGTTAATATATATCAAAACAATCAATGATAAAAAAAGACACATACCCTCGCAGTGACCCTCCCAGGCGCAAGTAGGAGTAGGAGTAGGAGTGGGGGGAGTAGTATCGGTAGGCTTAGGAGAAGAACCCAGGCCAGCAGCCTCCTTGACGTCGTCAAGGGTAGTTCCAATCTGGACGTTGTATACATAAGTATCGATCTGGACAGCCTCACCGCGGTAAGCGCCGAACTTGGGCTCGGCACGGCCGGGGAATGTGTTCGCGTTCAGTCTAGTGCTTCCGGAGTTGAACTTCTGCTGTTCACCATCGAAGTACAGCTCAACCCATCCGGGTCTGGAGGTATTGATGACGATTCCAATAGAGTAGGTAGTGTCTGTATTTACGGTCTTGGACCACTGAGTCACGCGCCCCGTGCTTGCGGAGGCTTGGTACCGGAAGTTCAAGTTGCCGCCCTTGAACTCCAGGGAGAGAGGGATGTTTGCACCGCCCTTCTCGGGGCTGTTGGCTGCATATTCCTTGCTTTATTGAGGGTCAGAATTTGAAGGCCAGCCTTTTTTTTTTTTTTTGGAAGGTAGAATGAAGAAAACTTACAACTGCCAGATCATCAAACTTTGTTCAATTGTTCCCAGAGAGAACTTGTACCCGATGTAGTAAGTCTTATCGACCGTGATCTGGTTCGGCAAGGAATGGTACTCCGTACGGATATAATCCTTCTTGCGGTGGAAGTGCAGTGCAGGAGCGCCTTTGGGGTCCTTGTCCAACTTGATGTAAAGATCCTTCGAATTCTCACTTTGCGGGGCGTTACGCTCCGCTTCGAGATTACGCATACCCAAGACAGAGGGATCATCACCGCGAGCGGCAGAAAAATCCACAAGGCTCTTGGAAAGAGCTGGCTGAAGGGACGCCAGAAGAGCGAAGAATTTGTAGAGCTGCATGGTGAATTGGTAGGAAGTCTGTGGTAGTCTACAGGGGCTCTCGGGTCTTCATGTTTCCGGGTCATACACTAGGTTTTATATGCATCTCAGATAGCTTAGGTTTCTACCGTCGTCTCCAATTCAATTCCCGCAGCATCGCTACCGAGGCTCTTATGAATGCCCAAATTGCCGAAATTCTCAGTTTATCCCCTCAAGAACTCAGCTGACCGTCAAGAGGAGAATTTTGCCAAGTCAAAAAAGAGTAATAAGGTGTCCTTCTCATGCAGGCTAAGACCTGACTATTAGAAGCGACCTGCAATGTAACCTCGTGTCGTAAAATATGGCACGTTCTTTGTCCAGCCCGCAAATGGACCCAATTAGTGGCCTTCGAGAATCTGCAGAAAAATGAGCTGTCGGCTTCTAGGGTAACGCAGCGTCACATGATGCATTAGATAAGCGAAGTTCCCGCGTTCCTGCATTTCATATGCAGGAATCCATTAATCCAACGTTAAATTCTGTAATTTTCGTAATACCTGGAGGTATCTGACCCTGTTGTTTCAGCATGGCGATTGTGGAATATCTACTGCTACAGACTTCTTCTGAATTCGGCAATTGCTCTCCCTTCGCGGCGCAGTTCATGAGGCCTCCGCTCTGAAACTCCACATCTTGCCAATTGACCCTTCATGTTGCGCCGCTTAACATTAGTGTCGGGTCCAGACCCCCTGAGTAAAGCCCGGTATTCCTTTAGTCCCTTTCTGCCTTCTGCCTATTCGGGGTCATCCCACGAGTTCCTACATCAGTCTAATTCGACGCTATGGCCTCACTGCGCGTGCAGATATTACTAGCACATTCTAAGGGTCCGGGAAAATGGGTCGAGGTGTGTACAACAAGAACACGCCCTCGCCATTTTATTCTCCGACAATCATGTTGCACAACCATTGATTGATCATATCAGGGATTTCCGACGGTAGTCGTGTGAAGCCTTCCCTTATCACGACTTAATCGGAAATGGCATCCGGCTGATCTGGACCGCACTAGTCATGCGGAACCAACTTTGGGTAGACGATTCCCCAAGTGTGGAGTCTACTCTCCGGAAACCCGCCGACAGACTATAGATGGTTCCCCATTCTGCAACCTAAGAAGCACAATTCAAGCACATTCGTATGATCCGCCACCACACTAGCGGTCCGCATGCTCGATCCTCGAAGCATGACAGGACAACCAACTGAAACAAACTATCCTCAGCGGCTAGTGGCGTAGAAAATCTTACTGGCGAACACCAAGAACAATGGATTTGACAAGTCAACTATCACTAGGCCTATCATATACCCCTATACCTGGTGGGAAACGGCTGGGAAATTTGGCTGTGCTACCTGAAACGAACTTAGAGTTATCTGACAAAGGGATCTCCTCTTAGAGTATAGACAGTTCTCTGGGAATCTACGCATCTATAAACGCAGCATGCCGCACCTTTCGCACCTTTCTATGGCTCTCTTACATCCAAATCCTCAGTATCACATCCCTGTTGAGTAAGGACACATTCAATATGTCTGTCAAGAACTTCGCTAGCCAACTCGTCCTGTCCCTTGCCGTCGCTGGTGCGGCTATGGGTCAGAATGTAGAGGGACCCGAGTTCAACAAGCCAGATGCAGGCACCCCGGGCAAGTTCTTTGCGGCTTCGAGCTCTCTACCTGTTGCTGCTATTCAGCAAGCAGCTGCTAAGGCCAGCGTTGTGCCTGATCGCGCTACATACCCTATCAGCCCAGACTCCAAAGTGAAATCCACTATCCACAGCGACTGGGCCAAGTTCAGCGAGGTATGTATCATGCAACCCTGTTAGAAGTCGTCAATGACTAATTGCACTGTATAGGGCGCCTCCTTCTCCTGGGTGGCTGATATGGACGTTGACTGTGATGGCCTTAACCATGGGTGCAATGTAATGCCCTCGTGAGACTACGTCTTTTAATATCCCCTAACAAACGCAGGGCAACCCCGATGGCCAAGAGAACACCAACTGGGGTGCACTATCCGCCTATGAGGTGCCCTTCATCGTCATCCCCGACCATTTCCTTCAAGCAAACAAGGGCGCCCTCAAGGGCAACAACGTCGCTGCCGTGATCTGGTAAGCCCGCGAAGCCATACGCCTTTCCACTTCCCGATCCTACTAACACACCACCTCAGCAACGGTAAGATGTACTACGGTATCCTCGGCGACTCCAACGGAGACGATCCACAGGTCACCGGCGAAGCCTCCTGGGTCATGGCCAGAACCTGTTTCCCCGAGGAAAACCTGAGCGGTAACAAGGGCCACACCGCCTCCGATGTCACCTGTACGTTCCTCTCCCAACTGCCCACTCAAACAAAGCATGATCACTAACAAAACAGCATAGACATCGTCTTCACAGGCGACAACGCCGTTCTCCCCAGCAGCGCCCTCAACAAGCACTACATCACCAACTTCGACACCCTCCGCTCAATGGGTGACAAGCTCGTGAGCGCGCTCGCTTCCAAGCTCGGCCTCTCCGGCGGCGGCGGCACCAACCCCCCGACAACTATGACAACCACAACTATCACCCCCCAGCCAACAGGTTCCTGCTCCTGGCCTGGACACTGCGCCGGTGAGGACCGCAACAAGTCCCCTACGGACTCAAACTCCGACGAAGAATGAATAACTACTCTCACAACGTGGAAAATAAAGGTGCCAGCTGCTCCACCAACGACGACTGCTCCGACGAACTTGCCTGCAAGAACGGAAAATGCACCACCGGTGGGGACGCAGAGACCTGTACCTGGGAAGGACACTGCAAGGGTAAGCGAATAACAAAACGCGTGAAAAAAAAGAAGCAAGCATAAAGACTTGTGGATTTTCTTTCTCTCCTTTCTTTCCTATCCTTTTCGTTCCTTTCCTTACATGTGATTTCATTTCGGGGCTAAATTTCTCTTATTTTCTCTTTTTTTTCTTTTCAGGGGCTTCTTGCTCGAGCAACGATGGCTGCTCGGATGAACTTGCTTGCATCAGCGGTGTATGCTCTATTGATAGCGGGGCCAAGCCCTGTTCTTGGGAAGGCCATTGTCAGGGTATGTTTGGGGATTTGTACTAGTTTTATGGTGCGGGTAATCTAAAACTAGGTTTCTTTTTAGGTGCTTCTTGCTCTACGGACGATGATTGCTCTGATGAGTTGGCTTGTCGGAGCGGAAAATGCTCTTCCACGTAAGGGATTCTCGTGTCAGGGACGGAGAAGAAGGCTTGTCACACGAAGGAAGAGACGGGGTGTTTCATAATATGTGAGGAGAAAACTTAATATGGCCTATATATAGATATAGAGCTTAGGGTTAGAGATACAGGTGGTAGAGTCCTGGATGTAACCCTCGTGTGGCTAGGGTTGGGTTTGTGTGGGGAAGGCTTGTGGATGTGACTATATGCGTAAAGTGTATGATATGTGTATATAGCACAATGTGGATACCAGCTACTTGCTAGCTGAGTATATGTTCATACTTTTTAAGGAAAGAGGAAATATTTTAACTCCATGACCCATTCGCAGGTCCAAAGTACCCGATATCCGGCATTTGTTTATAAGATACGCCGTCGCCATCGGCTGTGCTCAAGTATACTGTGTTTCCCCACCAGTTGGGAAGAACTGCACCGGGGTACGAGACGCAGATGATGATGATCCCGCTGGGGGCGACGCCCAGTGTCAAGGGCTGCCGCGAGGATGTAGTTGTATTTGGTCCACCAGGCGAAGAAGTGGCGTTTGATAAAGTAGTTGAAGACGAAGTTTACCAGAGCCCAGCTGGAGTATTTTATTCCCGTTGCTATGGTGAATTAGTTGCACATGCGCTCTCGTCGAGAATGGAGGATGAGAGGACCAACCTGGAGGGACATTGGCTGTTCCAGTGAAGATCAGGGGCCATTTGACGTATTTCCAGTATTGTTTCTTAGTGAGCTTGTACGGAGCGTAGGTAATGAGAGGAGCAATAGTACCGAGCCAGAAGAAATGGAGAAGAGAAGAGTAGATCATCCCGACAGAGTAGAGATGCCGAAGGCCGGCAAGGCCCCAGATAACCGAGGACGAGTAAACAGTTCTGCCATTCGGACAGGAAACCCCGTCTTGCTGGTCTGAAGAACAGACTTCTGATATGTGCTCGAGTATCCAGATGGTGATGCCAGCCTGAGTTAGATCTCCAAGTATAGTAGCTAGGCCCTGGGCCTACAAACACATTTCGCGGAGGGCTAGGATATAACCCCATAACATTCGATTGGAGTCAAGTCGCGTATAATACGGACCCCCTTCTTTCGCCGTCATGGACCGCAGTGAATGTTTTTGCCAGCTTCGCAGCTTCTTCTGGATTGTCGTACCGGGTAATACTATACCAACACGTGGTTTACGGCCTATCTCCCGTTGATGACTGGCGATGTGTATGACAGAAACGAGGCGGTTTATGACACCGACCGTGTTGTAAGCGCACAGAACACACTGGACATTGAATCATGTAAAAGCTATTCCCCTCCATACCTTGGGACCACATTTGCATTCGTCTATGGGCTGTCCTTCGCCTCGATCACCGGTGTCTTAACCCACATCGGCGTCTGGCATGGTAAAGATACCTGGACTGCATTCAAAGGCAAAAATAGGCTAGATGTCCACGTCCAATTGATGAAAAAATACAAAAGAGTACCATACGAAGCCAGCAGCAGTCACGTATAAGAAAAAGCGTCAACGGGATATTCTCCAGCCGTCAAGCGACGGAATCTGCGCGTGAATGGAGGGCCTCCAGCATAGCGCAACTGGACAAGACCTGCGGCCAGATAATACCGGCTAGCTCGACAAGCCATGGAGCTGCCATTCCAGCAACACCAAACCCTAGTAACTGCGCGCATAAGAAAACTAAACAGAGAATCCCGCTTTGAGGCCGAAGTTCTAAAACTTGGGGCCTGCTGCCTGGATGATACTAGTTGAGTCGGCGCTTCCGTAACCGAATGTCACATTGCTCAGGATCACAATCATTACATGTTCCTTAATGTTGAAATGACCGTCTAGATTCAGACAGAAAGACCCTAGTGGGCACAGTCTGATTGTTATCCGAGGCATCACCTTGGCAAGGATAACACCACATGGATAGGCCAGCAACTCTGCGACCAGCGAAATGATGTGCACGGAGGGATAACGGTGAAATAACATCTTGAAAGGTAAGAAATATTCACTCCTCCGAAGGAGCACTGATAAGGACTACTAATAGATCCTGGGACCTAATATGAAACTTTTCCTAGAGTGGAAACAGTTAAACCGGCTATCTCCAGTACCTTATCAAGGGACTAGTGTAGCCCTACTCCCGCCTTCAGGTCGCTTTTCCTTAGGAACTCCTGAATATCTTGCAGAGGTATAGATTGTCTATTATCATGACACTGTATTGCAGAGCCCTAAGGGCTGCTTGGCAGTCGCCGTCCATCCATGGAAGGATTACCTCCACATCGAATGCCAAGGGTGTGGGGAAGAATCCAACAGTCAATCAGATGCTTAATGGATTATTTCACCTTACATTCGATAAGCAAAGCCGCCCCACGCCTGACCAAATTTAGGCTAAGCTCATAGTGGTGCTGAGGGTATCCTTTATTGTGGTATTCTTATCGTACAGGGGAGACCAATAGAAGGAGGATCAATTTAGTGAACATGGGGCCGGGACATCCTGGTCATGCATAGTATGAGCCGCCAGGTTCGAATATATATTTCGAAGGGCAGAGTGTTAAGAACTTTTAGAGGTTAACCATAGGCTTATGATGCCGTAGAGAAAAGCAAAATCAATGAAATGATACTGAAATGGAAACATAACTATCCATAAAAGATTATCTTTATTCGGGGTTGTTGTTCTTTGTCCTGTTGGTCACTGCAACACTGGCAGGGAGGGTCTTGTCATTTTGACAGTATATATCTGTGGTATATATAATTTGTTAAGATCAGTCCAGATATTGCATTTTTCTTTTTGCTTAGTTGGTACAGCAAACAACTACTGATCATAACGTCCGCGGTTTAAAGCCGCGCGGAGGTAGGCTTTTATTTTTGCTCCTTTAGAATCGGCCCTCCTCACTCTGTTCTTCCCCTCGTGTAGTTGAGTGCCAGATTCATAAAATAAAAGTATTAAATTAAACTAACAATAATAATAATTTTCGAACACAAGGCGATCCTAGCTATAGAAACAAGGCCGATATCCTCATCCGTCCATTTTGCCTACCATTGATATCGCGCCACCGCTTTGTGTGATATATTGGCCTCATGGTTATATAATATCGCCGATCACACGCAATATTCCCTCTAAAATGTCCATAGGAGATGAATAGATGCGAATAGCTTCACTTTATGTTCACTCGAATAGAACACTGCCTGGGGGGAATAATGGTATTTACTTAGTGCCACTGCTATTCTATCGACTTGGTCCTGCAGTAACCTCATTAACTTCCACTGAAATTTGTCTGATACATTCCCAGGTTGAAACCCATTGCAAGTAAACCCACCAATAAACACTACTCGAATACCTCACTCTGTATCCGACTCGAAGTCTCATAGATAAAACCACAGTCTCAATCCTCTAGAGATGTCTCTAGCAGTGCGTCCAACACCAATGCCATAGAAGGCCCGTGATATGACACAGACATGTTCTTCCGGAAGCCCCGAAATCGTCTACTGCCTAGCTTGAAATTCGCCGCTTCCGCGGTCTCGGCAAGGGGATTCTCAAGGGACGGAAAATGTAGGATGGTTTTCGGGCCTGTGCTCAACCAAGACAAGGTAAGATCATCTAGCAAGGAGAATTGAGGAAGCTCATCGAGAAGATCGATCCAGCTACCATTGACCAGTTGGAGATGCTCAAGTTTGAGGGAACGCAAGGTGCGGCGCGAAAAGCGGAGGAATGTAAGAAGATGATCACATTTCATTTCAACGGCGTTGATAAACCTAAGCTCTCGCAGCTCAGATCCTGGGTCGGTCGCGAGACGGGCCATGAGAAGCTGTGCCTTGACGCTGTAGTCGAAGCCGATCTCCAGCGATTTGAGGTTCGGAGCAAGGGCGATAAGTTTGACGACCCATTGTGCGACTTTATCCGGGATCAGGTTGTGGTCAAACCTGAGCTTTTCGATGTGAGCCCATGCGTTGATGAAGGCCGGTTCTTCTAGGAGCGGCAAGTGCAGACGACGCCCGTCCACATTGTTGAAGGCGAATATGTTCATCCCCGGCTGGGAGAAGACAGAGAATGATTTGACTGCGATGCCTGCTTCAGCAATAATACTTAGGATGATTGTTATGCTGTCGGTGGGACCGAAGGGGAGGTCCTTTGCTCTTTCCCAGGCATAGTTGAGCTGAACTACAAATGACTTGCAGTTGACCATGGAAAGCAGCGCGCGCCGTAACCACCGAGCACCCAGTTGTTGTCCCACATTCATCACACCCGAATCGTCTCTTGTCCAAGCTAAACCGGTGCCCATCTGGACAGTTGGAAGTTGCGCAATGAAAAGAACATGGACATAATCCCTCAAACGGCTGTCGTCCGCTAGCTCGACAAGTCGCTGTAGGCCATACGCATTGAGGTCGGTGCGTATGGTATGAAGAACCGTACATCCAAAGCGGTGTAAAGTCTTATTGTAGAGATGCACGCAGGTCAGTCGCATATTGCACAGGCTCAGCCCCCTAGGGTCCAGTAAACTGGCAATCTGTTCGACTAGCTCTTCAGGTAGGATGGAAAGTCGGCCGTTTTCGTTCTTGCGGGGCGCTTTCACGATAGTTAGGCAGTTATATTATGTAGTTCTTTCTGGATGTTGAGAGGGTCACATACTAAAGCTTGCCATATTTTCCATGTTTATTGAATCTTTCTTTGCTTTGGATGAGTAGGTTCAAAGGGGAATTTCAGAACGCGTCACGAATAGGTTGTGAAGCAAAGAAACACAAGCACGGAGAGTCTGCACAAAAGTGGTTACCACTCACTGGCAGTAAAATATCCAGTATATTCCGCCTTGCGGCATAATTTCTTTGTTCTGATCCCGCCTAGTTAAACTACTTTGTCATTTACAGTGACTTCACTTGAACACATCTCTGAAACTACATTACAACTGGATATAGACCGTAGAAGCTGAGGCAGGATTTTATGCCTCACTTTGCCAACATAAGGACTTACAAAACCAGAATGACGTAAAGGTCCTTGTATACCTTCAAGCCTTCACAACGTCATCCCATCTCTTGGCTGGCAAGGGACCTATTGTTGTGGTTCATACTATTGGTTCCACAATGTTTAGCGACATGCGTCCAAGCGCACGACGTGCATCATAACATCACTAAAAATAAAGCCTCTTTATGGTTCTACAGGGCCTTACTAATCCACTGAAATACAGGATAGACCTCAAACTGACTACAATAAGAATGTACCTGATAGTATCTCCGCCGCCGAAATGGATTTGATGCATGCTACTAATACCCTTGTACTTCTAGCCATAGGAGATTCTACCACTGCCTTCGTGATAGCGGGAATTTCAAAAGAGGTGTTGAGTATACAAAACAAAACAGTAGTCTGTTGTGGGGCGTGTTAGAATGAGCTGATATTAGGTGGGTGTTGAAATAATTACTCTTCCCATGCCCTACAAGAATTCACCTTTACCCATCTTATAGTGGGCCTTACAGGAGTTACACCACCGGTCCCCACCAGTTGTTTTTTCCTTTGTACGGTGGAAGAACACTGTCTTTGAAATGTATTTGTCAACTTGACTAGCGAGAAAACCTTCACTGTGTACAACATAGGCTTGCGAATGTTGCATTCTCATTGCCTTTATATGTTTGGTTATAGGGGGTAAGCCTAAATTACCAGGGTCTATTCACCTCAAAGCTCAGAGGTTCCTCGAGGAAAAGGTCTGGGACCTTTGCTGATGCTATGTATGTACTCTATACCGACACGGACGGTTCTTAAAAGGTCGGTTGATTTGAATCTGAGGTTTCGCCCACTTCCCCATTAGTTCGCCAGGCAATTCAGTGCTCAATCCTGCAGTCCGGTTCGAGTTTCCTTGCCCTGGCGGACTCAGAAAGGTTCGAAGCCTTCCCCATAATCCCTAAGACACCTCACCCCGTGCACCATGAACTGCTTGTTCTCGACTAGGACTGGGCGGTTGTTGTCTTCTTGAGGTGTATCCCACCTTCCTGGGTGACCCTATTGAAAAAGGGATCAGAGAAAATTGCTGTGGAAGATTGTGAAGCACCGACCACTACACTTTTCCTTGGCTTAACGGACTTAACGCAAATTTTACACTGAAAAGAGTACCCAAAAGTGACATGTTTCATCACACTATATTTAGACCCCAGTAGTACCTCTTAGCTCTAGCCATCGGGGCCATGCTAGAATTTCCTTCTCACTGATTCGTCCGAATTGAATCTCCCCGATTGAGTGGCGTCAAGTGTAGCGTTGAATCATTCGGAACGTTGGGACTCATCGACTTGTACCCCCAGCTCTTGACCATCGGGAACATATCACGCAGAAAAGCCCACAGGCCTGGCAGGTTTACGATGTACAATGAGACCGATGCCTCGCGCATGAACCAGCTCAAGTAGGCGTACAACACGAGGTCGGGATCGAGGGAGAACAGCTTTGTGAGGATTGCCGCCATGATCACGAACACACCCATACCAAACACTAGAATTAAGATAACCTTTTGTTGAACCGAAATCTACAACGGTATAATTAAAGGGATGGCGACCGCAAGGAGGGTGATATCGGAGCCAATGTGAAAAACAGCAACAACGATTTCAAAGTCGTAGTACGACCAGCATTGATCTCAAGACTTCCAGTTAGCGATAGCTATCCTTGTCTGTTCCGCAGGGATAATTTACCAGATATAGCCGGGACGCTCCAGTACCCTGTAAACGGTCAGCATTCAGAAAAGAAAGCAATCTGACTCGCGACGAAGCCAACTATGGGGTATACCAAGGTACCGTCGACAATCCTCGATTGGAGCAGACCCTGTCTAACAAACGGAGAAATCAATCAACGCACTGAACTTGCAAGCCATGCAGATTAGGATACGCCAGCCGCTTATAGATTAATATCATGGACACCTTACATGTCCACACAGTCAACACCATCATCTCTTCCGACACAAGCACCCATTTGCTTCCCGACACTCGGGCTTCGTATGCCTCCGGCGTCAACCCAGCAATTTCCTGGCTAGTCATGTAGTTTGATCCGCGACCGAATATAATCTCATTGATTGACGCTACGAGCATAGTATACCACGGAATAGTCGTCATGATGAGCCAGTCATCAGCCCGAAGACTTCTAATACCAAGTCGCTTGATCTGTGAGATACTGTAATGTTGTAAGCCATTGTAGGTGAGATAGAAACCCAGAAGCTTGAGAAGGTCATACAGCCGAGTGAGTGTTAGACAAATACCCACTGTGTAAAGGCACCATGTTTCAGTAAGGAAATCATGATTGAAACTGCCTGAAGTTGACACCATCGAGCTTGAGTCTGATGAAATGCAAAGAAGAGAGGCGCACTACGTCTCTGGGGAAGCAAGCTTTTCAAGGATCATGGAAATTTAAGACGAGAAAACTCCGAACCGTGCCCCTGAGGGTAAGCATTACTTTCAATTGCACCCCGGTCAATGTTGCAATCTGGAATGTTATGGCAGGACTTTTGCCCTGGGAGGATGCAGAAGGATGCAGGACTAAGAAAGCGCTAATCCTCACCACTGCAAATGAGGTCCACTTGGACATCTTCTCTCACCAATCGTACTCTCGTGCTTCATGCACCGCGGCCGACCATCCTTGCTGACAAGCATTGCGATATGTTATTAGTCGCTTTAAACATGGATAATTAAGCCCCTCGCCTACCATGTCTGGCCACCTACCTACTCCTCGCAGTTAATCCCAGCATGATCCATTGCAACGTTCAAAATTTTCGGTCATGTCTGGTCTCTCTACTGCTCTGCTGAAAACTGTCCTTGTCCTACCTGATACATTGACATTTTGTGACTTTTGATCAATCAACGGTATGGAAGAGCCAAAGCAGCTGGCCAGCTCGCCTGCAGAGCTGTACTCCGACGACCAGTCGGTCACAGCGACTCCCATCAATCCCTCAGGCCCAGAAAGTTCATGTAGAACATAGGTAAGCGACCATCCGGAGGTTTCTGTCCCGGTTTTGATATGGTCCATTAACTCTGAGGCTACAATGAGATAGTCATCGCCCTTTTCTTGGGACCTCTCCGGAGAGTGATATTCTAAAGATTGAAAAAGCTGCCTTGTAAGCTGCTCATGATTCAATACGTTTCTCTACTCGCTCCATCAGAACAAGGCATAACTTCCTCACTCTTTCACCACCTTCCACCACTGAATCCGGTATAATCTTCACCCCCACCCTTCGCAGGAGAGATACCAAACCCGGGAACTCAGACCAAATCCCATATTTGTTCGTCTATGCGCACCCGACCAATCCCTTCTAGATGTCTCGCATCTCAGAAAGTCCGGTACGCACTTTATCCTAAATAAATAAGCACAGATAAAATCCATCGCAAACGACGACCCAAGCTCCAGTACATCAGCCGGCGACTTATCTCGTGCCCTCTTATCCAGAATAGACAAAACCCTCTCTTTCACCAAGATCCGAGATATAATCATCATTTCTGGCGACGAATACAACGTCGATTTACTATACAGCGACGCTACAACCCGCTTCCGTGCTGCATGGGGTTTACGCTGTGTATAGGAGAACATATTTTGGATTCTATGTTCTATTAGCATACCCATGTGGGTTAAACGTCACTTTTCATGTTAGATGATAAGAGATAATACCCATAAGTCTGAAAAACCCGGCTGTACCACTCATCACGATCGCAGATGTCGCTGTACACTATTCGCAATGCGTCGGGGGTATTCACGCTTACTTCTGTTGAACCGAGGGGGATTATGGGTTCTAGGATTTTGTGGGCATGGTGAATGGTTTTGTTTGCTTGGCCATGATATCGGTGCCATCTCATCCAGAGGTTGGTGAAGTGGGTGGTGAAGTGGGCGTGGGGGAGGTTGGTGAGTGGGGAGATGAATGCGGGGTAGAGGAGGTGTTTGTATATTAGAATGAGTGATAGAAGGATGATGGGGATGAGGAGGGTCATGGTTACTTATAGGCTTTTGGTCGAGGATTTTAATTTCCAAGGTGAATAGTGGTATTGAAGGTTGAGAGTAGCTCTTTTCTTAGGATGGGTGCCAAGTGTGTCTCTACGGGGGTGATGACCCTGGCTTGCCCTAACCGGACATGGGCGGAGGTTAGTGGCTAGGGTAATGGGTAGTGAGTGTTAGAGACAATTTAGCGGACTCTAGAAAGTGTGGATTTAAGTCGAAATAGAAAATACAAACAATGGTAAATGGCTATGCCGAATGTGAATAAGCATTCCGTCTTTTATCATATATCTGAATGCGATTCAAAGTGGATCGTTAAACCCACATGATGTATGTCATATATGATTACATTGTTCCCCCCCCGGTTCAGTCAATGAGGGACCCAATCTGGAAATGCTCCATATCTTCATTTAAGGCCGTGAAGTATGAGGTGACTTACAGTTTACCATCTGGATAAAGCTCGCAGGCTGACAGACAAGTGGGAATACCGTACTAAACACTATCTACATCTAATGATCTTAACTCCGTCACATATAAGCATAACCCTTCACATATAAGCATAACCCTTAACCACACCAGATATGATATTCACCAGCTATTCAGCCCATATCCAATACAAGGCATAAAAGATGTCCCAAACACCCAGTCAGCAAAATGCCTATGCCTGCCGCCAATTCATCCCAACCCTCCACACCACCCCATATCCCGCCATCGACCCATCCCTCACCAAGAACCCATCCCCATACATCGTCTACATAATCGGCGGCCACGGCGCAGCAGGTGGGGAGCTTGCACGAAGCTACGCGTGCGCAGGAGCAGTGGGAATAATCCTCACAACAAGAAACCTCCAATCCCTAGAAACCACTGCGCAGTAAGCCCGCACCATCAACCGTAAGGCAACGGTCCTAGTAACAGAGTACGACATAACCTTCAACTCGAGCGTAGAAGCATTAGCACGAACCACACAAGCCACGTTCAACAGCCACCTCAACACCGTAATTGTGAACTCTGGCATCCCGGGCCCGATACACAGATATTATCCATGAATCGCCGGCAGATTTCCAAACTGCGTTTGTTGTGCACGCGGTGGGGACGTTTCATGCTGCACATTATCTCCTACCAGTAGTTTCGGGGACGGATTCGGCTGCAAAGAGTTTTGTGGTTGTTAGTTCTATGGCGGCGCCGACGGTATCTATGCATTCGCATTATTGCGTGAGTAAGGCTGCGCAGGCGACATTTGTGGAATTGGTGTAAGAGCGGTTTGCTTCGAGGGGGTTGTTTTGTGCGAGTGTTCATCCTGGGGGGTTGAAAAGTGAGTTGGCGGTCAAGTCAATGGCGCCGGAGTTGCAGTATTGTATGTTCTTTCTTCTTTTATATTTTCGTTGTTGGTATGGGGAATGCGTGGTACTAATGGTTTGGATTGATATAGTGTTGACTGATAATCCGGATCTGGTGGTCTCCTTTTGTGACTGGTTGACTAAGGATGATGAAGCGTCTCGGAGACGAAGGTGCGGAGTAGTCGATTTCTGTTGTGTAAGTAGGATGTCACTGAACTAGAGGAACGCTTTAATGAAGTTCTAACTAGAGACCTGTTGAAGTTTCGGTTTGCCATTACTGTTTGAGCCAAGCACAAGGATCAGTATTACGGGGAGCTTGTCAGTTTCGAATGATTGATCGTGTAAGTTAAGAAGAGTGATTGAAAGTATAACCAAGGGCTATAGCAAATACTAAGTGATCATCCTCCAATATTCAATGGGCATTTTAGTTCTAGAGTCGGGACGGAGAATAAACCATCTTAGCATGCTTAGGAGATTGCGATTGCAGGACACATGAACTATGTCATCAACAAGATTGATAGAAAGGTAACTAGCAGTGACAGACTCCAATAAATTTTATCTAGAACATAGAGATATATTTCCCTAAAGTAAGAGACCAAGTAGCCAGTTAGCTTACTGGTTCATTGCCAAGCATCATTGGTCTAGTGGTAGAATTCATCGTTGCCATCGATGAGGCCCGTGTTCGATTCACGGATGATGCATTCTTTTTTTGTTTCCCTTTCATCTCGGTCTGTAACGACAGCAAAGGAGACATCTAATGTCCATGGATCTACATCACTCACTGTTATCTAGTATTTTATTCCTCTATCATTCCTCAACACTAGACCATCACCCCAACTCTACCAATTTCACTGAGCTTTAACCGTAACCTACCCACTACATAACAAACTCCCTACCAAACATTTCCCGTAGTCTGCTCCCTCATTAACCGCTTCACATTAATATTCCTCCAAAACCAAACACACCCCAGACAAAGCGGCACAAAACAGACCCCCGCAATAACCATCTTCCTCTGTACATCCGCATAAGCCCCCACAACCGCCTCCCTCTCCAACGACCCATCAGCAAACCCCATCTGCATAACCATATCCCCAAATATAATGGAACTGTTAGCCTTACTCTCATCTGGCAACCTACGGTACAACTCCCCGGGGACCAAATTATTCCACATCCCCCCGGCAATCGCCGAACCCACTGCCGCGCCGATGGAGCCGAACAGGCCCCAGATCGCGACGACGACGGCGATCTCTTGGTGTGTTACGGGGGCCATGATAGCTAGCTGGCCGCAGACGCTGAAAATGCAGGTGCCCAGGCCGACGAGAATTTGGGTCATGGTTAGGATGCCGACGTGGGTGGAGGGTTGGCGGAAGGGGATGAGGAGGGCTGTGCCCAGGAGGAGGATGGGGATTCCGGTGAAGACGGTCCATTTGAATTCGCCGGTGTAACGGATTAGGCTGGGTGTGTTAGGGGTACTGGTTAGGGGTACTGGTTAGAGGGGGTGGGGTGAAGGGGGCTTACAGGCCGAAAATTGGGCTGAAGATGTAGGAGGTTAGGGAGAAGGAGTTGAGGACGTAGTTGGCTGTTGTCATGTCGAGTCTGTGGACGACTTGGAGGTAGGAGCTGAAGAAGCTGTTCCAGGTGCTGGGTTGGTTGTTGGTATGGTGTTACGTAAAGCTTGGTGCGTGTGGGGTGGAAGGAGGAGACTTACAAGCAGGAGATGAACATCACACAGTAGAGAAGACACGAGCCGATGATAGTTGGCTCCTTGAGGTATTTCCAGGGGAGGAACTGCACTGGGGAGAAGTATCGTTCCCATACGTAGAATGCCGGGATGCAAACTACCCCGAGGACTTCCATGGCAATAATATATCCGCTTGCCCATCCCTTGGGGGCATGCGCCGAGATGCTGAAGGGAAGGAGGATGAGAGAAAACACCGCAGTAATCAAGATGATCCCGATGACTAGAAAGTGATTTGCCGGTTAGTAATAGCGGGAGAATGGAAAAGATGTACAGAAAAACACGTACCATCGAATTCAATAAAGTAGTGAAGGATAGTTTGCCACCAATTTCTCTCGGATGCGCTCTTCTCCAGGGCGCCAATCTTCTGAGCCTTGCGCTGCGTATACAGCATAACTGCCACAATGGGAATTGAGGTGCCAGCGGTCATGATTGCGAAGGCGCCAAATGCCCAGCGAAAATTGAGGTTGTTGTAGAATAGGGTTGCGATCCTCGGCCCAGCGAAAGTACTCGCGATACTCGGCGTACCGTTAATCCCGAACATGATCATTCGATTTTTCAGGGTCGTCATGTCGGCCAACATGATATCAACCACATACATCATCCCAATATGGCCCACCCAGTACAGAGTGTGCGCTGCGACATAGGTTTCGATGTTCTTACAAGTTGCCTTCATTATAAGCCCTATCACGACGATAAGAAGCATACACAGGAAACCTTCAACACGTCCCCAGATATCAATAATTTTGGCCAGAGTCAGTTTCGAGGAGCCACCGAGAATCGTAGACATGACGCTGACAACCGTAAGCAGTCCATGTTTGTGAAATGAGGAAGTGATATATGGATTGAGCGAGGTTTGGACCGAGACCAGGAGCATATCGACGAAAGAGACAAGGTAAAGCCTATGGACGAGTGAGTACTCCATCTCACCTGAGCGCGATTGGTTACTGGGGCTTGACCTGAGCCGAGGCCAATACTCACAGGCCAAACATGAGCCACATCGTATTTTTAGACCATACCGAAGTGATGGCTCTCACTCGTTGAACACCACCCTGGTATATAGTCGAATCTTTCTCTGTGATGCTCACGTTATTCCCAACAGGTTCTAGTGTAATGCGATCAACCACCTCATTTTTCTCCGTATCGTCCCTCGCCCCGCCCACGGGTTCGACATGGTTCGACGCGATGGACTTCGGCATGTCAGAGGTGATACCGCTCATAGTAGTGAGTCCAGGAGCCCGTATAAGGCACAAAGAGAAATAATTAGGAGTAGCTTGAGTAAAGCGGGAACAGACAAAGGGATTAATTCACATATGTAAGGAATTTAGACCACACTACGACCTCTACCCAGCGGCCCAGAGCGCCACAAACGAAGGCCATTTCAGATTAATCTCCCTATCAGATGATCAGATAAGATTTACCCGCACCTGATTACCCAATAATTTCGGATGGCGGCTTTAGTGCAAGGTTAATTGGTAAGACTATACTAACTACTAGCTGAAAGGTCCGACAACGGCCCAGGAAAAATGGACGGTCATGTCCGACACAAGTTACTGTATGATCAAAAGATGTCTTCTTAGATAGTTCAATAACTACTATATACACAATTCATTGGACCTAAGCAGTCTAAAGCAGCATCCAACGCACTCCGTCTTTAGCAAAAGAGAAGAGTTTCCGGATGCGTTAGTTTTGGAAAGACCAGGATTCTGAATTTTCATCTAAAACTAATTTAGTCAAGTCATGCAATACTAGCATCCCCAGGCGCTCAAATCCTGGTTCTTATGTTGTACCCGTTATTTAAGAAGAAAGGAAGACCCTGGTCATCCACGATGCGACTTGAAGATAATCAGTCTTGCACCAAGTCATATATCCGGCTTAGTAGTCGAAAAATTCAATACATCCAGCTAAATCTGGACGTGTGAGAGATGACAAAGATTGGAGAATGATGTTCAGGGGCAGGAATATAACAGGCAAAGTCCCTTCTGATTGGCAGTTAGAGATTTCTGCCCAGACTTTAGCAGCTCGTATTTGAATCAAGCCAAGACAGATTGTGGAGCAGTTGACAGATAAATAATAATCGTCTGCCTGAACAGGAAGAGGCATATTCTTCTCTTTGGCTTATATTGATACATAACAGATTGTTTGTACAAAGCATCTCCAACTTCAGTGGAGAAATTAATCTATGTAGACCACGTTAAAAGACGAACGTTCTTCCCGCTAACAGATAGCACTCTCCTTGCTAAATTAATCAGTGCTGAGCAAGAATCTTAGCTGCCGCCTGCTCAGCAACAACCATGATGGTCGCTTGTATATTACCCGTCGGAAGATCAGGATGAATACTACCGTCGACAACGTACTACAATAGTCAGTAAATAAAGAGAGACACATTTCATGCCTGAATTAACCTACCAAGGTTTCTATGCCGTACACCTTGGTGTTGGTGTCGACTACTAATGTACCGTTCTTACATCCGTCATCGATGCCCATCTTGGCCGAAGTCGTGTAGTGGATACCAACGATCAACGAATTCAGGATAGCAGAAGTGTTCTTGTATGTCTCTAGCTTGAAACTAGTGTATGGATAGGTAAAAAAATGTCATACACCATCTGGTCGATAAACGTCCGCGCAGCTGTTCGGTCATCAGCGGTCTGAAGATACGGGGACAGTTGCATCACCATGTTGCCCTTCTCGTCCAGTCCGAGGACTCCAGAAAATGTCAGACCATGGGTCATGTAAGCAGTGATCGTGACGACACCGTCATCGGTCGGTGCAAAGGATCCCTAGTAGTAGCGGGTCTAACCGTTGATCTTGTTGGAGGTGAAGAAGATCATACGGCGCTTGCCCTGAGTGAGAGGCCCACTTTTCTGGTTGTACAAGCTGATGTCAGTGCTATCAGATTCATTTATGATACCTTCATAGTCCAGTGGAGTAAATTGGCGAGTTGTATTGACGATGATGGAAAGATAGGGTGGTCCTTAATTCCGACACCGACAGGCAGGTTGATCCACTCCTCCTGCGGGGGAACAGTGATGCCGCTCTTCTTCGCTGTTTCAATATGCGCTTTAGGGCCAATACCGGAGTTGAAGAGCAGCCTGGGAGTAGAAAGGGCGCCAGCAGCCAGAACCACACGGCCATGAGGAGCAAGGCCGATAACTCCAGAGTGTCCAGGGATCGAATCAATTACTTCAACACCCATAACCTGGCTACCGGACCTGACGAGGCGATTGACCTTGGTATGGAGGCGGAGGGTGAAGTTATCAAGGTATTTGGCCAAGGGCAGATAGGTGCGAACCGGTCCGGCCCGCATCTGGCTCTTGGTATTCCACGCCGGGTAACTGTAGTCTTGGTACTTCTCGTTTGGAGCCGCAATCACATCCGCAGACTTCCAGCCCAGCTTGTCGAAAAATCCGGAGAGTGTCTTGTAAAGGTCTTGGTCGTAGCGCTTGCCATCAGGAGAAGGCTGGATAATCCCGGAATTCCGCTCATACAAACGCTTTGCCGCCGACTTCACGTCCTCCCACTCCCATCCCATGGGCCACTTGTCGTTGAAATCGTGTTCCGGGGAATGAACAAAAACCATGTAGTTGACTGTCACACCATCTCCCAGAACACAGGCTGCTGTTCCACCAGTATCGGTGCAAATGTACTGGTTCCAGAGGTCAAAGTTGGCAATGTCGGCTGACAATCCTGGTACACCGATGGGAGTTAAGATATGGTTCCAGCTCATCGTTTCGTTGGCACCGGTGCTGACGGTAGGACTGACACCTCGCTCGAGTAGGAGGTCATCCTTGCCCGCTTCGGCCTATCTCTCTGCAGCGATGATACCAGACGGACCGCCACCGACGACAATATAATCGTAGGTGCTGTTCTTCACGGCAGCACAGCCAATGATCGAAAGGGAGGCAGCAAAAGCCCCCCTTCGAAGGAATTGCATTTTAAGCGTTAGATTTATTGCTCATTGTCTTGAGTAATGAGAGCAAAAGAGGAGATAAGAGACACCGGAAATTTCTGTAGATTTCTTAATTATAAAATCGACAGGAGTGGTAACGCGCATCTGGGTAGGTCTTCATCAATGATTCTCCCCTTGCATTCGGAGTCCGGATAAGATTTCTAGGAATTAGGATCCACGATGTGAAATAGTATGGAGCGATCTCATCGGGCGATTTCTATTTCCTTTCTTTTTCCCGCTACCGATTGCCTCAGATAGTCGATGTTCTTTGCTAGATGGGACCTTGACCCACCATAACCAGGCATACGGAAATGAACGTGGAGAACAACGCAATTATCAATCAGCGCCTAAGCAGCGGCAGAACGGCAGAAGGTTCGGGGCTTGAAGAAGCCGTTAGGTCACGTAAAGAAAAAGGCATATACGAAGATAACAATTTGCTAATATGTAATATAGCAAATGTTGTTCATAAATATCTGAGCTCTTGAGCAGTTTTGGTGATGTGCCAATTGCGGTAGCGATAGTATGTTAATTTGACCACTGGGAGGAGAATCGAACAAGCGTTCTTCTCGCCCTGCTAAAAGAAAGCCGGCTCCATACAACCGTATCAAACCATCTAGGGCGGTCCAGGCCATGGGAACCGCATTTTACTAACTCATGCCAGATATCTCGATGACCAAGGTTTGCAAGAAAGACGAGCAGCTTCATGGCAGAAGAGTCTCTCTTTTGGATTTCATGATATGAGAGCATCCGTGTTTGATGTATATTTCCCTGCGTATAGAAGGGGTGGATATCTAATGAGATAGTTCATACCAGCAATCCATGTACATTTCATGGTATGCACTAATTGCTAGTGGCTGTTTCACGCACAAAGGACCCTGCTATGGTAATTGCCAGTGGCAGTCCACCAAACCGTGTGTCCAGATCCAAGGCAGCTACAAAGTCAGCATGGAGATTGATACCACATCTATATAGGTTCATTACCTGTGTCGTATTCAGCAGTTGGAAGGCCACAACTCTGATAAAGCAGCCCTAGAGCTTTCTCTTGATTGAGTGGTGCTACTGGGAATGGTTTTCCGAGGTGAGATAATGCGTGCGATCGAGTCGTAATAATAATCGATCCATGATCAGCTGCAGGAGTAAATTCGCTGATATCATATCCACCACTTTGCCTAGTTATAGAGTAAAGCTGATCATAGTTATCCAAAATCAGCAACCAGTCCGAATTTTCTTCCTTTTTCAGCCATTCTAATGTTTGTTTGATGTTTTCCCTTCACCCTTTCTTTTGCTGTGATCTGGCTTATCTTGCTGATCTGGACGATTCTTGGTAGTCGAGCTGCAACCGAAGATAAGGATTGCATGAGCATCTACCTACCCTTCGCATTTAGCTAGATGGTGGCGACAAAATCATTCTTGTGGTCCCGAGCAAAATGGACGGCGAGATGTGTTTTCCCGATTCCTCCCAGGCCATGTAGGATGGCAACTTTTCGTGTCGGGGAGTCCCCTAGTTGCAAGTGAAACCACAAACGATCTAATTCTGCTTGCCGTCCAACAAATCCCTCAATTGCTAGGGTGGTATTGAGATCCAATGGAACTCGGGCGCGAGAGGCACCTGGAGATTAAGGGGTTTAGATGTGATTCCCGGATATCTAGATATTGATATTAAGTCAGTCTACTCACCACAAGGAGACGGCGCTGCTGGAACTTCATCAATAAGATGTACCGGAACCACCAAGAGAAGTCCCTTAGCATATGCCGCTGCCACTGCTGCCGTATATCCTTGCCACCCTTGATTCTTATGTGAATCTGCATAGTCACAAATGCCGCGGATAACCAGACATGAAGAGTTATTCATTAGCCCGGCCGCTTTCATCGCTTTACAGTACACCTCCAACTCCTTAGCCAGGCTGGTCGCGCTCCTATGCATCTTTCATCACTCGATTCGCAGAAGCGATTAAGCATAATATACCACCGGCATATTATTAGGTCTAGGAAGCCGTGGGACTAGCTTGAATGTCTTATCAGCAAAAGTTGACACTTTAGCCGTGAATCTACAAGATCTCAGTCTCCTGCTTCGAGAACTAAAATTTCTATCGAGCATATTCCCGAAAACATAACACTAATCATCCGCAAATGTACAGGCGAATGGCTTGCCTACCCCACTCCCGAAGAACAAGCCGAAATAGATGCAATAACCAACTGGGAAGACGAAATTGCAGATCTCGACCGCGGTATATGCAGTGTCCCATAATTAACAAGGAGCACTTCCGTCGTCTCTCCATTTCCAGGGGCTACGTGGCACAACACATGCTCCGTCTGGAATCTATCAAGTTCTATCTCGAACATAGTACACCCATGACTTTCAGCTTTTGCACCGACTTAGATCCTATTACTGCTGAGTGGTTTTCGATAGCGGATCCGGCGTATCACCCGGACAGTCGGGTTGCTGAGGCGTGGGGAGTTCGGATCGAGGATTTCAACGTTGACCCGGAGGATACGAATACTGTTAAGGCTTTTGCTTGTTTGCCGCTGACCATCTGATTCCATTGAACTTATACAAACATGATAGGGCTCCGTTTGATAGGCGCGTTATAGGGTTACTGTGGTCCTGTCTGTAAAGTAGTCTGTATTTCTTTCTCTATTTTTTGATCAAGTATTGTCCTCCCTCTCCTTTTCCTTCTTCTTCTTCTTCTTCTCCTCCTGATTCTCCTTTTTTTTATTTATCCCCCTTATCTTCTGTTCAAATGTACAGCATCCCTCAAGCATCGTCAAAGGCCGAAAAACAAAAAAACAACACACAAACCCCTCCAAACAAACTATACACCAGTAAACTACGACCAACCCCCAAGAGTAAAGAAGTACCATGTAGTACCTTATGGCTCCACCAAATCAAACATCTACAACCACCACTCAAACCCCCAGATCAGGCATACAATCCAACAACCAGAGTACACAAACCTTCTCCAAGTACCTTAACCAGTCAATATACCAACTATTTTAAAGAACTATACTGACTAGAAAAACGGTTCCAATCTCACCATCTATCCCAATGGTGCTAGGTATTGGTTTAACATCCACGATAAAAAGGATGGCTGTGATTGGTCAGTTCTGTCTGTGATAGCACGTGATCCTAGTCTTTACTAGGTGATTTCCATATGGCGAGGGTTTTCTAGGGAGGGTTTACAGATTACCATGGGATTGTGGTCTTCTAGTACTCGGTATTTATTTCATTGCACCTCTTGCTGGTGTGCGGTGCGGTTGTGGGGCTTAGTCTGTATTTATTTGTGGAACAGATAAGATCCTGTGTACGTTGAGCATCAAGCGGCACGCTATGATAGTACATACATGGCTATGTTATCATATATCGAGACGGTGAATTTGAGAAGCCTGTAGAGATGCGTGGATACTTAGGTAGGGGCCCCGACGTCTCACCGGCATCGAAAGAGACGAGGCTCTAGCATTAGTAATTGAGTATCTCAGCCACTAACAAGGTTTTGCCCTAAAAGCATCCAGTGAAGCATCCAATCTGCGACTACTGGAATTTAATGACACGTATGAAGAGGGAAAGCAATCCAATAAGATATGTAGTTTAATGCAATACACAAATCCAGGTATCATGGTAGTTCAAATGAAGGACCAGGACTGGTCTAAAAGCCACAGCATTTATCAAAGTACATACAAACAATGTAAGCATACAGCTTGAGAAGTAGGCCGTGGGATAGACGGCCACAAGGACGGATCCCGATAATTATTCCTATCACGTCGGATGCTCGCTGACGCAAGAAAGTGACACCGAATCAAATGCCCGCTGAACACCTAGGAGAAAGAAAAAGTGAATGTGTAAAACACAAGGTCAACTATAGACGAGTGGGAAAGGAAACTATAAGAGTAAGTATAAAACTAAAAAAAAAAAAAAAAAAAAAAAAAAAAAAAAAAAAAAAAACAAAAAAACGAAAAATTCATTAAAGGGAATGGTGGCACTTGAATTCATTAGCCTTCTACAAGCGTTTGTCGGGGGCCGGTCCCAAGAAACTCGAGGCATCGTCGTGCCAGCGCAATTACCTCGCCCTCGCCATCTTCTTGATCCTCCTCGTCGGACTCGATGTTTTTGTCCGAGATGGACTTGACCATCTGCACAACATCATCGGACTTCGCAATGTAGCTGATCAGCCTCTTGTCTTCTGATTCCAGCAGTTGAAGTAGAGTCCAGATGGCAATGTGTTGAAACGTAGGGTCTCCGCTGGCGAGGAACCGCTTGAGATAGCCGTGGATTCCTCCATTGGGGTCTGCCCAATCCCGGACAAATATCGAATAGTCGCCGACTATATTGGTCAGCAATGGCGGAAACAATCTAGGAATCCTTAGGGACTTACCTTTAGAGGACAAGTTGCCCAGGGCTGCGGCACTATTCCCTTGCACCTCGATGCTTTCGGACTCCGTCAGAGGAATCAAGACGTCGAAAACGCCGAGATTGAGAAGGTGAGGTTTGAGCTCATCACTAAGTGCCAGGACAGCGATGGCGGCAGTCATCTCCGACTGGACGCTGAGGGGAACCTTCAGGACCAGGTCCTTGCATTTCTCGACTGCGCCGGCTTGGAGGACAAGCTCCTTGTTACGGTCCGAACTTGCGGCGAGATTTCGAAGCGTGGAGATAGCGTGGCACTGGATCTCTTCATTATCCGTCGAGCCAAGCAAGTCCACCAACGGCTTCAAGAAGCCCGCATCAATGATCGGGGATTCGTTTAGTGGGTGGATGGAGATGTTGCGAATGCACGCGACAGCGGAGAGTATGAGGGGAAGGTAAGAGGATTGCAAGAGGCGTAGGAGCGGGGGAAGGCCTTTCGCGCGAACGATTTCGAGCTGGTATTTTTCGTCCGAAGCCAAATTACGAAGCGCCAGCGCAGCCTGGCATTGGACCTTGGGGGTGGAGGAATCCATGAGATGAACCAGCGACTGTACCAACCGCGACTCGGTTTGTGCGAGTCGTTTTCGATTTGACGCGTCAACGGCGATATTGCTGAGAGCGGTCGTACAGTAGTATTGCACGTCAACATCGGAGGAAGAAAGCAATTGAACCAAGACAGGAATCGCACCAGCATTGACCAGTTGCTGTCGGTTATCATCTATACAGCCGTCAGAAGAGATTGAATACCACTGAAGGTTCCCACACCATCCACTCACCGGAGTGTGTCATGTTCAACAGTGCACCCGTAGCATTCCGTTGCACGCGCATATCCTTAGATTTTGCCAGGCGAATTAATGGCCCCAGAGCACCCGAGCGAGCGATCTTAGCTTTGTTGTCCTCGTGGGTAGCTAGATTTGTAATACAACCGACAGCATTGCATTGGACCTCGACGTTGGGCGACATCATCTGTCGTATTAGAGGGGCCAGCCCTCCGAGGGCGACGATCAACACCTTGTTATCCGCTATACCGGGTCAGCGATTTTCGTTGCAGTCACCGCGAGCAATACGAACCATTCACAGCGAGGTTTCCTAGCGCAGCGCTCGCTGCTCGTTGTACTTCGATATCTGAACTTTGTAAGAGGAAAAGGATGGGTTCAAGGGTATCCCGATCGACTTCGCGCACATCTGATATACAGCGGACTGGGGTTAGCCATGCATCGATAACTCGAGTCCCCAATCTCACCCACCTCGCTCGGTAATTTCAGCAAATGTCAAACTAGCACTTCGTTGGAGGTCGACATTATCGGAGTATACCAAGGTACTTAACGCGCGAAGCGGTTCGCCCGTGAAGAAATCGGTCTCGGCTCTCTATCAAATCGGTCCAAGTTAGCATGACAAGGGTGCCAAGAGATCCAAACAGGGATAAGAAAATCGACTCGGACGGGGACAAAGCATACGTTTTCGAGGTAGCCTAACAAGTCGGATACTGCCTCCCGTTCATTATCTGCCAAGGTTGTTTCGTAAATTCCATCCCTCGAGCGACCGCCGATAGGCCCCAGACAAGCGGTGATGTGACACCAGCGGTCAACGGTCGAGAGACAGGATAGACAAGCACTTGCGATCCCACTCATATCTGTAAGATTACAGGCCCGCAGTACCCAACGCCGGCCCCGCAAGCGACAAGTCTGAAAAGCAAAAGTTGTCAGTCCGACCGGCGAAAGACCAACTTCCTTTCGTCTCCAAGCAGCCTCTTGTTCCTCGGATCACCTCGAGTGATAGATCGGTGGTCGACGTCTGCTGAGAGACAGATTTAGGAGGATGGAGTGATGCGAGGTGCGATGGAAATCGATTGACGCCGAGACAAAGAGAAGGATGGGCGGCTCTGCATATAGCCCGGCGAGAGCTGAAGCTCGCGGGAGCACAAAAGAATGGCGCGTGATAGGAAGGGGGGTTTCTTGCTGTTATTATCCCGTTTCTTTTTCTTTTTCTTCAGGAAAGATGACAAGGTCTTAACCGAGAATGGAAGGGATTGATACAAGAAGGAAAAGAAAGAGGGGGGGGGTTGGCGGTGGTTGGGAGGAGAGGACAAGAAAGAGATGGAGGACGGTGAGGTTAAGTTTAGTTACTGTTAGTCCTGTGCCTAGCTTCGATGGTTACAGTACGGGTCCAGTGAGGTGTGGGCAAATGATAACGCGGGAAAGGGAGAGAGCTCATCTCCCACTATCAGTTCCCGTCACCGACTGAACCACATCAAATACGCACCCGAGGATAACTTTTCTTCCCAGGAACTTGAAAATAAATGAATTGTTCACTTTTTCTACGCCGAAGAATGAAATTCGTCATGGAATTATTCTAGAGTACGGATATGAATGGTCCTGTGCCGGGCGAGGTCAGGTGGACATACCTTCCCCCGTTTCGGTTTGTCTGCCCTTGTTTCTCATGTTCAGCATAATATGTATATTTCTCTCCACGAATATATATATTTATAGTACTAGACATTTTAAGCCACCTCCCCGTACCACTACTAGGAACACATTTAAGGACCAATAGATCAGAACTCTTCGCCTGTTCAATGACCAGAAAAAAAAAAATTCTCCTACATAATACTACCACCCCCACCAACAATGGGCAAGTAAAGTATAATCCTCCCTCTTGGTCTAATCATGGGACGACCCGCTGATCCACCCTGAAAAGCTAATGGTTCGACATGACACTTTACTCTTCTGGCAAAATCACGCTCTTTTTTCCTTCGTCTTACCTTGTACAATATATTCAGTATCTAATTTTCGAGTCCTGTCCTTTGCGATCGAAAAGGAAAAAGAAAAGAAAAAGAAAAGAAAAAGAAAAGAAAAGAAAAGAACAGAAAACCGTGAGGGGGCGACATAGATATTATATTATATATAATAATAGTGTTCTCGAATATAATATACTCCAGCATATAATATAGATACTATCCAAACATACCCCTCAAATAATCCCATCGCCTCCCTACTAAATCTTGTTCTTTGACGAGTGATGCGACATGATCACCGGACAAACGCTGAATGATCAACGCAGTTGGCCATAGCGGGAGGCGGTCCAAACTACCCAAGTTGTGTAGGGTTCTTAGATTGATTGATATATATATATATTACAACAATTGCCACCTGGCTCGAACGCTGTTATCTCGTGGGACTCGTCTTCTTCGTGTTTAAATGAATGACCTTAATCATGATCATTTACCCCTGGCGCACCCCGACATTTTTCAATATATGAGCCGAGTAGGGTGAACATCGGATAAAACAGTTGTCTGAGGTTAGCACTGATATTCCATAAACTTCAAACCCAACGTGGTAGTACGTCATAATAGCCCCGGGGTTGGGAAAAATAGGAAGCGGAAAAAAAAAAAAAAAATTCAAATTAAAAATTAAGAGCGGTTTTCGCGCTCTGGTCAAGTCGGCTTCGGGATTCGGGAGTAATGGGGAATCGGAAGTACATAAGTTACTACTTTAGTTCATCTTAGCAACCCGTCGAACATGCCATAACGAGTTAACGTCACAGAGACCGTCGATATGGGGCGATAAATTACTTAATCATAGAATCTACATTTTGTACGATTCAGAGATGCTTCTTTTTCTTTTCTTTTTCTTTTCTTTTCCTTTCTTTTAATTTTTTTTTTTTTTTGGGCTCACTTCCCACATTAGCATGGATGTCACATGAACACATACTAATACTACTCTGGGCTGTGACTGATGATAAGGCTGTCCAAAAGGTATTGATGGTTGGGATGGTTTGCCGCAAGTTATCCCTTTTCTCGTGTTGCCCCGCAAACTAAGACTGTGGAGGAGCCCTAGCCTATAGCATGATATCTTAAGCGTCTTAGCATCCAACATTAAGAGTCTTTACTTGGCTATTCCCTACGACCAATGCGAAAATCCGAGAACTTGCCCCTCCCGCCACCATGTATACAAAATGAACAGGCAATCCAATGAATATGTTGCTGAGGCTGCCCGATTTTGGCCTATCGGCTATCCCTCAGGAGCTCAGGAGGAGCTATTCTTGGCAACTGACTAAGATTCTTATATCAGCACGTTCCGGCAAGGAAGGAGGCACTTCAGACGTACTCCGGGCCTGTCAACTGCATGATGATCAACAGCGGAAGGAAGCTTACTGCGGGAAAGGAAACAAAAACAAATCTTAATGGTTCGCCCTCAGTGATATTCCCTGCTTTCCAGCATTCTGACTGCTCTTTCTACCGAATCAGCATCTCATAGACTCTTCTACCGTCATTCTATGCCGATTCCCGGAAACCGGCCAAGTACTGCGAAGACATTAGATGGCGTTATGTAAGTCTTGGTATGGGGAAGGAGGGGGTTGGGTAGAATCTTCGCTGGTTGAATCTCGGTACTTCACGCATACCAAAACATCCCATCCCATTCATTCATTTTGGATGCCCCACTGGCAGATCTTACCATCTGACTTGCATACTTAAGCTACTTTGCAAGCAAGAATCGTGCCCTCCTTCCCCCCCCCTTTTTTTTTTTTTTTAAACTCCCTATTTTGCCTCTCTCCCTCTTCTGGTCTAGTGTCCGTTTTTTTAAGTAACTAGGGTATCGCTCTGTTATCCCTTAAATCTCGTTCGATCGTCCTCTGTATACCCGTGCTTTTTCTTCTCTTTTCCCTTTACGAGCTTCGCCCTCTCAATCCCTGTAGTACATCATCTTGTTGCTCGAAAGTCCACTTTCGCAACCTGATCTGATACTGGCCTCGGGAGATCCCAATATAGGGCGGTTGCGCAGATCAGACGAGGCTCCCAAGATCGCAAATTGCATGTTTTATTTTGATTATTATTATTATTATTATATTTATTATTGTTATTATTTGGATCGATTTGATTTACTATCTAATATTTCCTTTATTCAGTTTCTGCGCCCCGGAGAATATTACTTTCTTGACTGCCTATTATTAACTTATTATTTTGTTTTCGTTTTAATTATTTTCGCCAGGCAGCTTAATTGTGTCCAAAGTTCCTTTTTTTTTCCCTTTTTTTTTTTTTTTTTTTTTTTTTTTTTTTTTTTTTTTTGGAACTTCTCCTCTCCTCTCCTCTTTCTCTCAGGCAACCAATGTCTGCATCCGTTTCCGCCTCCGCCTCGTCGAACCTCCCGTCAGACGCTCGTTCGGGGCCCCTCCGTCGGTTGAGCCAACTGCGCGCTTATACCCAAAATCATTTCTCCTCCCAATCCTCCTCGTCATCATCCACCCCTAACAATAACAACACGAATAATCAACAACGGATCGCTCGTCGACATACCTTCAGTAGTCGAGTGTCTTGGTTTTCTCCCGCGTCATCTGCCTCCACTGGAGCCGAGTCTACTCATCCACCTGTGGGGACCAACAACTCCGCTCCATGTCCCGAGTCTGAACCGTCATCCTCAACTCTCGCCCGCTACAGTTCTGCTTTATTTCCAGGCTACCGCGGGTTCGATCCTGACCTGCGTTCTCCGACTCACTCCTCCGAGTCGTCCACCTCTCCCCCCTCGTCGCACGAGCCTCGTCGAGCGCAGACCCAAGGCAGGATGGCGCGGTTGAGAGGTTTATCTCTAACCCCCGATACAAGGCCTGACGTCGAAGCCACACCTACATCCGCACCGACAAGCCTGCAGAATGAATTGTTAGACTGTCCCGATCCGGTCACCAATGAAAATCCTTCAACGTCCCCGCGGCCGAAGCAGAAGGCCACGATTCGTTTTTTCCCCCACCAGGATTCACACGGGAATTCGAGACCCTCGTTGCCCTTCATCCCCATTTCTCGAACGCTACCATCAGAGAGTAGTATCATTCGGGTCGGTCGCTACTCCGAACGGGACGGTCTCCCCGTCGCAAACCCAACAGAGCCCTCCGATGCCCCGGTGGGTTTCAAGTCCAAGGTCGTGAGTCGGAAACATTGTGAATTCCTGTATATGAACGGGCAGTGGCACATCAAGGATGTTGGGAGCTCGTCGGGGACGTTTCTGAACCATATGCGGCTTAGTCAGCCCAATATGGCGTCTCGACTTTACACGGTGAAGGATGGCGATATCGTGCAGTTGGGGATTGATTTCAGAGGTGGAGAGGAGATGATCTTCCGATGCGTTCGGATACGGATCGAATGTAACCGATCCTGGCAGCAGCAGCCCAACGAGTTCAAGTACGACTTGCTGATACGGAGATTTGGGGACGAAGTTGCTAACCATGGTTTAGTAAAAACACCGAGAGTCTTATTAAAAACTTAGGGAAAGGCGATACGGCTGATTATTCTGGTTGTCGTGAATGTTCGATCTGCCTGGGTTCTGTTCTGGTTGGTCTCCCCTCATTTTCTTGGTCCGCGTTTCATTGTTGGTTTATTGTGGACAATCGGCGGCTAACGTCGAGTCAAGAGACCTTACCAGTGCCTCTTCATGGCAGCGTGTGCCCACGTGTGGCATTATAAATGCGTTAGCCGCCTCATTCATACACCGGACTACCCTATGTTTCAGTGCCCGAATTGTCGCGCATATACAGATCTCAGTGCTGAGGTCGACGATTCAAATGATTACGAGGACGCGGAGCAGAAGGCCATCCCCTCGGAGGAACAGCGAGATTCTTCCCAGGATCGTCGATCGAACACCCGCACACCGCAACTAGAGAATGACCAAGCCCCTTTGGCCTCGATCTCACAAGACTCAGTGGATTCCCAGCCGGGTCCTTTACCCGTTGAAACAGGACTCGCTGGGAACATCGAAAATATGCGCCTAAACACGAACAATATCTCCGGCGAAACTGATGACGAGACATCCCGTGCGGTCGATCCCTCCCCAGCCGTCACAGCACGCAACGTGTTACCTGTTCCCACCGCTAGTGCTCTCCAATGCCGACAGGCGCAGTTGCGTGCAGATACACCTGTTCGCTCTGAATCCGCTGAAGATAATCCTCTGACACCGCGAAACGACTCTGGCCCTCTGGTATTTGACGCCCGGGCTAGTATGTCGTGAACCTGGGTGTGTCTGGTCTATGAGCGTCAATGTAGGGGCATAACACATGCAAGCCGAATTACTCACCTGAATCTTTCTGAGCCGCGCGTCGCACGCATAAACGGCGTCTAATCGTCTGGAAGGCCGCCTTTCATTTGTGTCTGTTCTTTTTAAACCTCTTTGCATCGTTTCGTTTGAGCCCAACACCACAGCATAGCTATTTCGCATTTCTATAACTAGCATTGCAATCTGGAACCCATCTGCCCTTGATTTTGAATTATACCCCATCTCGCCCCGCTGGATCCTCCCTGTGGCCGCCGTTGACGAGGGCCTCCGTTGCGCCGTCGTCGTCGGTCAACATTCCGCCGACCATAATTGACGTCTTGCCACCTGCATACATCCTGCGATTTGGAAGAAGTTGACGGCGGTTCTTTTAGGATCTCACCGGCTTGCCCTGTACTCTTTCCTGTCGCTACCCATTTCTTTGCCGTCTGTTTTCCTAGTGCTTCCTTGAGCATGTGTACATACATTATACGGCGACCGTGCGTCTGATCCGAACACGCCTCTTTTAGCTATTAAAGCCTCAATGCCATTCTTGGCCGACAGGAGTCGTTACTCCCTACGATCTGCGACTCTCATACCATGATCCTCTTTGTAATCACTGAACCGATGCTCTCAGAGCGCCTTTGACGTCGCTTATATAGTTTAGATATTGAATTTCCTTCCGGACCATAGAAAATAGAGCTGTCATAAGTAAAGCGCTGGATTATATTGAGACTTATAGATAATCTATAAAGCGGTCAAGCAATTGAACTACACAGAAGATAGTAAATTCTTCAAAAGATGCTAATTTAGATAAGAACCACTATACTACGGCAGTCCCCGTGGATAGACCTATGGGTTTTGGCTGGTACCTCGAGATCTTCTGGATTCCGGAGCTACTCGAATATACAGTAGAAGAGGAATAAAATTGGAAATTCGTATCACAGTACTCCATCCCTTTATAGCTATAAACTAATCAGGTCGTATGTGCTAGTCACGGACAACTATAGGCACCTAGCCGTAGTACAGTACTTAGCGCAAGAAATAGCCAATGAGAACTCTCCGTAGAAAGTGTATTTAAATCTCATTAAACGGTCCAAGCGGAAGAAACAACATTTCAGCCCAGATTTAAAATCAATGTCAGCTGCGCTCTCAGGGTTCTCGACCAAGCGTGTCTCCTCATCTGTACTTTTTACTATTGTTCGATAGCGATAGAGACCGAACTTGAGCATGATCTCCATAAAAATCTCAATCCTCAGCCTGGTACTTTATCATCAAGTGCTCGCTGCAGAGGGACCATGTTGCCATACCAAAGGAACCGTAGCCGATATCTCGGTTATACCCTGCAAACCATCTCAGCGAACATGGACGAATGGAACATATAATGGAACGTTCCGTGTTGTTCAACAGCACGCTTACAACTCGTGCGGTTACTGCATCAGCACAGTGAATAATGACTGGGTTCCGAACCAGTGGAGACCTGATAGAGCAGTGAGATGTGAAGACCTTGGAGTACGATGATTGGGGCCATCTCGATCATGTCACATGTGGCAGTGATGTTGTAACTTTGACCATCAATGACCCAATTTCTGCAACTTCTACCAAAGGTATACAAGGCCAAGGGCCGAACAAAACGCATTGTGACGCTTTAAAGGCGCCAACGCAAAAGGAACTCTGCATTAATGGAAGTCTATACAGTCAAGCCGACTATGTTAGCGATGGCCTCGTGCGTCGAGTACAACGGTGGGACAATGCGGGGAATACGACACAGTATACATATGATGGCTACAATCGTGTGAGTCAAACCGCCTGGCCTGATGGTCACATCACAAAGGTTGAGTATGCGCCTCAGAGCTCATCGGTACAACCTGTCTCATTTACTGCTGGAGATCACAACATAGGAGAGCAATCCTTCGACGGATTAGAGCGTATGACGAGAAGGATAGTTGGTGAACGCATCACTACACAAACCTACACATACACAGAAACTGCACTGAAGCCTAGCAAGATCACAAACCCGAAGCAAGATAGATACCAGCTTGCCTATCAAGCTGCGCTGAACCTGGTACTGACTAGTCTGACGACCGGCGATGATAATACTAGCTACCAGTACAACTCCCAGTCAGCAGTAATCTCAAAATTGCAGAATGCATATCACGCACATGAGCTGCAGTATCTACCTTCTGGCCTCTTATTGCAGGAAAATATTCCGCTGGAGGACAAGGGTCCCGAATTATCAGCTCAATCCATTTATTCGATGGCTGGGAAGCTGCAATCCTATACGAACATTCACGGGCAAACACATGATATCCAGTGCGACGATTTTGGCAGGGTGAGATCGTTAAAGCAATATACAGCTCAAATCACCTTCTGCTATAACAATGTGGATCGGGTGTTAGAAACCTGTGTTCAGGATGCAGACGGAATATCTCTGACTACGACGTTGGCATATGATGACTTGGGCCGCGAGGTCCAGCGCGCCGTATAGCAAGTAGATAATCTTCTATATACACCGTCACAGACCTTCGGTGATACCGGTCTGACCACTCAGCGTACAGTGGAAGATGGTTGCTGGCGATGTGGTGCGACAGAAGAGTTTTCAATACGACTACCTTAGCCGACTGATTATCGATGCCAGGGCACAGGAGAAACAGGGGTCTAATAATAACAATATAGTTTCAACGAATATGACACTCTGGCGTAGGTTACCACCGTCTTCCAAGATGGAGCCCAAAAACACCGCCAACTATGTTTATAGCACAAACGATCCGACCCAGCTTATGCAGATCACAAACACGAACGATTCGTATCCATCCGAGATCAACCTTACCTAAGGCGCCAATGGTTGTCTGACACGGGTTGAAGAAGGCCGGACTCTGGAATACGATATCCTGAACAGCCTCACCTGTGCCTGGGATGGCACATCCCAGACAGTCCTAAGCGAGTACCACTATGATACCGCGGGTTAATTAGTAACCCAGGTTATACCAGACAAGCTTGACACACATTCCTTCTACCGAGGTGACCTGCTAATTGCAATCACGATGGGAGACACCAAGACTACCCGATATGCGACGGAAGTGCCTACTGGGGCGAAAACAACCCAACAGCGAAATGGGATGACAGAGACCCAAACTGTGGGTGTCAGATGCCCATCGGCCAGTTCTCACCACCCTTGGCCCAGGCCAGTCCCAATCAACCTTTCCCCGGCAGTATACTCCATACGGGGCGAGCCCAGCGGCTGACGGTTTAATTGGCTTTAACGACCAGTGGCGAGACCCCGTCGTGGGCTGGTACCATCTCGGCAATGGATATCGTGTCTACAACCCAGTGCTAATGCGGTTCCACAGCCTGGATTCGTGGAGCCCCTTTCATTTCCGGTGAGGTCAATCCCTATGCATCTTGCCTCGGTGATCCAATCAACCGCCTTGGCCCCACCGGTCATTGGGGCTCCTGGGATTCCTTCAGAAACTTGACCATCACGGAGGCCACTGCCGTAGTCGCTGCTGCTGTCGCGGCCCTCACAGCTGGGGCTGGATTGGCAATTGAATCGGAGTCGGTATCGCCGCCATCGTTGGTTCAAGTGTCGTCACGGGTATCGCTTATAACGCAGTAAACAGGCAACCCGATCACCGGCCAAAGTATCGGGATAGATGCCGTAACAGGCCTTTTTGCTGGAGGCGCCGGAGAAGGATTTGGCCAGATGATGGGGGAGGTAGGGGGAAGGTTATTCACGGAAGGGGTGAAAAGGTTGAAAGGGGCGCTTGTGGCTGTGCCAACCAAGATTGCAGAAGACAAGATTGCAGAAAGTATCACTGGGAATAAAAAAGAAGGAGAGAAAGGCTACAAAGAGTCCACTAATACGCGCGAAAGCACTGGACGGGTCAGACGGACAAAAGTAATAGTAGTTCACCATCCCGGCCAGGGCAGCAATCGCCCAATATCAGGCGGTCGAGGCTTGGGCCTGGCAGCCAAACCAAGGATTCGAGTGTATCCAGCCTGACTCAAAAATTGACGGGGACTCAAACATGGAAGCCAATTGACACCTCTGTGCGGATGAGTGATGCACAGATCCAAGAGCCGGAGGCCGGTCTGGGCAAAGAGCATCGAACGTTGTTCACCATCCAGTTGAAGAAGAGAGCCTAGGTATTTCTGACTGCTCCCTGTGGAATCCGCGTAGAGGAGCTAACAATCATTATATTGTGAGATAGGCCGTCGCCTGCAAAGTATGTATGATATATGTGCAGGATGATTAGAGTGGAGTTAGCCTTATGAGGTCACATCACTTCTTACGAAGTAAACATGCGAAAACTCCAAACAAGATAATTTGCTAACTCATATATCTCCTACAGTTTAAGAAATCTTGGTATATATATCCTCATTATATATTAAGAAACAGCTCAACAAGGCCAAAGACTAAGATCTTGCATCATCGATGTTCCTTTTCTTTTCTTTTCGCTGGGCTAATTGCATGTCTTTCTACGATAGGGAAGACAACTCTACTTCTCTAGAATAATCCGGAGTATATATTCCGGGTTATTAGAAATTAATTCTACTATTTTCTTCCTATATTCTAATAGCCTTAACAACTCTAATATGGAGATAGTTATATACTAATATTAGGTATGTATAATTTTGTCAGTGTGACCTCTGGGTGCATTCAGAAGCTTAACCGCTGCGTTATCAGCAAAAGTCTAGGATACAAAGTCAAAAGGCTTTGTACTGCACTCAAATATATAAGCATTTTCAGGATTCAGGCAGGCAGGTAAGTTGTGCCCGCAGACACACCGTGACAAATTTAGAATTTTAGTATAAAAGTTTAAAATTTAGTTCAAAGCTTATCATAACTAACCTTGCCCTAATTGCATAATGCGATGCGTGCATTACATCATCATGCCAGATTCCTCTTGGGACAGATCCACGTGATTATATCCCAGCCTGGAGGGGTTCAACAGTACACTTTATTCACCGAATACTACCGGTGCTTCAAGTACTTGTGCATATTCAAATATGCCGTCAATTCGACAAAGCTCAGACAGCCCTCCCGGCGAAGAAGCATATCTTTTGCATAGATCGGCATCAAACAAAGTGCCCCAGCTGGAGGTAAATCGTTCGGATCTCTTTACAATTTACTCAACATTCCTTGGTATGTTCTGCTCCAGAAATCAAATTAAAAAAGCATCATAATTAATATCTATAGGTGTCTTTATCGCAAGTGCTGATGAGTTCCTTGTGCTATCTACATATACTACCATCGCGTCACAGTTCCACCGACTGTCTGAGGGCTCATGGTTGCTAGTTGCTTATAATTTTGGATATTGTATTGCTCTGCCGATGGCGAGTAGTTTCAGTCAATTCAACAATTGTAACAGGCTGCTAACGTTTGAACAGTGTGGAACATTGAGTGATTTATATGGTCGCAAGAATGTACTTGTTACATCATACATCCTATTCCTGCTTGGGTGTTTTGCATCGTACGTATAGGTCCTTCAACTGTCGATATAGCTTGAGCCTCCTGAAACTGATTACATGAAGGGGGGCAAGTAGTTCATTAGTCCAACTTGTTCTGGCAAGAGTGCTTGCTGGTGCAAGTGGTGCTGGGATGGTGACCCTTGTTTCAATTATTATCATAGGTATCTTCCCGCTGGCTAAGTGTATTGATGATTTCCTAACGTGATACAGATCTTGTCCCATCCAGGGAGGTTGCGGTGTACAGAAGCTATGAGAATGTGATGACCGTTATTGGACGTAGTCTAGGAGTACCCATTGGGGGTCTCGTATCAGATACTGTGGGATGGAGATGGTAATATATACGCGCCCACACCGCCCCCTCGGCCCCCCGCTTCCCAAAAAAAAAAAAAAAAAAGCCAGAGAGAGATGGGACTAACTGCAGCCTCTAGGACGTTCTTTGGCCAGGTCCCGTTTATCCTTTTTTGCGCCCTTGTTGGAATCTATGCATTGCCGGATTTCCGGGGCGGAGCTGAAGGAGAACCGTCGGATGAGGACTTACCAAGTGCCTCACGCCTTCGCGATATCGACTTCGCTGGAATAATCACATTTTCGGCGACAATCCTCTTATTCTTGCTTTTGCTTCGGGAGACAGGAATGAAGGCAGAAGACCAAGTTCTTCAAATATGTGCCCTATCTCTGGGGCTTCTTATTTCCAGTCTGACCTTCATTACAACCGAACTCTTCTGGGCACGAAAACCTATAATCCCAGTACCACTGTTGCTTAAAGAGCTGGGGCTTTACTGTCTCGTCCATCTTTTGTTAAATTCTGGTCGAACGGCTGTATGTTCTTGTTAGCCTAAGGTTATTTGGGTACTGATTGATATCTCAGCTCGTGATCAACATCATTCCATATTTTATCCGTGTCGAGGGAATCAGTAACTTTCTCTCCTCAGTGATGTACATCCAGGTCGCTGCGGGTGTATCAGTGGGAGGAGTCATTGCTGGTGTTATAATTAAACGGTCGGTTGCCTCTGAAAATCTCTTTTTAGGTTACTGACTCAAGTCAACTAAACAGCATGGGACGATACAAAACGATGGCTGTCTTATCACTCATTGTTACTATACTATCTTTCTTGCTCATCTTCATCACCTGGAGGGATGGTTGTGGGTCTTGGGAATCCTCCATACTTTTCCTTGTAGGGTTCGCGCCGGGGATTCTGTTTTCTGCTCTGTTCATTGGAATGTCCCAAAGCTCCCCAGAAGACTGCATTTCTTCCTGTATTGGGACCTTCTATCTCAGCCAGCAGCTTGGGGTGATCAGTGGTTCAGCATGCGGTTCAGCCTTGATTCAAAGTCTATTTATGAGAAACCTTTCATCTCAATTGGAGAATAACCCACATTGGAAGGTATGTTAAGGTGTACTTTCTCAAGAAGAAATCCCGTGGGTTATACTGACTTTTTTTGACCTAGGATATTCCGAATATTCTCAATGATGTCGAGTTCTCGCGGACGTTACCACAGGCCGAACAAAATATTATCAGGTCCAGTTACTTGGCTAGCTTTCAATATATACCTTGTAAGTTTATTTTGATTTGATCCATTTGCATCGCTAACAGTGTTTTGACTAGTGTTCGCAGCGGTAACTACTTCAGCAGCATTGCCCATATTCTTGCTCCTTAAGGGGAAGAAGATAGAGTAACAAAAGTTTGGAGAGCGAGATTTTCAGATGCCACTATATTATTCTGGGGGATGAATGACATGTATCTCTTTTGTGTGCTCAGGTCTAATACAAGACATTTAAAGATCTCTCGCTTGAATCACAGAATCTCGAACAGACTTTAGAAACTCCATTGCATTTGTACCTCCAGTGCCAGTTGCGCCCGCTGCATTCCTCTCGCCCCGTTTTGAATCAGGCTTAACCATCACCGGAGATTGTTGGTGCTTGGCCATGACAACGACGTACCTTGCTACCATCCGTATGTGTGCTCGCCGGAGCTCTAGGAGAGCAGTAAGACAATTCTCATATGTGGAATTCAGCCGGACATCTTCCGGCCGAGACCGGACAAAATCCCTGATATTTGGCATCCGCTCCACCTCGGCCAAAAATTCACGGTGTTGGCGGGGCATATATAGTCGCATTTCCTGCTCATTAACCTTTCGTTCAGCATGACACTAGATATCGGGGGTACGGTCAGATAACTACTACCTTCAGGTAAGCACCCTTGGTTGACTGCTGATCGCCGTTGTCCTTCACACAGTATTCTTGATCATGCGTCACGCCTAAAGCAATATCAATCAAAGCAAAAAGCGAGCTCTGGGCATTGCTTGGTCCACGATGTTTACGGTATCGTCCACCGCTATGCTCTTCGAAAAACACCCCATCAGGGAGCCCTACTGAGGCAAGGCTATCGGTCCCATCCAGGAATGGCCGGAGTTTATGGTAAAAGAAACACTGGCTACAATCGCGGTACATGCGTGGTAAAATGGAGGTCATATCGGTCAAGGTTATAGTCGCCCGTTGGAGGTAGGCAATAACCTGTTCCGTGTCTTGATCAAAAGTGGCCTCAGTAGCCTCAAGCAATATCGAGATAAGTGGAGCCCCGCTCGCCTCAATGGAAAAAACAACACCGAAAAAGCCTGCTTCCTCTGGGGAACCAGTGAAGGATACTAACGGTTGGGTATTGCTCTTTGACAGAGGTTTACTGTCGGCCTCAATCCGACGATAATTCCATAGAACTTGTCCCGCATATGTGGGAACCGGCGGCAATCCAAAATGAGCCGATAGTTCGATCGTCGGCTGGGAAATACTCAATGGTAGTCGCTATTAGAATTAGCTTACAGTATATAGCGTTTAACACCATGGTCTCCAGCGGGAACTACCCCCGAGGCTAGGGATCAACTATACCTTCGGTGGGGGGGAACTTCCGAACAAAAAGCCATTGATAATATATCCCAGAATCATATAGGCTCTGCGCCTTTCTGCTTCTGTGAGCAAAAGTTCAGTAGAGAGGACGGGCATCTCATGGACCCGTTGTCGCAAAGACCCGTCCGAAATGAACCTGGGCAGGGCGACGATAGTGGCTTCCCAGGGCCCATAGTATGGATCTGGTAACTGCTCCAGGGGTGGTCTGGATGGTAGAAAGCCCGACTCAGGAGATATATCGTAGTGTTCTAGAGAAGCAAGTAATTCAGCCATTGCGGATTATTTGGTGTGCAAAATTTGTATTAGCGTTTAACATTCCGATCCAAGATCTACTCTACCACGCCTATATCTGATATATCTATTTATACAAGGTCTGTTGAATTGTTGATGCATCTTTTGAATTGGTTGCGTCATTGACTAGATGTTGCCGTTTGTAGAGTTGCATTCCGCCTACATTCTCGGAAATTTCTGCAGTTGCAATGTAACCATGAAGCGCCGTCTGTAGTAAGCGGGCCTTGATATGGAAGAATAAACTTCTGCCAGTACTACCCTTCTACTACTTCTATGTCAGGTTGGTCAGTGACGGCGCATGCCTTGATTAGTTCGGGGGGAGAGCAGAAGGCTCTATTGGGACAGCCCTCTATAATTTTAAGGGTTTTAAAACCCGATTGCGAGAACAAAACCCCCCCATCAAAGCTTTGAGCAAATAAGAACCATTACTTCAAACGATTCCCGCTAATGCAGATTCAACCGCTGTAGGTTGATTAACCTCAGCCACCTCAGCCCTTGGATCTTGAGGATTGCCAGTGTTCTATTCACTCTTGTTTAGTTCTAACAATTACTTGTCCCTGAGCACACGTATTGGTTGCTTCCAGGTGCCCTACCCGCACAAAGCCATGGCAACTAACCAGAAGCCTGGGAGGCAAATGGTAGTTGTAGTGGGTGCTGGGCCTGTAGGCTCTTTGGCGGCTCTCTATGCAGCTTCGCGCCATGACGACGTGGAAATATACGACGTTCGCCCAGGTATAGGTCACCGATACGTAGTTACAATTGGAGGTTACTGACCACCCTATCCATAGATGATGTTCAATATCCATCTAGTCTATCTCCAATGTTCCGAAAATCGATCAACTTCACTTTGTCAGAACGCGGTCTCAGAGCAATGCGACAGTCCAAGCACGAGTGCTTCGTCGATGCTGTCATGCAAACAGCCATCCCCATGAATGGTAGAATGATACATGGAAAGAGTGCCTCGGGAAGACTCCAGGAGACTTTTCACACGTACGATATTGATGGGAACACCGTATATTCAGTGGAACGGATGGCTTTAAACAAAGCTCTCCGTAAGGCACTCGACGAGACACCAAACATCAAGATGTATTTCAACCACCGATTTGTCCGCGCCGATTTCTGTGCGCAAAAAGCTTGGTTCAAACAACAAGAACCATCCTCACCGGAAGTAGAGGTCGACTTCGATTTCTTAATCGGTGCGGATGGTGTCCATTCTGCAGTCCGATATCACATGATGAAATACGCCTATACGGATTACGAACAAAAGTATGTTGACACCAGGTGGTGCGAACTGCGAATACCACCTTCAGCAGATGGCCACTTCAGCCTGTCCCCCGGTCAGGTCCATATCTGGCCCAGTGGGGACTTCATGCTCGTCGCATTTCCATGTCCGGACAAATCATTTAACTGCACCTTATTCGGCCCATCTGCACACCTAGCTTCAATAAAACACTCACCACCCGCCAAGCTGTTCTCGTTCTTCGACACCTACTTCCCTGGAATCTGTCCTCGCATGATCTCGAGGGACTCGCTCATGGCGCAATTCCATGAGAATCCTCACCTGCCACTGGTCACAGTCAAATGCAATCCGCACCATTTCGGGTCCAGCGTCATCATTATCGGCGATGCAGCACATGCCATCCTCCCATTCTACGGGCAGGGTCTGAACGCAGGCATGGAAGATGTCCGGGTCCTCTTCAATCTACTCGAAAAGAAGGGTGTGTATGCCACATCAGACCCACAGGATCGGCGCGAGGCCCTAGCACTGGCGTTCCAGGCATACACGGCAGAACGCGTGCACGATGTGCATGCTATCCATGATGTAGCCAAGCGCGCCTATTTTGAGATCAGACAAGGGGTAAATACACCAATTTACAGAATCAGAAAATATATCGAGGACAGTCTGCAACGACATGTGCCGCGACTGGGGTGGCAGACCATGCACTCACGGATTAGCTTTACCGAACAGCGATATTCTGAGATAGTTCACACGGATGAACGTCAGGGGAGGATACTTGCTGCCGGTGTAGCGTTTGCTTTCTTTCTGGTTGTTCTCATCGGTGTGGTTATTGTCAGTTTTCTGATCGATAGTTTAGTGTGATATGCATTAATTGCTAAGGGTCTATTCCCAGAGGGAAAGTACAGCTTCAAATGGTGATTTATCATGCGAACCTTTCTTAAGGGATTGAATTTTTACATTACGTGGGTATATCAGAAATATCTTCTAATATGTGAGATTCTTTTATAAACAATTTGTGTTGATTCAATCTGATAGTCGATATACAGGTACTCTTTTATTGATTGATTAATTTGTCCATATGTGTCAATTTGATGATGTATGTATATGGTCAGTAATATAATGGGTCCGGCGTGGATTGTTAACGCTAAGTTGGCCTACTTAGAGTAACCAGATAGTCAAGCTCTAGTACCGTCTTGTATATTTCTATTATCTGTACTTTTCGCTCTACTGTATCATATTATCTTGCTTAATCCCGGTATGTTAATTAGCCAAGAATCAGAATCTTGCGATCCCATAGGTGATGAATCGCGTGGACCGCATCTACATGAAGACAGGCTATCCCTCGTCGATACGCAATGCCATCATCATACTCCACCAGCATGGTGTGATAGAAGCGGACAGTAGGGTTGTCAATGATTTGATACTTCCCATGAAGCTTGTTTCATGGGGTCCCATTCCATATACAGAAGGTTGTTGTGTATGGCAGAGCAGAATGAATTCACACTCCCCGCCACCGGATGTTTTGAATGCCCGGGCCCAGTCTCGATTAGCAGAAGGAAGGAAACCGCAAGGGTCACCCTCATTATCGAGGATGATGAAAAAAGGGACCGATTGGTCTAGGTCAGTCACCCAGTGAAAGGTATGTCCTTCCTCTGAGCTGAGGGCCATTCGGAATGAAGTCGCCCAGGTCATAATTCGCGTAGGATTGTTACGGAGGGTATCGATCTGGGAATAGAGGAGACCTAAAACGGAAGGAGGGCTTTATGGGTATCGGTCTGGGATGCATACCAAACAACGATTTTCGTGAGAATTGTATCGGTACCACTCGTTCAGAGTGTATATGGTCCTGCTGCCTCCGAGGTGCAGGATGTTCAATTGGTAATCGACGCTGCCTACCCAGCCGGCCCAAGACCACGAGGGCACGCGGTTATGTTGCTGTTGCCGAGCCATCGCCTTCTAGAGGAAGAGGTTGGATACCACAATAATGATCGGTCGAAAAGATCAAGTGGAAGACCATAGAAGTAGCTTCTCGTGTCGAGGAAGGGCTCGACAGCCACCATGACGCCTTTGAACGCATTGATAGCATCCGACTCGTATGTTAGTGACTGCTGGGAAAAGTCGCGAACTAACTGGGCGTATTCCGTAAAAGAGTTTCCATCTTTCAGGTTTGTGAAGAAGTTAGGGTTCAACAGCTGCTCTACACCACTATGTTGTATGCGGGGCTTTGCTGGATGGAATTCGTAGGTTGTATTCCCCTCCGCCTGGATATCTTCGCAGCGGGGTCTTTTAGACAGCGAAAGTACATTTGATTGTCGTGGAATATCAAACAGCGCTGGGCAAGCACACCCTCCTGAAAGGTCCAACCTCGGGTTGTCCAACGACTTTGTCCCACGGAACGGTTATAGCCTGGAAAGTAGTTACTACACGAAGTTCCCCGATAGGGATGCCAGCTAGACGATGTAGCGTACCACCGGGTGGACATGGGTGACATCCTCTGTGGGTTTGCCTCGGCTCCTGTCAAGATCAACGATAACGGCGATGAATATGAGACAGCTATGGTGGCGGCGTTGGTTGGTATTCGGGCTACCTCTTCTGGGGCACGGCTTGCTGCACCGAATCGTGAGGATAACCTGGAGGGATCTGACATTCATCCCCAGGACAGTCAAAGCTCACAGCAGACTGTCAGCCTGGACTCTATCCAGCCAGTTTCGGGGTGGTGGATGTATGAGAAGGAGGATGCCAAAGCTGAGGAAGAACAGCAGAGGGTGAAGGAGGAAGTCGATGATGCCCTAGGTAGTTGTCCGCAGAAAGATACTGCTTTGCTATATACAGATCGGCCCTCGATATTCTGAACGGACCAAGCCATTCACGAAGTTCAACCAATCTACAGATACAGCAAATTTGGAGGGCCGGTATGAAGCCATATTGGATAGGAAAATGGCAGGGATTTAGTTGTAAAGACCGTTGGATCCTTATCTCACAACAGAAGTTGCTCTAATCTTTTCATTGTTTTGTTTCTTTGTTGCTTTGTTGTCTCTTATTTTAGCAATTGAGTAAAGCTGGGCTACAAGATTGTATACTAAAACCGCCCAAAGATTGAAAAGCGATATAGGGATTCAATTCATTTAACTAGGGTTGAGTCAATAGCTGGAACAATGATAGACCGGTACCGATATAGCAGACTTAGTAGTTGGTACAGTCTTTTACTTCATCTTGTCTAGAGAGCGCTCTGATAATTTAGTTGGGTGAAGGCCTTAAGCATGATGGACGAATGGATGAATGGATGGATGGATTGACTGATTAAAGCCTTATGCCCGAATGCAGCCGTCTTTGGGGCTCTTCCCAGGTCGCCCATGGTCGCTATGTCGAGGCCACGGACTCTATGTATAGAGCATGCTTCCTAAAAGCCCACAAGTATATATTTCCGTTTCCAGCTGATTCCTTTAGATCCTTTGGTTCCTCTTTTTCGATCGAGCTGTCTGCACCCCCCCCGCCCAAGTAGAATCCAGTGTGTCCCGCATGTCTCATAGATCCCTTCGAGTCCTCTATAGGCCCTTATGGCGGGCTAACGTATTGCTTCCTAATACATAGATTACTTGAGGCAAAAGGTCTCGTTAAAGAGAAAAAGGAAAAAACCAAAAGTCGACTTGTTGCTTACTGTAGCAGCTCACGAAGCTCTGCTGTTCTAGAATATATATTTAGGCTCAATAGAGCAAGGAATAGTCTCGCAAGGCTACATATCATGATCCTATATCTTCGTTGTTTCTATATATGATTCGTTATAAGAGTGCCCCTTTCCTTTTTCTTTATTCTCTTTTCGGACTAAATGTGTGCTTTTTTATGTTGTGGGAGAAGTTCATTAAACCAAAAAAATCCATGATCCATAAGAGGAGTTCCATTCTTACCATATTGAGAAGATAGAGTATTGCCACTCTTGTACAAGGAAAAGTCCAAAGTGATAGAGTGATAATAAAAATCAAATCTTTGAGAAGCTAAGTATATAAAGAGTCAACTCATATGCAGAATATGGGGACAAGAAAACATCATCTCGCAGAAGATCGGCAAACGCATTGGCCATCATGTTAGCGTGTCGCTGTGATTTGCGGAAGACAAGATCGTGCCCCTCCATAGCGTGCTTTTAAGTTGAAACAATCCGAGCCTTTCTTTTGCTTGACCGCTCCCTTCTTCTTCTCAATTCCCATCATCCACACTGAAGATGCGACTGAACTTCAGTTCCCCGCCAACGCCGGCGCTGAGCCGTCAAAATACCTTCCTCCACCATGGAACGCACCCACATCTCCTAACCACCCGACAAAAGCCACGAAGGTAAGTATCCACAGATCCGCGGTGCGGCGGGACCTCACAAGATTACTCCCCAGATGGCCTCTAGTCTTCCGATTCATCAAAGGTGCCATCCACGGCGCTATCATCGTCCCCGTACTCTTCCATGCGCTCTTCACGGCCTTTGTGGTCTGTCTGGACCTATACATCTTCGACACCGTCGGATTACCCAGTAGCATCGTAGGCTTACGTTCTTTTCCCCTTTCCGATCTAATAGCATAAGCTAATACACCAGACTAGATCCCCTCCCTCTCCATAGTAGTAGGCCTAATGCTGGTCTTCCGCAACCAAACCAGCTACAACCGCTTCTGGGACGGCCGCACCAGCCTCACAACCCTAACCACCTGCATCCGCAACCTAGTCCGCACAACCCTCACAAACGGCTACAAGCCCTCCCATCCCCTAACCCCCTACGAACGAGAAGACATAGAGCGCACCATCCGCATCCTCGTGGCCATCCCCTACGCCGTGAAAAACCATCTACGCGCCGAATGGGGCGTAGCGTTCAGCGCTTTCTCTGATGTCGGTGAGGATGGGGTCGCAGCATATAACCCGGACTATGTGAATCTGCTCCCCAAAGGACTCGAGGGCCATGAGAGCGAGGGTCTGGGGTTGCCGTTTCAATTGAGTTTCTTTGTAGATGGCTTTATAAAGAGGGGGGTGGAGAGGGGTTGGTTTCATGCGCCGGGGGCGAGTCAGATGCAGGCGCAGTTGAATTCATTGATGGATGCTGTGGGGAGGATGGAGATGATTCGATTGACACCGATTCCTGTGGCGCATTTGTGGGTTTCCTCTCCTCTGTTTTTTGGGGCGTTTTGGGGTATGATGCTGACTGTTGTGTAGGATTCACCAGAAACAGGTTCTTGCTTTGTTTGGCTGTGTTTTGCCCTTTGGGATGGTGGATGATCTCGGGTGGTGGACTGTTCCGATAGTCAGTCTTGTTATTTTTACCTTGTATGGAATTGAGGGGATCGGGTCTCAGCTGGAAGATCCCTTCGGGTATGATCGGAATGATATCAAGATGGATGCGATTGTTGAGGACTTCAAGATGGAGGTCGACGTGGTGCTATCGGAGTGGCGGAAGTTGATGGCGGTTGTGGATGCCGAGAGACCACGGAGTGAGACTCGATGCGTTGAATACCACGACGAACCTGCGGATAAGTTCCCACCGGATATGTTCGTGAGACATCGGTCTGCGACGGCGAGAGTGTAATTGTTGCGAAGAGCGGTTTAATTCAGAGAAGAGTGTATATGTCATTGAACATATGTACGTATATATGCAGCCATGACCTCTATGTTCACGATAACGGTAACCTACTATATCACGATCTATTTACAAAACCCTATAGACTATCTATCTATAGACTAGCCTCCTGGAAGGCCCTCCCAATCCCCTTCCCAGCATGCAAAACACGCAAATCACAAAACCTCCCCCCGACAACCGTCAATCCGATGGGGAGTCCCTTCTCCCCGACAAAACCAGGAACGTTCAACGCCGGCGCATGAAGCAAAGTCCACATCGAATTGAAGCTCTAACCAAACAATCAGCCCAACCTTCCCACCTAACTGGCCAAGAAAAGGAAAGAAAACTCACCGCATCACCAGTATACCCCAACCCCACGGGCGCCTCATCAACTGCACTCGGCACAACAACAGCATCATACCGACTTGCGATCTCATCCCAAACAGGCCTCAACCGCGCAACTCCGTCACACGCATCTAGCAGATCCTTCCGTGACACAGAATCCCTATTCTCAACCATGTCGACAATCTTCCGAGCTAATTTCTCCTTATCAAGAAGATACTCTGTACCCCTCAGCCAACCTTCCCCCCAAACCGAAGGGAAAAGAGAGAAACTCACGCCCCAAAAAAGCCCCCCTCCCCTCCCCCTCTATTATCACCCGATGCCACTCCTTACACTTCTCAAACTCAGCCGGAAGCTCAATCTCCTCAACCACCGCCCCCTTCTCACCTAAGCGCTCTTTCGCCCGCTGCCACACGGAGACAAGTCCCTTCCCAGCTAGGGACCAAACATGCGTCTTCGCGAACGCGATCCTCGTCCCTGAGACCTGGAAGGGCGATTCAGGAACGGGTACATCACCATTGAGGTCAAAGGCCCGAGCCAGAAGATCCAGATCCTCGACGCTGCGGGTGAAGAACCCGGCCGTGTCGCAGGTAATCGAGGCGTGGGAGATACCGTCGCGGGAGATAGCATTCCAGGTTGGCTTTTCATTTACTCTCATTAGCATATTATCTACTTTACAATAGTACCTGTCACGAAGGGGTCCTATTGAAGAATGGGAAAGGGGAGGAGGAGATATACCTTAAACCCATAAACCCCGCAAAACGACCCGGGGCGAATAATACTCCCACCCGTCTGCGTACCCAGCGCAACAGGGACCTGGAAATCGGCTACAGCGGCCGCAGAGCCGGACGATGAGCCGCCGGGGGTGTGGAGGGGGTTATGGGGGTTAGTACAGGGCCCGCCGTCGTAGGTTGCGGCGAATTCGGTGGTGGTTGTTTTGCCGAGGATGAGGGCGCCGGAGGCCCGGAGGGTGGCTACTACGCTTGCATCTGTGGTGGTGTTGGGAGTGTTTGTGTAGATTTTGGAGTAGTACTTAGTTGGCATGTCTGGGTTTTTATGCCAATTGTTAGGGTATGGGGTGTATTGGGGGTGTATGGGGCTTACCCTTGGCGAGGTAGACATCTTTGACTCCAATGGCGATGCCGTGGAGGGGACCTCGTTTTTCTGGCGGGATTTGGTCGAGTTGTTTGGCTTGGGAGAGGACTTGGGCTGGGTTGAGGTGGACCCAGGCTTGTACGACGGGGTCTCGTTGTTCGATGTGGGTGAGGAGGGAGCGGGCGTATTGTTCTACAGTTACTTTGCCGGTGCAGATTAGATCGTGGATCTGGGTGCCTGTTAGACGGTGGAGAGAAGACATGGTTGTTTTGGGGTGTTGATGTTGATATTGTTGGGCTTATGCTTGGGAAGTGGAGATTTATATTGGAGGTTTGGAGAAGCAGTTGGAGGTGATTGTTGCGGGGGTTGGGGTCGCTTTACCTTAGTTTAGTTTGTATGGAGTATCTTCATAATAGTACCATATCGTATTGCTTACTTCGTATGGATAGATAGATAAGTGTAATATATGCAAGGGACATACCCCAAATGATGCCATACTTATACGAGGTCGGACCGAAGGTTGTTCCGCCCGATGGGGTTCGAAATATTTCAGACTTCAATCCGCCAAAAGAGGAATATCTACATATCTATGTGCCAGATGATATTCTTAATATCTCAGGCACCGGAAGGGAATGGTGCTCTCAACACCCATCCATTGTTAAAGCGATTTGCTAACCAGGAAACTTAGATCTTACAACCCCAATATATCCTTCATGGTGCGGAGGGCATTGTATTCAAGATCGTGCACGAAGGCAGGGATTCATGTCTTAAATTATCTGGTGAGTCCTATGATCCTCTTGACCGACAACTAAATCGCATATCTCAGAAAAGCATATAGACAGTTGCGTAGAGATCCTTATTCGACTGTTTCATGGTGGGCTATAGTAAAAGGCTATATCCCTTCTTGTCCAACAAAGAGTGACCTCCCAGTTATACGTTCTCAATTTAGGCTCATACAACAGGTGATAATCTTACCAGGGGATGCTGAAGCGAGAAACTACTTACAGGGGATCTCTCATTGGATTAGGGTTTTCTATAGCACCTGCGTTACGGAGACTGTGGGTCTGAAAGTTCAAGTTCGGGCAGCTCTTCAGCGTGCCTCTAACCAGCATTGGGAGAAATTGGCCAGTATAAGCCTAGATACTAAGTATATCTGATATAACTTGGAAATCATATAGTGATGAAAAAGAAAAAAATATGGAGATGCGGGGAATCGAACCCCGGACCTTTCGCATGCTAAGCGAACATTATACCACTAAACCACATCCCCAATTTGTCGGGAGGGGAGCGTGCAGTGCCTTATTATATTAATAAAGAGAAATACCGTGCTGAGCAGAAGCTTTATCGCTTCCAACTTTCGTTATTCTGCGGCTCACGATAGAGTTGCTCTTCCGATATTATCTCCTAAGCCTGGATCAACCTTCTCTGTTTCTAATAGAAGCTGTGCCACTTCTGTGTGCCCCTCCTTCGCGGCATAGAACAGTGGTGTACATCCACTTCGACTTCTCGAGTCTGTATCCACTTTGCCTGTACTACTGTAAGCAGAAGCTCTGCTACTTGTGCCCCCCGCCCGCAGCATATGACAGCAGTGTCTTCCCAAAACTATCTCTCAATTCCGGATTTACTTTGACTGTTTCAAGCAGAAGCTTCGCCGTATCTTTAGAGCTATGTTGTGCAGCAAATATTAGTGGTGTATCTCCCCAGATGTCCATTCGATCTGGATATTCCTTCCCAGTATCAAGAATGAGCTTTGCCACTGCTTCATGCACATACATCGTGTCCCACCCAGCGGTGTGTACTTCAAATTGGGTCTCTAGCATCCAAATCTATTACTCCAGACTCGAGAAGCAAGAACACTGCTGCCTCAAGTTCAAAAGAACACCATATGGCTAGTGCAGGACCCTCAGGAACAAGAGGACGCTGCGGTGAGGACCGAAATTTGGTGCATCCTGCTTCGCATACACGTAGTGCGGATACTGCTATCGTATCCTTGCTACATATATGAGCTTCATGAAAGTCATCATGCCAATACCGAAATGTGTAACGGAAAAATCGTGCTTGCGGGTCTCGGGGAAGTTTAAGCTGAGAAACCCAATGCATCTTTCAGCAAGAGCTCTGTTAGGCTCCTCCGGGTGGAGACAGTGCTTCCAAATAGTAGAGCTAGAAGGCCCACCAGGCGGCTTTTTACAGACCAAGAATTCCTTCGCGGCTTGGTGAAGCAGGTAGAACTTTTCGCCGGCTATTAACTAGGAAAAGGCCACACAGATCTCTGACAGTATCTCGAAAACTAAGCTCTGATCCAAGTACTTGCTGCAGGTAATTGTAAGATTGGTGCTCCGGGCGGACTGCTATGACATGAGAAATCAGTGTCAGCCACAGAGGTTTCTTCGCAGTAGTGACAATGTGTAGCGGTGTCTTTGCTTTTTCCACATCCCTGCTACAACATAAGATCTTATTGTATGCCTCGTCAACGGTCAGAGGTATTTATTTTATAGCTTGACAGACGTGTCCTCCAGAGAACCCTGGTGTGAGGGACTTTAGCTGAATCAAATAGTTGATTAGGTAGTCTATCACGAAGAGACTAAGTTGAAGAGAAGAGAAGAAAAGAAAACATGAAGCTATTGCGTACGCGATCCGATGTGTCACCCTTCTAGACAAAGGGTCACATGACTGACCAGGCTCACTTCATTGATTGTAGTCTAAACCTCGATCCGTGACACCTGGGGTATTTTCGATATCGTCAATTGTGAGACTTACCGACAGATAGGTGCGGTTAGGGACCTTTGTGAGTTCATCTTGAAGAAAGGCGCCGGCTTGCTCATTCAGGGACCTTTTCCTACTAGTTTTTCTGACCCACTCCTTGTCTCTTATGTGACTTTCTCAACCTCAACCTCATTCTCACCACCAAGATGAATAGTTAGTAGTCAAGCCTCCAGTTCGCAAAAGCCATGGTGTATGTGGTCATATGACCTGCTCGTATTCAAAACCTTGAGATTGTATGTGTCGGACCCTTAAGTATAGAGGCAACTCAACGCATATGAGTTTGTTTCTTTCATTATCCTCGCATTCGTCCAGCGCTTCCAATATATATACAAACTTCCAATTGTAGTTTGCAGATGCAATACCGGTCAAAATGTCCCAAAGATCATGGAAGGAACTAGTAAGTTGATTACCATCTGTAGCAAACTTGTTCAATATCGAGTCGTGCATGAGGTCCGGTCGTGCGAGAAAGAGTTGACTCAAGATAGTACAGAGCGTGTGTGTTGATGTTTTCTGGTCTCAAAAGTCATCCTTGAAGAAGTAACAAGTTATTTTTCCGTGACCGTATTTTCACCTGACGCCCGATTTTTTGATATACACCGGCTTTTTGTCACTTTTCAAAACACTATAATTCTACCAATATGGCTTCAATTCAGGCGTCTTTGGAAGAGATCCAAAGATTGAAAGCAGGAGAACCGATCAATTGCACTAAGGTTGCCCAGAAGCGCGGTGTAAGTGGCGTACAACGTTCTCTAGAAGAGCAATATAAAGATCAACAAACCCTCAATAACCAGCAGGCCAAAAGGATTATTAAATGGATTAATAAACTTAATGATAAAGGCCTTCTACTTTCGCTCGATATGCTACGGAATTTCGCTAAGGAGGCTACTGTAATTAACCCAGGAAAGCAGTAGCCAAGTCGATATCTAAAATACTATCTTCAGATTATTGCTCATCATATAACTGGGGTTGATTCCCAACGTAAAGGGCTGATTCGGTATATAAATAAACTTTACATTTTGAGCTTCTCGGCTAGAAGCTCAAGGGATATGACATACAACCACCTGAATCCGTGCTCTGACATTTCAAATCTAACGTGAAGAGAAAAAGAAGGATCTCAGATGTAAGGTTTCGATGTGTAGTTAATTCAAAATATCCCCGGGCTTGAGGTATATTATTATAAGCGCTGCCCGACGTGGCAGTCTAGCTCTCTACAACCCGAAACGAAAAACAATTTTCTGACCACTACGAAAGCATAACATGGACATCTGTTCCACGAAGGCCATCTATGTACCACATACTCTATTCCAGCTGTGAGGAAGTCTTTGCTTTTCTCGCTCGACCAAAAACCAACCTTGGCTGAAAGTCTTTGCACCTCAATACGTTCAACAAGCCGTCCTTTATCTCAACCTTCTCCCATCAGTATGTGGATGGTATGAGGGGATGACATGGTCTCACTGACTGAGAGAAGGGTTGTGCTACGTTCCATCGAGAATCTGTACGCTGGACTGGGCTCATTATGAAATCTCTCGCGCTGAAATCTTAACGGTATAGCGTACTCAGACTAATCGTTCTTTTGCCGTGCTAGATGGAGATCTGAAACGCTTTTCGAGAGCTCCATATCACTATTCGATGTTGGCATGTAAAAACCCGTTCCTGTTAATGTCGTCCCAACTCGCTATTCCACCATATCAGAGCTTCACCTCTAAGACAGGTTTCCTGCTCATGCACATCTTACACAAGTCCCTAGACTGTACGGCGACCCTGAGGGGGTTGGTAAAACTAGGTAACTAGTCCTGGGAGACAGCTCTTTCTTAAATGAGAAGGTTCCTGAGGTGCAAGGACTGAGCCTGAGTCTGAGCCTGAGGGCATCAACTAGTCGTAGAAAGGCTCGTATTGGAATCGTATCAGACGATCAAGAGACGATCGATTAAATTTAATGAATGATCCTGAGAAGGCCTAGATAGGGCAATCATGAGCCTCTACATATCAGGCTCCATGATAAAGGAACTCATGATGGTCATACTCAATGCAACGCTACTTTCCAATCCATCTCCAGTAGTAGTACTAACGAGGCGGGGATTGAATACTAGTCAACCTGTACGCACTACTAGTACTCTATTAGGAAGGTGGTATTAGGGCTGAACAAAGCACATTACAACAAACGCAAGCCTTAGGCACTCATTTTCCTCCCCGATATTAGTATTCTCCACATTATACATAACGCCTATATCACACCATAGCTATTCGTTCACGTTGGGGAAAAGAATAAATAAATGAAAAAGGGGGAACAGAGTTCCGGGATACGAGCGTAATGCTAGATTTCCAAGTGTCTATTGAACCTAATCGAGCGGAGATCCATTTAATATTAATCCGGAGAAATTAATTTATTTAAATTCGGTAATTGCTGCAGGATACTTAATTTATCTTTTGCTTGATTCCTCTTGGCAAGGGCTCCTTAGCTTCCGCAACCGAGGATCATAGGGTCCCGTTTTCTTGCCTTAGTGACTTATATCTGCTTGTCTTATGACATAAGTGACTGAACTACATACATTGTTTAAAAGAAGATGTTCTGAGAATGCATTCTCGTAAGCGTTATTAATTAAAAATAAATAGTCACCAGTAGTAAGTATACACGCCGTGATTTAATACCCCATAACCATAACCCGGTAAAAATTCAAACAGCCCGATGCTCGTCCCATGCGTTCGGCGAAGAAAGCGGCTCATTCGCATGGCGATGAGCAAGACGCGGTTCGCTCTGTATGATCATCTCCTGCGTGACCGTGATATCATTCGCTTTGTCTCCCTTACTACTCTTCGAGTAGTCCGACCCCTGAACGAGGATCTGCTCGTCGCTACCCCAGGCGGTGGTATTATTCGGGATCGATAGTGGGTGTCGTGACCGTTTTGATGGCTGTGTTCGACTTTGTAAGGGGAATGATTGGGTGCGTTGTCGGCTGTAGCTGGAGGGTCCACCGCTCGAGCTGAAGAGGGCGCTGAGACCGACTTTCTGGGCGCCTCGGCGGATGAGCGGTTGGATGATGGGGAGGTTGGCGACGACAATTGCGACGAAGGTTTCGCGGCAGGCCCATTTACTACCTGAAACTGCGCCTTCGGGTCCGGACTTTAGAGGTGAGCGTTAGATTCGGCGTGGATTAGTTTAAGGCAGAGGGGGTTAGTAGAACGTACTGTCATGATGGTTACTGCTCGGATAATAGCGGCCATCATTACGAAGGCGGCACCGCTGAATAAAGCCATCAAGGTGATCTTTCTTCGGATACCGATATTCACTGTCCATAGTAACTGGGATGGGGATTGTAAGTTTCTCATTCCGTATCAACAGGGTAATAGGAAGACAAACTGGCAGAGGAATGGACATCAGGTAGAGATCGGTCAATACATTGGGAATCACGACAATGAGGACATAGAGTGTTGATCGAGTGGGTTGGCAGAGATCTAAGTGGTCAGCCTGGCTAAATAGATCTGGAGAATTTGAATACTCACTCCCAGGATCAGGATTGATCTGCCAGTACTTATGCATCGGCTGGCATCCGAGCAAGATAGACAGTGCCACTGCGAGGTAGGTTACCCCAAGTAGTATATAAGCGAAGCGCACGCGGGCTGGTAGGTGTTGCAGTCCAGTTCTGTGATCATCAACATTCGATTCATACCAACAGTTCAACAGGAAAACATACGTCAATCGCGAATAAAAGACAGCCACACAGAACTTGACAAGCCACAAGATACATGCGTAGAATGACCATCCGATTACCTGAATCTTCGAGCCCCATTGCCTATCGTAATACTCTTGTGAGTCCGGATCAAGCGAAGCGCGCTCCTCGGGAGTCATATAACTATTCGTGAGACCACCGAACATGGCTCCAACCAGGTACGCTGCTACAGTTTCGGCCGTGTATACCAGCTATATATTCCAAAGCGTTAGTGGCCGTGTTTTTGCGAATATCGCGCAGTCTGTCAAATCCACACTCACCCCAGCCAATGGCATCAGGTAATCATCCACTTGGAAATTGGAAGGGCCGACGGACGTCCATCGCACGTAGATTCGAATGAGGATGAAGACTAGCCCCAGGGAGAGGAGGGTGAACGCCTCCGGGTCTGCTGTAGCCATGGCGGCGGCGACGGCAAGTTGAAATTTTGCGCGACGTAGGGGAGACTAAATGAAGTAAGTAGTCGAGAGATCAGGGTTTGGCAAATATAAGAACGGGAAGCGCTTAGTCCCCGCTTGCAGGGGACAGTGAAAAAGGCAACATTCTCGGCACGGACTTCTGCTCTCTGAACGTGGGAAACGAAACGAAAATAGGTCCTAAAGAACCGGGTTGGAGTAATTATTCACACGGTTCAGGAAACATCGGATCCACCGGTGGTCGGAGGGATTGGCACTCGAAATTATAACGCCTTGATGAGTGCCAAACTAGAGTGAAGCTAATTAACGTTGGCAGACTACCACTTCACCGGGACATACTGTCACCCGTTGTCCGTGTCATTGGCCAAGCCCCCCCCCCCCCTCCTCCCCGTCAAGGTATCTCCTAAATGGGAATGATCTGAAGGCACGAGGCATTCGACGAACGCTAGCCTAAAATGAGCTGAAGCGGCCTGTTTCAGTTAGTGTACGGAGTAGAGCAGGAAAGTCCCATTTCGGGACGGCAGAGAGGTGTGTTATTCGGTATCTTCTGAGGGTCCACCCCCTGAGAAAAGCTGCGAAACACTGCAACTAGTGATTTAGCACGGCGAGAGTGGGTGTGAGTACACCGTATCCGTCCTGCCACAGGACTAGGGCTTTGGTTGTCCTACGTGGATTTGGAGCTTAACCGATAGAGTGGATTCAGTGGAGCATTCACAATACCCCAAGAATTCAAGTGCTATTTATGATTAGACATTAGTGGGAAATTAGGCTCGTCCGAGGACCCGCCTTAGGGCTTATTTTGAATCTCCATTGGATGTTGTTCCAAACGCCGGAACTGATGATCCCTCACCGTTAAGACCTTAGATCGCAAACGACAGTGACCTAATGCTTCACGGCTCCTGTTCAGTGGCCTCCTTTGCCCCGTATAGGCCATCGGAACAGCCGGCGTCAATTCCGCCCGTGCTCTACCCTTCTGCACACTTGGCATCCCACCAAGGGCGCTAACAATGCCAGCGGGCCGACTTCTTTTTGAAGGGGATCGGATCCCCTTCTCTAAACCCTCTCAGATTAACTTCTAGTGACCCAAATTTGAGAACAAATAAAGTGGACGTAAAATGGACACACCCATCGACTTTATCGTGGTAGGAAGTGAGTGAGAGCACCCGATAGGATGGCACTGGCCCAAGCTCGCTAATAAAGTTCCAGGTGGTCCAGCTGGCAGCACGGTGGCCAGCCAGTTAGCCAATTCTCCGAAGCATCCGAAAGTGCTTCTCCTTGAAGCAGGAGGCCTCAACGCAGAGCACGATCTGCGAGTTGACGGCCAGCGATGGCTGACCTTTCAGAACAAAGAGATGAACTGGGGTTACAAGACAACTCCGCAGAAGCACTGCAACAATCGGGAGATTGATTACTCCCGCGGACGGGGCATGGGAGGCTCCAGCGCCATTAACTTTGGTGTCTACAGTGTTGGTGCCCGCGACGACTACGACGAGTGGGCGCGCATCGTTGGCGATGACGCCTTCAAGTGGGAGAAGATCCAATCCAGGTACAAGGCTCTCGAGACTTTCCATGGGGATCTGCCTGACGGCGTTGATGCGAAGTATGCAGCCCCTCGGGCTGAAGATCATGGCAGCTCCGGAGGTCTCCACGTAGGGTTTGCCTCGACATGGGAAAAAGATCTGCCACCGCTTTTGGATGTCTTCGAACAGGCCGGTTTCCCCTTGAACCCCGACCACAACTCAGGCAATCCAATTGGGATGTCTGTTCTGATCAACTCGGCCTACAAGGGTGTCCGATCCACAGCTGCGGATCTTTTGAAGCCACAGCCGGAAAATTTAACTATCATCACCGATGCTCCCGTTCAGCGTCTCGTCCTAGACGGCAGCAAAGCTGTCGGTGTTGAATCAAATGGAAAGAAGTGTGAGTTTATTCTCGTATCCAATAGCAGCAGTATCTACCACTATTTACTGGTGTGAACTATGTCCACGGCTTGGGGCCACCTTGCTAATTGTTGAAGACCTCGCCTCGAAAGAGGTTGTCCTCTGCGCTGGCTCTCTGGAAGCGCCACGCATCCTCATGCACTCGGGTATTGGTCCCGCAAAACAACTAGAGAAGTTTGACATCCCCGTCAAGCTCGATGTCCCTGCCATTGGACAGGGTCTCCGAGACCACACGTTCGTCCCGCTAGTGAATACTCGCGTGGAGAACAATACCCAGCGACGTGAATTCTACGGTGATGAGAAGGCCATGGCCGAGGCCCTAGAGCAATGGAGAAAAGATGGAAGTGGCCCGTGGTCGAGATTCGCCTGCGAGTTAGGGATTGGCTGGTTCAAGCTTGACAAGCTCACGTCCTCCGAGGAATTCCAGAAGCTGCCTGCGGACGAGCGGAAGTACCTTCTGCAGGATACTGTGCCGCACTATGAGATCCTGACCCACTTCCCCATCCACTGGTTCATTCCAGACTTCGCCAATGAGGCTCTAAACTACTCTTGCCTCCTCGTTTTCATGTTCAACGCGCAGGCTCGTGGTGAAGTAACCCTGCAGTCGGCGGATCCGAATGTGCCCCTGCTGTTCGATCCGAAATTCCTGTCTCACCCGTTCGATCGTCGCGCTGCTATTGAGGCCCTGCGGGATGCATTCAGGATTGCTAAGTACGATGGCTACACCAAGGATAATGTCACGGAATTGGCTGGTCCCAAGTCCGACTCTGACGAGGATCTCCTGGAATACTGGAGACAGAACATCTCCTCCAGTTGGCACATGACTGGTACTATCAAAATGGGTCAGAAGGGTGAAGCCGATGCTGCCGTGGACAGCAGCTTCCGTTTCATGGGCATCGAGGGACTGCGTGTGGCGGATATGAGTGTAGTTCCGGTACTGGTTAACTGTCACGTCCAGGCAGTGGCATATGTGACGGGAGCAACATGTGCGGAGAAGTTGATTAAGGAGTATGATCTGGCCTAGAGAGCGGTTCTGGTTTATTTTCAGCCTATACGGGCCGGATTGCGATGTGTGCTTGTACATAGGATTTACCAACTAATCCAATTGGCTAACAAGTAAGGAGTTGATTTTCCGCGGAACGCCTTTGACATTTTCTCGGGTGGGGTCAGTGGAGTCACGGGATTCGATGGTCGCTGACATAGCCGACATCTCTCCTTTTTCGGCTCTAGGCGAAATGAGCCTTCTTGCCGTTTTGGGCAAGTCGTGAGGATATCATAGATGATCATGGACGATAGACTTTCGTATTTGTCTGGACCTGCAGCGGACCACGTCTATGTTTGATTTTTCTACTCTGTAGCTCGGCGTAAATCCCCCTTTTCCGGGCTGTGAAGAGCACCAGCTCATCATTCTTTATCGAGCAAAGAGTACCAACAATCTCTCTCCCAACAATTCCCTATTCTACCACAGTCCAGATTATCGCAATGATGCATCGAACGCTGTCCTGCTTCCTCTTCCTTTTAAGCATTTTCCCGCTTATCTATGCTCACTCAACAGCCCCTCGAGCTAGTCTCAACAACTGCCAAAACCTGGCAAGGCTGAACCGTACCGTCCACCGTGTTTCCCCGATCTTAGAAAGACTCATTCATCTTAATGCCGACAATGGCAAGGCGCTGGCACCCGCCCTAAATGGATCCATCGGCGCCACCCAAAAACGAGATCTTGGCAATACCATCCAGAAAATCCAATCCGTGCAGGTGTTACTGGGGCAGTCCAAGGACAAGATCTCGGACAAGATGATGACCTGTCAGGAGCCTAACCTCGGAACAAATGGCGTATTAGGGGGTAAGAAGCGGGACGAAGACGACAAGTGCACGCTTGATGAGGTGTTGGAAGAGCTGTTGGACGAGTTAACTGATTCGCTGGAGTGTCTCTTGTCGGTCACGTTTTCGTTGCTGGGTGGTGTGCTGGAATTGGTGTTCAATATGTTAAGTGGAATCGTGCACTTGACTGGCGAATTGCTTGACCTTGATTGATAGGTGTACGGGACATATAGATTATCGTTCCAGCTGACGCGCGAATAATTAAATTGGAAGGGGAACCCGTGTATTACATATAGATCCTCAGGTGTGGTTCGGACAAGACGTACGAGATATGGCTTTGATGCGCCACATCTCTTTTGCGTTGTACACTAGAGTATATCATTTCAACCGGCTGGTTGAGGCGAAGATCTGATTGTTGTACAACTTCAAAGCTCACAAGGGAGCTTCCAGTGTCAATACACTGTCCAAGATAGTATCGGGGGTCGCATAAGATAGTACTTGGGCTACAGCTTTCAAATCGCTTCCATATTGTAAACTGCGATCATCTTCCGGTTTTGCAACAATGATCCGATGGCGGAAAACCTTCTTCGCAGCCAGTGCCACGATCGAAGGTGTAAGATAATCAATACCGTGCAACGCAGCGAGCAGCCTGGTTCAATTAGTTCGGGTTGTGTAGAGTTTCCTGGAGGACATACTTTGAGAGTTTCATAAAGTAGACGTTTGACAGCGACGAAATTCCTCCAGAAACTGCGCGACTGAGACGGAGAAACACGACGATATCTTGGTGGTATCGAACTATATCGGCGCCCATAGTAACACGATTACCGGCTTGTTCCAATTTATCCAAAGCCTGTTTGGTGGTCAGCATTGGAAACACATCCAGATAAAGCAACCTCACCCTCCGGTCTATCCTTGGGTGGCCTTTGTGTGGCGGTATGGGGGGTTTGTGAACAACAGACGATGCTGACATTTGACCATCAGAAAGCCAGTCGTTATTTTCTTCCAAGTACACAAAGTCGTCCCGTGAACCATGAAAGTGGGAGAGTATGAGGTGGTCATTCTTCTTTAGTCAGCATCACTAAATAAATGGCCGGAGGTACAACCACACACCAAATGAAAATTTAAAATTGGCTGGTCATGTTCCGACTTGCGCACAAGAAGCGGTATGAAGAGAAAGTCCACCGGTGCCTCAAGACGGCCATATGGTGTTGTGAGTTTCTTGGAGCGCATCAGCTATGTATGGGGTCAGCGAGATCGTGCTAATAAGTAAGAGACTATAATTACCTCAAGAGCTTGCAGTTGTATCGTGTCAACAACGTGATCGAAATTCTTCGCTATAATGACATTTACCACCCTGTTTTCCGCGTTGCTTCCAATCGACCTCGCGGCCGCAGGAATGAGATATGAGCAGAACTCTTCCAGGGAGGTATCAACAGAGCAATCAACGACAGCATAAGTGAGGTCGAAAGTATTTGTACATATCTAGTGAGACATTAGCAGGACAACAGAGGCGCCGTGCACACTAGGATCAGTATACATACCAAAGCGAGCTCTTTGGAAACATCATCTATATTGTCGGTCGTAGCATCAATACGGCAATGCTCACGAGTAGCCAGACAAAGATAGAGTGCCACTTCCAGAGCAGAGAGTTCCAGTACGAGACTGGATATTTCAGCAAGATCATCCATGGCCTCCGTGATGTTTCCGAGAAGTATTGGTCAATTATCGACTCTTCTTTAGTGGCTCATAACTCGCCAAGACGCTAGACCGGTCCCGGTTTAGCCCGACCCGCCCCCATGTGAGCTGGAGCTTCCTGATGAACGACGACAAACAAGGCTCATCGCAGCATTGATCTCTCTCATCCGTTGTCGCCAAATAGTTGCCAGTATCAATGGCGCCGTCAAATCCGCTGGCGAACTGGGAGAGGTTGGGGGATAGTTTCTATAGAAAGGTCCCTATCTACGACGCAGTCTTTGATGAAGGTGTCGAATTAGAGAACTACATCGTTGCCGGCGCTCCATACGGAGGGGCCCTAGGTATGGACACTTATTATTATACGGCCGTTAGCATCAAAACTTACATATGGTAGCTTTGCATCGGGATGACAGCAAGCCGTACAGGTTCCGCGATGCTCAGACCGCCAAGTCAAGCATTGATATTTACTCATCCTCTGGAAAGCTGATTAATCGACTCAATGTTAGTTAACTCTTCAAATCAATAGATTCTCTAGTTCTAACACCTTCAGTGGGAGCATGGCACTATTCGAGGGCTCGGCTGGTCCGACAAGGAAGAGTTGCTGGTAATCACGGAAGACGGCACCGTGCGACGGTATTTCGGACTGTATGGAGATTTCACTTCGTTCTCCTTGGGCAACGTAGGATTCTGGGACGTATTTCGGTTATTCTGGAAGCTAATAAGTGTAGGGAGCTGAAGAATATGGTGTCAGAGCTTGTCGCTTTTGGACTTCCGGCTTCGTTGCGTTGCTTTCGAATAATCAGCTAGTGGCTGTGTCCAACTATGACGAGCCTCGTCCGAAGCTTCTCGCTCATTGCCCTGAAGGGGAAGTCTCCTCGTGGTCTTTGATTCCGCCCGCTTATACATTGTCGCGCTCGGTTGAGGTGCTCCTTGCTGTTGACAAAACTGTCTATTTGGTTGACCCTACTGAAGCAGAGGATAAAGTGCTTCAGAACGGACCTTTCAAGCATGCTAGCGTGTCTCCAACGGGAAGATTCGTGACCCTCATTACGGCTGAAGGTACAGTATGGGTAGTAAGCAGTGACTTTCAAAGCAAATACAGCGAATATGACCCAGAATCTCGGGTGACTCCCCGGACGGTAGATTGGTGTGGTGATGACGCTGCTGTCATCGCGTGGGAGGATGAAGTGCATCTGATTGGTCCCAACGGTGTTGCTACCCGGTAAGTCCCACTGTCCATCTCTGAGAGCTCTGGTTTCTCATGATCGGTTAAGCTACTACTATGACGGCACTGTTCACGTCGTACCCGAATTCGATGGGGTGCGTTTGATCACGAATGATACATGCGAGTTCTTGCATAAGGTTACAGGTAGGGTCACTAGGATTGGCTAGCGTTATCATCATCTAACAACTAGTTCAGATGTAACGGAGGCAATCTTCCGCCTTGGGTCTACCTCTCCCGCCTCAGTCCTACTAGACTCCATAGACTTGCTGGAAAAGAAGTCCCCCAAGGCTGATGAAAACATTCAGCGGATCCGATCGAGTTTGCCAGAGGCTGTTGACACTTGCGTTAGGGCTGCAGGCCACGAGTTCGATACCTATTGGCAGAAGAGATTATTAAAAGCCGCGTCATTCGGCAAATCCGTTCTAGATCTGTACAACAGTGACGATTTCGTGGAAATGACCGAAAAACTTCGAGTGCTCAAGGCAGTTAGAGACTACCAGATTGGGCTCCCTATATCATATGATCAGTACATGCGGCTAACCCCGGAGAAGCTCATCGAACGCTTGGTGAACAGACACGAGTATCTACTGGCCATTAAAATCTCGGAATATCTTCAGATTCCTGCTGACAGGATCTACGTTCATTGGGCAAGCCAGAAGGTCAAGGTTTCAACCGTCGACGATGAGGCTGTTTGTAAGCTCATCGTGCAAAGGCTGGATGGCAAGCCAGGCATATCGTTTGAATTGATCGCACAAGCCGCTTATGATGAGGGGCGTGCTCACCTAGCCACCCAGCTGCTGAACCACGAGCCGCGGGCCGGCAAACAGGTTCCATTACTGCTCAACATGGAAGAAGATGAAATTGCGCTTGACAAGGCCATTGAAAGTGGAGACAATGACCTAGTGAACTATGTCCTTCTACGTCTCAAGAGCAAGCTTCCACTGGCCAGTTTTTTCAGAATGATCAATACTCGACCTATGGCCTCCGCCCTTGTGGAAACGACTGCTCGAGGCGACGATACCGAACTACTGAAAGATCTCTACTATCAAGATGACCGCCCGATCGACGGCTCGAACGTCCTTCTTTCAGAGGCATTGAATGAGACAGAGTTGGCGCGCAAAACCGAGAAGGTGCATCTTGCCTCTCGATTACTGGCCGACTCTAAAGACGCGACAGTAGTCCTGCAACAGAAACTACTATCTGAAGCGTCGCAGCTACTAAAAGTTCAGGAGGCCTTAGACAAGGACATTGCAGACCGAGCTGAATTTGTGGGTCTAAGCTTAAACGAGACCATTTACAGACTGATCAGATCGGGCTACGGGAAGAGAGCACAAAAGCTTCAAAGCGAGTTCAAGATGCCGGATAAGACATATTGGTGGTTAAGATTAAGAGCTTTAGTTGCCAAACGAGACTGGGGTGAGTTGGAGGAGATCGGCAGGAACAAGAAATCCCCCATCGGATGGGAGGTGAGCCACCCTAATTAGCCAGCCAGCCTTAGCTGTAGGGACGCATGTGCTGACACAAGTTGACAGCCTTTTTATAATGAGATACTGGGTGCTGGAAACACAAAGCTCGCTTCATTATTCGTCCCGAAATGCACCAATCTATCGGTTGAGGACAAGGTCGAGATGTGGATAAAATGTGGAATGATCGTGAAAGCCGGAGAGGAAGCCTTCAAGGCCAAAGACTTTAATACCCTGGAGCTCCTCCGGACGAGAGCGTCAGGACCAGCTGTCACTGAAATTGATCGAATGATCAACCAGCTCAGACCCAGGAAATAGTCGACGTGACCAGTCCGGTATCTCCTTTACACTGTCGCTGCCACATCTCAGCTAATATCGTCGTCCACGTCAATACTTGCGTGCTCCTCAGCCACAGAATTTCGAGCCACGTAAATTGGTTGCGACTGCGTCTTTGCCTTTTTAGACGGCACGGAAGCATCAACCATAGCGTCATCGTCGTCATTATCTTCGGCCTCGTCATTGAGGTTCTGAAACAGGGTTGTCGTCGACTTGCGATTCAGGTCTTCCCAGTCGCCCTAACATTTCGCATTGTCAGCTTTGGCGTGATAATCCAAACATAACTGTGTCGCTCATACCCTACGCGATTTCACAATTTTTGCCCGGCCGACACTCTTCTCCACTTTTTTATCCAGTTGACCCAAGATATTCTCTGCTCTTTCGATACCTTTCTGCTGCCTGAGACGCTGCGCCCTTGTCATGGCCTTAGGCTTCGATTGCTTTTTTATCACACCAGCATTTGCGCGATCTGAGAGGATAGTTTCACGCTGTATCTCTGTTTGTTGGGCGCGGGGGAGAGAGGTCAAAGACTTGTCAACGTCGAGACTTGGCGATGCCGCCCGCCGGGCAGCACGAGAGTGCTTGGACTGGACTATAGATGTTGATTAATTTCTGAATCCCATTTTCTCTTGCACAACTTCCTTACCTCTTGCTTTAGCCATTGTGATGCAGACTGGAGAGTTTGTTTAGTTGTAGAATATTTTCAGTGGAGACGATAGGAATAGTTTCGCTATCGATAGAGTCCAGTAGTCCACAGAGACCAAAAGTGAATCCCGGCGGCGCTTATTAAACTCCGACGGGGAAAAGGTCACTCATCTATACTCGGGTTTTCTATACAACCACATTTTCATTCGTTCGCTCATCTATGAGTATCCTAATAATTTCTCTATGCCGTGACCTCCTAGACTTTCCACCCAGACATGCACTCCCATCGAGGGGGAAACGGTTTCCTCACTCAGAGTCCCTTGAACCACGCAAAGAACAGCCATTATGACACCGTGTTGCAGTACCTACAGGATCACCCAAGTCTACCATCAACCCTAGCCATCGCGATACTTGTTTTCTTTGCCCTTACTCAATCTGGATCCTTTCCGGCTACGGTGGCTCGAATATTGTGGGACGTCATGCTCTACTTGACCCCGTCCAGACTAGTCGCCGCCCTAGATTCAACAACAGGCCCAGCTTCGGTTGACAAAAGTACCGGTCGGATGAGCTTGGAAGCCAAAGGCAAAGCGATAAAACGGATCCTCGGCCTTGATAAATCCTCATTGTCCTCCCTCATTCCTCGAGCTCCTACCTTTCCGGGATTCGGCAACAAGGACAGTCTTCCTCCGGGGTTAGGAAACTGGGATAACTCGTGCTACCAGAACAGTATTATCCAAGGGTTCGCATCCCTTAAGTCGCTGGCGGTGTTTCTGGGGCGGAACATCGACTTGTTCGGGGCGAAGGGAACATTCTCGACTCATGAAGCGCTCAAGGGGATTATAGAACGGTTGAACAGCGCAGACAGCTACGGACAACGACTGTGGACTCCGCCGGATCTGAAGTCGATGAGCAGTTGGCAGCAGCAAGATGCACAGGAATATTTTTCAAAGGTCATTGATCAGATAGATTTCGAAATACAGCAGGCTACACGAAAGCAGACGCGGAACCTGGGCTTGAAGGTGGCGAGCCCGCAGGAGAATGTTATTGGGGCCGGGTCATCGCAGGGGACAGGTTCTGACACTTCTGTTGGGGCTCGGATCGCTGAAATACGCTCGTTCGGAAACCCATTAGAAGGTCTTCTTGCTCAGCGAGTCGGCTGCATGCAGTGTGGATGGACGGAGGGCCTGTCTCTTATTCCATTCAATTGTTTGACCGTGCCGCTTGGGGCGGGCTATGAGCATGATGTTCGTGATTGTTTGCAAGACTATATGGAGCTGGAGCCCATCGAGGGGGTGGAGTGCGCGAAATGCACCTTGTTACGCGTCCGAGAACAACTTCAGAGCCTATTGAAACAAATTGAGGAGGATAGGTCGCTTTCGAATATACCCGACTCACCCAGTGTGTCCGATGCACTCAAGAAATCGGCGCAGGAGCGATTAATCGCTGTTGAGGAAGCTGTCGAGGAAGAGGATTTTACGGAGAAGACCCTATCAAAGAAGTGCCATATCCCTTTAAAGAACCGCGTTTCGTCCACGAAATCGAGACAAGCTGTTATCGCCAGGCCACCGAGGTGTCTTGTTGTTCACATCAATCGAAGCTTATTCGATGAAATGACGGGGTTGCTTCGAAAGAATTACGCCGCCCTAAAATTTCCCAAGGTTCTTGATTTGAGTAAGTGGTGCCTAGGAGCAGCATCTACAGACCAGGCAGGTCAAAGCAGCGAGTCGTGGGATATGGATCCCAGAGAGTCGATGCTCACGCAGGCCGCCAAGGTCGCAGACTCCCAGGGACAACTCTACGAATTACGCGCAGTCATTACGCACTACGGCCGTCATGAGAACGGTCACTACATCTGTTATAGAAAGTACTGTTCCGATACATTCCCCGCCGATGTCCCAGAGTCAGTCATAGAGGCAGATGGCGAGCAGCAGACGACTGAGCGCTGGTTCCGGCTGAGTGACGAGGATGTGCAGATGGTCAGCGAATCCAACGTCCTGGCGCAGGGAGGAGCTTTCATGCTCTTTTATGAATCAATGGACCCATCTTCTGTGCACGCTCGGGCTGAAGAGCCGGATCTTACAGAAGGTGAGAGCTCCGCGTCTACCTCCAGCGCCATCACCCCGGAGGATATGTCGATGACATCTGCGACCACTGTAGACTCTAGAACATCCCGAGCCACAAGCGTGTCCGCGCCTGAGAAGACTAAGCTTCCAGTCGCAAATGCATCGCCTGTGTCGGATGTTGATTGAAGTCAATACCTTTACCTTGTTATATTTGGCTTAGTTCCGTGCGATTGGCGGAACATCGGCAAACCGTGTATATCACACTATTACTATGATACCCCTAAGTCCAACTACCGGCGTTGCATTGCTTTGGTTTTGTATTTTTATGTGGACCAGACCAGCTTTGGATAGTATACTGCAGATATTACTACAGGTACAATGAGGAATGATATCGGCCAAGTTCATAATAACCAGCTATACTTCCATTGTAGTCCGCCTAATCCACAATCCATCCCCAATCCTCGCTGTCTGCACACCACATACAATTCATATCCCATGTCATAATCTATGTACAACCCAATCCATGCACACCACCCCAAGAAGAAGAAAGAAAAAAACACCAAAAGAGAGCAACCCAACAACCCGCCCATATCCAAACGCCATACCCAACACTAACCAAAACATCCAAGCAGGAATCCAAATATCTAAAATACACCAGCTCTACTCATAACATCATGAAACTGTTCCAAGCTCACACCCGCTTCAACCGTATCCCCCCCATTCGCCTCCAAAATCATATCCCGCAGCAAATCATCCCCCAACCCATCCTCCTTCAGCTCGCGCGCAATCCGCCGCAAATGACCCAACGTAATCGGACCCTCCGTATTCCGCGTAAACAACTGATAAGCGGCATCCACCTCCGCAACGACAGCGTCATCATCCCGAGACCGTAGCTTCGCCGCCGCGACAGAGAGAAAGGGTTCATAGAGGACGAAGCCGGTGGCTGTGGGGTCAATCGCAGAGAGGATATCGTGGAGTTCTTTGGAGTTGGAAGGGGGGAGGCCTAGGGCTCTTTATCGAGTCATCACTTTGGTCAGTATCTTGCGGTTGAGGTTGAGGGTGAGTGGAATCGTAAAGTGCGAGGGGAAGGAGAGTCGACCCACACGAGCGCCTTCCGGACGTCCTCGCGTTCTATGACGCCTTCTTTCTCATTTTTGAATTCAGGGACACTTGTCGAGAAGAGGTGGAAGACTTCTTTGATTTCGTTTTCTTCGTCGGCGGTGATATCGTTTGCTCTGGCTAGTTTTGATTGGCGTGGCTTTTTGGGCGCGGCGGAGGCGGGTGCACTGCGCTTTTTGGGAGGCTGGAGTTGTGGATGGTTTGGTTAGTTGGGTGTTTCTGGATTGGGGGTTGCGTCGCGATGGGTTTGGTACGCACCATCTCCTCTGGTTGAGTGGGTGTGAGGTGGGAGTTTGGGGTTGTCAGTGGCGTTGGGGATGATGCGCAAGTTGCGGGCGGAGAGTCATTGGTTGGTTATCTATACTTGGGTTCCGACTACATACATACTGGTAAGTATTAAGGCACTGTAGTTAGCGATGCGGTTGTTACGATGTGTGCTTGCTTAGCTACGAGGATCTTGGTGCAATTGAGTATTATGGCAGGAGTAGTTTCATGAAATAATAATTTGGAATATAGTACTTAATAATAGCATTATGAAGATGTACAAGTAGTGGTCGTCGATCGAACATGACCGAACAATAGAAGAATTCCCGTGACTGTCACTTGCTGACGTAACACGTCTGTAAATTTCCCAATTCAGACAACTTTATATATCCCCGTGACATTGCCCCAGAACACCTCAGCTTTGTCTGCCTATCTCTCCAGACCACTATATTTATTCTCCATTGGCAGCTTCCAGTGACCAGGTCGCAACTCACCAGGCTCATCTCTCATCATGGATGTAGAGCTGTATGTTTATGACCTCTCCAAGGTGGTTTCAAGTACTCTATAAAATTCGAAGCTCATTGGCTAACTCTTTTAAAACAGGGTCTCGCCCGACAGGTTCGTTAGAAGCATCAGAGATGGCACGGGGATTGCAGATCTAACATAGTGCAGTGGTCGCTTCCATTAACAGGGACGCATATGGATGCCATCTACCACACGTCCATTGTCCTCGACGGCGTCGAGTACTACTTCGGACATGGCATCCAGACGTCTGTCCCTGGCAGTACGCACCATGGACAGCCCATGGAAAGGGTTCATCTCGGAGCCACAGAGCTTTCCGTTGATATTATCACTGAGTACATCGAGTCGCTCGGAGATATCTACACACCAGAGGCAAGCCCCTCATTCCCATGACAAAGAAATAACCACTAACGGCAACAGTCATACGACCTCTTTCTGCACAACTGCAACAACTTCACTCAGGACCTCGCCATGTTCCTAGTGGGCAAAAGCATCCCGGATCACATCCGGAACCTGCCCCAGACCTTCCTGAGCACGCCCTTCGGTCAGATGATGAAGCCTCAAATTGAAGCCGCTCTGCGTGGTGTCACGCAGGCCCCGAGCGCAGCTCCTCAGCCGGCTCCCGGGGTCCCAGCACAAACCATGACAACCCCTGTTCACCAGCAGCCCACATCGCAACCTCAACCGCACGGCAAGGTCCGAGTGGTCGCCAACCTTGCGCAGCTCGAGCGCGAACTCGCCTCGGCCTCGCACTCCTGCGCCGTGATCTTCTTCACCTCCGCCACCTGCCCACCCTGCAAAGCCATGTACCCAGTCTACGACGAACTGGCCGAAGAAGCCGGCGCCAAAGCCGCCCTCATTAAAGTGGACATCAGCACCGCCTACGACGTCTCCATGAAGTATCCAGTCCGGGGCACGCCCACCTTCAAAACCTACCTAAAAGGCAAAGAAGCCGACACCTGGAGCGGCGCCAACGCCTCCCAACTACGAGGCAACATCCGGCTCCTCCTCGAGATGGCCCATCCAACTCACCCCCACCACCACCTCGACCTCCCAACCTTCCAACGCCTGGTCCCCTCCAAATCCTACGTCCTCTTCAAATCCATCCCCCCACTCCCCAAACTCCTCCAAAAACTGCCCCCAGACACGCAATCCCACCCAACCCTCACCTCCATAACGACCTTCATAACCACCCACTCCACAGCCGGAGGAGACCCAGGCATCCCCCTGCCCCCCGACCTCCCCACCTACCCGACGTTCCTCACAAGCCTCCACTCCCGAACCCCCCCAGAATCCCACTTCGCAATCACAGACCTAACCCGCCTCCTCTGCCTCGACCCAAGGGTATCCGCCTGCCTCTCCTCCCACCCAGACACGCTAATAACCCTCACCCAAACCCAAAGGGATACACCATACAACCAGTGCCTAACAACCCTCCACCTTTTTGCAAACCTCTTCACCTCCCCTCTCTCCATCACAACCGTCCTCACTCACCAACGCCTCCGCTCAATAGCCCTAAACACCCTAACCACGGCCCTCCTATCCCCCTCCTCCAAGCTCCGCTGCACAGCAGCCTCCCTAGCCTATAACCTCACAGTCCACAACCACAATTCCCGATGGGAAGGCCACGGCGAGACGATACCGGAAGATGAGCAGGTGGAGCTAGCGGCGTCGCTTGTCGAGGCTATTGCCAGGGAGAGCGAGAGCGTAGAGGCTGCCCGGGGGTTCTTGCTTGCGTTGGGGATGCTGGTTTATGGATCTGAGAGGGAGGGGGCGGTAGGGGATTTGTGCACGGCCATGGAGGCGAGGGGTGTTGTTAGGGGTAAGGCAGGATTTATGGGAGAGGAGAATGAGAAGTTGGTTAGGGAGGTGGGGGATTTGGTTTCTGGGTTATAGAGGTTTTTTTTTTTTTTTTTTTTTTTGTTTTTTTTTTTCTCTCCTTTTTACCTTTCTTTTTACCTTTCTTTTTTACCTTTCTTTTTTCTCTTTTCTTTACCTTGTTTGGTTTTGTTGGGATGGGTTGTGTAGTTTTTGGGGTTTGTTGTTGAATATGAGCCTGGGTTTTGGTACGAGTCACAGTCACGGGCTTGAGTGATGGTTTAGATGGGAATGTGTGTTATGTATACAGAGTTTACGTTTCTTTCTTTCTTTCTTTTTTTGTCATAGCTCCCCTCTTTCTAGAATAGTCATATGGAGTAATACCAGATTAAGATAGTACCAGCTCGTATTCACATGTAATTACCTATAGAATAAAAGGAAACTCATCAAAGGGTATGTCGCAGAGCTATGCAAAATGCCAAACCAACGCAAAACCATGGAAAAAGCCGACGCGGGAGCTGTTCGTGTAACACGCTCGGGGTATGAGAAACACAAAAAGACATTAGGTACACGACTGGGTATCTGAGAACATCCGAGCGCTAAATCAACGGACAACGTACACGAGAAAACAAACCGGGGCAAAAAGAGGGAGTATTAAGAAAGGTAGGTGAACTAAGAACAGTACAAGAAAGACCAAGCAGTGTTAATGAAATCCGGACATAAAGAGGAACTTCCCGAAATGGATCCAACCCAACGCTACCATGAAAGAAGAAACGGAGGACCGCCCAACGCCGGCGCATAAAAATGAAAACGAAATAAAAATGAGCAATGGAAACAAGGTTATCGTCAGTTTCCGGTGAGTCATAAGGAAAGATAAGATGGATGACAGTAGCGGTGAGGTGGATCTGTCTGGTGATAGGGTGCCAGGCCCTGTCCAGCGTGCAGACAAGGTGAGAGTGAAGAAAAGAGGAGGGGAAGGAAGAAAAGCCAAAAGCAAATTCCAGGCGAGGCGCCGACAGCGAGGAATTAAGTAAGTAACTGTGCGGGCCTTGTAACTCGGCGGTATTGGAAATTCCGTCCGGCTACGGCGCGTAACCAAACCATCGCCGCAACCAACCAGCGGCAGTCGTCGGCCAAGGCGAAAGGCCAAGGCGAAAGGCACGTGCGGGTCGTCATCAATCAGATGTTCGGCGAAAATCATTCGGATTGGCCGCCGCTTGTGATTCTCTGCAGATGCGTTTTCGGTTCGCGTGTCCCATGTAGTGCGACCAGCGAGGTTTGAAGGGGAGAAACAAGATTGGATGCTCCGATTGGTCACTTGACGTGCCCTCAGAGCTGCCAACCGGAGGGAAAAAAAAAAAAAAAAAAAAAAAAAAAAAAAAAAAAAAAAAGAAAGAGAGAGAGAGAGAGAGAAAAAAAAAAAAAAAAAAAAAAAAAGAGGCAATGACAGAGTGAGAAGCGGCTGAAGGGTAGATAGCACTTTTAGAAGTCTGGAAAAGTCGACGGACGGGGCAAGCTTGCCGATCGGCGGACTGCGCTGCAGCAGCTAGCAAAGTTGGCGTGAAGGAGCGACCAGAAAGGCGGGATCTGGATCATGGCATGAGCACGGTGGAGAATGTTGATACAAGGCGCGACAGACGGATTCAGGCGCGAATCACGGCCTTGGTGGCCGAGGGAGTGCGTCGCTTGCGCTCGGGAACAGCCCGACGCTTCTTGCGCTTCGCATTCTCCTTTTCGACGGTAGCCAGCTGTGCCACACGCATGGCCTGCTGAGCCCGCGCATGCGCCTGCACCTGAGCGAGGAATCGCGCGCGCTGAGCGTCCTCTTCAGCGGCGGCGCGCATCATCTGGATTTGCTGTTCGGTCGTCAGATGACCGGGTCGGGTACGCTCCTCGACGGCCGACTCCTCTTCCACGGCGGATTCGGACTGGGGGGTCAAGTCAAAGTAAAGATCCTCGTCCGAGATGTAGGCGCTGCCGGTGGACACCTCGGTGTCCATGCTGATCAAAGAAGGTCGGTTAGGCCAAGAGGGGAAAGCGCACGCGTTGCTCATCCCAAAGGCCGTCGAGAAGGAACACTTGCGGGGGGTGATATCCAGTAGGGAGTCCTGCGGAGTTGGCGGGGGGGCCGCGGGAGCGCAAATGGGTGAGCCCCCATCCCAGGTCGTATCGAAGCTGAAGGCAACCGCGTCGGTGTTGGCCGACGCCTCGCTCGGAGAGGACCTGAGACTGGCCGCGTTGCCACTCCAGGCCTGGAGGGGAAACATTGGGATTGCGGTCGACTTGGTGTACTTCATGGTATGTATGTGTGTATGTGTGTAGAGTGGATCGAGAAGATGAGGTTCAACAGCCACAGAGGCGGCGGGATGTTGTAGAGGGAAGCTCCAGTATGGGTGAGTGGGGATGAGTGTTTGCTGACGAGAGAAGTTCGAGGGAAGTTCTCAGAAGATAAAGTGAAGAAGATCGACAAGTCTGGGGAAAGGACCCAGCAGGAGGGAAGGGAAGGGATGGGAAGTAAATAACAACCTCCGTCACCGGTTAGGCAGTAAATGGTGGTGAAGAAAATCCAGTCCAAGAGTGATAATGTATATGTATGGCCCAGATCGATCGGGGAAGCGTCTGGACTCCCTTGCATATCCCAACAGATAAGGCGTCGCGGGGGGGGTTGGTGTGATGCGTATTTTTTTTTTTTTGTTTTAAAAATAAATAATAAAAAAGAAAATAAGAAATCAACGGATTTATTTTAAAATTCAAGGGGGGGGGGGAAGAAGGGGAAAAAAAAAAGAATAAAAAAGAATCAATAATGCAGGGCTCCACCGAACAGCAGGTAGTTAATAAAGTGATCGCCAAACAAAAATACCGGGCGACAATCCCTCAGACATAGAATCTTCCGTAATGCTGGCCAAGTAACTATACCGTACCCAACTGACGCGGACGATCAGGCGGAAGGGAGGCCCCGGCAGCTGTACGATGTATTATGTATGAAGAATCGAGTGGATGGGGTTGAATGGTAGTAAATAGGGCGACCAAAGCCTGACCGAATCATGGATCGAGTCTTTCCTCATTGATTCTTTCGTGATCTGGATTGATCAGTCGACTCGAAAGTACCACTAAAACAAATAATGATACTTTAGACCAGACAAAGAGTTGAGAGAGAGAGAGAGTGAGGAAATCTGACAGCAGACCCCGGTCGGTGGACGTGGATCTATCGCTTTTCTTTTATCATCTGGAATTGAAAGAAATATTTATTTATTTTCTTTCTTTTTATTTTCCTTCTTTTCAGCATCGGCCCGCGGGCCGGGGAACATCGGGTTGGGGGGACGTGGGGAATCAAACCGTCAAAGAGTGAGTCAAGAATTCCTTCGGATCGTTATTATTATTATTATTTTTATTATCATTACTCTTACTCCATAAATTTTTTAGAAATTCAAATTTTCTACTAGGAGTATTATTACCCGTGTCTGTTACCCGAACGAAAAAAAAGAATAAAATCGAATCAAGTCAAATAAAACCCCCCGTACAATCTCACTTCCCCCAGTCTCGATGATTTCTCGGTGCTTGACTCATGGGAAATGGAGTTATTTCGGAGGAATTCTTCCCTTTGTCCCTCTGCCCTTATCGAGCCTCTCCACTCCGGCTTATGTCTTAGCAATGATGACTGTGATGACTCCGGAGAAGAAACAAATGCAACCTGATAGAGCGGAAAGGGATCACTCTCCCGCGATGCGACACGATTAACCCCTCAAATCCGCCACGGTCAGCGATTCATCAATCAACTGCGGCCATCGTAGTAGATTCTTGGGCTCTCGTGCATCTGAAACGGGTTGTTGCGGTGTCTGTTCCGTTGTCTGGACAGTTGGTCTCGTCCGTGCTCTGCGTAGATAGTCGTAACATTATTGAACTGTCCTTCCCCAAAGGTTCAGTTCGGGGTCGAATCAGAGGGGGGATGAATCACACCGCTTCGATGTTTGACATCCTCGCAGCGAACGTGCATACATTATACTGCGGGCGGATGTACGTCGAGCTGTATGTCTATTGTCGATTCCTGTACAGGGACATGGGGTCACCGCCTGTACGTGCCATACATTATCTCTTACGACTCACACACCGTCGCTTTGGGCGGTCTACAACAGGAGGATGATTAGCCATTAATTTCGTTTTCCCGCCAGAATTCCTCTTCGAAAATAAATAAATAAAATAAAAAAAAAGCAAATCGCAACCTGACGACTTTTCCTTCCAGATTTTGTTCCAGAGTTCTGCGCGGTATCCGCGGCGGAGACTTGGTTCTTTTTTTACCCTTCTTTTTTTTACCCTCTACTTCTTCTTACACCATTTTAATTTCGGGTCCTTCGAGTTGTCATGTACTCTGATGAAGTGGCCAGGAAGGTACCTAGATTGCGAATTCGACGATAAACTGGTATCAATCAGAATTAAACCCGTTGGACCTAGAACCATTAACAGCTCGGGAGATCCTTTGACCCAGAACAAAGGAAAGTCTGGATATCCGTTGAACCGCCCGAGAGCTCCCTTCCTCCCCCACTGTTTCTACTAAAACACCCGCACTATCGCCCACGTAACACCGATCGTCTTCCTAGTCAGGAGAAAATCCCTAAAGAGAAAAAAAAAAAGAAAAAGGAAAAGAAAAAGGAAAAGAAAAAGGAAAAGGGATTCCTTCGTCACACAGCCGAGAATCCATCCGTTGATTACACTATCGTGAAAGGTGTGCGGCCCTTGTCCGTAACTACAACGGCCCCCAGACTCCGTAGATAAAACGTTCCTCCGGCAATCGCCCCGTTTAGGGGAGGGAAGTGGCGGAAGATTTCCTCCCGTTTTTCTCCGCCAGTGACATGGGCTGAATTTTCACGTTCAGAAAGGGAATGCAAGACAAACCGCGGATAAAATTGGGGAGAGCCTCACTGTCACGGCCTTGCCACCGGGTCGACGGCGCTACGCATTTTAGCCGAGGCTGGATGGGGCCGGACGCGCGACAGTGCTTGTTTCTTGCTTTCTTGGGGGGGGGGGGAGGTTCAGGGGAAAGCTCGTGGTTACCTAGAGGGTCCCCCTCGGTAATCGGTCGAAAGTCGCGCGAGTCCCGGCCAGCTGGATCATATGGTGATCGTGCCTGACGATGGAGCTCCCAAGCTCCAGCTACCGGAGCTTTGGAAAATAGAGGGCCCCTTTTCTCTGTCCCCTGGAAGGTGTTCTTGCTGCCCAATCAGTGTATTTTTAGTGTAGTTAGTGAGAATCAGTATCATGAAATTTGCCCTTGAAATTTGCTGGAAGGATCAATCCGATCCATAGAGGGCTGAAGGGATTCCCCTCCTCTTCGGCTCCTGTTTTAGAAGTACTTCAGATATCATACGTACGCATCAGACGAGACGCCCGCAACGCATGTGCCGAGCGGACACTGCCATTCTCGAATTTCAAATGTTTGACAAATATTCGACAATCTCATGAAAATAGTACGCACTACAAACAAAGCACGACCGATCTATCCCGGCAGACAGTTGACAGGTAACTCGGCTCTTTGCACAGCTTTTCATTTATTAAAGTAGGGTCTGGCTTAGGCCTCGGCTGAACGCCAGGGGAGGTCTAGACTCAGGCACCACACTCCACCTAATTTTAATCAGATACTCGAAACTATCAATCACGATCCATCAATAGTTCGGCTTAAACGAACCTAATTATTATTATTAAACACCACTTCCCCCCGGGGAAAGCAATTCCGTCTCCCGCGAAACGTCTCGACGATCGAACCGTCATGTCGGAATCCTTCCTCCCCCCACTAATAAATAACTGAAAATCAGGTCGAAACGATCGCCGTCCGCTTCATGCCTCATTTAGGAAATTCAGTCGCCCAGATGAGGCGTTTGAGACTGGTCGACTTTCTTTCTTTCTTCTTCATTTTCCACAAAGGTAACACTGGTTCGGAAGATGCGGAAGGGGAAGCCGTCCGTCCCAGGTGTGAGGAAAGTGTGGAGATCCTCTTTTTGTACTGTACCTTGATCCCCCATTTCATCCGAATTTTCCATTGGTACCTTTTTCTTTTCCCCGTTGCTCGGGGTTTGGGAAATCCTACAACGCTGATTGGTTGGAAACTTTCGACGAACGCCCTTTGTTTTTGTTTATGATTTTAATTCTCATTCTGTTTGTGATCCAGAATGAAGACTTCTCACCTATCCATTCCTTGTGTATCAATCTGCAAAAGGGGCTGGCAAGGGTAGATACATACCTATACCTTTTCCCCCCTCCCGCATCATCCATGTACAGTACTTTGTCCCACCCATTCTCCCCCGCTGGTTACATCCGATCGCTGGATCGATCGAGCGATAGGTCGAATCGCATCCCATGATCCCGGGTACCACCCTGCATTGCCGCCCCGTACGGCTGTTACTGCGATGCATTGGGTCCATGACTATCTATTATTAATGTATTACTTACATGCGCGCTGAGGAAAATGATGTTTGCCACAACCAAAAAGTACCATCTCCGCAGGGATTCCCTGCGCGACGACACATCAGCGCCAAAGGGCGGTGATTCACCGCCTGGATCAAGTATTGGATACGACGCTGCCATGCGATGGAAACAGTGAAGAACACGAGACCTGACTCAGTAGGTCTTATTATTATTACTTTTACGAACTTCTGGGGCCGAAATCCCCATATAGAAGGCAACATGACAACAACCCCAGCATTCTTGAGTCATCGTCATCCACGATAACCCCAGACCAGGTGTCTTGTCTGGGGATAAACAAAAAGATGGGGTACGCAACCGCATGTGAGGGAGTTGTGATCGTCAGTCAATGATGCACAACTGCACAACATTCCCCGCGGCTTTGTCCGGGGCTTAAATCCCCCCCCCCCCCCCCCTCCCTCAGAATACTCAGTTATTCTAGGAAATGAATCTGAACGCACGGAGCACCCTGCGTCTTACAGAATGCGGTCCGAGCCCGGGGGAGAGGTTTAAGGTGTTGAGGTGTCGAGGTGTCGACTCCTTGCAGCGCAGATGGAGCTGGCGGCTTTTTCTCTCCCGCTGCCCCGGATTGGTGTTTCCTGGTTTCCAGCTGAGCGGTGCGTGACAAGGGAGAAAAGGACTTCTGACGACGCGTCCCCCATCGCTTCCCCGGTTGATCAGTTGCGCTCTGCACGGGGGAAAAACCCAGAATATCAACAAATACTTGGTTCTATCATAAAGTATAAGCGCCACAGGAACCCCACTTCCAGGTATGTGGCGTTTACCCTGCAGGCTGAATCATATCTACCCAACAACCAGGGTCGCCTCTATGCGTTAGGAACGGATATGACGATATTTGGATCTCCATACCGACTTCACATAGCTCTCAACTGTGGCTGAGCTCTTACTCAGTGCGGTATGTAGCTGATTCATGTCCGCTAATGATCGGCACTATGCGACACAGGCTTTCCCTGGTCTAGAGCGAGAACAAAGCGCTATCAAAGATATGCCAAGCGCCACCGACGACAAAAAGCCCAGTCGGTCGGTCAAGTCTCTCTATCGAAGCGATCAATCTCCGATGACCTTATCGACATCACCCCTCCGTTTCCTTGAAGCCTGACTGGCACCCAGCATTCCTCCCATCGCAAATAATATCCGATCAGCGTGCAGCATTGGGATCGAATGACGCTGACAGGACCAGAAAAGACACGGTGTAACAATATAGGCGTGTAATGTAGCATCCGT